GAATGCGCTGTAGGCCCACGGCCCACGGGCCAACCTAAGCAACAGGCTTAACATATTCTGAGATTTGTGGGGTGTCCACAACTTAGGGGTCGTTTGCTTGTTGGATTTGGGTCATGGATTTGGTACCCAAATTTTAAGTTTGATGGATTTAACATAAGTCCATTGTTTGTTGAAGGGTGCTAAATCCGTGGGGACCACGGATTTGGTCTTTATTTTGGAACCAAATCCGTGGACCCCACGAACTTCTAAATCCCACATATTGATTTGGGATTTGCAAATCCTTGATGGTTAGTTATTTATTTAACAAATCCATCACAAATCCATCATCAAATCTATCATGCAAACATTAGACTCTTCAAAACCATAATCCAATAAATCCAACATAAATCCCAAGGTTTTTATTGGCCAAAACCCTCATTTTTCAAATCCAACAAGCAAACGACCCCTTAGAGATCTTTGGAGATGATTCCGTATTACAATTTGGCGGTGGAACTTTAGGTCACCCTTGGGAAAATGCACCTGGTGCCGTAGCTAATCGAGTAGCTCTAGAAGCATGTGTACAAGCTCGTAATGAGGGACGTGATCTTGCTCGTGAGGGTAATGAAATTATTCGTGAGGCTAGCAAATGGAGTCCTGAATTGGCTGCTGCTTGTGAAGTATGGAAGGAAATTAAATTTGAATACGCTGCAATGGATACCTTGTAATCTACTAATTGACATTTGTTCCCTTAATTGAATGAATTGCAATTAAACTCGGCTCAAATTATTAGTCACAACTATCGAAATACAAATTATTAACCAACCGTTAAGTTTTAGTTGACGTTTTCGTTAATAGTGCTGACTAAGCATCAATAATACTGACTTGGCTTCCCACGTATAATTAAACGAATTGAAAAAAAAAGAGAATAAAATAACTCCACCCTGAATTATGACCTACCTCCCCAATTTCCCACCTTCGCCCAACAATTTCAGACAAACCTTCACGATCGAGATTACATCTCTAGCTGGAAAAAAATCCCAAATCGACCGGCGACTCCTTCCTCATCGAATCCGCCTTCTCCCCAACCTACCACAACTACCTCTAATCTTCCTCCAATCTCTTCTTCCTCAAGAATCCGAGCTTTGATTACATATCTGGACGACGATGGCTACCACGTGGGAGACGGGGCCAACAGTGAAGAACATGGAGTGAAGAACGCTGGGGGAAGTGGGGTCGTACGACTCCGAATAGTGAACGTCGTTGGAGGCAGATATTCCACCAGCGACAACGTGAACGACGAGGGCTCTAGTGTCGTTTCAATGAGAGAGAATGGGGCGGTTCCATCATCATATTGGACGACAGCGAGGCGGCCGGCGAAGAGTGGGAAGATGGAGAGGGCTCGAGAGGGAGAGAATTTTTCAGGCGAGGGATTATGGATGGTGAATTGGATTGTGGAGATGGGTTGGGAAACAAGAGGTCTCTTTGGGCATAGTGGAGAGGAAGGGACTTGGATGTCAAATGGAGTAAATTTGATTTGGATGTTACGGTGATTAGTAGTGTTTGGCGGTGATGCTGCTGGTTCCACAATGGAGGTTGAGATTATCTGGATTGTTCTCTTACAGTGGCGGATCCAGGAGGTGGCCAACTTGGGCCACAGTCCAGCCCTCTTCTGGATCCGGAGTTAATATATCCTTTATGAATTTTCGATTAGACATTTGGCTCAGTGTTATTTTATAATAAGATTGTGTATAATTAGAAAAATGGTTCAAATGAACATATTCATATAATACTCAAAATTTAGTCTAGGAATTCTAACCCCAAAGACTTTCGTCTAAAAAAATCAATGAAAACTAAAAGTCTAGAAGTCTAAGGCGTAAAGGACTAGAAGAAATACAAGGTTTGTTCCCTTGAAAATTTACTAGAGCAGCTGCTGGATATAGGGATGGACACACAATGCAAATTTATTAGTGGATTGATTTCTCTAGTGTTGACGCAGCACTTTTCAACGGCTAATACAGAGAGAACTTTTTCAAGAATGAAACATGTGAAAACTAATTTGCGCAACAAAATAAGCAATGAATTTCTTGTCGATTGCTTAGCTATTATATTTGAAAAGAGTATGTTATTGGCATGGATGTAGATAAAGGATGCATTCGCTAAGGTCCCGTTTAGTATCATTTTGTTGCTGTTGTGGTTGCAGTGGCGTTGTGTAAACAGATGTACAACCACAACAGAAGAAAAAAAAAACAGAAAACACAAACCTGTTTAGTTGATAAATCTGAAAAATCATGAAAGCTGACAACAAGAAACAAAAACGCGTTTAGTTACTACTATAAGAACTAAAAACCAGAAAAAGAGATATGTAGCAATATTAAGCAAAGTCTCACAACAGTCAACATAGCTAACATCATTCATGTTCCTTACAAAAAAAAAAATACTAAACATGATTATCACTCCATAACTGATTAGCAATGGCATCAAGCTTCTCGGTCATCTCACGTGTTGCTGCATAGCTGACGTTGAACTCAGTGAGTGGTAGTTCAAGCCCAGAAGTCGAACCTTCTTCATCTTCATAATTTTCATATTCATGAAATAGTTTATCATCTTCGGCATGAATCTTGATGAAATTATGTTAGGCGCAACAAGCAATGACAATACGTGTTTGCTTCCTCAAGCTATACGACCGCATGAACTTTAGAATCGGAAACATTGCCTTTAAAACTCCGAAGCAACGCTCAATCACATTACGCAGACTTGAATGCCGAAAGTTGAATAATTCCTTACGCTTTCTTGGTCCGCCTCTACGCCTCATCTCTTGAAAATGACGGGTAGCTCCAGAAATGGTGCTAGAAATCCACGGATATTTTGAAATCCAGAGTCCACAAGATAATATTTTCCTAAATGAATATGTTGAAAATAAACTAATAAGATCTCACTATCACTCATATTGTATTAATAAATGAATTAAATGTAGATATCATACCTTTTGGTGGCATTGGAAAATCGTTATCTGGATTTCAGATCCAAAGCTATAAATTGTTGTTTCTTATATTTGGGCCTGGTTGTGCAACTCTGATTCACAACAAAAAATAAAAACCCAACTAAACACGATTTTTTTTCTTGGTTTTCCAAATTTCTTAAAACACAACAGGAAACAAAAACAAGCAACAATACTAACGGGCCCTAAATTAAAAGATTTTCGTGTACAATTGACATGGTAAAAAAGAACTACGATCATTTTTTTACGGTATATAATTTTCTAATGAAATGCGGCCCAGTGCTCTACTATGTTCTGGATCCGCCGTTGTTCTCTTCTATTGGTGGATGAATTTTGGATGGTAAAGAACAACCATTCATCGTGGATTCGTAGTAGATGTCGGTGGAGGAGATTGAGACTCGTGGAGCAAGAAAGGGTTTGGCGGCGACAGTAGATGACGGTGGAGGAGATCGAGACCGACGGAGCGAAGAAGGGCTTGGCAGGGGCAGAATATGTCGGGGAGGAGGAGAGGAAGGTTATATTTTTTTATATTTTAAAATTATAATTTAAAAGCAACCTGACGTGGCAGTTTCCGTTACAAAATATATGGCGGTAAGGGGTTGTTAGCCATATTTTAATCCTCTACAATAGTTTTGGTTAATAATTTGCATTTCGATAGTTGTGGCTAATAATTTGAACACTTGAATAGTTGTGACTTATGTATTGTATTTATCTATCATTTAACCATTTATTTAAAGTTGGAGATTGCTATATACAGCCTAGTTTTGCGGGTAGTTAATATGAACGGTAATAAATTTATGCACTCAGAATTTCATTGGTCGAATTTTGGAATGAAGGATAACAAAGTTTTAATTTTGCATGTTTAATAAATCATACTAATAACCAAACCGGTCAGTCCATTCATCTTCATCCAAAAATTTGTTAATTTTGTCGAGTCAGCATGCCACATCACCATAATTATTAATTAAAAATTAAGAACTTTACCAAACAATCCAATCAACCAGAACCCAACCTATCTTTGAATTATCATGTCGCCATCTACCAAGTGTTATTAAGATTGAATCGAACCGGCTATTCGCAACGATAAAATTGGGACTCGGTCGACCGGTTCGTGAAAGCCGAAAATGTTAGCCGTTTGAGCAGCTCGAAGCGCTTGGCAGGTTTTTACCTTACGCTTAAAATGAACAAAAATCAAAATTGAAAAAATTTAGCTATTTCTTCACGTTTGAGTGTGAAACAGATGAAGCAACGCGGCTCTCCTCTGTTCCTTCAAGTGAGAGATTGAAAGATAGAAAGAGGAGAGTTGGAGTGAGACTGAGACTAAGAGAGGGAGAGTGGAGACGTGAGGGAGATTGAAAGAATTGTAGGGTGGGAGAGAGATAGATTAAGGAAGAAAGATTTAGAGAGGGAGAAAGGGGAGGGTTGGAGATTGAGGGGTGGTAGGAGCCAATTAAGTTATAGTGCTCACATGGTAAGTTGTGAGAACGTGAGTATATACTTATAGGGTAGAATGGTTGTCCACGTCAGGCGAGCCACGATCCGACGACAAGGGACCACTGGTATCAGCACGTGAGGCGGGGAGATTATTGAATCGGCTCGGCTTACCCAAGTCTAATTGTCGGAAAAAAGGGCGCACCAAATTTCAAAATAGACCGTCTATCCTTTTTTGCGTTTTCCTCTTCTCTCCCAATTTCTTTCTCGCATTCCATTTTCTCCAAAACCGCCAGACCTTCCTCTTTCCCTCCACTCTCCTGAAACCCCTAGAAACCGTCAAGAAAATCGCTCTGGCATGAAGGAGACCAGCGCTCCGGAGCAAAGGCGACTACTGCTCCACAAACACAGATGACAACGAGAGTGTTGAAGTTGTCGACAACTGTACCTCGAGGCAAAGGAAGTTGTTGACAACCGTGAGAAGAATAAGACGCTAATAGCGAGAGGAGAAAGAAGAAAATGATGTTGCTAACGCGAGAGAGAAACTGACGAAGCCCACTAATGCAACGAGGAGGAAGTTATTGAGGTATGCAACATTAATATCTCTTTGTTGATTCATGGATTCGAAGTTAGAGTTTCATAAATTCAAATCTGGGGGTTCTGGGTTTTGTTTGTTGATTTGTTAGATTTGGATTCATGGGATTCGAATTTGAGGGTTCTGGGTTTTGTTTTTTGGATTTCTAGATTTAGGATTTCATGGATTCGAATATGAGGGTTTCGGGTTTTGGTTTTAGTAATGCTAAATTAGGCTTCCTAGGATTCGAATTTGGGGGTTCTGTTTTTTTTATTTCTAGATTTAGGGTTTCATGGATTCGAATATGGGGGTTTTGGGTTTTTGTTGTTGTAATGCTAGATTAGGGTTCATGGGATTCAAATTGGGGGGTTCTGGATTTTGTTATTTTATTGCTAGATTTAGGATTTCATAGATTCGAATATGGGGTATCTGGATTAACTAACTTCAGATACAATTAGTAATGAATGTCAATACTAGTTTGTTAAATTGGATGAATATGTGTTCTGTGATGTAACGATTTCATTTATGCCACTTTAGATACTATCTTGTGAAGCATGATAATGTGGATGTGTTGATACTAGTTCAGCTATGTATTGATACTAGTTGACTAGATTGGTTAAATGCTAGATATGTGATGTATGGATATTTGTCTTTGTTGTCATGATATTAGTTCATGCTTTTGAATAATGGTTAGTTAAACTGGATGAATACTAGTTGGTGACATCGAGATACAATTTGTTGAATGTGGATATTAGTTCGTTAATACTAGTGCAATACATGCTAAATATCATTTAACTAGCTTAGGATACACTTTTTCTTAACCACGATACTAGGTGTATATATTGGCTGAATACAAGTACTATGATGTAACGATTTCAAATCTGTGACTGGGGATATTATTCTGTGCATTATGGATATTAGTTTGGACTGTGTACATGCTAGATATATTCTATAACTGTCTTTCACGGATGTTGCACGATGGTAAGATTCAAATTGTGTGCGAAGAGAGCTCATTCCAGAGAAGGATCATCACAGTCGCCTGATGAAGAACCACAACATGTTTAGCAAGAAGATGTGTAAGAAGAAAACCAAGGAGTAAACATAATTGATTGGGTAGTAGAATCGTGAAAACACATGATTCTTCCATATTTTGGACATCGAACAATATGTTACTGCTGAAACTTGGAAGAAATGAGCCCCAAGATGCATTGTCAAAACTCAAAAAGGTATACATCATCTCAACCCAATACGTACGTATATTGTTTGAGGGGATACCAACCATAAATTTGCTATAGAAATATGTAAGGAATAATATTTTTTATGGGGAAATTGAGAATGATAACTAAATGGAAAATGCATTTGGTTTCTTTTGCTACGATTTAGATGTCAATTCCATTTTTTTTGTTCTTCTCAATTACTAAAATTTATGAAATCAAAATTGAATTATTCCATTTTTGATTTGGCTCGATTCAATCCAAGCATTACTCATGTCACAATCCATTGGTTGATCCCTCTAATTCATTCATCTACAAGAGATAAAGGAAGGAACCATATGTAAGAAAATTCAAAAATAAAATTTATAGTTTCCCTTAGTCCTTCCAACTATAACAATAATTTACACCATTAGGTTAAACACTTGAACCCAATCTAGCAAAAGTGGAAAACACTCCTCCAGTTAGAAAATTTTCGGTAACGGAAAAGAGTAATGACAGAAAATGAATGACTATTATTTCATGCCAGCAAAAAGAAAGAGAAAATAGAATTCTATCACCATTTCCTCATACATCTTCAAAATCAACTCAACCTCCCTGATTTCCCATTATTCCGATCACCACCGTCATCCACAACTCCACCGTTCATCAATGGCGCCGTGGAATCTTCCATGGTCGAAGTTTCCTTTCCGTTTCTGGGTTTCTGATCTCCATTTGGCTTCTTCGTTCTGCCAAACCCCAACTTCCTCAGTAACATGTTCCAGCTCCCCTTGTTCTTCATCAGCTTCTCTATCTCTTGCTTCATGCTCATGCATTCATTTTCCAGCTCGACGATTCTCTCCCTCACCTCGACTTCTTCCCTGTGTTCTTGTATCCCGTCATCGTTCCTCATCAATGCCAGGTCCCCGCTGGGGTTCTGCGAGTTGTCCAGGTTGTCAGAGACGTAGAACCACCCTGCCACCGAGGTTCGTAGCCTGAGCTGTTCGAAGAACAAGACTTGGACTATGACGCGAAGGGGGAGCCTCTCGTTCTGTGCTGCGTGAGTGCTTGCTTCGAGTGAGAGCTTCTGGCAGTTCATTAGCCTGCAGAGGAGCTCCCTCTCGGAATCTGTCAGCCATGGATGAGCCTGAAAGGCGAACATATATAGAGAGAGAAAATCATGTTGGTTGATCTTACTTAACATCTCAACACAAAAGAAACAACTTGAGAAAGAATGCACTTTTCTACCTTAAGGTAGATATCAATTGCGCGATAGATTCCATCGTCGATTCGCCTGGCATAATCAGGAATTAGTGCAGCCAGCGACTGGAACTTGGCCAGCCTGAAGTTGACATCAGAAGCAACCTCCGCAAGAAAATTATCAATAAGGTTTGCCACCAATGTCACTGGAGCAAACGACTGCGACGCACCACCATCACCACCAAGAAGCTGACCCTCATCCAGCATGAAATTGGTCGGAGGAGGATCATCGCGGTCCACCATCATGAAATGATCAAGCATCCTCAGAACACAATCGATATCATACAGTGTCTCGCTCGAGTAACCCACATTTGGTATCAGGAGATCTTCCAAACCCGCCTGGTCCAACTGAGCTCCAATCCTCTTCTCCAAATTCTCTTTGCACGATGGCCCAGCATGGAGCAGAATCGCCGTCCTTAACAGCCGGAGCAGAAACTTAGTCGGAGCAATGCCCTTCTGATCAGGCAAAAGCTCCACAATCTCTTCAAGCAGATTTCTTTGATCCGCCTGTGGAGTCGTCTTAATAGTCGAACCAAGTGCATCCTGCTTCACATTCTGAAAGCTCGACTGTTGACCGAGCAAAGGCAAGTACCTCCTAGCATAACACATAAGGGCGCCAGCCACCTTCTCGGGTTTCATACCGTTTGAGATCACCTCCTGAATCAGCCTCTTGTAGAGTGGCAGTGTAAGAAAAGAGACATCCTCGTACCACCAATCATCACCCACCATATTCGACTTCCCCGAAGTCCATATCCCATTCCAGAAGACATTCCCTTCCTCAGGGCTCCGAGTAACATCTTTGCTGCGCGCTGACATTGGCCAGCTAAACAGATACGGGTCAGCACAAGCTTTCATTGCTATCGAGCGGATGCATCTCGAGACAATGTGGATCTCTTCTGCTAGTGGAAAAACTTCCTCACAAGTTTCTAGAGCCTGAAGAGAGTCTGTCCAGTGGTTGAAGACCTCATTCAGGAAATTTTCTGTCTGCGATATGAGGTTTCCTTCGCCATATTCTTCGGTCATGCCAAGGTATTCTGCTGCACATCGAAGGCGGACAATGTTCAGTGCATCGAGCTCAATTCGGACACCATAGCAGAACTTAGCCACCAGCAGGAAGCTGTTTGTTCCACCTGGGAGATCGTCAAGCTGCAGGATGCAAGTGGTTCCATTGTTGGTTGATTGTTCTGCTATGAGATCTTCTAGTAGTTTGCTTCTGGTGAGCAGTGGGAACTGGCAACATAGGAGAAAGTTGAAAAACTTACAAAAACAAACTTAAAGTACACTCTGCATAACCATTCTGAAGCTTGACACTTGACAGAATCCTGACAAGTTGTCTATGACAATTCTATGGAGGCACAACAGTTACGTCTATGGTCCTCGTAGATTGAGAAAAGATCAGGAATTTTTACTTTACATTTGCAGATAATGAACAGGCAATGAATGCTCAGATAAGAACACTACTCTGCAACTAAGGAATAAGCCATTATGCTGCTCAGGACATAAAAGCAAGGTTAAGAGACGCGGTGAGAAGAACACACCTTGTGGAGATGGAACGATGATTCCCCGACTTCAACTATGCAATCACTTTGCAGCCCAGATGAGCAGAACCTGCAGAGGAGAAACAGAAGAATTGCAAGGTTTTATTTGAGTACAACTTGTTTGGGGGATCTGAAAAAAACACAAGCCAATTGAGTAAAGTTCAAGGCGGAAATGAAAACTTCCACTCAATAAGGAATCATCAATGGGGTTGGAATTGCTGAATCTGAATTCCGACAATGAAAACCCACATCCTAAAAATTGGAAATTGAAGATCAATATTCCAGCTGCCGGCCCTATAGAAGGAGAGAAATGAGAGAGACGCACCAGGTATGGCCATCACGGTGGAAGGCCTCAGATTTCGATCCCAGTTTCATGCACGCCATTGTAACGAGAAAAGGAAACTCTCATCGGAGAAATACAGCAAGCCGGACGTCGACGGTGGTGGAAGGGACCATCAAAATCGGAAACGGAAGACAGAGAAACGGAAGGGGAAAGAAGGCAAACCGGCAATGAAGACGGATCCTTTAGAAATTCCGAAATCCTTTCCGGCAATGCAAGCTCACTGACCCTGTAAGAAAGCTCGGCGGCGATCGTCGGAGACGAAGAGACGCAACGGCCGGTTAGTCGATTACGGGGATGAAGAAATTGGGGGGATTTGGGTAAAATAACAGTAGTGGAAAAAAAAGTAAAAAAACTGATAAAACTAATTTTACGGAGTGTTCGTAACTGAATGGACCAAAAATTTGGTTTATGTAGAGATTAATTCTCTCATAAAGTTATTAAATTCTTTTTACATTGATAATTTTGCACTGAAAATACTGCTGTCAATTCTCAGTTGAAACGTTTATAGATGGGATGAAATTAATTCTCGGATCATATCAAAGTTACATTCGTAATTGAGTTGGATTATTTTCTACATTTTACTTTTAACCGCATACATAATCCAGCAAAATATTGAGAAGTGCGATGAACCACTTCCCGCCGGCCACATATTCCGGTAAGGGACGAAAGAGATCTCAAGAAGAAACACCATAAACAAAGTTGGATTCGGTTCACAATCAATTACTCAATCCGTATAAGCGTTTTTGGCACATAAGCAAAACTCAAAGCACGACGCCCATCAAGTTTGGAAGATTAAGGCATTTAAAGCATATCAATAACTTCTTCGACAAGCAAGCAAAACGAATTCGAATTACACATAAACAAACTGAGCCAAGGATGACTTCCCAGAGGGCAATGAGCCCCATGAAGGGAGAGAGGAGAGGAGATGATCACTCTCTCTCTCTCAGTGGACGTGATGCCCTTGAATAGTCCCACCAACGCGAGACGATGACACCAGGTATCCAGAGAACCTGAAGTGTTGCTGGTGGAATGCCACATCATCGTCGTTATTGGAGGTGACATCTGAGCAAGAGGTCGTCGAGGCACAACCATCTCGACGTTTCTCCAGCTGATGAACTTCGGAGGACTCCGAGTAGTTACCAGATGATTGAAGCTGACAGTATCCTGTGAGCTCGTGCCTTGAAGAATCTTCATCTGGTGTTTTCGTGTTGAGGAAACGCCCGCCAGTGCCCCTAGCTCTCCTCATTGCATGAAGATGCCTCGACTCGTGCAGATACGGCTGTAGAGGAATAAAAAAAACAAGTTCCAGATCATGATTAACAACAAAATGAAATATCCTAGCCTTTTCTTCTTCTATTCTGCATCTAGATTTTTAGAGAGTGGTAGCCTTATCTCTTTAGTCTCCATTTCAGTTATTGAATTTGAACACAATCACAAAGTTTGCATTTACCTTGCGATTTTTGGCGAGCCGGTTCTGAGCTTCGAGCTTGGCACGATAGCGCCGCCTCCTGAGGATCGCATTGTACTGTTTGGCATTAACGAAAATGGGTTCGTCTTCAGTCAGATCGAGAGGAAGGGGCATTCGAGTTGGCCCCGTTCCAAATACTTGTGAGTGATGGATCTGCGGCCAAATCATTGATTAATAGTGAAGTTGAAGAGGACAGCAAAAGGTCAAAAGTATGGTTGCAGTGTGGTCTAATACAGCTTTGCATGGTGACAACAAGTATGACTGCAATGTGGTTTAACCTTTAATACAAGATGCCAGCTACAATTTATAGAGAGGGGGGACCAGAATCACATATTGGAATAACCTGCTTTTTACCATTTATATAATCATTTTGCATAAATTCCTTGCAAAAGAAGAAGTTTATACTGTAGTTTATCGCCCAAGTACATAACTGAATTTATGCTAATTTGGCCCCTAGAGCTTTGACACGTTTCACACTGAAGAATCGCATTTGCTAGGCATGATTCTTCTCTAACCAAAGATGGGATAAACTACATTACAGCTATAGAGTTTCCAGGGATAGTGAAATAGTCTACATACGTTTTCAGGTGACATGTTATGACTAAGGTGACCGCAGCCACAATAAGGATTCAGATTGGTAATGAAGTTCTGCAAACCACTTTCAGGTTAACAGATAAGGTTTCAATAGCATTTCTATGACTCTTTTCCCATTTTTAATTTGATTGCAGTCAATCTGTCAAACAAACAAGACAAGCATGTAAACGACCAGATTCCACAGAATCACTTACCATTGGTGAATAAGCAGCTAGGATGCCCCCATAATATGGTTCAGCATAAGCGACTGGAATACGTGCCTGAGATAGTGACCACGATAATATAAGAATGTATTATCCAATCTCTTAAACTACAAAGCACATTTAAGTATGAACTTACAACAGACTGGCCACAGTCAGCTTGAGAAGCAGGGTAAATGAACTCCTGAGGCCCCATATTTGAATATAGTTTAGTAGTTTGACCACCACCCACTGGCTTCCCACAAGCTTCATCAATTGCTAAGAAATCACAAACAAAGAAGTTTAACCCCGGTTCGGTTCTCCTATAACAGTTTTGTGTCAATTTTCAGTAAAAGCAAACCACAATGTTGCTGTGTCTTACCTTTTCCCATGTTTCCAACTTCAGGGTATGATTGCCCAGTGGACTGACTTGAGCATGAATCCTGGTCTTGAAATTGAAAAGTCAGTGGCTTGGTGCCATAGAAATGGTGTTGCTGAACTCCCATGTTCAATAACTCCAATTCAGCTAACAAACATGAACACTCAACATCAAAATTGACAATCAACAACGGGGGAAATCCTTAAATCGGAAGTTCAAGTGTTCTAAACTGCAATTAGAGAAAACTCACCTGAACTGTGGAGGTTAATTAGGAGCTCAGAATCCCTTTTGCGTAAATCACTATATCCAGCAAGTCAGAATTCCTATTAGATGAAACCACAATCAAGCAATCAGAGATTCAGAGGAAGAAAGCAAGAAGATTGAATCAGTAGTAAAACCAGAAACCCAATTAGAAAGAAGACGATTTGTAAAAGTTAACTCTGGGTTTCATCGCCCTCTGACTAAAACCTTCCATTGACCCATTCCATCAAATACCTTGCATGCAGAACCCAGATATCACAAACTTGTCGGGAATTATGAGAAATTGGTTGGCGATAGCTCACAGACAGCAACAGCTAATAATAAAATGAAAGAACCCGCCATTGAAAGCTCCACCTAAAGACGCTAGAGATATCAAACATTGGACTGTAAACTCAATTTAAAAGAAAAGAAAAAAAGTCCCGGATGGGCTACTGACTTGTCTCCAGGCTAATAAGGAACCACACTAACCAACAAAACAGCCACCATGAGAAGACACTAACCCAAGAAGAAAGAAGGAAGCAGCAGTTACAGCTGGTGATACCCTTTCTTTATTGAGCTCCCCTTCTTCTCTCCTTCATCGTCATCTTGCCCACGGAAGAGAGAAATATCTTTCCTTGCTATGCTTTCTCTTTCTCGTTCTTTTGCTCTGTAAGATTAGAGGAAAGAAGCTCACTTTCTCAGTGTGTTTCTCAATCTCCAATGGGTATAGGGCAAATGAAACGAATAGCTCCTTCCTTTCTCTCTCTTTTCTCCGTATGCATGTTTGTTTCTCTCTCTAGGTTCTCAACTCCATCCCCATTTTCCCACCACTACCAACAGTCCAACACCATTCTGTTCAGTCTTCATTGCTCTTGTTGGTTTTGTTTCCTCTACTACTTTTTTAATCTGAAAAACTCCAAAAGTGTCTTAAGAAGCCCCTCTACTAATCTTTTAGACAAGTAAACTCCTGGTTGTCACGCCGGCCAGCGTGCCACTGGTTGAACCTGGTTCAACCTGTATCGGTTATAAAACCGGTATGACCGACATGATCGATATACGAATCTCTAAGTAAAATAATATTATATTAGTGAATTTATTTGATAAAAAGTAATTTATTATTTATTTTATGTGTTAAAAAGTTAAATGTTGATGTTATTTGTTGGATTCAAGTACAAATATTTAGGTATTGACGTTAAATGTCGTGCTTAAATATGAGTATTTGTAAATTATTTGTAATATTAACCGGCACAAACCGGTATGTACCACCGGTCGAACCATTCCACTTGCTAAACCGGCACACTGGCACAAACCGGTTTGACAACCTTGCTCCTCATACTATTCAAAGTTAATGATATAGGCTTCAATTGCTAAAATAAATTTAGTAAGCCCTTTTACAATGATTTCACTCATAAATTACCCTTTTGTTTACAAGTCCCTCAACTCCTTTTTCACACCATCGTCAACTCGAGAACACAATATATTTTTTATGGGGATTTTGAGGAGGAGGAGGGGAGCCCGACTGCCCGAACAATGGTCATAGTAGTAGATCTCTTTGTGATGGTGATGGTGGGAGTGGTGAAGAATGGAGTATGTGTCTTAGTGAGCTAACAAAGACGGTGATAACTAATGAATTTCGCATGAGATTTTCTTAATTTGATTGAAAGATGAGTCATACAATGATATCTAAGTGATGTTGTTGTTTAAAGTCTTGTGTTGTCTTGTGTTTAACACATGCATGCACATGGTTAATAGCCTACAAACAATTTACGAATAAAAGGGTGTGAACCTTAAAAGCACGTGATTGGATAAACACTGTAAATTTTTCATGTCGTTTGAATGAAATAACATTAGCCATGGTGTCCTTGTTTGGCGATTCTTCCATTCATCTTAGTTTGCATCAAAATAGTTAAGAAAATTGATTTTGTTATCATATCTATAAACTCAAAAACAATATGTCAGTTTTATCAATAAACTTAGACTTTGTGTCTTGTTCTGAAATTGTATTAAATAATAATAAAAAGAACACGAAAGCATTGCAACCTACCTAGCTAATCTTTTAGGGTGTGCCTACGGTGACATGGTGACTTGCACTTTCCGGTCGACCTCAGTTAGGATTAGGTCGACCTCATTTAGAATTCGGTCGACCTCATATAGGATCTGGTCGACCTCATTTAGGATTCGGTCGACCTCATATTGGATCAGGTCGACCTAATCTGTTGTTTCAGTGTAAAAACAGTTCATGGTGCCTACTTTGGATATTCATATCATACAATTGGCTAGATGGAAATTGAAGACTAATGACTTGTTTTGAAGCTGGAGTGTCCCTCTACATATTGAAGTGCAAGAGAGCTCGATAGGAAGTCCAGAAGACCATTTTTGAACCTCATCAAAAGGCTATGCCAAAACTGGGAAACTGCCTGGAAATGGCTAAGTCTGGAAACGTGTTTGTGAAGCCTATTTTGGAGCTCAATTCGAGAAGCATGAATGCGAGTCGATTCCAGGAGCTGCTACCACGTTAAATTAGGTATGTTTTTATACAAATTCAAGGCATTGGATGAAAGATTGGATATCTGTAAGGCTTCAAACAAAAGGGTCGAAGTTGCTACGAAGGCTGTTTTTCTGGCAGACTTCGAGCACAAGCAAGCTGCCAGAAAAACAACCTTCGTAGCAACTTCGACCCTTTTGTTTGAAGCCTTAAAGATATTCAATCTTTCATCCAATGCCTTGCCTTTGTATAGTAAAATACGTAATTTAACGTGGTAGAGGCCCCTGGACTTGACTCGCATCCATGCTTCTCAAATTGAGCTCCAAAGTAGGCTTGACAAACACGTTGCCAGACTTAGCCATTTTCAGGCAGTTTCCCAGTTTTGGCATAGCCTTTTGGTCATGTTCAAAAATGGTCTTCTGGACTTTCTATTGAGCTCTCAAGTACTTTAATGTGTAGAGGGACACTTCAGCTTCAAAACAAGCCTTTAATCTCCAATTTCCATCTAGCCAATTGTAAGATATGAATCTCCAAAGTAGGCACCATGAAACTGTTTTACACTGAAACAACATATTAGGTCGACCTAATCCTATATGAGGTCGACCGAAAAGTGCATGTCACCGTGACATGCATGTCACCTTAGCAAAGTACAATCTTTTAAACCTTCCCTGAGGCAAGATCATAATCACTTTTGGTTCTGTTGAATTCTTCTCGTTTTCTTTCGTCATTGATTAGTGTGCGTTGTTTTAATTAAGCAATTTAGTTAACAATCAATATGATATACTTGCTCATTGTTAAGTAGGATTAAATCAAACTTTCTTCACATAAAAAAAAACAAGGAGTAGGAATGTGTCTTAATCACTCTTTACAAAAATTATATGGTACTAGAAGATAACATAGATTGAATCACGCATTACAGTATTATTATACATAAGTTCTTAGTATTTCATTACCACTTTATTACAAATTTGTCATGATATTTTCTCAATTTGGTCATCAAATATTGTATCACTAAACTTGTCGAATCAATTTTCATATATAATTTTTTACAGAATTTATTTATGTCATGAACATAGGATCGAATCAGTGAAAGGGCGAGGTAGTCCCCGTTATCTACAATCTGACGATCAGCATCAGTATTGTGATGTGGAAAACACAAAAATAAAGTTAGAGAGTTTAAAAAGATAATTTATATGTTTCAAATTCATAAGAAAAAAAAAGGAGAAGAGCCTCTTACATCAAAAGCTTTAGTACATATTTTTAGACAAAAACTTGTGAGATTTCAATGAACTTCAATGGTGTCTTACATGTACTTCGTGAACATAGTCCATATGTATCATAATTGTGACTTGAGCTAAATTGCGACATAGTAAGAACTAAACAGCTCCTACAAACAACACAAGGGATGTGTCTAGTGGTTATTGTTAGAAGAAGAAATCCTAGTAGCATCGGGATGGGAGTTTGGCACCAAAGTTGCAAGTTCAAAGTCTGTCTAGTGATACTATATCATTTGGTTTGAGACTGTATATGCAATAAGTAATACTGCACCATTTGCAGTATGTCTGTGTTAGTCCTTCAATTTATGTTAGAGTACAATTGAGTCTAGTTGAAGTAGTCGTTGAGAGCTTGTAGCTCAGGTAGTTAGTAGTGTTAGCTAAAAACCAGGTTACTATAGTTAAGGTTGTTAATTGTAGTCCATGATTGGGGCTAGCAACATCACCTTGTTTATATTTTCAGTTAACCATCAATAAATCTCGTCAGATTGCATTCAAGTGTGTTTTCACATTTTGTATCAGAACACAAAGCAAGATGTAACCATTTTTTATTGAGAGAACAAATCTGAGTGGTGTGAGACGAATCTGTTGTTTGTATACAGATCTAGGTATTGGGAAACATGAGAGTATTGTGTGAGGCTGAAAAATGAGTGAGAATGCAAGCTTTGCTCAGGTTGGTCTGCCCAAATTTGATGGGGACTATGAACACTGGAGCTTGCTTATGGAGAATCTCTTGAGATCCAAGGAGTACTGGGAGGTTGTAACTAATGGAATCCCAGAAACAGCTGCTGGAGTGGAACTGTCAGCCACTGAGACCAAGAACTTGGAGGATTTGAGACTCAAAGACCTTAAAGCGAAGAACTACTTGTTCAGTTCGATTGACAAATCTATCTTTAAGACTATCACCAAGAAGTCCACTGGTAAGCAGCTCTGGGATGCCATGAAGATTAAATATCAAGGCAGTGCCAGAGTTCAGAAAGCTCAATTGCAGGCACTCAAAAGGACTTTTGAGGTATTGGAAATGAAGGAAGGTGAGGCTTTGGCTGCTTATTTCAGTAGAGTTATTGTTGTGGCTAATGATATGAGAAATTGTGGTGGCGACATGCCTGATGTCAAGGTGGTTGAGAAGATCCTTAGGACTTTAACAAAGAGATTCAATTATGTAGTGTGCTCCATAGAGGAGTCCAAAGACATAGAGACTCTTTCTGTGGATGCTATACAGAGCTCTCTGTTGGTGTTGAAGAGGAGCATGCTCTTTAGAATATCTTGTGATTCTGGGGCAAGAGGAGGCAGATCAGGTAGAGGTGGAGGCTACCAAGGTAGGGGCCGAGGAAGAGGTGGTAGAGGCTGGAGCAAGGACAATGTGGAATGCTTCAAGTGTCATAAATATGGTCACTATCAGTATGAGTGTCCAGGCTGGTATCCAAATCCACACCAGTCTCATTTTACTCAAAATGATATGACTGATGATGTGTTGTTGATGGCATTTTTGGAGGATTCTAACAAGACAGACATGGAAACTTGATGGTTCCTAGATTCTGGGTGCTTTAATCATATGAGTGGTGACAAGGCCTACTTTGACAACATCAACGTCAATCATACTGGCCAAGTGGGGCTAAGGAACGACAACAAGCTGAAGGTAATTGGGAGAGGAAAAATCAAACTCCCACAGTCCCACTGGACCATGTTACTTTAGTTATCCAGGATGTTTTCTTTGTTCCAGGACTGAAAACAAACTTGTTGAGTATGGGAAACAAACTTGCTACAAGAGAGAAACTTGGAGTTTCTGGCCAAACGATATTACTGCAAAATAATTCATGAAACAAAGGGCTTACTCCTGGAAATCAGAATGAAGAGTAATAGGATGTTTGTGCTGCAAGCAACATCCAAGAAGGCTGCAGAATCCTCAGAGACTCACTGTATGCAGACTGATACCTCCCTCCTCTTGTGACATCGGTGATTTGGCCATCTGAATCAACAAGTGATGGTGAAGTTGAATAAGGACAATCTGGTCCAAGGAGTACCTGACCTGAAGGGAGAACTAGGGATGTGTGCTACCTGCCAACTTGGAAAACAAACAAGAAAGGCTTTTCCCAAGAAAAGTCAGTGGAGGGCAACCAAACATCTTCAATTGGTACATGCTGATCTATGTGGTCCCCTTACTCCAACTTCTAATGGTGGCAAGAGGTATATTTTCACCCTTATTGATGACTTCAGCAGAAAGTTATGAGTTTACTTCTTAGCTGCTAAGTCAGAAGCTCTTGATTGGTTTCGAAAATATAAGGCACGTGTAGAGAAAGAAACTGGAGTATCTATTCTTTGTTTAAGAACATATAGGGGAGGAGAGTTTCTGTTAAGTGAGTTTTAATACTTGTGTGATGCTGGCATGAAGGGGCAGCTTACAGCAACCCTTACACCCTCAACAAAATAGGGTGGCTGAGAGGAAGAATAGAACCACCATGAACATGGTGAGATGCATGCTGAAAGATACTCAAGTACCTACTGGATTTTGGCCAGAAGCTGTGAACTGGACCGCTCATGTGCTGAATAGAAGCCCCATAGTTGCAAACCAAGGAAAAACTCCTCAGGAAGTGTGGACTGGAGCTGCTCTATCAGTTGCACACTTTCGAGTCTTTGGTTGTGTAGCTTATGCTCATGTACGTGATCAACAGAGACGGAAGTTGGATGATAAACGTATTCAATGTCACTTCCTAGGAATCTCCACTGAATCCAAAGCCTATAGACTCTATTATCCAGTCACCAAGAAGATTATCATTATTAGAGATATGGTATTTGATGAAAGCAAAGGCTGTCACACCAGCTGCAGTAACAGGACTTGATGAGGATACCGATTAAGAAGAGCACAACTCCACTATGTCTTAGGCCTATCTTAGAGTCTTGTCCTTGGTCCCAGATCAAGGAAGCCACCTAGTCATCTCTATATCTACGATTGTCCACACTCAACAGAAGTTCCACTAGACTAGTTGTTGATGGCAGAAGTAGCAGGAGAACCTCAAAGCTTTGAAGAAGCTACTACAAAAGATAAGTGGAATAGTGCAATGCAGCAGGAGATGAAGTGCATAGAGAAAAACAACACATGGGAGTTGACTGACTGACCTGCAGGTATTACTCCAATTGGTCTAAAGTGGTTTTATAAAACTAAACTGACAAAAAAGTGTGAGATTGATAAGCATAGGGCCATATTGGTAGTTAAGGGCTATGCTTAGAAGAGTGGGGAGGACTGTCTGTTGTGATACACCGACAGTGACTATGATGGAGACTTGGATTATAGGAAGAGCACCAATGGATGTGTCTTCTTCCTTACAGGTGGAGCAGTTTCGTGGGCATCAAAGAAGCAACATGTGGTCACCTTGTCAACCACTGAGGCTGAGTTCGTTGCTACTGCATACTATGCTGCTTAGGGAGTTTGGATATTTGATCAACCAACGATGAAAAAAGGTCAATCACATGTGTTTATTTCTCGTGTTCACAACTTGATCCCAACCAAATCTTATTTGTGTGTTGGATATTTGGAGGGTTCCTTTAGTTGTTACTTTTCTCACTCGTTTTGTGACATGACCAACAAACGTCTTATATATTATACTAGGCTGTGATGCACGCTTTTCCACGAACTTATTGGCAGCATGCGGGGTGGTTGATCGTTGGGATGTAATTCTTTAATGTTTTAAATATTTGAAGTGGTAATTAGGTAACTGTAGTGTTTATTTGAGTACTATTCTTTCCTATTGACTTTTATAAATTGACATTGCCTAGCATAAACGTATTTGAATTTGTCTACGCCTGACGGGGAAAGACCATCGATGATCGCTGATTTCAGCTACTATTCTTGGTATCGCTACTAGTGATTCCTCTAGTGTTCTGCCAATAATCAAATTGCGGATGACATTGTCTCCTAGTTCTGTAACCAGTATTTGTGTACCATTGCATAATCCATTGGTTGGGCTTCGATTGCGGAGTGACATTAATGGAGTGAATGGCTTCGATGTTATTTCATGTTATGAGGCTCCATTGAATGACAAGCTGCTTAAAAACTCAGGTGAGTATTGTTCCTGTAAGATTGATGTGTTGGGGTTGCTGATGTTAGGGTGTTCGAGCTGAAGTAAGTTTTGGTTCACCTAGAACTTCATTGAGTAAATATACTGGCAAAATCCAATCTAATTGTAGCCACAACCCAAAAATAAACTGCAAAAGAAAATAAAAAACCATGACAAGAGCTAATATTACTGGTGCAAACCTTTTGTAGGGACTGAAAATTGTGCATAAATACATCATTAGTGGTCATCCAATTTCCTCCTATCTACTACCAAATTGCCCAAGCAGATCTGCCTAGGCCCAACGAACAGAGACTAAAAGCCCACTAATTGAAACCGAAGCCCACTAAATACTCTTCTAGGCTCACTAATTCTAACTTAGTTTCAGCCCAATATATACTCTTATCGGAAACAGCAATTCCTTTATACATTCACCCCAAACTGCTATTTAGGGAACAATAGCACAACTTTAGATTTATACATAATAATATTTGTATTTGTAATGCAAACCTTTTTCTCACAACATATTGTCCTCTTTGGATCTAGACCTGCATAGAGTTTGAATTGTGATGCATATTAAAGTGATTTTTCATAAGGTCATCCATCCTTTCAGTCCTCCACGTTGAGCACATTTAACTTCGGAGTTCTCACAAGAACTTCTCTATTTCACTTTTAAACGCGTCTTGTCAGTTAATTAAGAGTTATTTATTATTGTAAACACACTGGTTCTTCTAACTCTTTTATTTTCTTAAAATTCTAAAAATATTTTATTGGGTGTTCTTTTTTATGTTGGAAGTTTTCTGCTTAGTTTATAAAGTTGTACTCTGATGATTTTTCTTGGCCATGATAGATTTACTGACTTGTCCAGTCCGTAATTTTCCTCCCTTCATTTCAGAGAATTTTCAAATAAATTTGGTGTTTTGTCTTTATTCCTTCTTTTTATTTGATTTCAAAATTAGATTTGTTTCCGCTAATACTCTCTTATCCAAATTCAAGAGTCGTAAAACGACACCAATGTATCTCAATGTATTCCAGGGATACCTCAGCTATTTTGTGGCAACACCTCTTAGGTTTCGACACATGGAAACCATTGAAAAAAAAATGATGGATGTTCAGAGAAAATGCTCACAAATATATACATCTTCAACCAACAAAAACATATTTCTCTAGTGATCATTAGTGGGTGGGAAAAGGAAATAGGTTCTTTGAATTTTCATTCTGTTGGTTGAACATGATCATACAATCCCATAAATCAGAAATGGATAATTAATATCTTACAAAAGTTTATTTCCCCCTCTCGCAGCTAATCATAGACTGCTCTCGACTTCCACTTTGGCCGTTTTTAGCTACTCTACTTCATTTATTTTGTTTCCATGATTGTAGTTCCATTGTCCTCTATATATACATAATGTGTTTTGTGTACATACATTGCATAGTTCATATGGGTCCTTTAGGCTATGTACTTGGAAGACACAAGAAATGGCATTTACCTATGCACTGAATTATTTGTTAAGTGCAATGGGTATATTGGTTCCATATTTGGATCGAAGGGAGTATTGTATACCTATCCTCATTATTATGCAAGTAGTTTATTTGAATGTGATGTATTTGTATTTTGTACAAATGTTGATTGATTCAGTACATTAGTATGGACATTCTAACTCAGTACATTAGTTTAAAAATGTGCTTTTTTTTTACAAAGTAAGATGTGATTGTTTGAATCTTGATTCAATAGTTATATTTTTCTGAACTTTTTTTATCGTGAATTTGTACTTATGAGATTTCAAATATCTAATATCTCTCACAATTAGAAATTTTTTATATGTTATATTAGTGTTTTTTTCACCTACTTTATCTTTTTATTTTATTTTTTTGTTGAATTTTATCTTTTTTATATTATTTATCACACCAAATATTTTTATCATAAATTCTCCATATTTTCTTCTATTCTTTTTTTATCTTGATCAAGGGTAAGCACATATTTTTATTTAAATTTTAGAATTTAGAATATTAACCATCACAGTTATCAAATAGTGAAAATAAAAAAATTAACCATCCGAAAGATAATAATCTTTGAATTGTTAAGAATTAGAAATTTAGATTTCCAAATAACTCTATAATCAATTATGTCCTCTTTCTTTGTATTAGTTAATAAGATGTATTTAAATAAAATTCATACTTATATTATTTTTAAATAATTTTTTATCTCAAAATTCAAATTTATAGTATAGTGAATATTGTCAAATACTTCTTTCATGTAAAATTAAATACTTTAACTACTGGCAAACTATGCAGTCTCCTTATGGCTAAATCTCCTTTCTCTTATGCTTTATTTATTATTTTTCATTTGAAGTTGCCAGTAAGCTAAAGAAACATGAATTCATAATTCACGTGACACAATCATTGATATGTCTCTTTCCAATGTTCTTATAAACTAAGGTTTTTTCATGAATTACTTTAGCACCTCAGACCTCAATGATACAATAAACTACATTTCATATGTTTTCTTGTAGGCTTGGTAGTTATAGAAAATATGTGATCTTGAGTATTGACCATAGGCCATAGTTATGGTCAATTATAAACAGAAATTAATAAATAAGGCGACAGCAAGTGCACCTTTGCTTGCTCCACTAAGTACAATGCGCACAAAAAAAATGAAAGGAGATACACCGGGAGTACCACGTAGGATTTGTGACATGGTATTCACATCCAATTACATAACGCCATGTGTTTGTTTATATATTAAAGAATCAATTGGTTGATTCCCAATCCAAGAAAGAGAAAACCCTGCGGGTTCACTTTTTGAGGCCACCACCGCTTTTGGGTAATACCCGATCGAGTACGAGGCGAGGCGGGATGGGTCGACCAATTATTACATGTTATTTGAAAATATACACGCAAAACTTTACTTTTTATGATAAAACGAAGGGAAATCGCTTTATAAATGAAAAATAGTGATAATAGAATGAATAATTGAGTCTAACTAGTTGAAAAAAGTCAAAATTCGAGAATTATTAGTAGATATTATAAGAAATTGAGATTGAATGGGTAAAAAACAAGACAGGGAAGAGCGGCTCAGAAGCTAATATCCATACTCCATCCCACACTGTAGCGAATCAGATCGAGTAATATCCAACGGGGCTAGTTCAAATTGCATCCCTACTCTCCTAGTGTCGTCCCCACCTCCCGTCCCACTCTGTAGGCAATCCTGTTGTGTTTCAAGATTTAGGGTAGAAATGGCCGAAAATGTATAGAGACAGCGGTGTGCTGCCTGCTTCTTTATATATAAGCTAGTAATTAGTTTTACAGATAAACGTCATGTGTCATACTCTGACTGGCTATGTTTAAACATTAAACTGTTCTTTAACGGCTAATCCAACATTAGAATAAAACGGTGCGCAGCGCCACTAAACGAACTAGCCTATATGACTTATCCCGAAACGTTTCTCCAACAGAGGTTTCGGGTCTTCTTCTGCAGAGCAATCCTGCTGCAGCTTGGATTCCTTTCATTTCATCAACTCTGTCACCCCCCTTCAAGTTGTGGCAGGAAGGATGACTCCCAACTTGGTCAGTAGGTCTTTGAGTCGTGCACTGGTGCTTGTTCTAGCCCTTTGGTGAATATATCTACCAGTTGGTTAACTGTGCTAACATGCTCAAGCTTAATCAAACCTGACTTGTTTTTTTTCCTTATAACATGTATGTCGATCTCTATATGCTTTGTTCTTTCATGAAAAACAGGATTCTCATTGATGTATGGCTTACCTGTTATCACAGTAGACAATGGTGGGTAGTGGTACCTTCACACTTAGCTCTTCCAGCAAACCCTTCAGCCATTGGATTTCACATACAGTCATCGGCAATGCCCTGTACTCAGCCTCATAAGAGGATCTGGAAATAGTGCTTGCTTTTTGATTTTCCAGGTAAGAAGTGATCTTCCTAGAAAGGTACAATAGCCAGTTGTTGACCTTATGGTGTCTGGGCAACTTGCCCAGTCAGAATAACAAAAACCTGTTAGCTTCTATTCAACATTGCTGTCAAAGTGAATCCCCTGACGTGGTCCACTCTTCAAGTACCTTATGACTCTGTAAGCTGGTTGTTGGTGTTCTTTTGAAACTAACATAGCTGCTGAACAACAAATGCCAGGTCTGGTCTTGTGATTGTGATGTAGTGCAGTCTTCCCACTAGCCTTCTGTACTGTTCTAAATCTGCTAGTGGCTTTCCTTGTGTTGCTGAAAGCTTTACCTTGTAATCAACTGGTGTTTGACACCCTTTAGAATCCAGGTGACATGTTTCTTTCAGTAACTCTAGGCAATATTTTCTTTGACACACACTTATTCCACTTGTTGTCCTATTGATTTCCAAACCCAGGAAGTATTTCAAAGGACCCAACAACTTCATTTTGAATTCTTGACTTAGAGCCTTCTTCACATGTTCTATGTCTTTTAGAGCATCTCCCCCTACTATTATATCATCCACATAGATCATTAAGACAACAATCCTACTTCTTATCCACTTAGTGAATAAGGAATAGTCTGAGGCAGATTGGCTGGAACCATTCTTCAGGAGGAAGCTGCTCAATCTAGCAAACCATAGCCTGGATGCTTGCTTCAATCCATATAGAGATTTTTTAACCTGCAAACCATTCTTTGTGGTCCAGATGTCTCTAAATCCAACCCTGGTGGCAACTGCATATAGACTTCTTCGTTCAACTCTCCATGTAGAAAAACATTGGAGACATCCATTTGTTCCAATGTTCAATTCTTAATTGCTGCAATTGCTAGTAATGCCTTGACTGAATTGATTTTGGCAACTGGGGAAAAAGTATCTAGGAAGTCAATTCCATATGCTTGTGTAAATCCCTTTGCCACCAATCTCGATTTGAATCTTTCAAGAGAACCATTAGGCTTGAGTTTGATCTTGTAAACCCATTTATTTCCAATCACCTTCTTCCCTTTAGGTAATGGAACTATGTCCCAGGTTTGATTGGCTTCCAATGAGTCCCATTCTTCTCTCATATCATTTCTCCAGTGTTCATGCTTGATGGCTTTTTGGTAAGTAAGTGGCTCTTCCTTATGGATAATGCTTAGTGCATATTTCTTGTCAGTAGAGTTCAAATGGTCCACATTCAGTGCAATTGGATACCTACTGACAGCTGCATTCTGTCCAAATGAGCCAAAAGCACCAAAATGTAAGCTTGAATCCAATTCACAGTCATTATACTTTCCAGGTAAGTGATTGTTCCTCTTAGGCCTTGATGGTGGTTCATACTCCTGTTGAGCTTCAAGTTCTGGTTCAAACTCAATCACTTCAGTTGAGTTGTCCAGGACATCCCCTCATCAGGTGAGATTGGATCAAGAGATAAAGGAGGCTGAGGGACTGGAGTAGAAGTTCTTGGAATGACCAGATCAAGAGCAGTAGGAGAAGTAACAGGAGTAGGAGTAGGATCAGGCACAGGAGGTGGGGAAGACTGATTGTTCTCAATTCGAAAGGGTAGGATTGACTCATAGAAAACCACATCCCTTGAGATCAAAACATGATTTGTATGAATATCCAACATCTTATAACCCTTGATCCCTAGAGGAATGCCCAGCATCACACTGTCTGGACCTGAGAGAAAAATTTAGTTCTGCCAAATATGGGGGTTCCAACATAAACCAAACTACCAAATACTTTTAGATTACCAAGGAATGGTGGTTTCTTACAAAGTACTTCGTAGAGAGATAAGTTGTTAAGGACTGGAGTAGGCATTTCATTGATAAGGTAAACAAAATAAAGAATGCAGTCACTCCAATAATGCAAAGGAATACCAGATTGGAACCTTAAGGACTTGTTCGCATTCAATATGTGCTGGTGTTTTCTTTCAACTCTGGCATTTTGTTCAGGTGTATAAACACACATGACATCTGGTGTTCAATGCCTTTACTTATGAAATAATCACACATATCAAATTCTTTCCCCTGATCACTTCTAATAGTTTGCACTGAACTGACAAACTGATTTTTAACCAACACACAGAACCCCTTCAAAAAATCCCTAGCTTCATTCTTGCCATGACGCGGAAAGTATGGAAAGCAAAAAGTAAGAACTATTTCCCGAGGAGATATCAGAAGTGAGAATGCTAAGTATACCCAAACAGCTCTTGAACAATCATCAATAATCGTAAGGAAAAAACTGTAACCATCATATGACATAACAAACAGAGGTCCTCAAATGTCAACATGAACAAGATGAAAAGGTTTAACTGCATTGTGTGTACTAACAAGGGAAGGTAGTCTTTTGTGTTTAGAGAAATGACAAATATTACAATGATCAAACTTATAATGGATTATAGATGAGTCAATATGTTGTAACAAACTAAGCCTATCAGTGTTGGGATGTCCCAATCTCCAATGCCACAGGTCTACTTGTTGAGGGTTGAAATTGAAAACACTTGCAACTTGGCTTTGGTGGGAAGTAGGATGGTCATTGGTCTAGAAAGAGAAGGTAAGCTGGTAGAGGCCTTTAATTTCTTTTGCTAAACCAATCGTCCTCTTGTTTAGAAGGTTCTAAATGTGGCAAATATCAGAGTGAAAGTGTACGGAGATGGGAAAGCCATGTGTAAGTCGGCTCATTGAAATCAGATAGAATGAGAAGCTAGGAACTAGTAGGACATTGTATAGGTATATAACAAAAGGTAATTTCACAGTGCCTACATGACTCGCTAAAACCTTAGAACAATTTGGTAGATGAACAAAAACTTCTTGCACTTGCCTATGTTCAGTAAACAAGTCTAGAGAACAAGCAATATGGTCTGATGCTCCAATAACTAATATCCATAAACTATCAGGTTTAGAATTAGTATGTCCTATAGTTGATGATAATACATATTTACCTGAATAGTTTGGGAAAGGAGGCAGATACTGTGAGATAGAATAGGCTTGGTGGTGAATGGAGGGTGAGGTTGGTGGTGATGGTGAGGAAGAATGAGTGGTAGGGATTGGGTTGTTAGCACCACAATGTAGTAAGAATCTCAGCTTGTTCATCTCTTTTGGAGTGAAACTGAGAGAATAGTGACTTACCATACTACCTACATTGTGATAATTGACCTCTGAGGTAGTCTCACTTTCACTTGAATTACCTTGTGAAACTGACCCTACAAACTTTTGGGATCCAGTATGAGAGCTACCTCCTTGTTACTGGTCTTCTTGAAGAATTTGTAATATTTCTTGCCTTGACCTTTATCATCAGTGTTCTTGTTGTTGTCTGTCTGCACTGGTAGAGCTACAGTCTAAGACTTCTTCAAACCACCTGAGAGGTTTGCTTTCAGTTCTTGTTCATGTTGAAGGAGGTCATCCACTGCATTAGCAACAGTGGGCAGTGGCTTCAACATTAACAATTGCTTCTTAACTCCTTCAAACTCTGGATTCAGACCTCGAAGAAACCTGATCAGGTAGTTTGTTTCTTGCTTCAGATTATAAGCTACCACTGCACTACACGGGTTTGGATTTGCTAGAACGCAGTTACACTCCACAATTGAGCTATATTCTGTGTACTCATCCCACAAACCCTTGATTAGAGTATAGTACTGAGTGATTGACATGTTCCCTTGCTTGCGTCTATGAATTTCATCCTCTAGATTTGTCAATTTGTTAGCATTCAACTGACCAAACCTACGGTGGAGTTCATCCCATAGAGACTTCGCATTCTCATGACTCATAACAGAACTTTAAATGTCTTTCTGTAGTGAATTCACAATCAAGGTTACAATAGCGATGTTGCAACTATCCCATAGAGGAAAGCTCGGATCAGTTCTGGCAGGCATCACCATAGATCCATCAATGAAACCCAATTTGTGTTTCATTTTCAGTGTCTTCTTCAAGGATCTACTCCACATAGAGTAATTACTCACATCAAGTGACTCATACACAATGGGTTGTGCAAAACTCTCATTTGGGTTCAAGTAGAGAGGATTACCAAAGACAACGACGCCATTTTGATCTGCTCCAAATTATCCAAATTGAACTGGTGCACTGTTGGAGACGCCACTAGCATTCTGAGATCCGCCGCTGACATTTTGAGTTTCTTCGGTGGATTCAGACTGCCCGGACATCGTGTTGCGAAAGACGACCTAGATCGGCCGCTCTGATACCATGTTGCGTTTCAAGATTTAGGGTAGAAATGACCGAAAATGTACAGAGACAGCGGTGTGCTACTCTGCTTCTTTAGATATCAGCTCGTAATCAGTTTTACAAATAAACGCCATGTTTCACACTCTGACCGGCTATGTTTCAACATTAAACTGTTCTTTAACGGCTAATCCAACATTAGAATAAAATAGTGCCCAACACCACTAAACAGACTAGCCTCTATGACTTATTCCAAAACGTTTCTCCAGCATAAGTTTCGGGTCTACTTCTTCTCCAGTGTAATCCTGCTGCAACTTGGATTCCTTTTACCATCATAAACAGAGGCCTCCCGACTCCGAGATAGCAACACACGATTAAAACACACAAAAAGAGAGGAGGAAAGAAAAAGCAGCAGCAGCAGAAGAAGAAGAACAAAGTTCCCCTGCCACTCCACTCTCCTAATAACTCCAAGCTTTCAGCTTTTTCTTTTCTACTTCCCGCTTCTCCACTTCGGCAGTGAAATGCGGGCAAAGATGGTGGAGTTCGGCCCCCTTTTCACATTTAAAATCCTGGCTTCCATCCTCTGTTTGTTTCCTCTCTGGCTCTTTCTTAGTTGCTAATCAAAATTCTAAATTGCTCTGTAAATGTGAAAAAAGAAATGCATTTAAAAAATTGCCCTTTTTAATTATTGGGATATAAATTCCCCTCCAATCTCTCTCATTTCCACTGATACCCAGTTACCCAGTTCGCCTCAAATCTCTCTCTCCCTCTTCTCTCGGTGTCTGTCCATTTCCATGGTTAACGGTCACTACTCTCTTTCTCTCTATTGCACTGCACAGGACATTTAATACTCTACATTCTCTCTACCTTGCTCTGTTTCTCTCAGTGCCAAATAAGATCTCTTTTTGAGTCGAAATCCCAATTAGAAAGACTTCACTTTTTCGGTCCCCCATCTTCAATTCCAGGTCCCGTAAGAATCACTGCATCTGCTGCGTATTTGGGCTGGTGGGCTCCTCTATGTAGCTTGTTCCTGTTAATGGGGGTTGTTCTGATCTGATCTGTTCTTTTATTGTCTGTAGAAGAGGGCGATAGGACAGCGTAAGAAGGAGAAGGATGTTAAAGTGTATAGCGTGTACCAAGCAGCTTAACGGCGGCGGCGACAATGGATCTCTACCACAGAGAAGGGAAAGGGATGCAAATGGTCTCGACGACGATTATGCTACGGAGACGCCCAGGACGAGGCAGGCCATTAAGAATCTCACCGCTCAGGTACGGTATCTTTGCTTTTTCTTAGTGGGAAATCTATGCTTGCTTGGTTACTGATAGAATGCCTCAGAGAGAGAAATGAAAAAAAAAAGGTGGAAGGAAGGGATCAATCAATCTCTGCGCTTTTTGTCTTCTTGCAGCTGAAATTGTCATCCTCTTTTGGCCTTTTTTGTTCTCATTTGTACATTTGAATTTGATACCCAACAATGAAATTGGGGAATTTTACTGTGTGTGATTCTGTTTTACATTGGCAGAATATTGGTTTACACCTTCGGTAATGCTTGGCTGGTTCATCTCGCAGATCCCCTTCAGATTCAGTTGTATGAAAGAATTACTTAGTACCGGCTTTCCGTCTCATTGCAGATAAAAGACATGGCGGTAAAGGCATCAGGAGCTTATAAAAACTGCAAGCCATGTTCAGGTTCATCAAACAATAAGCAGCAGAATGGGAACTATGCTGACTCTGATGCTGCCTCAGATTCAGCTAGGTTCCACGGTTCATACCGTAGGGCGGCGGCTGCTGCAGGTAGTTCCAATTCTACGCCAAGGATTTGGGGGAAAGAGATGGAGGCAAGGCTGAAAGGGATGTCGAGTGGTGAAGGAACTCCAGCGTCAGGGAGTGGGAGGACGGAATCCGTTGTGTTCACGGAGGAAGATGAGCCTAAAGAATGGGTTGCACAAGTGGAGCCTGGTGTGCTCATCACATTCCTTTCGTTGCCTGAAGGTGGGAATGATCTCAAGAGAATTCGATTCAGGTACTTGCTACTAGTTTCATGTAAATTTCTTGTTTGCTTGCTTTTGGTGGCATGATTGTGAGCTTTCTGATTTATTCTCCAGTCTTGTGTGGTCACTTGTCTTCTGGACTGCAAGTGGTTACTCTTTCTGAGATTGTCCTTTTTCACCTCTCTCTCTCTCTCACTCTCAAAATTCTCATTTTATTGAGTTGGGTTTTGCTCATGGTATATGGAATTGATCATTGTGGAAAGAACAGATTGCCATGATCCGTTGTCATTAGTTTGTTCTAAAGGCTGAACTGCAACTTCATTTTATATGCATAACCCCTTTACTTTTTTAATTTGTAATATGATATGATGATCGCATTCTCCCCTAAATATGGTGAGCACAACCTTTACTTTAGGCCTTCCACCAACGTGGCTTTACAGCTTTTCTGAAATCGCAACAGTGAAAAGAAGAGTCCTTTTTTCATCATATGATTACCATCTGATTGGAGCTTACCAGCTAAACTGTTTGATTAGATTGGGGCCACTTCCTTTTTACCCCACCCAATTTCTGTATACGGCTTAGGAATTTTGATGTCGTGCAAAAGGAGAGATTGTTTGTCATATTTCTGGTGGCAGTAAAAAGTAAGGCCACCCATCAAGGAAATGGCATGGGGTAGATGGAATTGTTTGGTGTGTTCAATGGGATTGAGGTACCACTGCCCTTTTTTGTTTCCTGCCAGTACTTTTGCAGTTTGAATGTTTCATTTTCAGCTGAAAACTGGCCATTCAGAGTTCTTTTGGTTTGTCCTTTATCGTTAGCCTCAAGGTTTGCCCAACCTGGACTTGTGCTTGTGTGTGACAAAAGCTTGAACGGTTTGTTCTTTGTCATCTTGATCTGGAACTACTCCTTTGTCTATTTAATATGAATGAACATTCCATTGAAGAGGTCTGGTCGGCTAATTGGAAGAGCTGGTCAATAACATGGCATAAATGAAGATTAGTATTCAAGAGTCGGCTCCTGAGGGAACCATATGAACACGCTGGATAAAGGACAATGTAAATCAATGGATTGTAAACTTTGAATCTCCATTCAGGCTCAGTATATTCAGTTTTCTGGTCTTCCTTATAGTTTCATTTACTAGCTAGCCATGATTCTACATGAGTTCATGCATATTTGCCTTGTAGTTACTTCTTCAATGTTCTATGGGCAGATGGTGGACATATGTGGCATGATCCCCTTCACCATCTAGATGATTTGAATCCTACCTAATCAGTGTATCTTGATTTTGTGAACAGCCGTGAAATGTTCAACAAATCGCAAGCTCAAAGATGGTGGGCAGAGAACTACGAGAAGTTGATGGGACTATACAACGTTCAACGGTTCGATCAGGAAGCCGTCCCACTTCCAACTCCATCAAGACCAGAGGACGAGGTGAGTATGCTATCAATTGGCTTAAACTTTGAACTCTAATGTCTGCAAATGCTAAGCTTCATTCAAGTTATAAAACATTTAATTTCATTCTAACCTATTGAACCAATGTTTGCCAGAACCCAAATCCTAAATCTGCAAAAGAAAGCCCCATGACTCCACCACTAGGCAAAGAACGAGCCCCCAGCAAGTCACATCGTCCAAAGGGGACGAGCTACATTTCGTCAGTAGACTCAATCAAGCACCATCGACAAATGCAATCCCACCAGTACTATGATACCCCAGCTGGTTTTGCTTCAACACCAAAGCTGTCTGGGACGACAGCAGAAGCATCATCCATCGATGGCTGCTCTGCCAGGACGAGTTCATCAAGAGAGGTCGAAGAGCATTCAGGCGAGCTCTCCCCGAGCAATGCAAGTGAAAGTGGATCTGAATGGGTTGAACAGGATGGACCAGGAGTGTACATTACTATCAGAGCACTACCTGGTGGCAATCGAGAACTTAGGCGCATCAGGTTCAGGTTAGTTGTTTCTCACTTCCTTCCAACAAGTCTTGGGTCAATATTTACACAATCGGTCATCAATTTGTAAGTGTTTCTTATTAGCGGAAATCACCCTAATCCCTCCCTTCCCTATGCGGTAGCTAATCAAAGGGAATCATATTATTATTGATTTGGTGTTGACACACTTATATGGACAACTTGGATCGAACTCCATAAGTTTAGTGATGATTATTTTCGATTCCGACTGTGTATGATGAATAATCTCCATGATCGTGGCTGACATATTACGAAATTTTCTTCCATGATGTTTTTCTGCAGTCGAGAAATGTTTGGAGAAATGCAAGCAAGAGTGTGGTGGGAAGAGAACAAAGCCAGGATACAAGAACAGTACTTGTGACACTCGTTGGACACAGATCTAACAACATTCACAGTTGATGACAAACAATACATTAACCTCAAAAGTGTAAAATCTTTTCCCGAGAATATAATCAGAAGTGAGAATGCCGAGAGCAAAGTGTTCTGTTATCCTGTTCAGAACCATCCTTTGCATTGCTTGCAGACCTCAGAATCGCATGATAAATATTGGAGTCTGGCTCTGTTTAGCGTGTAGAAGAGCCAATTCCTTCAGGAAATGCTGTGTTTGCTGTTTCTTTTCCTTCCATTTGCCCTATGGAGTGTCCATTAAAATGTGTTGATGGGTTAAGAGTGACCATTTAGCGGATGTAGTTGTGTTCATAACCTCAGGCTTCATAAGTTTCAGACTAATATGTTTTCTCCTTTTTGTTTCTTGGATGTAAAGTAACAAGACTGGTTGCTGTTGCTTTATAGAGCAGATTTGGTAGGCTAAGAAAGAGGTTGGCACGTTAAAAGGGAGAAGATGGCTTTCCTTAACAAGTAGAGGTTGGCAACTTGGCAATTGGCATTAGAAAACAAAGACTACTTATCTAAAAAATAAAATGGTTTAGAAAAGTAGAAATAGCGGGGAAAATGGTAATCTGTTTGACAAAATTAGACTTAGAATGAGATAAGGGATAAGAAGATTATCTTAGCATGCATTGTCAACGTATTGAGTGATATCGTCTCAATACAAGATCGTTAAAAATCAAGGTAGGTCGATTGAGTCAAAGATAGCATCATTAGCAATAGACACCTTGGTGATTAAGAATGCTTGTATCTTTCTTATTCTCGAGACATCTCTACAGTACATGATTTATAAATGCATTTGAATTGGAAATTTTTGGATTGTGCCATACCTAATCAAAATGAACTAGCTCAAATTGCATAAGTAGGTAGAGTCTAAGTTGATATCTCTATGAGTAACAACTTAGTCATCAAATATATCTTATAACTTTTTTTTTTGGTAAAAAATGGGACGCTAAAAGGGCGTCCCTGCCTGGCACTAGATTAAACGAGATTGGGCAATGCCCAAGGAATCATACAAAGTCCAGAAACGAAGACCTGGATCGAGGGAATCTACTAAATGAAAACCTATGCTAACAGTCTGCCCTTTATTGGCTAAAAAATCGGCCGACTTATTACATTCTCTGAAGGTGTGAGAAGTGACAACTTCCCAGTTTTGCTGAAGCAGCTTTTGTATCTCTCGGGCCAAGATATGGTACCTGTGGGTCGCCGAGTCTGTTGAGTTGATGATGTTGAGCGCAGTTCTCGAGTCGAGCCTAAGTTGAACCCGTCGATGGCCCTGATCCCAAGCGAGCTTTAGACCTTGCGCAGCTCCCATAAGCTCAGCTCTAGTGATCGTGCACGAACCCAGATTGGACGAAAAGGCTCCCAAGCATCGCCCTAGATGATCACGAATAATACCTCCAGCTGCCGCTTGAGAGTTGGGTTGTTTAACCGAGCCATCGGTGTTAACTGCCACCCAGCCTGGGGGTGGAGGTTGCCACGCAAGATCCACGGCCGACTTGTTAGTGTGATTGTCGAGAGCTTTGCCGTTGCTCTCCAAGGCAGCAGAGATGGTTTGAGTCCAGCAACTGATCCTTTCTGCAAGAGTAGACGCCTCCTGCCACTTGTGTTGGAATATCTTCTCGTTACGACGTTTCCAGAGGTACCAAGCCGCCACTCCAAATAGCAGACCGGTGTCTGGATTCCTGAGCTGCTTTGCCATCCACTCTGCAAAATTCAAACCCACAGTAAGGCTATTATCACGAAAGCCTAGCTTAAGCCAAACCCTGGGTAGAAGATGGGCAGTGGCGGATGATGTGTTCTGTGGTCTCAGGCTCCGAGTTGCAAAGCACGCAGGTATCTCCATCGCTGATCTTTCTTCTTTTCCTCTCGCTATTAGTCATTAGGCGGTTGTGCAAAGCTAACCACAGGAAGTGGAATATATCTTATAACTTGGTGACTCCCAGGTTGGCATTCCATCAAACGTCTTCAGACACACCAATACCGATTGAATAGTTAAAAAGACAAGTTGAATAAGTACTTGCAAAGAATACATTAAACTTGAACACTGATCTCTTACAACATAACTACATAAGTAGCTTATTAGTAGATAGGTTAAACACAAGTACTTTGTATAACTAGCTGGTATGTGAATTTAAACTTTCAGAAAGAAAATACTTACAAAGTCACAACTTAATGAGCATGATTGATGCAATAATCACGTTGAAATGATACTTCGATATTATTAAGTTAAAAATTAAAATTTATCGATATTCCGCTGCTAGGAAGATTCTTCAAAAGACCGTTAATAAAACGATAACAAAAATTAGATGACAATCAAAAAGGATAAACGAGGGCTAAATCCGTCATTTTCGTAAAAGGCCCAAATTCAGAGCGAGAGTGATTGGTTTCCAGTGTCAGTGTGCGGGAGGGCAAAACGTTTTCAAAACCCTCGCTTGCTAGCTTCTCCCAAACTCCCACTCTTCCTCTTCTCCCCCCTCTTCTTCTTCTTCTTCTTCTTCTTCCCAACCGCAAAGCCGTTCCCTTTTTCTTCTCCCACCATCTATAACCCTAAGTTCCAACCAATCCCTTCTACTCCTTTTGACAACTGAACCCCCGTCCTCGTACAATCGAACTCACCTTTCCCTCCTCCCTGTTTCGGCGCTTTTTCGCGGGGCGGGGCTTCGGTTCCTGTTCCTCGGATTACTGGGTCGGTGGTGGCTTTCTTCGTTTCAGTTGTTTCTGAGAGATGGTGGGTTCTACTGCCGTTGCTGCATCTTCCAGTAGTTTGACTCAGCCGCAACCGCAACCGCTGCCGGCGGCGCAGATTATGTCCGCTAGAGTGAGGAAAACGATACAGTCGATTAAAGAGATTGTGGGGAATTTCTCTGATGCTGACATCTATATGGCGCTCAAGGAGTCCAATATGGACCCTAATGAAACTGCACAAAAGTTGCTTAATCAAGGTTTTGCACCTTTTCCCTCCCCTTTTTTGCTGGCTTGCGCTGACTTTGTGTTTTGGGCTGAGGGAACTTTTGTTGGAGTAGAAACATGAGGGCTTTTGTGAAGGTTTTACGTTTGTTTGAAGTATAGATGGACAACTCGATACCTTTTGCGATATATGTTAATGTTGGGCGATTAAAGTTCAAGCCTTTGGATTTTACTAGCTAGACTATCACCGCTTAACCTGTGTAGGAAGATACGAGTGTTTCTGTTGGAACTCGGTGTTATTGACTCGTCTAAGCTGCATATGCTGCTACTTGGCATGTAGATGTTAGTTTCGTGCTCTAGTGATCATCATCGAATATGAAATTCGCACTTGGCAGTCCACTTTTGTCATTGTAAGATCTCATTTTGCTCTAGGCAACTGCTATAGGTGTTGACAAGGAAATCATGGAATGTGGATTGGCTTTCCGTTCTCTTCCACGCTATATTTTGTATATATGTCAATCATTTGGAAAACACTGGTGCAATATTGTGTTTCCTTTTGGTGGCTGAAAGAAAGAAGTTTTTCTAATACTTTAGCTAAACATTGCACTTTGTTGGTGCTTAGTGTTTAGAGCATTTCAGTGTCAATTTGCCTGCAATTTTGTTCTATAGCTTATTGATGTAATGTAGGATACTTGCAATGCCTAAAGTCACAACACAGAATTAAGAATTTAGTATTGTCTTAAAGCATTAGACTTTATTGTTTGCTCATCTTCTATGAACTCGGTATTTCCCTTGATGGTCTGTGGTTGCTTCTGTTGGGCTGACTAGTGGTTGGCCTAGCAACGTTCCTGATCGATGGATCATTTTAAGTTCTTGACTCCGCTCCCTGTTTGGTCTACTAGTTATACTTGTGTTACGGATGTTGAAGCATAATATCTTATTCAACTGTGCTTGATTTGTCTTCTATCAGACCCCTTCCATGAGGTGAGGAGAAGAAAAGACAGGAAGAAGGAGGTACGCTGCTCTCTATATTTTGTTTCCCCTTCATGTTTGTTCTTGTCCTATCTAATGTGCACTCATGGGTTTATATGCTTATGTCCTCAGAGTATGGGTTACAGGGATTCAGAACAGTTCAGAAGAGGTTCTGAGAATTTTATTCAAGGAGTTAGGACATTTAATGACCGCAATGGCAGACGAGGAGGCTACACCCGTCATGCTGTCCCTAGTAATAGTGGACCGAGTAGAGAGTTTCGTGTTGTGAGGGACAATAGAGTCAATGGAAATACAAATAGAGAACTGAAGTCTAATATTTCTGAAAGTTCATCGTCCAATGAGCATGCTGTGAAGGGGTATGTCTGCTCATATCTTTCCTTCTTAGTTCAGAGTCAGAAACCTCTTGACTGCATTATTACTGAATAACTAGTTGAGGGATTGATGATGCAAACATGAGGGGATGAATATTGTTGCTCTATGTTCATATTATGCAATTATATGCGACTATTCTACAACTGAGTCGATTCTAACATGTGTGCTGTATCCCCCAGTTCAACTGTAAATTCAAGCTCTCTGAAAGCGTCTGCTGAACTCGGTCCATCTCAGGCTACTAATGGGCATACTGTTTCTCATGGTGTTAGACACAATAGAGATGCTAACTCGAGCGGAACTGAAAGGAGAACTAATTTGGATGAGAAAAGGGCAGTGACACCCGGTGCAGCTTCACGATTACAGGGAGGAAGACCTAACAGTTCTCAAAACCAGTCTGCCACTGTTGTTGGGGTATATTCTTCTGCAACAGATCCTGTCCATGTTCCTTCGCCGGATGCCAGACCATCGGCTGCCGTTGGAGCTATTAAACGTGAAGTTGGTGTGGTGGGAGGTCGCCGACAAACTTCTGGAAGTCCAATGAAAGATCCATCTGCAACTAGTAGTTCATTGCCGAGTTCTGCATTGGCCAAGGATAGCCCTTTGTCAGAGCCATTCCAACCCTTTCTTGCGATCTCTAAGAATGACCAAGTTAGTCATCAAGCTAATGCAAGTGAAGCTGTTGTGTCTGGTGTTACTGTTAGCAGATCATTCTTAGGTGGTCAGTATAGCAGTAGACCTCATCAACAAAGTGCAGGTCATCAAAAGGGTAAAAAGCTGCTTGGTTATGCTTGTGCAGCAACTAAATTTGTTTGCTGGTCTACCATTTGACTGAGAAGGTGTTTTTTGTGACCTTTATGTGCAGCTTCTCAGCATAATAAAGAGTGGAAACCAAAAACAACTCAGAAGGTTAGTGTCAATGGGCCTGGAGTCATCGGGACACCCACAAAATCAAGTTCTCCTGTTGCTGATAATTCTAAGGGATTGAAAAATGATGCTGGTGATTTGCCTCATAAGCTTTCTCGGGTGAACATCAATGAAAACCAGAATGTGATCATTGCACAGCACATTCGGGTGCCTGAAACTGACCGTTGCAGGCTTACCTTTGGAAGTTTTGGGGTTGAGCTTGATTCCGCCAGGAATTTCAGTTCTGGATTTTCAACAGTTGGGGTCACAGAAGAAAATAAAATGCAATCTACTACTAGGTATGTCTTTTAGTCCTTGTTCGTTTTTGGTGATTGTGCATATCTACACAGTCCACTTGTTTGCTGTAGAATGCACATAAATAATTGTCAGCTGAACTCATTTTTTTATGGATACAGAAAATGATTTGGACTGAAAGCTTTCTTTAAGCAAATAAATACTTGGATACCCAAGTGAAAAGCTGGTGTTTTTTTTAATCAAAAGAGTTCGGTAATTCTATGGACCACAAAAAGGGGCTCCTTAGTTGCAACGCCTTGGTTGTGTTAAATGGCATGCTCGAAGCTTGGGATCTTCTTATTGGATTACTAAGCATTGTCAATTAGAGTAAGTACCTTGCCGTGTTGTTGGAAACTTGTGAAGTTAATGACAGAATTTTGATGCTGATGACAGTTTGACTGCATCTGTTGCGGAGTCTACGGGTGATGATGCTTCTGGTACCAAGCACGATGAAGTATCAGCTGAGAAATTGAGACACTCTGGCTCTGTTTCTCCAGCTTCAGGCGGAGCATCTGAGCCACAGTTGCCTGATAAATCTCCAAGTCCTCCAAACTTGGATAATTATGCTGATATCAGTTTGGTTCAAGAAACCAGTCCGTCGTATGATCACGCCGAGTCACACCATCAGCATCAAGATCCTCCTGAATTACAGAGCTTTCAAGTGAGTTCCTTATTCCAGCTTTTACTTCCCCTTTCGTGTTCTCGATTAGGGAGGCAATTCTCAATCTGCATTTTATTTTTAAGCAGGGGTATGATCCACAGACTAGTTATGATATGTCGTACTTTAGACCTTCGTACGATGAAACTGCAAGAGGACATCATGGTGTGCCTTCTCCCCAGGAGGTAAAAACTCATGCAGCTTTCACAAATGGTTAATTTGGGCTTCACTGATGCTTGCAATTTTGTTGATTTTTTTATCTGGATCTTAAAATCTTACAATTTTAGGATTCTTGATAGAGGGGCAAACATTGTTGGATCTTACCCATGAAATCCTACTATTTTATATGAACCACCCTTTAGAAGTTAGTAAAATCTCGTTTCTGACAACCATGGATCTTTGCATGATATTTATGTATTGATTGTAGTCCCTAGCTTCACACTCAGCCCACAGCATTCCATCGTCTACAATACCAATGTTACAGCAGCAGCACCACCATCAACCAATCACTGCTCAGATGTACCCACAAGTGCACATGCCCCACTTTGCCAACATGATGCCGTTCCGCCAGTTTGTTTCCCCACTTTACCTACCACAGATGGCCATGCCTGGCTACTCAACCAACGCTGCTGCATATGCACATCCATCGAACGCCAGCAGTTATTTGCTGATGCCTGGAGGTGGATCCCACCTCAATGCCAATGGGTTAAAGTATAGTGTACAACAGTTCAAGACAGTTCCTGGTAGCAGTCCTTCTGGTTTTGGAAATTTCACTAGCCCAACTGGATACGCGATGAATGCTCCTGGTGTGGTTGGGAATGGAACAGGACTTGAAGACCCTTCTCGGATTAAGTATAAGGATGGAAGCCTCTATGTCACTAATCCACAGGTAATGTGTGAACTTTGCTTACAGAAGTCATCTACGAAATGCATTGATCTAGAGAACTTAAGAACTTCAACTGTTTTATCTGTGTTGCTTGCATTCCTACAGTCGTTGCTTCATCTACGAAATGCATTGATCTAGAGAACTTAAGAGCTTCAACTGTTTTATTTATTTCTCCCGTGTGACTCTGATCACTGTGTTGCTTGCATTCTTAACGGTCGTTGCTTTGTCCTTAAGAATTTGTTGAGAACCTTAGGGTTGTTGCATTAGATTAGTGCTAGTAGAATGTGCGTTAGCCATTAGCAATGTGATTTGCTTGTTAGTGCTGTAGGTTTAGGATGCTGAGCTTTGTGTTATACTTTTGCTATTTTTTGTCAATCTTTTGTATCGTTTTGGTTAGTTACTCCAAATACTGTGTTTTGTTTACCAAAACCACAATGCTGGGTTCTGGTTTCACAATGAATTTGCTGTTTTTTAGTCTACCGGAACTAGTCTCACCCTCTAACTATATGAAGTTTCGTGTTTTTTTACCTGATGTTTTATTTCCGTTGTGTGGCAGGCCGAGGCATCTGAGATGTGGATTCAGAACCCGAGGGAGCTCCCTGGCATGCAATCTGCTGCTCAATACTACAACATGACAGGACAAACGCCCCATGCTGCTGCTTATCTGCCGGCTCACGCTGGTCATTCATCATTCAATGCTGCGGCACAATCTTCACACATGCAGTTTCCGTTGTACCCTTCAGCACAACCAGCTGGGATGGCCAACCCGCACCATATGGGTCCTCCAGTAATGGGCGGTGGCGTTGGAGTTGGTGTGGCGCAAGCTGCACCTGGTGGTCAAGTAGGTGCTTACCAGCAGCAGCCTCAACTGGGCCATCTCAACTGGACCACAAACTTCTGAAAGTAAAAAAGGTTTACAATGTTCTGTTCGATCTAACCCCACCTTTTTATGGGATTTTAGTATCTAATAGAAAGAGTCAAGTTTCAATTGTGAAATGAGAAGAAAGAACGTCTCTTGAAATGCCATGTCCAAAGTTCCAATTTTTTCTTAATGCTCAACATCTCGAGTCTTGCTCAATGCCCCATTATGTTGTCATTTTGCCATGCATTTCTCTCTCTCGTCTCCATAGTCCCCCAAATCCGATGCTTCATTAGTTTTTCTTTTTCGTGGTTGTAAGAGAGAGCACTTTGTGGCTTCTGCATATGAATGCAAACTGTTGAGAACTGTTCATCCGTTAAAGTACAGGGAATATATGATCACTTCAACAGCCAGCACTTTATCACCTACAATTTTCTGGAAAAAATCCCTAAGTTACACATGTTTTTAAAAAAAATTCCCAAAATACACAGGTTATGAAAATAATTCCCAATCTACGCATGTTCGGGTATTCACCGCGGCAGACAAGGGCGGTGATTGCATCACCGCGGCAGAGTAAGGCGGTGATTGCATCACCGCTGTCGACGAAGGCAATGAATGCTTCACCGCAGTACACAACCGCGGTGAAGGCCTGACTTGCGTCGAAACTTTAAACAAACGTAACTTTGTGCTCGATTATCCAATCGTAGCGAATTTTTTTTTGATTCCGCATAATTTTTCGAGATCTTGCAAGCCGCAAACAGCCGCAGGCGGTTTGGTCCCGCCTTCGTCTCGAAAAAATGTCGTTTGCTACCCCGAACGAACCTTTTTTCGATTTCGTCAAACTTTGAACGACCATAACTTTGTCCTCCACAATCCAAAAATCATGAATTTTTTTTGATTTCGCATAACTTTTTAAGGACTACAATTTTTAGTAGGAGAGAATTTCCAAAAAATGAATTATTTATGGATATAAGGGGTTTTGGGAATAACTTTACCTTCCCTTTTCAGGAATCCAAGTACATTCCGAAATTATGTCTATGATAAAAGTTGCAGTCCTTAAAAATTTATGTGAAATCAAAAAACAATTCATGATTTTTGGATTGTGGAGCACAAAGTTATGGTCGTTTAAAGTTTGACGAAATCGAAAAAAGGCTCGTTCGGGGTAGCAAACGACATTTTTTCGAGACGAAGGCGGCTACGGCGGTTTGCGGCTTGCAAGATCTCGAACAATTATGCGGAATCAAAAAAAATTTCGCTACGATCGGATAACCGAGCACAAAGTTATGTTTTTTTAAAGTTTTGACGCAAGTCAGGCCTTCACCGCCTTCCTCTACAGCGGTGATGCAATCATCGCCCTTCTTTCACGCGGTGATGTAATCACCGCCTTGCACTGACGCGATGAAGCAATCACCGCCTTCCTCTGCCGCGGTGAAGCAATCACCGCCCTTCTCTGACGCGGTGAAGGCCCAAACATGCGTAGATTGGGAATTATTTTCATAACGTGTGTATTTTGGAAATTTTTTTTAAAAACATGTGTAACTTGGGATTTTTTCCCAATTTTCTGTTTGTGCATGTTCAAAGGGTTGTTTAGATAAGAAATTTAACAATGAGGGATTTGAAACCCAAATTTCTCATTAAACTCGGAAAATTTTGAGCGCGAGATTTAGTCCAATTGTGTTTGGGAATGGATGAGGGATTTAGCTCAATTTAGCCTTTACCCCCCTCTTCTTTTTACTTGTACCAAAGACCAGGTTCCATTCTCTTCCAGCACCATCCAATGTAACGCATGGATTCATGAAAGTATGTGGGTTCTGGAATACGCGAGATAGCGGAGATATAAGCACGATGATTCAGAGTGAAAGAAATATAAGTAACATGCTTGGCAATGGGATGTGGAATGTTGGATGGAGGTAGAATGGTATCATAAACAACTAAATGTTTAGGTACAGGAGAAGCCGGTTGATCAACAACAGCCTCCTCCGAAGCAGTAGTGGAAGCAGGCATACCATACCAGTCTCAACAATGGTAACAGTTGGTTCGCGGTATATCCCATGAATACTGATCTTCTACCTCGTTCAACGCAATTTGACAGGCCTTCGCGAGTGTCCTTTCCATAAGCTAGATAACCGAAAACTCGAAGATGAGAGTATTGTGGTGTCTTCCCAAGCAGAACTTCATAGGGAGTTTGATTGCCTATGGACTTGGAGGGTTGATGAGGTAGGTTGTTGTGAGAGTAGATTCACCCAAAAACCTCAATGAAAGATTAGCACGAAAAAGAAGTGTGCAAGCATTCTCCATAAGATGTATGTGCTTACGCTTAACCACGCTATCCTTTGCGGCGTATCAGTACAGGATGTCTTCAAAACAATCCCACGAACCACATAGATCGTGCGTAAACTCTTCGCCTGAAATTGCATGTTGTTATCGGCTTGAATTCTCATCACCTCCCCGTTCAAATTGTGTCCGCCGCATATTAATGAACATCTCAAGGTAGTGCTCAACTTCAAATTTATATCTTAACAAATAAATCCAAGTAACATGACTGAAATCGTCTACAATTGTGAGAAAATAATGTGCTTCACTATGTGTCGGAACCTTAAAATTTCCCCAAATATTCACATCAATTTAGTTAGAAGCTAGCTGTATTAGGCTTCTACTTAAAGAAATATAGTTATTATTCTTCAAAAGCCCAAACTGTAATATACATATGGAACCCCATATCCATGGAATGTGGTGGTGGGGTGGTGTTTGCTATTATACCCTTAATGAATTATGTTATCATGGACTCGTGGTGGGTGTTAGCACCCTATTTGATCCCTTAGCCAAAATAAGACTTGTTTAATGGAATTAGATTTATGAATAATTTTTGGCGGGGTGAGGGGAAGCTTGTGTGTGAGTGTTTGCTATCATACCCTTAGTGAATTAAGTTATCATGGACTCATGGTGGGTGTTAGCACCCTATCTGATCCCTTAGCCAAAATAAGAGTTGTTTAATGGAATTACTGTCTTACATATTCTATAATTTGGGAAGAAAACAATGGAATTACCGTCTTACATATTCTATAATTTGGGAAGGAAAAATCATGAAGCAAATGCCAAAAATTATTCATAAATCTAATCTTGATCCCTAACAAAATTGGTGCCAACCATTCTTCCTCTTTTCTAGGTATGTTACAAACCAACTGATCTAAATAACTCGACTTGCTGGGAGATTGCTATGTATAGATCTTAATCGCTTTCTTTCACCACCCTCAAACCCATTAGTTTGAAGTTTGAAAAGGCCCAAACAATGTGCTTAAAGAAACCGGTTAATATTGGTCGTTGTGAGAACTTGAACACATGACTTCAAAGACAAACAAGCTATGATAAAATGTCATGAACCAGTTGGTAGCTCGAGTTGTTGGAAGAGGTCCATGTATGATTCTTAATTATTCCATTACACACCCACTTAAACGAAAACAAACTCACGAGGTTGAAGTTTGCACAGGCTCCCATACCATGGGTTTTAAGACAACGATTAGTATTGAGAATCATCAGGACTGGAACACCCGACCTCAAAGACAAACCAACTCTTATACAATGTATAAACCAAGGTTGTCAAACCATGGGTTGCCCCGGACCCGCCTATAAAAACGGGTTACAACCACCCATTTGTGTGTCAGCCCGGATTTTGTCAAACCCGATGAAACCAAGTCAAACCCGGTGAAACCCAAGCGGTTGGCCCATTGGAGCGGGTCAACAGGCTTCTCCTCGTGGGGCGCCGTTTCTCGTTATGCCTCTGGGTGCGGCGTCGTTCTCTTGGCTGAGATGTCACCTGGAGATCGCAGCAACAAGCAGAGCACGGGAAATCGAAACCCTAAATCAATTTTGGCCTCTGGAAATGAATTGGCGACCTCTGTTTCTTGTACCACCATGGTGCTCGCGCGGCTGGCGGGTGGTCGACGTCGTCATGATGGCCAAAGAGTGGCAGATACGAAGGAATGGTAGACGTGAAGGTCGCCGTGGAGATAAGGAGGCCGGTGGACTTGAAAGAGATGAAAGGTGATGGTGAGTTTCATCTTTCGTGGCGGTGCCGGTGGAGGTTTGGGAGAGAGTTTGTGAATTGGGCGGTGGGTTAGAAAGAGATGAGAATGCTAGGGCGGTGGCGAGGAGGATTGAACGGTTCCCACCAGCAAGGGTTTCCAATTAATTGCAAACATTTGGGGGTGGTTTTGTCCGTTTATGCAAAATCATATTGAAAGAATTATTATTAGCTTTCTGATTATGCTTTGATTTTTCGCTTCTCATCATTTTAAGTGTTGTTAAATTTTTATTATGTTGGATTTAAGTTTATGTTATATGAGGAATTTAAGTGTATTGAATTTTAACGGGTCTTAAATTTTTACTATGTTGGATTTAGGACAAGTACAATATAGTGACCGTTTCTATATATTTGGGCTAAACCGGGCTAAAACGGTGACCCATTAACCCATGACCCACTAGCTCGACCGGGTCCGGGTCGACCCGCGGGTTGACAACCTTCGTATAAACCAACTCTTATGAAGGCTCCCATACCATGTGTTTTGGGAGTTGTCAAGACTTGAACACCTGACCTCAAGGACAAACCAACTCTTATATAATGCCATAAACCAACTGGTCTCAACATATAAAGTTGGGAGATGTCTATGTATGGATCTTAACCACTTTCTTACATAATCTCTCAAACGAAAGCCAACTCATGTGCTTGAAATTTGCACGGGGAGCTCACACATTAGTTATGGAACACATGGCGGGGCGGGTACCTAAATTCACATACTCACCCCACAATAAGCATAGGTCATGACGGGTAAAACCCGCTCAGGCATCGCTCTGGGGTCAGGGGATTGATCCATTCTTATATGAAAAAATGTCGATATTTAACTCTTTTACAAGAAATAATAGTAAAAACACTTTATAAATGAATGATAAATATAGCATAAGAAATATTTGAATCTAAATAGTTGAAATATAGTCTTAAAATTTCTTTGGGATGAAAATATGATTTTAGAAATGTCAAACAGGAGAAATACATGCTAATTATCATAAATGGTAACAAACCTATTCACTTTGTACAAAATGGTCATAATCCTTTAATTTTGCACGTTTTGGTAATACACGTTTGACCAAGTAACAAAACGGTCATTCCGTCACTCTCCATCTAAAATTCTGTTAGTTTAAATCTAGTCAGCTCTCCACGTCATCAAAATTATTGATAAAAAATTAAATTAAACCAAACCTAAAGTAACCGAACGATCGATATATCCCAACCGGCCAAGCCTTCCCTGGCCCTTTTGTAGTATCCCTCTCCTCTCTCTCGCCGCAGAGGAGGAATCGACAGCAGAGGCACCTGTGGATTGGGAGCATGTAATCGGCAGTAAAGTCTCTTTCTTGGCAACTTTGTTTTGCAATGATAGGGCTGACTCTTCAGATTCTTACTGTTTCCAACTTCCAATTCCACATCTCTTTCTTTTTGGAGCATGTCGAATTTATAGTGGATGGGGGGAGCCATAGACTAAGTTTGGGGGTTTGTTTTAGCAGGTGGAGGAATAGAGATTTGTCGTGGAGGAAAGGGAGTGTGACCTTTCTTCAAGACCCAGACATTACCGTCGACGACTGGCCGACTTGGAAACAGCCTTCTTCCGGTTGCCCGCTTCTCTCGCTAGCAACCTTCGGTGTAGCCGGCGTAGTTTCCGACCTAGTCACGGAATCCATTGATTTCTCACGAGCAGCGAAAAGAAAGAACACCCCAAAACTTGAAAAGAGTGAGAATTTTCGGACAAGGATTGTTGTGCTGTGGTGGCGGAGAAGGAGCTGCAAGAGAGAGGTAAAGGGTCCGGCTGGTTCAGGTGCTGGGTTGGAGGTAGATGAAGAGAAATTGGACAAATTAACACAGTGGGTTTGATCCAGTTGAATTTTTTAATAATAATTTTGATGACATGGAGGGTTGAGTAGATCAAATTAACAGAATTTTGGACGGAAAGTGACAGAATGACCATTTTGTTATTGCTAATACTTGTGTTATCGAAACGTGCAAAATTAAAGGATTGTGACCGTTTTGTACAAAGTAAATAGGTTTGTGATCATTTATGATAATTACCCGAGAAATACATGTAGATATTAATGTAATCATATGATATAACGATGCGGGAGGGAACAAGACAAACCGGAAGCAATACCCATGCCTGCCCCACGTTACTGCGAGTCCGGTAATACCCGTCCCAAACAAGTCGGGACAGATTGGGTCATAGGGATCATATTTGATTTTACAATTACTATATACCATATGCTTTAAGACGACGATTAGTATTGTGATTGTGAGGATTTGAACATGTGAGCTTAACCATTGACTAGCTCTCATATCATGTCATAAATCAATTGATCCCAATAATTTGAATCATTGAGAAATTTCAACGTATAATTTTAACTCCTTACATCCTAAACTAAAATGACCGTCCACAGTTCAACCACGCGTTAGGAATTTATGAAATTGTTTTATATGACCCACATAAACTAAAATCAACGTTGTCAAAGCGTGTAACTCAAGTAAGTACAATGATACTTCAAGTTTTGGCTTCAATTGAAGACACTTCTTTTCTTTCTCACCTGCTAATGCATGGTCCTTCTTAACCTCCGCTGTTAATGAATGGAAAATTCTTAGCTTTAATTTTGGTCGGAGAAGATAGCTACAATTATCTACATATCAGTTTGTTATTAGTACCAAAAAGTAATTAATTTTTTTGGTGCGATGAAAATTAATTGGCGGTACATTTTGACGACTTTAATAGACTACCCGACATCTTATACAAATTTGTATGATATATGTATACACCAATTTTTAAAATTAATGACCAATGTATTTTACCCGAAAAATTAGGGTAAATTGCAAGGTTGGTCACTAAAATTACTAAAAACGTTCATGTTTAGTCACTGAAAATATTTAATTCCATTCGTAGTCACTAGATTTAGTAAAACAGTTCGAGTTTGGTCACTCTCCGTCCAACTCCGTTAACTTTGCGTGATGTGGCAGTCAACTCTTATAGTTGACCGTTAAATATATGATGTGGCAATTAAAAAATTAAAAAAAAAATTCCACTTCATTATTTCCATTAAAAAAATTATTATTCGTTCTAATTCTCCCCGCCTCACGAACTAAGCTCATCCCTCATTCTAAGACCCGAGATTTCTAGCCCTCACAAAACTCAAATCGTGGCCGCGGCGAAGGGGAAGGATGGCGAGCAGATGGAGGGTTGGTTGCGCCGGAGCAGCGGTAGATGGAGGGTCGGTTTCTGGAACCTCAATAAGCAGATCTTATAAGAAACAACGATGCCGAAACCTGATTCGTCGCCGCCGCGATTTTCCCAGAAGAGGCCTTCCCCCATGGATTTCCAATCGAGAAGGCTTCCGTTGGCATCGACGATTTGAGCGTCCACTGACAACCCTAACTTCGTACCCATTGCCGCTGAAGTGACCACCGATGGCCACCGTGGGGCATACTCTGGCGAGAAAGCCGTGAACTTTACTCTTTTCCCAAATTGCATAGTAGAGTTCACCTAGAATAGCACCAGAGTGAACCCAGGCCGATGTCGCCTCGATATCAACCTCGATCTAAAGCGGATTGGACATGTCAAGAAGGAAGATTGGAGAATCCGAGACGTAGGAAAGTCCCTAGAAAACATGGTCGCCGCTGCGGATTCTCAGTCGGTAACCGATCCTTCTTGTGCATAAAATGGTGTACTGGACGTTGGGGATACTTGTAGGCGGGACGACGATTAGAGGTTTGAGGGGGAAATTGAAGCCGAGATTCCACTAAACCAGAATCCATCTCGCCTTGCGGGTGTCACCACTGCTCCGGCGGCCGGCGCAACCAACTCTCCATCTCCCGCTGCTCGCCATTCCTTCCCCTCCGTCGTGGCCCAGGATTTGGGATTTGTGAATTGTGAGGGCTAGAAATCTCAGGTCTGACATGAGGGGTGTGGTTAGTTTTTTTTTTTTTTGGTAGAAAAGAGGGACGCTAAAGGGCGCCCCAGCCTGAAACTTAGATTAACCTGTTTTGGGAAATACCCAACACGTCATACAGGGTCCAGAAGGACAGACCCGGATCTGAACTCGCCAAAACATGGAAACCTATACTAGTAGAGTGGCCTTTATTGGCAAGGAAATCTGCCACTTTGTTACATTCTCTATAGATGTGGGAAATTCTGACTTCCCAGTTCTGCTGGAGCAATCTCTGAAACTGCAAAATCAGATTATGGTATCTGTGCTCCGTCTGATCCTGCGAGGTAAGTATGTTGATTGCAGTTGTGGAGTCCAATTGAAGTAGAACTCTCCTATGCCCGTTCTTCCACGCCATCTACAATCCTCGAATGGCCGCCATAATCTCTGCCCGGGTGATCGTGCACACTCCAAGGTTCTCCACAAAGGCTCCCATGCATTTTCCCGTCCAGTCCCGGATAATGCCACCCCCAGCTGCGTCAGATCCTGGTTGCTTCACTGAGCCGTCGGTATTGACACACACCCAGTCTTGTGGTGGTGGTATCCAAGCTAGCTGCTGTGAGGACCTCTCATGCGTGTCCTTATGTGAAGCAGTGTCATTTTGCTGAGCTTGCCTGATTGTAGACGTCCAACAACCAATGCGTTGCGCCAGAACGTGGTCCTCTTGAGTCAGGTTGTGAAAGATCTTCTCATTCCGTCTTTTCCAGAGGTACCAAGCTGCCACACCGAACAAAAGCCCCTCCTGATCCCTCTTGAGATGTTCATCAAGCCAAGCTGCAAACCCAAGGCCGTAAGTTAGTGATGTCTCTTGAATACCCAGCCTGTTCCATACCTGTAGTGAACTCGGGCACTGGCGCAGAATGTGTTCAGTCGTTTCTGGTCCTCCTTTGCACATCGGGCACGTATCATCTGTCGTCAGTCTCCTCCTCTTACGCTGCACATTCGTCATCAGCCTGTCATGAAACACCAACCAAAGGAAATGTTTAATGCGATTCGGGCCTGTCCATTTCCAGAGACGCTTCCAGTGGTGGTGCCTGTTGTCCTCCTCCGCCTCCCATGTTTCGTCACTTAGCCACTCTACTGCCGCAAAATAGGCTGAACGAAGCTTGAACTTCCCATCTGGCTCCATACCCCAGGCCGTAATGTCTTCACCTGTTCCCGGCATGGGAGGATCCGTACCTGCAATCAAAGCCACCAAATTCTCAGTCAGGTGTGTCTCAATATCCTGCCAATTCCACTCACCTTCACTAGTGACCATCTCAGCAACGGTAGCTTGCCAATTGATCCCTTCGCCAGCACCTGTGATGTGGTTACTCAAGATAGTACCCTCTGCCAGCCAAGGATCCGTCCAAAATTGAACATTATGGCCTTCCCGGATGTCCCACACCACCCGCTGCTTAAGGATAGGCCATGAACTAACAATTCCTTTCCATAGCCGCGAGAAGTTACTTTTTTTCATCACCAAGGCCCCTGCCTCATTGACTTTGAAGTACTTGCTCTGCAGAACACGGATCCAGAGCTCCTCCGACTTGTTAAGGAAAGCCCATCCCAGCTTCATAATATAGGATAAGTTGAGAGCTCTTGCAGACCGCAAGCCCAGACCACCAATTTCCTTTGGTTTACAAATGGTTTCCCATTTGACCAAATGAGTCTTTGATACTCCGTCTTCTGCTCCCCATATAAAGGCTCTAACTTTCCTGTCAATGATATCGCAGACAGAAACTGGGAGGACTGCCGTCTGCATGACATAATTCGGGAGGGCATTGAGAACCGAGGTTGCCAAGGTAACTCTCCCTGTCAGGGAAAGACTCCTCGCCTTCCATCCAGAGAGCCGTTGATCAATTTTTTCCAAGATGAACTTGTAGGTATCTTTAGTGACTCTGCCGTGGATGACCGGAACACCCAAGTAGCGCCCCAGATTATTGGTTTGTTTGATCCCCAACATGTCGCTGATACTTTTCTTCAGGCTCTCCCTCGTGTTTTTCGAGAAGAAGACACAAGATTTATCCTTGCTAACTTGCTCCCCCGAGGCTTCACAAAAACGGTTCAGACAATTTAGGACCTCTTCTCCTTGTTTTGGATCCGCCTCCGCGAATAAGACCAAATCATCTGCAAAAAATAAGTGAGTCAGTGCAGGTCCATCCTTGTATAAAGTAATAGGTCTCCAAGCTTTCCTATCTACTGAGTCCTTGATGCAGTGATTAAGTCTTTCAATACAAAGAGTAAATAGATAAGGTGAGAGAGGACATCCCTGCCGAAGACCCCTCGTAGGTTGGAAAGCTTCGGTGCAGCCACCATTCCAAAGCACCTGGAAACGGACAGTCGTCACACATGCCATAACTAGTTTGACGAACTCATCAGGTAGGCCAGCCGCCTGCAGGGTTAACTCCAAGAACTTCCAGTTTATCCTGTCATAGGCTTTGGCTAGATCAATCTTTAGAATCATTTGTCCCTTGATTCCCTTCCTGAGAGACATAGTGTGAACCACTTCCTGCAGAATGATGATGTTGTCTGTGATGTGTCTCTTAGGGACAAAGCTTGACTGGCTAGGGTCGATCAGCTTAGGCATGAAATTTTTGAGCCTGTTTGCCAGACACTTGGCCACGACCTTGTAGCTCACATTACAAAGACCAATGGGTCTAAACTGAGCTACTTGCTTCGGAAAATCCACCTTGGGCAGCAGCATCAGAAGGGTTTCATTGCACCTCTCGATCCGCTCTGGATTCCTGAAACAGGCAACCATGTGCTCATGGAGGTCAGCTCCCACCCTGTCCCAACATTTCTGGTAGAAAGTAGCATGGAAGCCATCCTTCCCTGGCGCCTTAAGACCACCCATCTCCTTGATTATTTGGTACGTTTCTTCAGGGAGCGGGCTAGCTGTAAGATGCGACGTCATGGTCGCTGTCAAAGCATCGAAAAGAGCTGGGATATCTTGCTGCCCCGTTCCGTCTTCAGAGTAGAGCCGGACATAGAACTCCCTGGCCATGAGCTTCAGCATCTCGGGATCCTCAATCCAAGTCCCATCCTCCTGCTGTAACTTGGTTATTCTATTTTTCCGCCGTCTTGTAAGAGCTACAGTGTGGAAGTATCGAGTGTTCCTGTCCCCGTTCACAATCTGGTTTGCCCTCGCTTTCTGAAGCCATAGGAGCTCTTCCTGCCATAAAGTCTGCTCCAGCTCCTCCCGAACTTCCCCTTCCCTTCTGAGGGATGCATCACTCGCTGCCGTCTCATTCAGAACCTCCAGGCGTGCAAGCTGCTTTGACAGTTTCGCTTTTCTCCAGAAAATGTTCCCAAAAACCTCTTTGTTCCACCGAGTGAGGTGAGCTTGGAGATCCTGCAAAGACAATAAACAGTCCCTTCCTCGGTTCCATGAGGCCTCAAGTGTAGCATGAAAATCTTTATGGGCTAACCACGGAACGAGAAACCGGAAAGGTCTTACCATTCTAGGGGGGACATGGTCATTATTACTGTTGATGAGGATTGGTCTATGATCTGAGCGGAGCTTTGGCAGGTTCGTTGAGACAGTGTCAGGGAACCGCCTGATCCACTCCTGGTTGCATAAAGCTCTGTCAAGACGTTGGGAGAGCCGACCATTGCTCCAGGTAAACTTAGGTCCAGTGAAACCGACGTCAATAAGCCCACAGTCTCGAATACAAGCATTGAAACTAGCCGTTCTGCTCGGATTATACGCAGCACCTCCTTTGCGCTCCGAAGGGCAGGTGATGGAATTGAAATCCCCCGCTAATAGCCACGGCCTCTCAATGTTTTGTTCCAGTCTTCGAATGGCCGCCCAAAGGGGTTGCCTGTCATGCTCATTAGGCTTGGCGTAGATTGCAGTCAAGAGCACTGAGAATCTGTTCTGATCTGTGCACAAAAGGTGGAGAAATTGTGAGTCCCGATCCAATTCAGTAATATCAAGGTGAGTATCTTTCCAAAGCACCCAAATACCACCAGAAAAACCAATAGCATCAACCACAATGTACTTATCAAACCCCATGGATTTAATAACGTCTTCTGCATCCTTACCACTGATCCGTGGTTCCACAATAAAGACAATATTTGGTCTATGGGCGAACACATACTCTTTAAATGTTGCTAGAAATTTGGGGTGTTTTGCCCCCCGGCAATTCCAACTAAAAATACTAAACATAAGGAATAAAAGATAAGAGAAAAAGCACAAACTTCCCTGACTTGCAGAAGCACACGAGATGACGCTTAATTCGCCGGCTTCGCCAGCGGGGGTTCACTACCCACCAGGGCGGTAGCTTCCGGCTCCAGATTCCCTCCCATACCAGTGGACAGAGGCTCGGCGATGACATCCATGGATTCCTTGCTTTCTTTGGATCCCGAACTCGACGTTCCAACAGTCGGCATGGACTGGAGTTGGGCAAGGAGCTCCTCGACAGCTTGGCGGTGGATCGGATTGCTCTGCTTCTTAGCTGGTCGCTTGTTGTTCCCCGTTCCTGAACGTGATTCATGGTTCTTTTTCGCTACTCGAAGGATGGAGTCCTTCTTCTTCTTTGGAGAGTCGCGCGGCTTACTTGCTTTCCCCCTGCGGTGTTCTCGAATTGAATTGATATTTTGGGGAGTTTCATTTTCCCCTGGCGCCGAAGAAGGATTTCCGGTCGGAGGGTCAGGTTGGGCTACAAAGGGGTTGTGGGTCGGCCTCAAACTAGCAGGATCAATTTCAGTTTGGTCCATCATGTTTGAGTCTGCTTCATTAGTAGATTCACCTATGGGCTGTGAGTTAGCAACATTAGGGGTCACCTTGGGCTTAAGGCCCACCATTCGCCAGACCTGAGATGGGCCTGGGCCAGTGCTTTCCTTTGTTAGGATAGCATCAGAGACATTAGCCTTACCCTTTTTCGGATCCCCTTTCAGCTCATCCTTCCCCTTTTTGTCTTTCAATAAACCAGAATTACCTTGTTCATCTTTCGATTTCTTTCCCATTCTGAGCGGCGCTTTCCCGGCTTCAACGCTTCTGCCCGTTTGATTGCCTTGGGCGGATCCATGGTTGGGCGGCCCTTTCCTATTCTGGTTCCGTGATTTCCGGCTTACTTGCATCCATGGACCGTAACCGGCCGGTGGCTCCGGCGGTCTATCCTCCGATAACTGTGGCAGCACCGACTCGTTCACCTGAGACAGACTCGCCGGGGGATTACAACGGGTGGGGCAGTCGGCTTCAGAGTGCCCAATCCGGCCACATTCAAAGCAGATGTCCGGCAAGTTCTCGTAGACAACTTGTTGCCAGAACCCATCGAGCCGGATCCGCGTCTTCAGAGGCTTGGTCATATCGAGTTCCACGGCAATCCGCGCAAATTTTCCCCTTTCCCTGTGTTCTGTATGATAATCGAGCTTGATCGTTCTTCCCAGTATGTTTCCCATCGCGAAAAGTACCTCCCGATGGTAGAAGTGGATCGGTAGCTCGGGTAGCTGAACCCACGCTACCACCGAACGATGGGGTTTGTCCGATGTATTTATTAGGTGGAAATTAAAATGAATACATTTTTATTGTTAATGGTATTTATTAGGTGGAAATTCTAATTTTAATTATTTTTATTTTTTTAATTGCCACGTCATACATTTAACGGTCAACTATAAGAGTTGACTGCCACATCACACAAAGTTAACGGAGTTGGACGGAGAGTGACCAAACTCGAACTGTTTTACAAAATCTAGTAACTACGAATGGAATCAAATATTTTCAGTGACTAAACATGAACGATTTTAGTAATTTTAGTGACCAATCTTGCAATTTACCCTTACATAGGAAAAGGGAAAGAAAGGGGGAAAAAATCAAGAACCAAACGACAGACAGAGTACAAGCAGAAATAGATTGTTCAGAATATGACGCAAATTTGAACCAGGCCTGCTTTCTGATCAAGATTCATCTTCCTCCCGTCGCTCTCTTCTTCGCGCCATCGATAGCTCGCTTTCCCACTGGGCCGACAGTTCTTCGCTGCCGTTAAGCAAATGGCTGCTGTGTCCGATTAGCTTGAACCGGTTGCTCGCCGCCTTCGGTTTCTCCCTCGCTCTCCACTGATTTCTCAACGGCGGCGGCGGAGGAGGCCTAAAGTTCGTGGGTGGCGAGTGGGATAATGAGCAATTCCCAAGCCATTTTCTTGCAGAAGGGCCCTTTTTGTACTCCGACCATTATCACACCTCAAGTAAGTGTAATTCACCCCAACCGTGGTAGAACACCGTCTGCTGGCACTCTTCTTCTGTTCTGTTAGTTTCGCTTTGAGAAAACAATCCTAAGAAAACTAAATAGGTTTATGTACCCAAGGTTATGAATACTTCAGTTCTTTGAATGGTTTGCTGAGATTAGAGAACTCTTATAAGTATCTGATATGGAGTTGTCATAACTTGAAGTTTAGTTGGTTCATGGTTGGAGAAAGTTACTTTCTTTCGGTGAATTTTGGAAATCACGGATGCAAGTTGACATGACAGACTAATAAGTTTTTCTAATGATGTTTTCATTGTGCAATTCAAGCACTTGATCCATGTCATCTGATGTTGCCGAAGCTTCACAATGCATTTCTGACATTTTCCCTTTGGTACCCGTGTAGGTTGGTCTCTGGAGAAACAATTATTCACGGCTCTTAGTCAGAAAGGAGCATAATTTACAACTAAGGATTTCTGAATTATCAGGAAGACTTCGGGTGCATTGTGTGATGGAGAAAGAAACTGATCTGAGCACTTCAACATCGGTTGACACAGCGACAGAGTCATTGCAGGGTCTGTTGGGTTCTTCAACTTGATTAGATTGGAGCTTGTATCAAATGTCCAATCTAGCGATCTCAATCGTCACTATGATTCATATTTTTTCAGAAGCTGATGTGAGGGAGCCCAGTGTATCCACCATCTTGATGAACTTTGAGAACAAGTTTGATCCTTATGATGCAATGAGTGTGCCACTATACCAGACTGCTACATTTAAGCAGGTAATAATCTCGCATGGGATCCCAGCCATGCTCCTTTGTTTTATGTTCTCATTTATCCAAATGACTAGTAAGTTTTTTTCTTGCTTTTCCAAACGTCTAATTTGTTGCTTTACAGCCATCAGCAACAGAAAATGGCCCTTATGACTACACTAGAAGCGGGAATCCTACTCGGGATGTTTTAGAAAGGTGTATTTCTGCGCTCTTATGCTGGTCAAGCTTCAAAGTTCCACGGCATATAATATATGTAATTGCTTTAGTCTTTGTTTGATGATTTAAGATTAACTGTGTATTCATCATGGTTTATTAGCTTGTTGGCAAAGCTAGATAAAGGGGATCGAGCACTTTGCTTTACAAGTGGAATGGCTGCCTTAGCTGCTGTCAGTCATCTTTTTGGAACTGGTTTGTCTTTAGTTGTAGAAGCGCTTAAGTTATTTTTGAATTTGTACTTACCAGAAACCGTTAGAAGTTCTGCTGGAACTATTTTGAGTAAATAGTTTTGCATGCTTTGCCAGGGGACGAAATTGTTGCTGGAGATGACATTTATGGTGGATCTGATCGATTGTTGTCACAAGTGATCCCAAGAAGTGGAATTGTGGTGAAGTTAGTTTGGTGCCTCTTTCCCTCTTTGTTATCGAGATACTAAATATCAATCTAAATTATTATATACCTGTTGGAATGCAGACGAGTGAATACGAGTAGCCTGGAAGAGGTCGCCTCTGCAATGGGGCCTCGGACAAAGCTTGTGTGGCTGGAAAGCCCAACAAATCCACGTCAACAAATTTCTGATATCCGTGTAAGGTTTCCCGGACACGAATAGTGCATATACTGTATTTCTAGTCTGGTCATGCATAGCTAACCATTTTTGCATATCACCTGTATACTGGACGTCATGTCGGCTTTATATTCGATTCATGTATAGTCTGGTAGAATCAGTTGACAAGATTAATCAAATTTCAACTATTTGACTTCTTTTTTGGTTGCTTGGGAAACCTATAGTTGTGCTGTTTGGTTTTTCGTTGGGGATGATCTTTGTAAACTTACTGTGTTCTCTTCAGAAAATTGCAGAGATAGCTCATGCAAATGGTGCTCTTCTTTTGGTGGATAATAGCATTATGTCTCCTGTTTTGTCACGACCATTAGAGCTTGGGGCAGACATTGTAATGCACTCAGCAACTAAATTCATAGCGGGGCATAGCGATCTTATGGCGGGGGTACTTGTTGTCAAAGGAGAAAGGTCAGACACTCATAATTCCTCGACTTTGTTATCTGCCTGAACTTGGTTAATTATGCATACAAGTTATAGGGAAACATTTACCTGAATCGATCAAGTTTAATGACTCCCTTGTAGGGTACCTTAGACTTATTAAGTTATTATGTACATTACTGAAGCACTTCAAGGGTTTGGGCTTGTCCCTTAGTCTGGAATCAAAATTATTGCCTAATATTTCTAATGTTTATGTGAATATAATTATAACTATGGAAATATCTGCTGTTTGTTATTCTGCTATAAATTGATTAGACTGAAATTCTGCCCCAACACGAGTTCTCTCCCAGGGAGACTTGGCCTAGTGGTATTACCACTAGCCTAGAACTTGGAGGTCACAGGATCAAATCTCTTAAGTAGTACCTTAATTAAAAAAACATGCATCATACATGCAGGCACATTCGTGCTCAATGTTAATATTATTTGACTTAACAATGCAATACATAATATAGTTTAGACATTTTCTTCCTAGCATCATACATGCAGGCACATTCGTGCTCAATGTTAATATTATTTGACTTAACAATGCAATACATAATATAGTTTAGACATTTTCTTCCTATGAGTTTCTTTCGTGAGATCCTTGATTCATCTATCTTGCGGTTTCTCGTACTTTCAGCTTGGGGAGGAATTTGTATTTCTTGCAAAATGCAGAGGGCTCGGGTCTTGCCCCGAATGATTGCTGGCTTTGTTTGCGAGGTATTAAGACGATGGTATTGCGTGTTGAGAAACAACAGGTGCTAATTTTAAGTCCCAAAGCATTGTCTGCTTTCCTTAAGCTTGTTTATAGTTTTCTTTGTCAAACCAAAGCACTTGTTTGACTGGAACAAACCAAGGCACTTGTTTTGGTTTCTTCCAATCTTTGCTTTGAAAACCGGTTGTGTTGAGAATTCTAATCTCCTGTGTCTATCATGTTTGATGTGTTCCAGGATAATGCACAGAAGATAGCTGAGTTTCTTGCTTCCCATCCCCGAGTTAAAAGAGTCAACTACGCCGGGCTTCCTGATCATCCTGGTCGCGAACTGCATTACTCCCAAGTAGATGCAATTTCTTGTGGAGCTTCTACGCTGAACTCCAACCTCTCAAACCTATTAGTACAATAACATTATGATTGTTCCAACGATCTCTTGCAGGCAGAGGGTGCAGGATCGGTGCTCAGTTTTCTGACAGGATCGCTGGCTCTCTCAAAGCATATCGTGGAGACCACCAAGTATTTCAGTGTGACAGTCAGTTTTGGTAAAAAAAAAAAAAAAACTTTCTTGCTCTACTCGTAGCTTTCTCATAGCTATCCAACATGCCATTAGATTGAATTGTGATTCTGAATCAGTTCCAACATCATCGTGTCTGTCTGATATCGAAAAGCTTCTCCTTATGATCTTACATTGTGTTTTTATGTGCTTTGTAGGGAGTGTGAAGTCGCTCATAAGCATGCCATGCTTCATGTCGCATGCAAGCATCCCTGCCGCAGTCAGAGAAGCCAGAAGCCTGACCGAGGATCTTATACGAATCTCTGTTGGGATCGAGGATGTGGATGATCTAATTGCTGATTTGGACTTCGCCCTGAAAACTGGACCAAAACTGGACCCGCTGCATAGAGCTCCATCACTTTTCATGCACCTCTTTTTTTCTTCCTTTCGTCGTTCCAGGAGACACTAAAGTACATAAATTTTTAATTCACACCAATATCTCACAGTTATCTCCTTGTACACATTATATGTATCAATAGATCATCTACAAGATTTTCGAAACTAGCACAAAATAATCATAGTTCGTTTAGATTGAATGTTCTTATCAACAAAGCCAAATGACTACCTTTATACTCACATAGTCATGCTATATCAAGTGTAAAATTATTGACAGAGAAATGCATGTTGGTTGGTTTTGAAATTTGCATGACACATGAATGATGAAACACAAGAAATACAAAACATCATTGAAAAGGAAACCATAAGGGCAACGAATGGGAAATTGTTATTGGGCCGGGGAGTAGAAGAGCAAAACCTGGGCCTTTAATGGGTTGTGAATATTTTTGGGCTAATCGTGTCAGGTAACAATAGTCTCCTTCTTCCATTTTGGATCCACTAGAGGATTCAACGGTTACGGATTCAAGGGACATTTTGGAGTCTTTTTTTTTTTTTTGGGTAGTAAAACGGAGCGCTAAGGGCACCCCAACCTTTAATTAATAGTAACCATGCGAGGGGTCTGAACCCCAATCGTATCAAAGTACAGCAAATGACTCAAACGCGAACATGGGAGTTCGATGATGTGATCGTCAGGCGATAGCCCATGCCCTAAGGATGCAAGGTAGTCTGCAACCACATTTCCTTCCCTGAACACATGTTGCAGGTCGACTTCCCAATCACGACCTAAGAGTCCACAAACTTCATTTATAAGTGTGAAGTGAGGATGGCAGTTTCTTGCCTCCTTAACCAACTGAATGATCACCATAGAATCCACTTGTGCCACCACTTTTCTATACCCCAATCTCCATGTTGTATGCAGGCCGTACACCACCCCCGCTAGCTCCGCTCTCGTCACAATTCCTCCTCCCAAGTTCCTAGAGTATGCCATAATAAACCTTCCGTCCTGATCGCGGATCACCCCCCCAACTGCTGCATTCCCCGCCACCACCGAGCCATCCGAATTTAAACTCATCCACCCCGCAGGCGGAGCCTTCCAGCCGACCAACACTTGAGCACTGGTTCTCGTAGCTAGCCCAATCCTAGAGAGTTTTTCGGCAGCCTCTTGGATCTGTATTTGAAGTCGCATAGCTCTGTTGCATAGCACATCGGCTGAATCCATCTGTTTCTCAAACACAAGTTTGTTTCTATTTTTCCACAATAACCAACATAGAACCACAAACCTCGTGGGGTGGATAATGGAGCTTTTCCTTGTGATGTAATGTAACACCCACCTTTCCAAGTCAGGATGGAAGAAAATTGAGTCAGGTTCATCTTGTAGAATTTCCGCCCATGCCGATCTAGCAAATGGACAGTCCCGGACAACGTGGATAGTAGTTTCCCCTTCCGCCCCGCATGTCTGGCAGTTGGAGTTTGGAGACAGGTGGCGTCGCCATCTTTCACTGTTTGTAAGCAATCGTTGGTGGCACACTAACCAGAAAAATGTTCTAATTCTCTGCGTAGCTGGTATCTGCCATATTGCCCGCCAAATAGGGTGAGATCCACCCGGCCTCTCCCCATCATCTGTCAACTCATAAGCAGATTTTAGCGAGAAACAACCATTTGTTGTGAGCCTCCAGACTGGAATATCGACCCCCATCTCATTCGAAATGGGGTGTATTGCAACCTGCATAGCAATCTCATCTGGTAAGAAGGCCTGTATGTAGGGAAAGTTCCACTCACCATTCAGGACCATATCAGCCACGGTAAGCTCATGTGCTTCCTGAGGAAGATTGACAGCCATCTCCGCTAACGTCGGCCCATCTTGGACCCATCTGTCTGTCCAGAATTTTGTTTGTTGACCACTTTTAATGTTCCACATAATGGCTTCAGGGAGCAAATGCATAACCCGGAGAACACCTTTCCAAAGGTTGGATAAGCTTCCCGTAACCCGTGGCTGCCAACCCCCTTCTACTCTTCTCATATACTTCGCATGGATGACCTTTGCCCACAAACTCTCTGGCTCGGTCAAGAGCCTCCAGGCTATTTTAATCATAAAAGCTTCGTTCATCCTAGCCGCATTACGGAGGCCGATGCCTCCTTCCTCTTTAGGGAGGCAAATCGTGTCCCAATTAACTAGGTGAACTTTCCGGCCCGCGTCTGAGCTGCCCCAAACAAAAGCTCGGATCTTTCTGTCAATAAACTCCCGAATACGCGCCGGTAGGAAGGTAGTCTGCATAGTGTAGGCCGGAAGAGAGGCCAGGACGGACTGAGCTAGAGTAATTCTCCCAGCCAAGGAGAGAGTGTTGAATTTCCAACCTGCCAAACGAGAGTCCACTTTATCAATTAGATCCACAAAGGTAGCCTTCAAAACCCGATCATGAATGACGGGCACACTGAGATACTGCCCCAGGTTCTTGGTTTTCGGGATTTGAAGTGCCTCCGTGATCTCTTTCCCCAGCTCTACCGAGACATTCTTTGAGAAAAAGACCCTCGATTTTGGCTTGCTAACCTGCTGTCCGGAAGCAGCTCCAAATCTTTCCAAACAACTCATAATAGTCTCCACCTGCCGAATGGAAGCTTCACCAAATAAGATAAGATCATCTGCAAAAAAGGAATGAGATAAAGCAGGGCCGGAGTTTGACAACTTAATAGCCCGCCATGATCCATCCTCAACTGCAGCCTTGATAACATGACCCAGTCTCTCCATGCATAATGTGAACAGGTATGGGGACAACGGACATACTTGCCGAAGACCTCGAAAAGGAGCAAAGCTCTCCGTCAAACCTCCATTCCATTGAATCCTCATACTTGTCGACGTGATGCACTGCATTGCCAAATTCACAAAACTTTCGGGGGCTCCAGTAGCAGTAAGCGTCTCTCTGACAAAGTTCCACCGGATTCGATCATATGCTTTGGCAAGGTCAATCTTTAAAACCATCCATCCTTGCCTTCCCTTTTTCGTTCTCATGGAGTGAACAACTTCCTGTAGAATGCAAATATTATCCGTTATATGTCTGCTTGGGACAAAACTCGTTTGGGTCTCGTCCACTAGCCTGGGCATCAGAGTCTTCAGTCTCTCAGCAAGGCATTTCGTAATAATCTTATAAGTGACATTGCACAGACTAATGGGACGGAACTGCTCAATGGAGGAGGGACGTTTGGTCTTGGGTATAAGGCACAAAATAGTGTCGTTGACCTCCCTCACTTGCATTGGGTTGGTCTAACACTGCTGTACAAAGTCCACCACACTCGGTCCCACCAATGCCCACAATTTTTGGAAGAACATAGGGCTTAGTCCATCGCTTCCCGGAGATTTTAAGGGTCCCATTCCCATTATCGCTACTTGTATCTCATTCTCATTGAAACCGAGTGACAGGCTCTCCCAATCCGCCTCTGCCAAAGCGGGGAAGGCCGGCTCGATGGGCTACGTCTGATTATTTTCATCCGTGTATAGAGCTTGGAAAAAAGCTTTCGCAATGCCTTGAAGTAGCACATCATCCTCCACCCAATTCCCTTCCCCATCACGTAGCGCAAGGATCCTGTTTCTCCGCCATCTTTGCATGGTCCGTGCATGGAAGTATTTAGTATTTCTATCTCCATGTGCTATCCATTCCAGCCTAGCTTTTTGACACCACATAAGTTCCTCTTGAAGGAGAACATCTTCCGGTTCTTGGCGAAGGAGTTTCATCTCTTCCGAATTAGAGTCTCCACCACCTGCTGTTTCTAATCTTTCTATTTTAGCTAGCAATCCATCCTTTCTTCGAAGAATGTTTCCAAAGGTGTGGTGGTTCCACACCTTCGCCGCCGCAATGAAAGCCTTGATGGAGCTGTGGATATCAGTTCCTTCCGACCATGCGTTCTCCGCCATCTCTTTAAAGATTTCGTGGAGCATCCACGCTGCCATGAACCGAAAAGGCTTCGGTCCTGTTGGTGGGTGGTGCGGGGTGACATGAATAAGCAAAGGCCTGTGATCAGATTTTATCTTCGGGAGGTGTTGGACGGAGCTCTCGATGAATAGATTCTGCCAAGCCTGATTAACCATCCCCCGATCCAGCCTCTCCTTCAGCCCAGCATGGAACCAAGTATACGGAGGACCATAGTACCCTAAATCAATCAGACCTGTATCTAGAACACAATCCTCGAAGTCTCTGGCTCTGCTTGCGTCAAAGGGTGCCCCTCCTGATTTCTCGGAAGCATGTAAGATTGAATTAAAGTCGCCAGCCACCATCCACGGGTCAGTCATGTCTTCCGAGATTGACCTTAACGACTCCCATAGCTCTCGTCGTTGTATCAAGGCTGGATTACCATACACTTGCGTAAATGCCCACTTCTTAGCGGCGCTTTGGACTGAGACATGTAACAATTGGTCCGTTCTAGTAGTTTCCGATATGGAGACAAGGGATGTGTCCCAGAGGATCCAGATGCCCTCGGAGAAACCCACCGCATCAACATACAATTCTCCGTCTAATCCCATACCGTCGATCACCTCTCGTCGTCGGTCCCCACTGATTCGTGGTTCGGTAATGACTATCATGCTCGGCCGGTGCTTGCGCCGATATTCTTTCATCACTCGCAAGAAACGCTTGCTTCCTGCCCCCCTACAGTTCCATATGAAAATACGTATATCCATTTAAACACTGGGTAGGGTTTCTGGGCCAACGCTCACTTCAGTTCGGACGTGGAAGGGCCTCCCCAGTGAGGCTCTCCGTAGGCTGACTCGTAGCATCCACCACTGTTGCTGATCTTCCCAGATCCCCGTTCGTGATCTCCCCTTGCTGTATTAGTGTCGATTCGCTTGCTATGGGCAGGGGGCTAGAACCAGTGAGAGTACCAGGTGGGTCGGGAGGTTCATCAATCTGGATACTCTCCAAATTGTCGTTTTGCACTGTAGTAACGGGAATATCAGCCTCCCGCTCACTGGTAAATTGGCTAGCATTTTTCTCAGCCTGAAATTCAGTATTTTCCTTCGGCTTCAACTGCTCCCTTGCACAAGCGATCTCTACCTCTTCAACATTGCCCTTACCTTTTAAAACCTTTCCATGCGCACTTGCACTCCCTCCCTCTACATGGTTATGTCTTTCTCGATCCTTCGTTGGGACTTGTGGACTTTGCCTATTATGTTTCTCCACCCAAACCTTCCTTTTCCTCGTTTGACTGTTCTCATTTCCCCCTTGATTGGCATTCTGATCAGGTTGACTTTTTTCTCCCATAATTTCTTCTTCTTCATCAACCAAGACTGCAAAGCAAGATCCCTCAGGTTGACTTCGCTCATGTTCATACCTCGGTGGTGGGTTCTGATTTTCATGGGCAGCATGATGTCTCTCATAAGGACGACGCCCTCGACGCTTAGCCAACATCCATTCACCATATGGTTCATCACGAGTAGGTTTCTTATTGGTATCGGCCTGCATGGGAGTAGGGGTACTCTCCTCCACGTGGAGGCTTGGACATCTTGTTTTCGGGTGGCCATATTTGCCGCAGTGGAAGCAAACGTTCGTGAGTCCTTCGTATTGAAATTCATACTCCACTCCCGCAACTTTGAACTGCGTGAGTAATGGTTTCGTCAGATCCACCTCAACACACACCCTGGCGAACTTGGCCCTAGCACCGGACTCGGTAGCCCGGTCCACCCGAATCGGTTTCCCGGCGTAACTGGCAATTCTGAGCACCGCTTCCGGATGATAGAGTTCTATAGGCAAGTCAGGGAGCTGAATCCACACCATTGTCGATTGAATAGTGTTGGTTCTGGGGTTAAACCCCTTTCGCCATGGTCTTGTAGTAATGTAGTGGTCTCCTAGCATCCACGGTCCTCCTGTGAGAGCATGTTCGTAGTCCAGCTTGTTGGTGAATCTGATGAAATAGTAGCCGTATCCCCGGTTTGTCACCTGAATAATACCCGTTTTTGCCCACAGCATGTTTAGCCGTCTCGCCACCACTGGGTAAGGGAAAGAGCACCCAAGATCTTGACAACAATTGCTGAGCGCCATTCCCTTCTGTATTTTCGCCATTCGAAAGATGAAAAGTGCACTGTCGGGCATAACGGGTTGTCCTCTTCCAGCTCTACATCGTCGCTCGCATCCTCCTTCATTGCCTCCGCTGTATCCTCCGAATCAGAGTCCGCTACATACCATTCCACTTCCTTCACCGCTTCACTGAACAACTTCTTCCCTCCCCCGCCCCACGCCGGCAGTTTCTTAGGTAGCACGGTGGGTTGTGTCGCCTCCTGAGTGTAAGCATTCTTGCTCGGTTCATCATGGGTTTTTTCCGCCGTGCGATATGTTTCCTCTTCCTCTGTAATATCCTCCACTATAACCGTGTCCATCTCGCTCGTCTCATCGATCAAGTTCAGAGATCTAACTCTCTTTTTAGGGTGTTGTGATTCACGTTCTTTCTTGCCGTCCGGTGAAGACGACGACTCCGGTGGCCTGCGTATCCCCAGAGTAGGATCCGGGGGCTTTGGTTCCCCTCCGGCCGAGGGGATGGGCGGCGCTGCGTCCGCCATTCTGCCGGTGCGAGCCTATGGCCAAGAAACCCTAGCACCGATTTCCTGGTCTCCGAGAAAGACGGAGCTTTTCTTTCAACTTCGTCTCACTTTTGAACCGATCTATTTTGGAGTCTTTCTGGTCTGAAGGTTGGCATTTTATTGTGTATTTATTTAGGGATGGCAAAATAAGTCATCACCGTGATATCCAACCGAATATGAATTGATTTTGTCGTGGAAATCCAGCTGATATTATATTTGGGTGAGTTCTCTCCGAATCCGATAAAAAGGATAATGAGTTTGGTACCGTTTTGATATTTTAAATATCCGCACTGAACACATCTAAATATATGTTATAGACTCATTCACTTTAACACTTTCTTTCATCCATATTTCTAAAACATTATAATTATCTCTTAGACCTCAAATTTTGTTAATTTTTATGTGTTACAAATAATATGACAAAGAAACTCTATTTTACATTGACATTTAAAGTAAATTTTTAGATTATATAAAATAATGTTGGTGGGTTTTTTTCGAACCACATACTGATTGGTTTTGATATTACATATTATATTCCATACAATTTTGATTACGAAAATGGTTGTTATTTTAGAAACCATGATTCAGGGATGATATTTGTGAAAACCGACTTCACCCGAACTCGTTGCATTCCACTAAGATACCACACTATTCCAGATAGGAGGAATGGGCAAGACAAATTCAGTGTAATTGGGTTGGGCTTAACTAATTGCCTTGAAAAGAGGAAACTAAGCCTAAATTTTTATCCAAGTGGGCTAGAATTTGGCTTGCTGATGCCCAAATGAAATAAGCCAGCCCAAGGAATCTTTGCTCTCCAAACCAGTTGCCTTTCTTCTCCAACCAGGCAACGACCGTACCGGTGAAGGAACCAAACGCGTCATTATCGGAAGTAAGTAACCAAACGTCTTCACACAGAAGGGGTAAGCAAAGTGATCAGAAAGGAACCATTGGAGATCATCTGGTAGGCAAATTCGATCGGCAAGATGAGTTTCCTCTTCGGAAACAGAAAGACTCCAGCCGGTAAGCTTTGAAGCTCTTTTCTTTGGGATCGTCTCTCACATTGAATTTGTGGCGGGAGGGGTTTTGATTTGATTGTTAAAAAGTTGAGATTTTTAGGGTTAATAATCTTTGTGGGTTTTGTGTAGAGCTGCTGAGGGAGAACAAGAGGATGATCGACAAGTCAATAAGGGACATAGAGAGAGAAAGGCAAGGCCTTCAGACTCAGGAGAAGAAGCTGATTGCTGAGATTAAGAAGAATGCCAAGAATGGGCAGATGGTATTTAATGATTTGCATATTAAGATTGGTCTCTTCTTTGTTATTGTTGATGGTCAAGTCATGGATTGCTCTAATCATACTTGCTTCACTTGGTTTCGATGAGTTTCAATGCTTTGATATCAGGGTTAGTCGATGTGTATTGATTTTAATTGGATATCATTAAGCTCTTGTACTCCATCTTTCCATGTTTATAGACTCCCAAGGACTTTGTGGAACTCGTATCCACTTAGATTTTGTTATTTTAGCGTGTGATGACTTATGATACAACATTGTTTGCTTCACTAGAATGCCATGCTTAGCAGTAAACTTCTTTGAATTCTAGTAGAACGTGTATAAAATATGAATGCAAACCTTTGCTCCTTCGTCCTCTCGGAATGTTCGTTTTCGTTGTTCAGTTAAATGTGCATCTGTTTGCAAGTTAAACAGTTCACGTTTGTGCCGCATTATCTGTATGTATGACAAATTCTGCCAACTGCTTATTTTTATAGGGAGCTGTTAGAGTAATGGCGAAGGATCTTATAAGAACAAGGCACCAGATCGAAAAATTCTATAAGCTTAAGTCGCAACTCCAGGGCGTATCTTTGAGAATACAGGTTTGTCTGTTTTTTCTCTTTTTACATATATGCTGAAATTCCCATTGCTCAACTCCTCAACAGATGCAGCATATCAATTGATTGTTGTCATTGAGTTGTGGGATATACTAATATGATTTAGTTTTCAGTATACCAAATTAGGATTGCATCTTCATCTGATCCCTATCGAGTTTTCTGGATATAGCTGGATTCTGGATAAAAGATTGTTTTGTATTTGCTGAAATGTGAAAATTGTTTTACAGACCCTGAAATCGACTCAAGCAATGGGGGAAGCTATGAAAGGTGTGACGAAAGCAATGGGACAGATGAACAGGCAGATGAATTTGCCATCCCTGCAGAAAATAATGCAAGAGTTCGAGAGGCAGAATGAAAAGATGGAAATGACTTCAGAGGTGATGGGCGATGCTATTGATGATGCTCTTGATGGAGATGAAGAAGAGGAAGAAACAGACGAGCTCGTGAGCCAAGTTCTCGATGAGATTGGGATAGATATTAATAACGAGGTATGTACACTTCCCTTTCATGATCCTCGTATCTCGTTAGAATCAAACCGTGACAACTGACAAGATTGGAATTCTCTCGATGCCATGCAGCTGGTTAACGCACCTTCAGCTGCTGTCTCTGCACCAGCTGGAAAGAACAAGGTCGCGGCCCAAGCTGAATCAACTGGGAACCATGAAGACACTGGTGGACTGGATGATGATTTGCAGGCAAGATTAGATAATCTAAGAAGGATGTGAATTTCAGAGGAGAATCAAACGAAACAACTTTTTAACTATATGTGTGAGACCAATGATGATGTTTGTGGTGGCAATCTTTCCAGAGTAAACTCTTTCTTCTTTCCCACTTATGATTGTACATATTTGAACCCATGCTGATGAACTTCAACCTCTGTATGCCTTGACATCTATCAAGGTGTGAAAAAACCCTTGCTCTGTACTTACTAAGTTGGATGATTCTTATTTAATAAGAGTGATACTTTACTAGCATAATCTAAGATGGAACCATAATATGGTTTGAGAATACTCAGGCACCTGAGGTTTAGACAACATTTAGCAATCCTACTGTGGAGATTGAATCATTTTCAGGCTATAACCTGTCGATGGAAGCCCCGGCAAAGGGGACACTGAGAATGGGAGTAGAGCCACATTGCTATGCAAGGTGCATGTAAAGAGTGGTTGCAGTTTGGCAGCAGCTGTAGACATTCCTTCTCCTCAAAACTCGACGAGCACACTGCACACAGCAGACACTGCTTCAGAATCTTGTTCTAAATTACTCACTTAGTCACTTTTCCCTTCATGTATTGGAATGCCAATACTACAGGATGACATTCTATGCTGCTTTGTAGGTTGGAACCCGGTATGCGTTACTGGATGAGGAAGCCACCACCAGCATCCCTTCATTGCTAGAGCGAAAATCGAAAATGAGATGGATGGCCATCACCGCAACCACCACGAAACCATAGAAAATGGTAAGCATCTTTGCTTCTTCATGAACTGAATCTTGATGAACATTCTTGTAGTTATATCGGAAGTCTGGAAAATGAAATGGAAGGTGATAGCTAGCTAGCTATCTGCAATGGCCCTACCCGTCAACCATATACGTCAAGCTTGAAGGCGCCAATTCTTTTACCCTCATGTACTTAAACTACTTTACTTTAGTAAAGCATTCCTTCTCATATTTCCCGCCGTAGAACACAGGCTTGGTATCTACTTAGCTTGGAACAGGAGAGAAAATGAACCTGAAACTGAAACGAAAGGATATAGATTTTTCGTTAAAATGGAATCTTTTTTTTTTCTAACATATTTCCATACAAGGTGCGATCACTAACACTAAGTGACTTCAAGACTCTACTCTCTTCATATTCTTCTCCTCTTCATTATGCTCATGTAGACATTGATCATTTAACATATCCCAATATAGCATTCGAAAACCCAATAAAGAAAAACAACCCAACAATGGATTTACCGGAGGAGGTAGAATCCAACCACTACAACTCTTCAGCCTACGAAGCCGCTCTAAAACACGACTGGAAAACCGCCGGGGAAACCTCTGTATCCCCCGCTGAAACATCCATTCTGCAATTTGCCGTACTGTCTCCGAGCTCGACCGCTTTCCTCCAGAACCAACTGACCAAGTTGCCGCCGGATTCGCTGAGAGTCACGGTGGATGATATCGGCAACACGCTACTCCACAGTGCCGCGGAAGCTGGCAACTTGGCGGCCGTGCGTGTCATCGTCGGGACTGACCCTTTACTGACGGGCGACTTGATTTCACGACGAAATTGCTTCGGCGACACGCCGGTTCATTCTGCCGCCGCTTTTGCTAATTGGGACGTCGTCGTTTATCTCTTGTCCGTCATCTTTGGCATTTGGTCACATGATGGTGGTGATGAGGGTCGGGTAGGAGATAGTCCTCTGGCTGCCTCCCAGGGCGTCCGGCTCCTTCAGCTCCTCATTGCTGCTGATTTCTATGGTAACTGCACAATGACTCTCGATTTACGACCTGTTTGGATATAAGTTGATGCGTGTGAGATATCTGTTTTTTGAATTCTTGAATTTGCTTGAAACGTATTCCATTTGTGATCAGGTATTGCCCTCATTGTGATCGAGAGGTATCCGAGTTTAGGGCGTGGCAAGGATGCATTCACGGGTATGACTGCTTTAGAGATGTTGGCTAAAAGAGATCGGGCGTCCATCAAGAAGAGGCATGGCGATAGATCCTTGTCAACTCAACTATTGACCAAGAACAAACCCAGCAGTACGTACTCCATTTTCTGTTACATTTATATGCTTAAATTTTGGTTTTACAAAGAAGTATGTGTGGTGCACACTATACTTACTTCGTTCAGCTACTGTCAGCGTGCAATGCAGTCAAAAGCGCGATTCTAGGTAGAAGCGTTTCGGTGATTCTAGTTAAAAGCATTAGAGGGTAAGTTATTATCAAGTTTTACAGCGTGATTTTACCTACATTGCTGTTGCGGTTTGAAGGGATTGCGGTCATCACAAGCGGCGAAGGCAATGAAGGCATTCTTGGTCGAGCCTGTGGATTGTGCGACACTGCATGGAGAGTGTTTGGCATGGCGTCTCCATTCAGAGCAGTGAATTGGGATGAAGCCTTGCCTCTGTTAAAGCAGCTCATCCTCGAAGCCAATCTGCACTTCAGTGGTAACGAAAGGAGATCGATCTTCGGACGAGCAATGCGATTGGCTGCCGAAAGGGGGAACGTGCTGTTCGTCGAGGCGCTTGCCAATTCCTGCCCTGTTGCCGTTCTGGAACGAGGTGACGACGATGATGATGATGGAAAGGGACGTTACAATATGATGGAGCTGGCGGTTCTGCATCGCCAGGACGGCGTCTTTCGGTTGCTGTACGAAAAGAAGTACTTCTCCTTGGGACATCTCTTAAGTAGTACTACCCATATAAAAGTCGACGGTGAGGATGAGGGTAACAAGAACAACAACTTGCTGCATTTGGCCGCCAGGTTGGGACCAAGGCGCACCATTTATGGACCTTTTGTGCAAATCCAGGAAGAGCTCAGATGGTTCAAGGTTAGTTTCCTTCTGCTAGTTCATTGTCTGACTCATAAATGACAAAATTCAAACGGCTACTTCAGTAGCCAAACAAAAAACAGAGAGCAACCAGCCTCCTACTATAGTGAATAGTGCTTGCTTAGGCTTTGAATCAAATCAATATTGGGTAGATAGATCCATGCTTATGCTTTGAAACAAATGAAATTTGCAGACCGTGGAGACGATGATCCACGCCAGACTACGCGAGGCGGCCAACGAGAAAGGCCAAACTCCAACACAAGTCTTCATCCAAGAGCACAAACCGCTGGTGGAAGAATCCGAGAAATGGCTAGAAGACATCTCCAAGCAATGCACCACCATCGCCGCGCTCATGCTCTCTGCCTTCTCCGCCTCTGTCTTCGCGTCGCCGCTGAGCGACAAGGACGCCAGGGACAACGCCCCGAGGAACATGTGGATCCAACTGGGAGTGACCGTCTTCACGTTGTCGAACGCAGGGGCATTCTACTGCTCCTGCATCGCCCTCCTCCTGTTCGTCGCCGCCATGGTGTGCCGGCACTCTGTACTTGACGACTTCCTCGGGGTCATCCCGCGGCGGATCGGGATCGGGCTGGTGGCGATGATCGGAGGGAGCCTGTTCATGGCCACGTCGTTCTTCGCGTCGCTGTATACGGAGATTGCGAGCAGGACCTTGCGGGTGGATTCCGAGGCGCCGGATCAGGAAGTGAACGGGATGGGATTGTTTTTCTGCTCTTTGCTGATAGTTCCCTTGATGGTCTACACGGCGACGCATGCTCCGCTGCTCACTACGTTTTCCGCGGGTACTGGCAGGCGTCGAGAGCTGCTTTTCTCCTAGTATAGCTAGTTATTATGCTTGGAGTCAGCGGCGGAACCCGAAAATTTTCATTTTCATAGGGTGTCCTCTTTTAAAAATAAATTAAATAAAATAATTAATGAAAATAAAATTTTAAATTTTAAAATACCTTACTCGTATAGGTTAAAAAAGTCCATGATTTGTTTTCATATTCGGAAATAATTTTAGAATACACTTGGTGCCTATAGTGTTAAAAAAAATTGTCTCTATATACCCTACTAGACAATCATTCACGAACTTATGGCATATTCGATTTGTAAACTTGTTCTCGATGTAACCCAAAGCTGAAAAATACTCTTTCAACACTTGCCGTATTAAGGGTAGCTTGAAATTAGTTTAATTGTCAGGTTTTTAAAATAATTAGAAATAGGAAATGACATTTTACTATTACATTTTTCAAAATCGAACAACAAATGAGTTGTAGGTCAACGAAAATTAAGTTTATTAATAAGAATAGTGTTCTAGATTTGAATTACCCAATCTACTACTTATATTCCTATACACAAATGACAGTAGGATAATCATGTTTTCAAATTTCAGGGGTGTCCCTTACTATCAAATTTTTTTTTTACCGTACGTAAATTACCACCGGGAATTGGATAATCTTATTCCCAAAATTTAGGGGTGTCCCCCCTGGGTCCGCCCCTGCTTGGAGTGGCGAGGGAGGTGGAGAGGAGTGATGATGTTCTAGGGTCTCACTTGCGAAAAACAAATATGGTTATATATGTGTAGGTACTCGTTTAATATGGTTCATATTTAAAAATCAAAGTATTGAAATATCGTACCGTACTGGCGGTTCGACCAGAAAAACCTCTTATCGGAAGCTAAATTGGTAGATAATATTTAGCGTTATGAAGCGGTTGAATTATGGTCAAACGACGGTTTTAGCATAAAAATACATTTGACAAAACATATTTGTTTTATTAACATAAAACTTCTTTGAAGATCATAAAATGCTTTTTATGATATTGTCTAATCGGTTTAGTTTATTAGCTAATTAACGGAAGGTCACTTTTCGGTTATGAATTATAAAGGTTCAAAAAAGCGCTAGGTGTAAGGCGAGCGTTGAGACTCTGCATTGCGCCTACCATGATTAGGCGTCGCCTACGTGTTAGATGTAAATGTAGCATAATATCTCCCACTTGCCTACAATCACACGTTCATGAATCAAATATCATCGCTTCTACCTTTCATTTCTAAACTTTCATCAACGATACATGGTAAAACACAAAACATAGTGTGGAGAAATGAGTAAAGAAGAAGAAGCTAGAAAATAACAAAGCATATTGAGACGAAGAACCACAAAAAATAAAGAAGAAGCTACTCTAAAGATGGTCGTCTCTACATATATCCTAGCCTAACTATAGAGAAATCAAGACCATCCTCCCTAGTAACATATCAAAAGGTAGAAAAAGACAACGTGAGATCATTTTGAGGCACAACTCAATGCTGATTAGGCGCCACCGAGGCCACAACATGATTGTAAAGACTTCTCTACTGCTTTTTGTTAAGGCGAGGCGTTTTCCTTCTAACTTGCGCCTAGACGAGCTTAGGTGAGTGCCTATATAAGCGCGCTTTTTAGAACCATGTGAATTATATGAAAATTGAGACAACTAAATAATTAATAATTTGATGATTAACTATTTGATAGGATATATTGAAGGGAATGAAGTTAAATACAAAACTATATAATTTATGTTGTTGAGATGATTTATCATGGATTTAAGAGTTTGAAATTTAGAACATAAAGTCAAAAAATTACCTTACTATTCATTTTCTAATTGTTTGCCATGTTTATAATATGTATACAAAACAATGACAATGCATACTAATAAGAATAATGTTATCACAAGAACAACAATAATAAACAGGGAAATTTTGTTTAACTTTTAACGGAATATATTAGTTATCAATTCTTTGCCCTTCTTTTCAAAAGTAACCTTTAAATTATGACAACATATATTAGAACCGGGAGAACAAAGACTTTCACGTTCCTTGAAAAGGTCAAAGGAAACTAGAACACAAGAAACCCCATATAAAATCTAACTCATGTTTGCGCATTAATTGAATATTTATATTATCTATTTGTTGTTAATTAATTGATTAATTATAATATACAATAGGCAAATGAGATGACAACTTTGGAATATTAAAAGTTCATGAGGATATATGGTAAAATATCATCATAAATTTATAGTATGTTCCAAATCTCACATCATCAGGTGGGATTCACAAGTTCATGGGGTCCACAAATTTGGACCTGTAAAATCCGTGGGCTGCTCCCATAAATTTGATATCTAAAAAAGTGCAAGCAAACAATGAATTTCTCTTAAATCCATGATGAATTGGATTTGAGTACCAAATCCATCGCCCAAATTCAAGAAGCAAACGAACAAAAACCGAAATGTTTAATCATGATTGAACAATATCTACCCCACAATCAAACTCTGAAAATTTACAAAAGGCGTACAATTTTGTGACCTCATTCACAAATAAATTGAAAACAGTTGCGTAAGTGACCATTTTCCTCCACCCAAACATCCACTCTATAATACAAACTAACTACAAACCATCAACAAAGGACATATTCATTCCACATATATTAGTTAATTAATTGGATATATAACACCTCTTGCTCTTAATAACCTAGCCGGAACCACCAAGAAGAGCTTTGAGCTTCTTCACCTCAGCTTCATCAATATTCGTCGTCTTCTCCACCAAAAACGACGGAAAATCGTTGCCAAACAGCGCCGCGCTCACCAACTGCACCCCGGGCTCCGAGTTGCTGTAACTCGCTATCCCCATGGCGTGCTCTTTCCCCGTGTTCGCCTGGAAGTGCAAAAGCCCCCGAGGGAAAACCATCACTTCCCCTTTATTCAGCTTCTTGACGTACACCACGTTGGCCGGCTCCCCGGAGATGAACCCGGCGGTGATGGACCCTTCCGCCACGTAGATCATCTCCGAGGCCGCCGGGTGGGTGTGCAGCGGGATGGCCCCACCGGGCTCGATGTCGGCCCGCTGGATCGCCAGGCCCAGCCCGTTGAGGCCCGGGAGCTGCTGGACGAAGCCCGGGACCGCGGCGAACTTGTTGACGTTGTTGGAGGTGTTGCCCCCGCGAGCCAGGGCGGTCAGCACGAAGTCGTCGGCGGTCACGGTGGCCGGGTTCTTGCACGTGTAGCCGGTTGTGGTCGGGCTGGTGAGGTCGGCCACGCAGAAGTCGGCGGCTTGGGCGGAGTGGAGATGTGAGAGGAAGATGGTGGAGAGGAGGATGGAGAAGTAGTGATGATAACGGTGGAACATCGCCATTTTTTTTTGTGTGTGGCTGAGTTAAGGTAAGATAGTGTTGTGCTGTCTTTGAAAGGTGATTGAGTTTGGTTTTTTTTTTTTTTTTGGGTTGGGTTGGGTTGTGTTGTGTTTGTTTGATTGATTGGAAAAAGGGTTATATTATAAGCAGAGAGGGTTGGTATTATTGGATGATTGCGTGTGGTTGAGTATACTCAGATGTTTCGTGGTCAAAATCTATTTGACTTTGGGACAATATTTGGCAGGAAATTTGGTTTTGGGAGGTTTTTTCTTATGCAAATACATAGACCCACTTTTCATTTGTGGGGTGTTTCAGGATGCTCTAATAATAACCAACGCGGTCAAACCAGTAAAACTTGATAACAAATTGATAGTTTGTAACTAACGATAGGTTTATTAAAAATACAAGCAAACAAGTATTGTTACTAATTATTTCGAAATATGATGTCTTACAGCGGTATATATCAGTTTAGTTTTATTATAAGAAGCTATCTACTTGAGACATTTAAAGAGTTATTTAAGAGTTAATTACTTTATATTTTAATAGGCTTGGCAACTGGGCCCGAATTCCGGGTACCCGCCCGGGCCCGATCCGTTACATGGCGGGTTAAATCCGTTTGACCGAATTGTTGACGGTTTTCGGGGAATTCGAAACCCGCTGTAGCCGGTTGACGGGCGGTGATGGTTTTGTTAAAATCCGCCCCGACAAGCCCCGAAACCGCATTTAGAGAACCCTAGCCCCCCTTCCCATTTCAATTCGCGAAAAATCCTCTTTCTCTGATAAATCAATCTCCAAGCCCGACCCTTCCCCTTCTGCCTTCTCCTCAAATCTCGCAGTTTTCTCTTCGATTGCAGAGAAAAATGGCAATAATCCCTACATTGATTGCTCAAAAGATCAGATACCCAATAAATCTGTTGAAACCCCATCGATTTTTTTCGAATCGAGCCTTTCCCGATGGCGATTATAGCTGCACTTGCCCTTAATCGACGCTTTCTCTTCGTCTTGAGCTTTATCTTCTGCTTCTTCTTCATGCATGCCTTTATAAATAGTCTAATTGATTATTTTTGCAATTTTCATCACAAATTCACAGAACGCAAAGCCTCAAACCACTCTCGAAGCTTGTAGCTGCGTGTAATCCCTGTTGAGAATTCCAGTCACTGGAACTGCAAGGAGCACAACTGCACAAGCCGTAATTCTTCTTGTAGCCTTACTCTGTGGATTTGGTTCTTTCTAACTTATGAGTGCGTGTTGCATACTTGCATGTTTAACGCATCCCCTGTTTCGTGATTTCTGTAGAGTTGCAGGGTTACTGACTGCCCAGTTTCATTGATCATTAACTAATCACGAAGGTAATTTAGTCGATTCTACAGTCTGGAGTCTTATTAGTACTAGTCATTAGTTCTTAGTTTCAGTTGATTTAACCTTAGTTGTTTTCTTTTTCCTGTTGATGAACAGGTGAGGCAATGGAAGGTGTTGAATTCAGCAACTCTCCCAACTCTCAATCCACACCCCCACTCATCAACCTTGAACCCGAGCAGCAGCAACCATTGATTGCTGGTGATGCACCAGCAGCTGCTGTGAATGATGGTAATGTAGTGACTGTTGCTAGTGATGCACCAGTCAATGATGGTGAGCCTTCTCTACTTCCATTTGGGGCCAAACGTCCATTAAAAAGGATGTTTGGCCTCACTTTACTAGGTTTGTTGATAAGTCTGGTGTGATGAAAGCTAAGTGCAAATATTGCCGTAAGATTCTTGGTGGTGATACTAGCAATGGTACCTCTCATTTGAGGAATCATAAAAAAGTAGGTGTTCAAAAACATATTTATGATGGCCATCAGAAAAATATTGCCACTAATTTCCTTCCAAATAGTGTTCTTGAGAGGAAAGAAATATTTATTGGTCAGTTTAATGCAGAGGTTTCTAGGAAGGAACTTGTTACTATGATTTTGATGCATGAGTATTGATGCTCTATGACACAACACCTAACAAAGGCCAAGTGTAACCAATGAAAGGGACTGCAGTATAGTGGCTCAAGTGATAAATATCGAATCCACGGGTCTCTAGAGTTACTATTACTCAGCTCAGTTTATTATTTAGCAAATCAGATTAAGATGAAAGAACTAAAACTACTCTAGCAAACTACAGTTAAAGTTAATCTAATTACAGGTTGGGAACTCACTTAGGTATGATTCCCCCTAGCCACTAGCCAGATTAATGATTGATGATCTCTAACCTGTTTCACTTTCATTCACAATGCGGAGAATCCTTGACTAGACCTTGAGTCTCGACTAAAGGAACAAGGCCCTCTTGAGTCAATTGCCTAGAGGGACGTATCCTTCTCTAGAACAACTGATCAAGGCGTTCTGAACTAGACTCCCTCTATCGAAAGGGGTTCTCAATCGATACAAAGCAGTGAATCAACCCTCGACTAAAGCAATCGATCCACTACTATCAATCTATGGTGCTCTATTGACCTAATCAGGTATTCCCTCTCATAGGATCAAAGCAGAATCAATAATCTCGACTAAAGCAGAATTGAATCATGAAAACATGCATAGATTGAATATGAACTCAAGATTATCAAGTCAGAGTACTCATACAATCATCCAATCAAACAAACATAGCTAGGGTTCCTCAAAACCTAAGTGAAGGGAAGTTACTCCATAGAGAAGAGAGAGACTGCAGTAAGAATCTTCAGATGATCAGTCTTCAAGTCTGGGCTTGTTCCTTGAGCTTCCAAGGAGAAGAAATCCTCCAACTCCACTCCAAGAATGCCCTCAAATCGCCCTCTCTCTCTTTGGTTCGTCCCTTGGGTGTTTGGGATCCAAAAACCCAGCTCCCCCTTTCTTTGGTTCGGAATTTGGCTTAAAACCAGGAAATCCCGACTCACACGGGCAGGGTGGCACGGCCGTGTGGCCTACCCAGTTGCCCGTGTGAGGCAAAACGCACCGTATCACTTAGTCGAATTTCAAGCTTCTTACACGGCCAGGGTGGCACGGCCGTGTGTGACTTCCTTCTGCCCGTGTCTGCTCTCGGCGAATGTGGCACGGCCAACCCGGCCACTTGCACGGCCGTGTCAATCTGCTGCTCTGCCCGTGTCTGCTCTCGCAGAATGTCACACGGCCAGACTGGCCTCTCGCACGGCCGTGTGAACATCAGGGTAGCCCGTGTGACCTCCTTTGCGACTTGTCTCGCGCCCGATCTTCGCCCAATCGACCCCGAACTCGCTCCTAAACCTTCATTCACTTGCCAGGACCTGAAATATCACAAACAAGCACAACCTAGCGTGAAATCGGTCTAAAACACGAGAAACCACATCTCAAACGGTGTAAGAACAGGGGTGAAAACATGTGTAACTAACGGGCTATCAAGTATCCACTCAGTATGGTGGATCACTTGTACTTCAAATTTTTTTTTGCAATTCTCTGCAACCCTTGTTCAAAGTTCCTTGTAGAAACACTTGTAAGAGTGACATTCTTGCTATGTATGGGATTGAGAGGAAAAAGATGCATAAGTTGATTGATGGTAACAAATGTCGAATTGCTGTCACCACTGACATGTGACAGCAGGTAATCAAAATAGAGCATACATGGCTGTAACTGCTCATTATGTTGACAATCAGTGAAACAGAGGGCTAGGGATGATCTTTCTGCCTCCTCTGGTTCTGGAAATGGTCTTGATGTGCCTACCTCTAGCGACCTTGGCTTTGAGCTTTATCTAAGCCGAAGGAAAAGGTCTAAAATAACTTCACTGTGCTCTGAATTGGACCATTATCTGAGTGAGGGTGTCAGTCCTCGAGCTCCTAATGTTGGTGTTTTGGATTGGTGGAGGGTGAATGCTGGAAAATACCCTCTGTTGCAAGAGGTAGCAAGAGATTTGCTTGTTGTACCAGTGACCTCTGTGGCCTCAGAATCAGCCTTCAGATCCGGTGGTAGGCTGCTGGATCCTCACCAGAGTAGGCTGCACTTTGAAACTGTTGAGGCAATCATGTGCACCCGTACCTGGATTAAGGATGATATTAGCAAAGGTAAGGGGTTTATTTAATTGTTTCCAGCTCTATTTGTGGTTTAATGTGAAATTAACTAACTCAATTCTCCTTTGTTTTGTCTGCAGATGCTGGAAAGGAGGGGATTAACGGATTGGATAGCTGTTTTTCTGCATTGACAATGGAGGATCCTAGTTGTGAAGACTTTAAGAAAGGAGGTTAGTGAATACTGAACAATTAGTTAGTAATTTCAATTTCAAAGATGGTGAATCCTGAACAAATTTGTATGTGGTCACAGATTTTCAAGATCGTGCACTCCTGGACTTTGATGCTTGAAGATCAAGCATGTGATTGCTGCTGCTGAGTGCTTGTTGTTGCTGCTGCTGGAGAGACTTGCTGCTGTTGCCTGCTGGAGAGTTGAGACTGGAGAGTTGCTGTTGCTGCCTGCTGGAGACTGGAGAGTTGATGCTACCTACTGCTAGAGAGTTGCTTTTGGTTAATGTTGAGCTTGATGGCTCATTTTCTTTAAGTTTGGCTTGCTGCACTTTGGTAGATTTGTGATTTGCTAGTTGCTACTCTGTTTTATTGCTTGGATTGAAGTTTATGAACTTGTGACTATGAATTGGATGCCTTGTTCCTTTTCGATTTTTTTAGACAGTTCGAATTTTGGAAATTAGAGTTGGAGTGCCATTTGATTTTTCTCTAAGAATTTCCAGGTTGCATCCTTTGAATTTTGTTTTGTTTTGTTTTGGTCTTTTTCCAGGCTGACAATGGTAGCGGGTATACCCGATAAACCCGATTGGAGCCCGCTACCCGATGGATTCGGGGTTGGGCCTGAAAATGAGCCCTGCAAGGCTAGTGGGGCGGATTCGGGGAAAGCCCGATAGACTTTCGGGCGGGTGGCGGATAGCCCCTCCCCGGCCCCGATCCGACCCGTTGCCAAGCCTATATTTTAAAGGGTTCATAATATAATCAATAACAAGCTTGTGGAATAGTTGGTGATGAACTCAATTCTCTCTAAAAGAGGTGTGTGTTCAACGTCCCCACCCACCTCGTAATGTTTTAAACATAAATAAGCGTCGTGGAGGAGTTTAAATCGAAAACCCGTCGAATGGTTGGAAAAATTTTCTTGGTCAAAGTTGCAACCCGAACAAAACTAGAGACTGTTTTTTCGGTTGTACCAATCGAACCATATGCAGTTTAGTTTAGCTTTAAGTAGATAATAATGTTTTAGCTTTATTGAAAACTCGGTTTCTAGATGTGTTTGATCCCATTTTAACTTTTGAAGCCATAATATATGCCTAATGGTTAGACGTGGTTAGTAATAATTTCGTTAACTCTAGTGTATAGTGATGATAGCATTAGTAGTTATTTGACACCTAAGAACTAGGGGGTAACCTTAGAGTGCACGACATTGAGCAATTAAGAGTGTCTACTTTAGGACATCGCTTGCTAGAAGGAAATACATATATTCTCGTCAACTCTTCACAACTCTAATTTGTCCACTGTCTCCTCTAGGTCACCAAACACCCATAAGGGCATTGACCTATTTTCGGACAGTCCATCCAACAAATTATGTATGTTAGAACAGAATATGTAGGAATACTTTGATTAAGCGTATACTAGGTGGTGATGCCGCGCCTTGTCGCGGAGTAGAGATGGCCTATTGGCATGTATTATGTGGCCCGTTATGGTGTTTTGTTAGTATTATTGGTCTAAAATTATTTTTTTGTTAGCAGTTTTGTAAGTAATATATGGGGTTGAAAGTTCGTAGATGAGTTTGGGTAGGGTATGAATATTTACTTCCATAATTTAAATTTGTAAGTTGGGTATGGATAGCCATTTATTCAATGGTGATTTAATTATACATACAAAAATTAGACCTATCTGTAGAACTTCAAAAGTTTAGGTACCAAAATGTAATACACAAAATTTTAGGTGTTAAAATGTAATGTTCCATCAACATTTTGAAGACTTATATGCCAAAAAATAATTTTAGGTTGTAAATATAAAGATTTATTGAGTTTCGGTACCGAACTGTAACTGTAATTTTCATAGTTGAGGCTTAATTGCTTTTATAGTGATGTATTTAAGATGATAATTATTTATCTTTTTATAGAAAAATTGAAACTATTTATTTTATATGTGTAGATACCGAGCCAAATATTCCAAGTATAATTGTTTAAAATTCTAGCACGGGTGAAAAAGGAAAACTCTAGAGAGAAGCAAAAGGAATACAAACTGGAACTCGCATAAAATTTCACGCGCCTGAAAAAGTTAGTGGTTCATGGTTCAATTATTAATTCTCTAAACTGTTGGTGAGTCGTGTGTGGACCCGTTCATACTTGTGATTAGAATACATAAAAATAGTATACTGATTAGGGTTAGACGAAGAAGGCAAAAAAAAAAAAAAGGTTATGGAAGGCGAGTGAAAAATGAAATGAAGAGGAAGTAGATGATGGAATGTTTTGATCAATTCTTTTAGTTGGTCGTCAATACAACAGTCAATCATTTTCACCGTAGCAATTTATTGACACTTGCTTATGTAGATGTCACATATTTTGTTACATGTAGTTAGTAGAAGTTTGTTTAGTATCTCGTAAATATATTAAATGAGTTTATAAGTTCGCTCATGCAATATTTTAGAGTCGTCTCTCTTTTATCATTTATTTAATATTTCACATTATGAGCAAATATAAAATGGTTGAATCTTCTCCTACAATTGAGTGGTACAACATATTGTATTGTACAGACTAAATGTATACTCTTATGTTATATTGGATTGGATTCATGGATTGGTTCAAAAGAATTGGTAGATTGGATTCATGAATTCAAGTGAAATCTAAATATTGGACCAATATGTAAATTTGAAAAATCGTAGGTACGAAAATCTCATAAAATTTAGATACCAAAACATAATTGTTCAATGATTTTACATTAAAATTAAATTTGGCGTATCAAAATATAAACTATACATTATAGTGACTAAGTTGTGATTTAATTAAATTTGGGTATTTGGTACGAAAATCTCATAAAATTTATATACCAAACATAATTGTTCAATGACTTTATATTAAAATTAAATATGGTGTATCTAAATATAAAATGTACACTATAGTGACTAAGTTGTGATTTAATTAAATTTGGGGTATTAAAATGTGAATAATTACGCAACAAGTAACTCAACTTCATGTTTATATATAGAAACGATTGTTCTTCTATATAACTAACATTTTCTCCCTGCCCAAATACATAAAATCAGGGTTCAAAAAAGCATAATTCTGAGTACGGCTAGGCGCGCTTAGGCACTGGGCAATAACGAAACGCATCATCTAGGTTCTAGGCAGACAATAGGCATTCATAACGCTGAATCGATGCTTAAGCAAAATTAGACACAATTAATCAATGTGAGACGTGATTAATCGAAATAATGCATGCTTAATTGCACTAGCATACCATGGATTAAAAAAAATTGTAGCTAATCTACTCAAACGATGTCTTCTCCTAGGGGTGGCTATAAGGTCCGGTCCGGTTAAATTGGTCTTAGTGGTGATTATAGTTTTTTAGAGCTCGTCAAGTTGGTACCTTGGCGGCCTATTGGAAACTTTGGCACCTCCTCATTGGGTTGGCACCTTATCACTTTGATCTCTATATTTAGTTTTTTGGATCCTCATTAAGTTGGTAGCTTGCCGCCCTACCGACTTGATACCCTGTTGGAACCAATCCTATCACATCGATTTGGCACCTTTTAATACTTCCATAATACCAAACATGTCTTGTAGGCTTGGAGGCAAGGTAAGCTTGTCCTGCTGGCTTGGTACCCCACTGCCCTACTGATAACACCTAAATGAGTGTTATTTATTCTTCATATTTAGGTTTGTTTCGTATTAATTCGTGTGCATAATCGAAAGTTTGTCGTCAATTGCATCCCTATTTCATTCGCTTTTTATTATGTTGTCATTCTAGGATGTTTTAGATGATACATGTGAATTAGGTACGTAAAATGGCACAAATGGAGAGGGAAACACCTTGAGAGAGTTTCATTGAAGATCCAATCCACCTAAGGAGGAAGAAGAAGGTGCAAGCAAGGAGAAGAAGATCGATTTCATCACTCCCCCTATTCTAGTTTGTGTTTTCTCTCTCTCTCTATGATTTAAATCTCTAATGGTTGTTTAGGGAAGATGAACACTAGTTTATAGGTTGTGTATGTATGGGTTTTGAATGAATGTGTCTATCTAGTTGATTTTACTACTTCTCTAGCTTTAATTGTGCTTGGGTAAGTCGTCCTAATCTTTTCTACAAGCCTACTTGATCTTCTACGGTGCATATGAAGTTTTAGAGTTAGACGGGTATGCGTCATTTGACAGATTAGGGTTAGATGAATCAATAGGAACTTGTGGTGCACGAGGCGACCGTACCCATGCCATAAGAATTCCTTCCTAGATGTAACTCGGGATGAAACCTTGGTCGGTGGATAGTACCAATTGAAAGGAGCTATGTTTTAAATCCCCAAATACGATAGCCTAGATCGAAGAGACTTACATGGGTTTAGGGGAGGAGTACTCGGAGGCGTGATGATAATCACGAAGGCCCAAGGAAAAGAGCTCACCCACCACATGTTCTTAACCCTACATGTAGGGCTGGCTATTTGGTCTCGGACTGTTTGGTTTTACCCGAAACCGGACCGTATAACCCGGACCGGGACCGGACTGGGACCTGATAGCAAACAATGCAATCTCATATTCGGGCTTAGATTTGGGGTAAAAAAACCAGATAAAGACCGGATAAGAGACCCCCAACACAAAAAATCAAGATAAAATTGGGACCAGACCGGATCAAGACCGGACTGTATCCAATCCAATCTTTGGTCCTTATATTCCCGAAAAGACCGGACTGGGACCGGATCAATTTGATCCAATTTAACCGGATCGGACCATATAGCCACCCCTACCTACATGACAACCATAGCTAGGAGTAGGATAGGTTAGATCTTTCACCCAAACTCCAGATTCGATTAGATAGTAGTCGGAGCGAAGTAATAATAAATTTAGGGTGCCCTTGAAATACGACAGAGCCACTTTGCTACAACCCTAGCTATGTTATGCTTGGCTTAGTTAGAATTGAATAGATAGTGTGCATCGACTTATAAATTTAAAACTCGATCATGCAAGAGGATCACCTGCTATCAAGCATGTCTTGCCAACGAATTAATCAAATTATATATCTTGTCGACTCGATACCCTATTGACAGGCTTTCATGCTTCTTTGCCGGTTTCTGAGATGATTATTTTTATTTTTACTGGATTCAGAGTCCAATATACTAACCACTAGACCATAGAACCTTGTTGTTTCTTTCTTAGATACATATTTATGTGTTTATTGGTTTCTCACCGGAATTTAATTGCGTAGTATACTAAAAAAATTCAAAGAAAAATAATTTTTTTATCCAACAAATCAACCAGAATGCAGGCAAAACATCGACCCTTAACCCGTATTACATATAAAATTCGAAATTTCCATGACAAAGGTTACAAAAATCGTCTTTAATTAAAGTTTTGAACTCAGAGAAACGAAATGAAGACCTTCAATTCGCCGATAATCATATCTTACAAAAGAAATCATTCAGTGCCACCAAAACGAGCCTTGAGCTGCTTCACTTCAGCCTGACTAATTCCAGTAGTTTTCTCCACCAGGAAAGACGGGAACGCGTTCCTGAACAACGCGCCAGTGGTAAACTGGACACCGGGATCCGAGCTCGCAAAAGAGACGAAAAGGACGGCGTTGGTGCTCCCGCTGTTGTGCTGGAAATGAAGAAACCCTTGCGGGATCGCCATCACCTGCCCTTTGCTCAACTTGTTGGCGTACAAGATGTTGGAGTCCAGGCCGGAGATGAACCCCATGGTGACGTTGCCTTCCACCACGAACACCATCTCCGACGAGTACGGGTGGCTGTGGAGCGGGACGACGCCGTCCGGCTCCATGTCCACCCGGACCGCTGCCTGGTTCAACCCGTTCAGAGCCGGGAAGTGGTTGACGAAGGCTCGCGTCAAGGCTAGCTTGTTCGGGTTCGTGGTGTTCCCCGGGCTGACAAACCCGGAGAACACGAAGTCGGCTGCGGTGACATTGGCCCGGTTCTTGCATGGGTACCCGTAAGGCGTCTGTTGACCGGTCAGGTCGGCCACGCAGAAGTCGGCCGCGTAGCAGGAGGACGAGAAGGTGGTGAGAAGAACGAGGACAACGAGAAGTAGGAATGGAGTATGCATCGTTGAGAGTACGAAATTAAGACTTTGGAGTTGAGTTGAGTTTATGATGAAGAGGGTTTTATATTTATAGGGGTATAGAAGAGAATGGATGGGTCTTTTTTACACGAAGTAAATGCCTATACGTTGTCACTCCAAGTGTATTAACGTCAAATTATCAATTGGATTGATTCTTTTTGCAGTCGATTTCGTATGAAATGTGTCCAAAACGTGAAAGATTAAGACGTTAATTCCAATTTTTTTTTTGGGGGACCAATTCTTTGGTTAATTGTCTTTATTGATGGCGGAGGAGCTAGCTAGGTATATACCTACAATATTGCTTCTCGCATTGACCTAGTCTACTCGTGCCATACGTCTTACTATTCTTCGATTTTGGATTGCCGATGAATCAAAATTTGAAGAGAGCAAAACGATGACGGTGATGTCCTTTATCAAGTTGGGATTTTGGCCGGTCACTTGCTCAATGACAATTGGCCGTCTTGGATGGCAGTGATTACACCGGTAAGTAAAGATTTGGTTATTTTATATATTGATCCGAGTTCTTCTCCTTGATTGGAGAAACAGTAGCCTCTGTCATCCACCGATTATAGAGAATAAAAAGTAGTACAAATGGATGTTGTTAGGTTTTTTTATATTAAATAATATAATTTTATAATTTATTTTATTTTAAAATAATATAAATGAAAAAATTATATTTTCTAAAATAAAATTAAAACATGGAAAAGATAATCTTGTATTTTCAAAACAACTTTTCGCAGAAACTCCAAATCGGAGCTTCTGCTTTTATGTTATACAAAAGCGCTTTTTGGCTTTTCAAAAACCGAGCTTTTAGAGGCGTTCGGGTTTGCTTCAGCTTTTGAAGCCGAAAAACACTTCTAAAAGCTGGGTCAAACATAGGCCCATTGGCCTAGGAGCATGGCCATTCCTCTTCCACGGGCTCCGACCGCACTTAGGGTTGAACCTTCAAGTTCTTGACATCAACAGTTTCTATATTGATGTTAAAGTTAGTGATAGCGCTAGTTTTAATTGCCACTGCCACTGCCTTAGCTACAAGGGGTTTTTAAGATCACCTTAGGGATATCATTGAAGAAAGTTGGCTTAGTCATAGGTGATCTAAATGTAATGCTCTTTGAGCATGAAAGAGAGGAGAGATGCTCCATGTGTAATGAAAATGTAGACCCTTTAAGTACAACATGCAGTCGCAATGCCCTGATCGACCTTGGATACAAAGGGAAACCCTTCACCTAGTTAAACAAGTAATAGCGACCGAACTTGATCAAAGGCTCGGCAGAGCAATCTGCTCTACAACCTGGAGAGCGAATTTTGACAAAGCAGTTGTATTCCATGAGGATATGGCTAACTCTAACTATTGTCGAATACATATTGACATCCATGACAAAGAGACTAAGAAAGATACACCATTTTGGTTTGACAAACAATGGAGGGACCAATGAAAATGTCAAACAATCGTCCAACAAATTTTTGCGGCCTCTGGATGTTCAGAGGAAAAGATGCAAAGGTTCAAAGGGAAGCACTAAAAAAAAGGGCCTTTTGCGACAAATACTTTTAAGCGAGAATGAGAAATTAAGACAAGACTAGCTGAATAGGCCAAAATGAGGAGGATGAGGAGAAGTCTCTTATGGAATAATAGTGAAAATTTGGAAGGAAGAATAGTAATTCTAGACCCAGCGTTCTAAAATTACATGGCTCCAGGAACGGGATCAGAACACAACTTTTCCTCACTCCACCACCATCCAATGGAAGAACTCAAATGAATCTTAAGACTTAAGAATCAAAGGGGAATTTGGTTGGGGGATGAGGACGATGTTGTGCTTCATCAATATCCAAACTAAAAATGAACCCTAACATATTGTTTTATCTTCTGTTTTTTTGTGTAAAAGTTGGAATATATTCATTTCAAGGGAAAAATAAAGAAATTGGACTAACAAATTGGTCCCCATAAGACATTATATACAAGATAATTGTCTTTTTGCCCTTTTAGAACGTTTAGGAGGCAAAAAAAAGTACAAAACTTGTAGGGAAAAATGGTCTTTTTTTTGTAAGAATTAAGAAGATGGATGCAATGCATCCACAATCAAATAAGAATATCACGCTCTTGGGAGGTTTCCCTACCATCGTAGTTCAACCAATACATGAGGTTAGTGTCGCACGTATCAAGCTGATGCGTGCCAAAATGGACACGTGACCCTTGATAGGCAAGAAGTCGACTGCAAAATTACACTCTCTATACACGTGGTTAATTTTCACTACCCAATTACGACTAAGGAGCTCTTTAGCTTAGAGGGCAAGTAATCTGTGTCTATCATCCTCCTTTCAAAATGCTCACCACATTAGTGGAGTCCAGGTTGACTTCGATCTTCCTATATTCCTTATCCCATGCAATCTTTAAACCTTCCACAACACCTTTCAGCTCCGCCATGGTGAGGTGCAACAGCCCATGTTGGACACAAAAGTTGTTGAGCATTTTCCCATGTGATCGCTAAGCATTTCTCCAGCAACATTGTGGTTCAGGCTTTGGTAACTTCCGTCACTTAGAAGTTGAATCCAGCCTTCCTGGAGAGGCTTCCATGAGGTGAAGCTTCTTTCTCTATTGATTCTTGTGACCAGGCCAATAGAAGTAGTGTTATACACAACATTGGTATTTATGGTGAAGCAAGCAGTGATTCGTTGAATTAGACCCATATCAGAGAAGGATTTCCCTTTCATTGCTTCTTCGCTTCTCTGCTTCCAGAAGCACCACCATATGATCCCAAAATCTGTTCCTCTGCTCTGATCCTTTATGTTGTTGAGCAACCAGGTTTTGAAGTTGTTACACTGAGGGCAGTTGTTGTTGGTTGTCAACCCTCTCTTTGATCTCTCCTAGTTTGTCATCAATCTGTTATATGTCACCAGCCACATAAATATTTTATCTTGCTCTGTCCTTTCCATTTTCAAATACCCTTCCAAATCGAATCATCCTCCCTATCTAATGAGTCTGAGGCAAGGTTGTAGGCAGACTTGAGGCTGAACTTCCCATCTTGTTCAATGCCCCAGATGTGCTTATCCTCCCCTGAGCCTGGAATGGAAACATCAGTGCTGCAATTAAAGACAAGATCTCGTCATGTAGAAGACTGTTGAGTCTGCTCCAGTCCCAGTCCCCTTCCTCCATTACCCAATCAGCAACAACAAAGTTCATCTCTTGTTCATTTATCTCTTACTAGAGAAAATCAACAAGGACAATGTCATGGTCAATCCAGGGGTGAGCTCAAAAGCCTGTGGAGGCTCCATCACTAATACTCCATGCAGTTGCATGCTTCATCATGGGCGTAGATTTCAAGATAGCTTTCTAAAGGCTAGAGTGATTGTTGTTATTCATGGAAACAATCATCACATCCAATGCAGTCAAAAGCGCGATTCTACGTAGAAGCGTACAATTGTAAGTTTTTAAGTATTAAAGCATAGATTTTGACTGCATTTGTAAGAAAAAATCACGATTCTACGTAGAAGCGTTTTGGTGACCTAAAAAGGTAAAAGCGTAAGATTTTAAGTTTTAAATCGCGATTTTGACTGCATTGATCACAACCTTGTGGTGGAAATACTTCCCCTGGAGAACCTACACCCAGAGAGCTTTTTCATCATTGAACATGAGCCACACATTCTTAATTATGTAGGCCGTATTAAGAATCCTAGCATACTTGAGACCCAGACCACCCTGGCTTTTAGGTTTACAAATGGTGTTCCAAGCAAAAAGATGAGCTTTCCTCCTTCCTTCATGTGAACCCCAAACAAACCATCTAACCTTTATATCGATTGCATCACAAACCGAGGCAGGGAGGGTGATAGTTTGCATTGCATAGGTTGGAATGGCATTCAAAACAGATAGGGCAAGGGTAACTTTTCCAGTAAAGGAGAGAGTTTTTGCTTTTCAGGCTGTGTCTTTTGTCAATCTTGTCAAGGATATATCTATAGGTATTCCTAGTAATTCTACCATGTAGCAATGGAACCCCAAGATACTTTCCCGGGTCATTGGTGGATTGGATTCCAAGTACATCACAAATAGATTGTCTCACGCCACTTTTAGTGTTAGGAGAAAAGAAAATGCGAGACTTATCCTTGCTAATCAATTCCCATCATGCTTCACAAAAACTATTCAAGCAAGACAGCAAACAGGTAGCCTGGAGGGGGGAAGCCTCAACATAAAGGACCAAATCGTCCGCAAAAAAGGTGGGAGAGAGGGGGGGGGGGATTCACAGATAGGACCATAGGTTTCCAAGACTTGTTCTCAACAGCTCCAAAAATACTGTGACTCAACTATTCAATACATAACGTAAAAAGGTAGGGAGAGAGGGGACATCCCTGACGAAGGCCACTGCTGGGGGTGAAGCTCTCCTCCATTCCACATGACTTGAAACTCTGTTGTAGTCACACACTTCATGATCATCTCCACAAACCTCGCAGGCAGCCTAGCAGCAACTAGAGTTTCTGCAAGGAAGATCCAATCTCGTCTATCATATGCTTTTACAAGGTCAATTTTAATCAACAATGAGCCTTTCTTCCCTTTCCTCCTTGTCATGGAGTGGACAGTTTCCTGCAAGATGAGAATGTTATCAGTAATGTGACGATGAGGAACAAAACCAGTTTGGTTAGGTTTAATAAGATGGGGCATCATGTGCTTTAGCCTTTCAGCTAAACATTTTGCCACCACTTTATAACTCACATTACACAAACTAATGGGCCTAAAGTGAGTCATGGAAGAATGGGTTTCAATTTTTGGGATCAGAGAAATCAGGATGGCATTTATTCTCCAAATTTGTTCAGGTGAGACAAAATAGGAGTTAACAAAGCTGATAGGAGTTAACAAAGCTGATGAGGTCAGCTCCCACCCTTTCCCATCACTTTTGGAAGAATATAGCTTGAAAGCCATCTTTTCTTCAAATGCAAAGGAAAAGATTGAGAAATTGGACCAATGTCAATCCTCACGCACCTTATCCTTTGAATGTGGACATTATACCTCTGAATCCCTTTGGGAGTAGTTTGGTAGCTAAGATTTTAGATGAGTTATGAATTTTGAACATGATGTTCATAATGTTTCATATTCTTTTGTTGTATAATTTTTGTTTCACATTTTAACTTATTTTCATATTTAGACAAGAAAAACTCATGTATTAATTAACAAATTCATAATTTGGTGAATCACATAGGGGTCATTTGGATGGATTATTTAAGTGACATATTTGGGTTATAGTAACTCACAGTGAGATAATGAGATCTAGATAATCCGTTTGACAACACTTTACTAAGTTGAGTTATTTGGACATTGAACTATTTACAAATAACTTATTTGAAATAACTCTTACCTAATATTATTTGAAAACTCTCATTTAATCAGTTTGTTATTTGAAATACCTATCTAAATATCACATACCACATGGAAATGGTTTGACCAATCGACATTCTTTAGCCCAATTACCACATAAATCGTATTAAAATACCATATAAACAATTAATAAATTATGTGACTTTACAATTACCACATTCACACTTAATCCATCCAAAGAATTAGTAAAATTTGGAAATACCAAACAACTCTTTTTCCATGTCCCTATTTTCCATTCCTCGCTCATCAAAATTGCGTAGTGTCTCTTCCAATATGATGTGATTGATAAGCCATCATTTATTGATAAATACCAAGATAAATCGTAACTCCTTTATTATAAAATAAAGTTAGAAGAAGACAATAAAGTGGAGTATCAGTTAAGACCAAAAGTGATAGAAAAAATAGTAACTCCAGGTGATGCAAATTTTTTTTCTTTTTACAAAAGGTAGTGCTTATATTTCATTCCCATAAAACCGATTACCAAAAGAGTTAAAACAATGAAATCAGAAAGCAAGTGAAGAATGGTAATTCAATAATCTGATAAAGACATTACTTGCAAGCAATCAGGCCACTCAATTTCACCTTGATAGAAACTGTCTTTTTCCTCAACTTAATTTAACAGACTATATAGATTTTCTCTGGATTGTAATTAAAAAAATGTACAGGAAATATCATATTAATTATGTTCTTAAAAAAAATTCACTTTGAAAGAAGAGTTATGTCGACCATATAATCCCAAGCCACCATAGCATCTCAAAGGCCACACTGAGAGGGACTCATCCTGCCTATGCCTTGACAAGGACAGGAGGACTCGGCACTCCGATCACACTCGACAAGAAAAACTCTATTCTTGAGGAAGTTTAAATGCTCTAATAACATCTTTGCTTCGACTTCAATTGAAGATGCACAAAATGTAGTATTCGCTTATTCAACACAATTTTGTTCATGACTATTGATATGATAACAGCAACCCCATAAACCGCCACCCAACTAAGAATAATTTATAAATGACTCATCAAAGTTAAATGTAAGATAGAGATTACTTTGTGGTGGACATGGTTAATTTTGGGTTTGAACATGACCCACAAACGACATGTTATTTGATGTGAGAAATGTATTTTTTAAATTTTAAAAATATCCTATCAGGATTATAAAAAATATCTTATCAGGACCATCAACTTAGAAAAAATATACTTTTCTTTGTCTACTAGTATACACTTTTTATTCACGAGTCAAATTCACTTTATAATATAACAGGATTTATCTTGGTCATAAATAAAACTTAAGTGATAACGAATGACGTAAATATTGCTCAAATACAAAAGCACGGATAAAATAAAAATTCTTCACTATTTAGAATTACATAGCTATCACATTGATATCTCATACTAAAAAGAAATTACCCCTTTTGAAAAACAGAAACCACAAATTAAACTCAGAATTACAGAGTAACCACATGAATTACTAAAAAAATTACAGAAATAATTCCACCAAAAAAAAATTACACAAATAAAAGACATGATGAGGACAGAAAGTAAACCTCCCTATCCAATTAATTAGTACCACCAAGGACACCCTTAAGCTTCTTGACTACTGCAGAATCAAGGAACGTAGTCCCCGTAACCAACTCGGTCGGGAAGTCATTGGCAAACAATGCGAAGTCAAGAATCTGCAGCCCAGGTTCAGGGCTATTGAAGGTCACCACAGCACTAGCAGGCACACCACCGCCATTGATCTGGAAGTGCAACAACCCTTGTGGGAAAACCATCACCTCTCCCTTCTTCACGGTCGCGATGTACACCTTGTTGGACGAGGAAGTGATGAACCCGGCCTTGATGACCCCGGAGGTCACGACGAGGATCTCGTTGGCCGCGGGGTGAGTGTGGAGCGGGATGACCCCTCCGGGGGCCAGGTCGAGCCTCGCCGTGGACAGGCCCAGCCCGTTCAGGGCTGGGAACTGCTGCACGAAGACCGGGGTCACCGCCGCATTGATGATGTTTGTGGTGTTGCCGCTCGAGACGATGCCCTTGAACACAAAGTCCGCGGCAGTGACCATCGCGGGGTCCCTACACGCGTACCCTGACACGCCCCCCGCGCCTTTCAGCTTCGCCACGCAGAAGTCTGCTGCGTGGGAAGCTGGGGCGAGGACGAGTGCGAAGAGGAAGAGGATGTGCAACATTTTTTTTTTGTACTAAAGAATGTTGTGACTAGCTAGCTACTAGTGTTGTTTGGGCTATGGAAAAAATGTAGGTAACAGTTTGTAGCTAGAGTGGTATATTTCTAATTGGGTGTGGATGTAGGGTTTATATAGAACTGTTTGGGTAAGGGTAGGGTTGGAAATGGTCAAATGGAGACAGGAGGACCATATAATTTTTTGCTTGCTGTGAGAAGCTTAGCTAGTTGGCCATTCTTGTGTGAGCCCACACCATCCTTAAAATTCCACAAAGACAAACAAGAACCAGCTTTTTTGCTTGATTAACGCTTAATGACATAAAAAATAATTGTGTGAGCAAAGCTAATCCTGGTCCCAGCGGGATTATGACATGCCTGAATCCCATTGTGATGAGGAAAAAATGACAGGGTGTTTCTTGGACTGTTGATGGATTAGTAGCTTTCTTTTCGGGTGGACATCCAAATGTATTAAATATCGTCAAATACGATAAGTGTTTTTTTATACATATTTAGTCTCATGTTTCACGGCATATCAAATTTCCTAATAAATCTTCAGTTCATATAAAATCATTATTACATTAGAGAAATATTAGCCTTTTAATTGGAAAAATGGTTAAATTGCCCTCTAACATATGAAAAACAATATATCACTCTGAAAGATTGAATTCTATAACATAGAACAATGAACATCTCGCTATATCGTAACATCATAACAACAATCAAGATGTTATGAATCATTTGTCACATAATCACACTTAGGGTTGTTAATGAATCAAGCTGCTCATGAATGACTCGGCTGTGACAACTCAGCTGTTCGACGCGAGATAAATCATTCGACACTCTACTCATTTTTAACTGAGTTGACTTACGAACAAACTCGTCACCTAACGAGTCGAGCTCGAGCCATGACATGCTCAGATAGGCTGGCGAAAAAGTATGAGAAACTTTTAGAATGTGCGTGATTTTGAGTCAAATTCTAGGTAGATCTTGAACTACAATCGACATTTTATCAACTGAACTCAATTTTACTCTTTAACCTAATTTGGCAAGTCGACTCGAGCTCCTATTTTTTTGTAAATGAGATGAGCTCGAGCTTGCCTTTTAAAGCTCGTGTCAAACTCGAGCTCAGGTTATTTTAATGAGTCGAGTCCGAACCATGACAAAATTCGACTCGGCTCTCAGATCATTAACCGCCCTAATCATTCTACCGATATTTTTCACAATGCCAACAAGAGGAATTATTATATGTGATCAAGTATCGATCTCTTTACATTTGATCACACACATGGGATTATTACTTGATCTGTAACTTGATTATTGCAAAAAGAACTAAACAAGCTGAGGCGAGTGACTGAAGCTAGTGGGAGGTGGTGGGATTGGGAGTGGGAAGAGTTGATTGGGAAATGATCAATTGGGAAAAGATGCTTTGGTCTGGTTTTTTGGTGGTCCAGTAACAACAGCACATGGAGAGAAATAAATGACAATTTCAGCAAAGACAAGTTGCCAGCTAAACCAAAAGTGTCAACTGATCATGAAGAGCTTCTTTGTTAAAAATGAGAAGATATCAAGTTGTGTGGACTAGGTGAAGGAATTCATCCCTTTCAGGCTAGCCTTTTTAGCCCCACATTTCACTGGAGGATTGAGCAACAAGACAGACAGAGATAAGACCGTATTGACATATCCAATTATTGTGCTATATATTCTGCAATTATTTTTGCAAGAAAGAACTTTTCAGTATGTATACTGTTCCTGTACTCCCATGCCTAGGTTACAGTACTGTTGATGAGGGAGTATTTTGTCCTTCATCAAGCACCTCATATAGGATCCGTCCGTCGGATTGGAGGAGGAGTTTTTTGAAGTCTTTGGATGATTGGGAGTATTTATTTATGAATTCCATAATAAGAAAAAAGAGTAACATACTTGTTTGTTATAAATGAATTCCATAAGTTTTGAGGAATTCATTTTGAAATGAAATATTTTTGTGTTTGGTATTTAAAAGAGTTCATTTCCAATTCTAAATTATGAATTCTATGGAATTGGTACTAGTTATAGCAATTTTGAAAAATTGAGATGGAATTTCCAAATGAATTCCACAACTATTTACTAATTATAATAGAATGTCATAATTATCCTCTTTATTAACTAAATTACTTATATATATAACATACCAAACACATGAATTCATTTTTTTCTAAGAATTTGAATATGACATACCAAACACAATATTTCATTTGATAATGAATTCTACACTATAATTCATTTTACAATGAAATGAATTCTTGATTCATTTGATACCAAACGGTCTGTAAGGATATTTTGGGGAATGTGGTATTTTCATATTTTTACCATTGATTTGAGTTTGACTTTAGTTTTTATTGGAATTAGGAGAACAAATTGAAAAAAGTAAGGATAAGAGTACGGTTGGAAGTTTGGTTTGTGAATTGCGGGTAACCAACAAATCGCACCAAATCACACACTTTGTGGATAGTGAATTGGACAGGGTTAGAAAAATATTGATTTTTGTGGTTAGTGGTTAATCACTACCCACGACAATTAACCCACAATAACTACACTAATTTTATTTATTTATTCATAATACTTTGTGATATACTAGTATGATTGGTATTCCATGGTAAAATTCTCACTTTGGATAGATTGCGGCAACGAGGCTGGTGTCTTCCCAATCATTGTTGTATGTGCTTCATAGCAGAAGAAACATCAGATCATCAGAAGATACCTCTACTTCTTTTCATTTTATGACTTATATGATTGTATTTTGAAGTTAGTCCACTTCTTATGGACCCTCCACTATTTCGATAAATACAAGCATTCACACATTTATAGTACAAAAAATAGTATGTGAAAAGAAATGACCATTTGAAAAAAGATAAACCACCAAGGACACCCATAAGCTGTATGTTCGGTTTGTTGTCGGTTAACCTATTCGATTATTGATTACACCAAAGCCATCTTAACCTATCGATAACCGCACCACTAACTTATAATGGGTTAACGATATAATGATTGTTGACCTTAGTTTATCGGTGTAATCGCTACTTCTGTAGGCCTATATATATCAGTCATTTAAAAGATAATTTTGTGTTTTAATTTTGATTACTAATTTGGATTAAGTGCTGATCACTTACTTAGCAGTGTAATTTATTGGGTATTCATGCAAATCAGATTCTACTAGCTTGTAATTTAACTATTCTCTAACTTCTTGGGTTTGAATCGAGTATCCAACTTTAGAGTATTCACGTTAGTCTTGCATTTCTAATTGCAAGATCACATGGTATGGTTTGTGCAATTGCAAAATCAATTCATCAATGTGGGTATGTGTGTACCTATTGCATATTTGCAAACTTGCAACAAATGCAATTGTATATGCAAGTTAAAATGGACTATAAATAGGAATTATAATTTTTTTTATTTCTTCTCCCTATAAATTTATTTTAACATAACTTAAACATAATATTTAATTGCATATGCAATGCAAGTGGATTGCATTGATATAGATGCAATGACACTCTCCGGGGTACGACTCCAGCCCTCATTTGGGTCAGGAACTAGTAAAGTATTTAAGCATTTTTTATTTTTAAGCATATCTAAACCACTATTCAAAATTTAGCCGAGAAATTCAGCTACAATGATTTTCATTTGAAAAAAGTAAATAAACAATGAAAACTAAAAGTCTAAAATGTAAAAGACTAAAAGTATAGATTTTGGGTGTCGGGGCGGTAGGGGTCCATGATAAGTATCTGGATTTACCCACACTGATTGCCCAATCCAAGATGGAAACTTTCCGTTATTTGGAGGAGAAGTTGCTGGAACGGCTCCAGGGATGGAAGCAGCGGACACTATCTTGGGCAGCTAAAGAAACTTTGATTAAATCAATTGCTTTAGCGCTGCCATTACACGTTATGTCCTGTTTCAAGCTACCTCTCTCTCTATGTCGGATATTGGACAAACATGTGGCCCGTTTTTGGTGGAGTGTAGAGGAGGGCTAGACAAGGATTCGGTGGATATCCTGGCGAAATATGTGCAAAAGAAAACATGAGGGGGGGGGGTATGGGATTTCGTCGTTTTTAACATTTTAATCAGGCTCTGTTAGCCAAAATTGGTTGGTGTATCCTTAATGAACCCCAGTCACTTTTGGCCCAGGTTTACAAAGGGAAATATTTCCCGAATGGGACATTCCTTAAGGCTACGGCCCGCTCTCGACCATCGTGGGGGTGACAAAGTATCCTCTATGGTAGACAGTTATTGGAGTTGAGGTTACGATGGAAAATTGGTAATGGACAGAGTGCATCTCTTCTTCATTCCAACTGGGTTCCTCGGCTTCATCCCGGTCTCCCGGTGTATAATCCCCAGGTATTGTCGGAGGGGGTGACCCTTCGGTAGCTGAGGTTATATGTCAAGGAAAGGGGTCGTTGGTGTGACCTTAAGCTTAGTCAGTGGTTTGACCTGCCAACATGTCGTGCCATTAAAGTTATTCCTCTACCACATCATAATGTAGAGGATAGATTGATTTAGCATGCCACGGCGGACGGGGTTTTTACGGTTAAATCGGCCTACCACTTTGTTGTCTTACTTGATAAGTGCAGTGGTCATTGGCGGTCCCTGGCTAGTTGGATGGATAAGACCAGTTGGATTCGGTTATGAGAGGCTAATGACGAAGGAACGATCGGAGAAAATCAAATGGCACTGATAGAGCAGCAAATCAACTCAATCAAGCAACAGACATATTAAGCGCAAAAGGAAAGAAACAGTTCGTGGCATCAAGGATGATCAAATCTTATGTAGCAAAACAAGGAAGGAGGTCTACAACAGAGGATGTTGGACTAGGATAAAAGGGAGAAGAATACAATGGACTCTAGGACTTTTCAGCAAACAAAAGATTGAGAGTACAAAAGGAGTGTTTGTAAGCAATCTTCGAAAGAAAAGTCAACACAGAAATAGAGAGATTTATGGGTTCTGGTATAGGGTTATATCAGAGGATTTCTATTAGCTGGGTAGCTGATAGGTGAGTGAAAAGAAAAGGTTTGATCGAGTGGGAGGTTGATTAAAAAGAAAAGAGAGTTGGGCTTAGGCATTACAGCCCATTACAGAAGGACTTTCTGCTTGGCCAACACTAAATGCTCTGAAGCAAAAAGCTGCCTTCAATTTATCATCAATTTATTCTCGTTCTCTCACATGTTCTTGGCGATGAGGAAGATTGAGTTGCTGCAGGTATAGAAATCGCCGGATAACGTAGAGAAACGTAGGAAATTGTCTCATGCTCGATGCCTAACACGTGGTACCATAGCCCGGCTCCATCGAAGAAGATTCTAAGATCTTTGCAAGTGAAAAAATGGCGTCCGGATCTGGAAGTGGAGTTGTGTTGTCTCTTGCTGATGATTCTCCCAGAATCGCCCATCAAGGTTTGAAGGAGTCAACTACAACTACTGGAAGAATTGCATGGAACTCTACATTAGGACCATAGGTCCGAAGATTTGGGATAGAGTTCTTGACGATCCTCTTGAGGTTAATGGCGAACGAGGGAAATGGATGAATGAAGATCGAGACAAGCATCAACAAAATTGCAAGGCCACGAATCTTATGTATTGTGCTCTCGGCCAGAGGAATACCATAAAGTATCAGGCTGCAAGACGGCGAAGAATATCTGGGACAAGCTCCAGGTTACCTATGAAGGCACTTCGCAGGTAAAAATCTCACGCATCAATACTTTAAAGACGGAATTTGAACTGTTTAAGACAGAAATCTGGGACAAGCTCCAGATTACCTATGAACACTTCGCAGTTGAATGTCTCAAGTGTTATATCTGAATCGCTATGCCATGACTTTTACAAAAGAAACATACCCAAGTTGGTCTGGGTACGAAAAACAAGTTGACTGCTAATGGTACGAAAAACGTACCCAAGCTCCAATTGCCACGCCCCTAGGCAATATTGCCAAGGCCTCAGGGCTGTGAGAATTACCCCAAATCGTGACATTGGTCTTTTCTTCATATTTTTGCACTTTTGAACTCCAATCATCCTGAAACTTGTTCTCGACCTTCTCACATGTACCAGGACCTGAAATATAACAAAAAAAAACACAACTTAGCGTAAAATAGGTCGAGTGATGATGATTTATCAAGTCAAACAATCAAGAAATGAGGGATAAAATATGTGTAATTATGCTCACATCAGTGGGGCAATATGACATGGCGGGTTGAGTGATGTGGCGGTCGAATTTTTTTTTTTCGGTTGAAATTAGTCTGACTAGGAGATTCCGTTAGCCACATCAGCACATAACGGACTCCATTAACGGAGTTGAATGGAAACTAACGGAGAGTGACCAAAAATTGGACTGTTTTACTAATTCAAGTGACTAATATGATAATTAAATATTCCCAGTATCTAAACATGATATTTTTTTAGTAAACCCAATAATCTAATATGCAATTTACCCAAAAAATAAACTCACGAATTTTGGCTGACAAACTTTAACCTTTAAAAAAAAACTGCCACTTGATTAAGAAAGAAAAAAGTCAACCAACACCTACTACATATGCTCGTAATTAAATATATAATCTGTGATACATGAAATATTTGTTGCATTTTTTCTTTTATGAAAATTTATCACATGATATAGAACGAGTATTCTTGAATTATGACCATAGACAAAACTCAAAAACAAAGTCTTAAAAAATAGATCGCCACTCTTCTGAACACATAACATTTTTAACCCGATTTAATTTTTTCTGAACTGATCAACCGATAACCGACTCCGATCGGACCTGATTGAAGCGAAGCTGGATACACGTTTAACAACCTTGAATTCTCCATAGTAGATACTAGCAAACACCGACTTCTATTTCTGACCCAAGCTTTACATTTTATGGTGTGAGTTCCAATAGAGAAGCTAGAAAAAGTAAGAGGGAACGAATTCCCCTGAATAGCTTTTTTTAAGTAATCCTATTTTCTTCTGTTTCCTTTTTTTTTTTTTTGCCAAGAAAATTATGATAACTGACTGGGCTCAGCAGCAAAAGGCCCTGGAATTATTCCCAGCCAGACGCAGCGGCAGAAGGCAGAAGAAGAAGAAGGCCCACTGGCCCAGGCAGGCAGGCAGGCTTATACATTTTCTGCTCTGAGAAATACTGGGAATTTTGACTCTGTCAAAACCCAAATATATCTCTTCCCAGTGACTGAAAAGAGTCACATGACTAATATGGAAGGCTGGCCCTTTTTTTATCTGAGGCTGGCTAGGCAGGCACACAAAGCACAAAGGGGAAAGGTGGTACAAGAAAATGCTCAAAAAATAATACAGAAGATAAATATATATGAATAAATACAGGACATAAAATAAATTGAAATAAAAATAATAAAGGAAACTGGGTAGAATAATGCACAGCATGTGTGTTTGGTCAGAAGTGTTCAGAATGCTCAGTCACAGTGTTTAGAGAAAGGGAAGAAATCAACTTCATTCAAAAGAGTCAGCACAATAAAATAAAAAAATCCATCTCATTTATTTGCTTTTTAGTGAAGAAATCTTAAGGGTTTGTTTGCTTGTTGGATTTGAAAATGAAGGTTTTGAGTTTTGAAAACCTTTGGATTTATGATAGATTTGTTGCATTTTGTATTTGAAAGATCACATTGTTTGTTTAGTTGATTTTATCATGGATTAAGGCCTTGTTTGCTTGATGGAGTGAAGCTGACAAGTAATGCCGAGCTCATTCGACAATCTCTAAGCCAAACCATTTCAGAACTCAGTTCCTACCTAGAACGATACTCCGCTTCTGCGGAGGATTTCGATACCATATCCTGCTTTCTACATCTTCATGAAATAAAAGAATGACCAAATCGGATACACCAGCCAGATGTAGAACGCCTTGTACCAAGACAGCCTGCATAGTTTGCGTTTGCAAATCCTTCCAATTCAGGTCGGCCATCTGCAGGAAAGAACATCCCAACATCCTAAGTATGATTCAAATACCGTAACAATCGATGTACAACATCCAAGTGCATAGTTCTCGCCATCCCCATGAACTGGGTAACATTCTTAACTGTATAAGCAACATCAGGTCTCGTGTGAGTAAGATATATGAGGTTTACCACTATACTCCGGTAAAAGGTTTGATCTTCTCAAAGTTCCCCACTTTCCCTACTCAGCTTGAGATTTTTTTCAATAGGAGTGGAGCATGGTCGACAATCACTCGATTGAGCTGCCTCTAGAAGATCAATAATGTACTTACATTGTCAAGAACCAGTTGATACCAATAACTCGAGTTGTTGGAGACAGTGGCGGATTCAAGAATTCTACATAGGGGTGTCCTCTCAAAAAATAAATTTAATTAAATATTTAAATTAAATAATTATTAAATTTGAAAATATCTGGCTGATAAAAGTTACATTAAAAATTCAGAAGTGTTTTGTAAAATGGTAAAATACATTTTCTACACTGCTCAACAAATCTCTTCGTCATATCTTACTAGACAAGAATATCCCGTAATTTGGTTTAATTTTTAGGTTTCAAAAATAATTTGGATAATAATAACATTTTACTATTATATTTGGTCTAAAACACAATAACAAATGAATTGTAGTCTAATTAAAAATATATTTACTAATAGTGGCAGTGTCCCAAGTTTAAATCACATAGACTATCACTACGTAAATTACTACGGGAGTTTGGATAATCCTTTTTCAAAATTTTAACGGTGTCCCACTACCACTTAATTTTATTTCTTTTGCTCATACGCAAACTACTATCGAAAGTTGAATAATCGTTTTCTCAAATTTTAGGGGTGTCATGGGACACCCCTAAACATGCATGTATCTGCCACTGGTTAGAGAGGTTCCATAATGGATCTTATACCACACACGAACACACCTCCTCAAATGAAAGCTAGTCAACTCAAAAAGGCTTTCGGCTGCACATGTCATAAATACGAGAATACACATGCTTCACAAATGAGATTCGACACAAGAACTCTTGGCCACAGAAGGCTCTGATACCATTTCAATAAAACAGAAATCTAAAGAACATCAAGATTTTTTTAACCTAGTATCGTCAATCAGACACTAGTCCATATTGAGGATCTCCCTTATAGATTTTTTATTTTCTTATTGCTTGAATACTCATAAGCTAATTGCAAGAGTATATATAGGTTTGTAAACCTAATCATAACCGAAATCCCCCACCATATTTATAATTTGGTACCCCAAATAATATAATCAACATTTGGAATAGTATCTATGTTTTGAAATTGTGTTAAATGGCACACATTCTTTATACTTACCAAACAATGTATTCTTAGAAACACACATAAACAAAAATGAGTACTAAAGCCTATAAAGCCCAAACTTCAAACGTTACAGCTCCATAAAATAAAAATAATGGTTTAGTATTCCTATATGGCAGCGGATAGGTACAAATTCGCGGCCTGCAAACCCGAAAAATATCATCGATGGTACGATGATACTCATATATATCACGATGATACGAGTGCGTTTTGCATACCAAGTTTTTTATCAAAACCCAGACCTTACTATATTCCTACAAACTGTTCATTCATAGAAAAGAGCAACCAAAAAACAAAGAAAAGAGCTACAGCTAGCTAGTCGGGCCAATTTCCCCTTTTTTTAGGATAGGAAGAAATGTGGCTAAAGTCAAAAGTCATTCATTGGTAGATTTCAATAAAATTTCACTGAAATATTCCTTCTCAAGTCTCAACCATAATATCCCTCCAAGTCTTTTTTTTTTTTTTTGTCTGAGTAGGATAAAAAATATAGTTAGAACAATCACTACCAACACTCCCTCCCTACCCCACTAACTAACCAATGAACAAAGTCAAAAAAAGCTAACTCTAACCGAGACAGCAACAGGACTTTACGTGCCACTCTACGGGCAGCCCAGTTGGCAGTCTGCGGAACCGCCCTAAACTCTATACAATGAGACAAAGACCCAAGGAAAAGCATACAATCTCGAAGGAGAGGGCCACCAACTGAATCCTCCACTGCTCGAAGGCTAAGTTGACGGATGACCACTGTTGCATCGCCCTCAATGATGGCATGAGGCAAACTTCAAGAAGCTGCAAACGAGATCGCATCCCTGTTGCAAGGAGCTCTGCAGGGTAAGGGTCTGAAATCCCTTGATGCTGATAACTCGAGGCAAGCATCACATGACCGTCCGAGCCACAAACCACAAGGCCATAAGAGCAACCAGAGGCTTGGACAACAACATCAAAATTGTTTCAGGAGGCATTCCCAGGGCTGGCTTGAAGTGGCAGGCACGCGAGGATGAACAAAAGGGGCAGGCGGTAAGGAGGAGAGTACTTCACGAACTTGAGAGAACTGGCGGGCAAGCGAGGTAAACGACTTGGAGAATATGGGTTTGGGACTGCTCTGATAGCATAACTTGACGCCACCACGTACTAAAATTCATTGTTGGGGCCGAAACTAGTATCTCACTTAATCCCTCAAAGTACCATAACATATTGGCAAAGGGGACAATGAAAGAACAAATGTTTTATACTCTCTCGACTCCTCTAGCAAATAGGACATTGCCTTAGCCAATTAATCCCACCAAACTTGAGCGCTACTGTAGTCGGTAGGACCACTCTAAGACACTTCTAGTGGCAAATGATAAGACGTCTTGACTTAATACTTGCCATTTTTTATAAAAGCCATTTTAGCTATGATGTCCGTGAAAGGGCCATCTTCAAATTATAACCACAAAGTAGGGATCAAAACAGTAATGTAACCTTACCTTCCTTAATGGGGAAAAAAAAAGTCTCAACCATAATATAGTTGCCTCCCAACATAAAAGAGCTAGAAAGATGTTTCTAGCTTGTCAAGCTACGCTAATCAATCAAGTATCAAAACTCATAATAGCATTGTATGGTATGGGGTCAACCCATGGTAAAGGAAACCGTATCGGACATCATACCGGATTCCTTTCTGGTATGGCCAAATAGAGCATTATACAACCACGGTGACCCATTTTCAACATAGAAGAATAGCAAAATAATATTCTTTTTAATTATTTTCTACATATTGGACGAGAATACGGAGAAATGAAGCTGAATCATAGACCAGGAAACCAGATCATACCGGCCGGTTCAACCGGTTCAACCGGTCAAACCGAAAAAACCGGCCAGCACGGTAAAATCAGCACAATCAGCCCACCGTACCGCTTTTGGTCCAATTTCCAGTTGAACCGGTTGAACCGGCCGGTACGATCCGGTTTCCTGGTCTATGGGTCAACCACAACATGGTTTTCTGGGGAGAAAATGATCTTGCCATGGCACTCATGCATCAACGGTCAAATCTTCATGACACTCCATCCTTAGAATTAACACAATCCAATTATAATGTTCATAGTTCCATAAGTGAATATCTGAAAACATTTATATACTGTTGGAAGTTGTTGGACCGAATATTGAGTTACTTACTTTTTCAACTACGTACTCTTCTGATTTATATTTTCAAAATTTTACTATGTTACGTTCCAATAATAACAAAGGGTTACCATTTTGGGCTCTCATTAAGAATTCTCTAAACTTATTTGGCAAGAAGTTCTTTAATGCATGGACCTGGAAACCGGATCGTACCGGCCGGTTCAACCGGAAAAACTGGGAATCGGGCCAGGAACGATACGGTAAGCTGATGGTGCTCAAAATATCGTGCCGACCGGTTTTTCCGGCTTAACCGGTACAAACGGAAATACCGCCCGGTTTTGGTCTAACCGGCGGTAGAGTTGTTTTAATGAAAAACGTCGGCGTTTTTTGGAACTTCAAACTAGAAAAAAAAAATCAGGCAAAGGCCAAAAACCCTAATATGTTCTCTTCTCTAACAAAAATCGGGCAATCGGCAGCCAGAGACTGCCAGACTATTCATTTTCATCGTTTCTTCTTTCTTCCCCAGCGGCCCAACCCTGCCCCGCCTCGCCGCTCCTCGTCTTCACCTCTGGAGTTTGAGAGTAGCCACCAGAGACCGGCGACTGCCGCTCCTCTTCTCTCCTCCTCAATCCTCAACCGCGTCGCCGCCTGCTCGAGTGGCCCTCCCCTACTCAAGAACGTGCCGCATTGTTTCTTTGTTTGACACTGACTGCTTTGCTTGTTGGAGACCAATTGGACCGGCAACGGGAATCTGCTCCTTCTAACTTTGTTTATCAACAATAAGGTTTCCTACACTATAAGGATATTGAACAAATTATTAATTTTTTTTTTGTTTACTCCCGTTTATGAATTCCTCTAGTTTATTCTATTAATTCTACGAGATTCTAAATTGGGATTATGTGGACAAATATTATAATCAATCATGACGATATTTGATAGTACATCTGCCCTTGGCTTGGCTTGACGAGTAATACAAAATAATTAGGTGACAAGAGTTACAAGTATCTATGACTATTCAGTTTATTTGGGTTTGTTATCCGGTATATTCCGGTATTACTCCGAAATGATATACTGAATCTGTCGGTACGGTTTTTTAACAAAAAAATAGTTTTTAATTACAAAAACGATATTTTACCAGTACACAACGGTTGAACCACGGCCGTACCACAAAATATCATGCCACGGACGGGTCCGGTATGACATCCGGTACGTACGGTTTTTTAACAAAAAAATAGTTTTTAATTACAAAAACGATATTTTACCGGTACACAACAGTTGAACCACGGTCGTACCACAAAATATCATGCCACGGACGGGTCCGGTATGACGTCCGGTACGGTTTCCTTTACCATGCTTTAATGACGTATACACATGGATACTCTCCTCCCATCTTTCAGAATCCAAGAAATTTAATTAATCACTTTTTTTACGAATCAAGTGAAACTTTACTGATCTCTACACTCTTCTTGTATTTTTATCACAAGAAGATATTTTATGCTCTTGATTCTGTAAATTTATAGTCTAAAAGATAGGACGATGGACATAAAATAATAAGTAGTGGCACTAGTAAACACACTTTGAAGAAAAGCAATGCGACCTAATAGAGTGACTTTACTAATCTCTCTGCATTCTTCTTTACTAATCCATCATAACCTTCTCCCAACAACTCGAGCTATTGTAACCAATTGATATATGACATGGTATTAGAATTGGTTTGACTAAGTGATCGTGTGTTCGAATCTCCACGACTTTCAATATTAACCGTTTATTAAAACACAAGATATGATGTCTGTGCAAACTTCACACTCGTGAATTGCGTGGTAATAAGACTTAAAGAGAGCCACTTACCTTATCAATGGTGCAGAATAAAAATCTTCTTGCATCATCCTTTCCCTTGCCTCATGGTGGCACTTGCCCCTCACACTGACACTTACCCTGCCAGAGGGCCAAAAAGAAGAGAAAAAAGGGGAGGCACTTCTCTGCTTTAAATCGCTAGCAAACAAGTGAGACCATCCCATTGAACCAATGGTCTTTCACTTGCTCCATTATAGGCATCTTTTCCATTAGCGGGAAAAAAAAAAAAAAAACTCCATCAAAAATATTGTACCTTCCTTCGCCACCTCTCTCCTTGCCCAAACTTACTCCCTCAGCCCTAAGTTCTGCTCCCATATCATAAACACGACAACCCATGAATCAAGTTCTAGATAGTAACGATGAGAAGGTTTCATTCATCACTTTGGGGCATGAGTAACAGAAAGCAATGACATTCCATTACTTCTGCTCCCCTTTCTGGCTTTCACTAATAGCATGCACTTGTCAATGTTTCGAGAATTGTTGCCAAAAGAACGGTTAGTACTCATTAGGATTTCAGCGGTTGTATAATTTGGTCCTTAACTTGTTTGAGCGGTTGTATACATTTTCAAATATATATACAAATAAACTAGTAATTTAAATTTTTAATAACTGAAATGAAATTTAAAGCCCAACTTTGGTTGCACTCGGTCCAACCGACCAGCAGGATAGAGGTTTTAAGTAATAACCTTGCTTATAATATTAAAATAATAATCATAGGCAGTACTTGGAGGTAGGAGTGGGCAATGGGCGGGTTGGGTGGGTTTTCGTCTTAAATTGACTCATCTGCTTACTAGCGGGTTGGATGGGTGGCGGATGGGTGCGATTGGGCCGTGGGTTAATCCGCAAAAACAATTCTCCAACTAGCTATTAAGAAAGTTGACTAACATTTATAATGGATATTAACAATAATTTGCATTCCAATATCCAATAAATGGATATTACACAGCAAGATAACCAATAACAGTAGTCAAAAGTATTATTTATTCTCCAGATCAAGAAGTATATGGTCATACCGTAGTGCGGTTTGGAAATATGATGAATATTCGATACTATAAGTAATAACATTTTTATGTGAAAATAGGAAGCAGGTCATTCGGGTAACCTGCAATCCACCCAAGTGCGACTAGGAGAATTATCAATCTGCAATCCACCCATATCAATCATCCACAGTTTGTGGGTTAGATTATTTGCGGGTGGATCGATATCAATCTGCGAATTATACACCCACAGACCCACCCCTAGTTGGAGGATAAGATCACAAGAGATTTAGATGAATCAAACAAATATACGCATAGAAAGATTAAAGGAGGGGAAATCATTATTGCAGCAATTAAATATATGTCCCACACAATAGTGACAAAGATTGTACAACTCACTTCCCTTCATATTTGGGCAGCAGCTAGTTTAGCTTAGCTTCACACCATATAATGACACCGGCACCCATTTCCAAGTTCATGATGTGGTGAAGGCCAAGGAAGAGAGAAGAATCACCAAAACCCAAGCAAAGCAAAGCAAGCAAACAAGCAAGCAGCTCAACATTAAAGACAAAACCTGCCCAGCCCTACCTCTACTTGTTTTCATCTTCAATTTCTATGTTTTTCATTGAATTCGTTTACCATTTTTCATGCACAACCGACTTGTGGAGCTAACACTTCATTCTAAATTCTTCAGGGCATATTTCACATTTGATTATTGGGTACTTCTGGTTTCGATCCCAAACATTTCCCACTAAACAACAGCACGTATTTCTATAGTTTATTAATACGACGTGTGTTAGTTAATTTACGAACAAGAATTTTACTATGTTTTATCGAATACAAGTTACATATGAATTGATAAAAATATATATAATACATTCACCAAATGATGTAATCTAATTTAACTTGAAATTCAAGGAAAAGATTACACAACAAATCCAAAACAGTAAAACATATGTCTATCAACCCATACATTTAGACTTTCAAAACAGATAATTCAACTTCAAGTCATAGCATCACATGCCTTCTAATAGATTTATCATTAACTAATGTAAATATATTCTAATTGAAAACTAATTAAGTAGAATGGAGGCATGGAGCAACGATAAATCAACTTTCAGTGTGTATTTGCATGTCTGTTTTTCTAGAGCACAAGACATATTAACTAAGCATAATACAGAGATAGTATAGATTTAGAATTTATAATACTATGAAATAAACCATCTTAAGGGCTCGTTTGCTTGTTGGATTTGAAAATGAGGGTTTTGAGTTTTAAAAGTCTTTGGATTTATGATTGATTTGTTGCATTGTGGATTTGGAAGAGTATATTGATTGCTTAGAGGTCGTTTGTTTGTTGGATTTTAGAAAATGAAGGATTTAGGTAAAATCTTGGATTTTATTGATGAAGGATTATGTGGGATTTTGTTACTTTGGATTTGTGTTGGATTTTAAAAAGTGTATGTTTGCTTGTTGGATTTCATATTAGATTTGTGTCCATGTGATTTATCAATTATGGGTTGAATTTACATTTGTATCCTTAATGATTTGTGTTCTTAATGTTCAATATAGGAAATATTGAAAAAGAGATGAGGATAGACCCATCATTTATTATCATGGATTTTAGCCTCCCACAAAATTCAAACTAAATAGGTGTGATTTTATAATCCGTGGACCCCACGGATTTTGACCTCAAAATAATCCCACACACCATAATCCAACACCACTTTAACACCAAACATGGACTTTGTGCATAATCCCATGGATGTGGGATTTTGATCTATAATCCATGATGAAAATCCTACAAGCCAACGACCTCTTAGTTAATTTTTATCATGGATTTATGATGGATTTGTCTCACAAGTTTGCCTTTCATTATCAAATCTCAAATGAAATGTGGGATTTGCACCCCACGGATTTGGATCTAAAAAAAGTCCAAAATTCGTGGGCTTCACGGATTTGTATCCCTTAATAAACAATAAATTTGTGTCAAATACTTCATACTATAATATTATTATCCAAACATTTGTTTGTTTATTTTGTTAAAGATATTTGTCAGAGAAAGAAAGAGGGAGAGAGAGAATAGCAGCAGCATTGCAGCAACAACAACGAAGGTAGAGCTATAGCCAGGCATCAGAAATATATAGCAGCTGGCGGAAAAAATCCCAAATTATACATGTTTTTAAAAAAAATTCTCAAAATACACAAGTTATGAAAATAATTCCCAATCTACGTTAGTTTGGGCCATCACCGCTTTCGACGAAGACAGTGATTGCATCACTGTTGTCAACGAAGACAGTGATTGCATCACCGCTGTCGACGAAGACAGTGATTGCATCACTGCAGTACACGGCCGCGGTGAAGGCCTGACCTGCGTCGAAACTTTAAACAAACGTAACTTTGTGCTCGGTTATCCGATCGTAGCGAAATTTTTTTTGATTCCGCATAATTTTTTGAGATCTTGCAAGCCGCAAATTGCCGTAGGCGGTTTGGTCCCGCCTTCGTCTCGAAAATATGTCGTTTGCTACACCGAATGAGCCTTTTTTCGATTTCGTCAAACTTTGAACGACCATAACTTTGTGCTCCACAATCCGAAAATCATGAATTTTTTTTTGATTTCGCATAACTTTTTAAGGACTACAATTTTTTGATTTCTCTCCTACTAAAAATTGTAGTCCTTAAAAAGTTATGCGAAATAAAAAAAAAATTCATGATTTTCGGATTGTGGAGCACAAAGTTATGGTCGTTCAAAGTTTGACGAAATCGAAAAAAGGCTCATTCGGTGTAGCAAACGACATATTTTCGAGACGAAGGCGGGACCAAACCGCCTACGGCAATTTGCGGCTTGCAAGATCTCAAAAAATTATGCGGAATCAAAAAAAATTTCGCTACGATCGGATAACCGAGCACAAAGTTACGTTTGTTTAAAGTTTCGACGCAGGTCAGGCCTTCACCGCGGCCGTGTACTGCAGTGATGCAATCACTGTCTTCGTCGACAGCGGTGATGCAATCACTGTCTTCGTCGACAGCGGTGATGCAATCACTGTCTTCGTTGACAACAGTGATTCAATCACTGTCTTCGTCGAAAGCGGTGATGGCCCAAACTAACGTAGATTGGGAATTATTTTCATAACTTGTGTATTTTGAGAATTTTTTTTAAAAACATGTATAATTTGGGATTTTTTCCGCAGCTGGCAGAGAAGAGAGGTAGCAACAGCAGCAAGCTAAGCTATCCAGCAGTGAGCACTCAGATCAAATACAAAAAGAGACAATATATGTATAGCTTTTAATTAAGCTACAGTTGCAACCAATAACCCTTATATAAGATTTGCCTTTTTTTTCTCTCCTCTCCTAAGTTCCTTCCTTCATTCCTTTCTCTATGTGTCCCACTCAATAGTCACAGACAAACTAAAGCTGTTGATCATCTGCTTTCTTCCTTCTTCTTGAGTAGTTTAGTTTACTTTTCTCTCTCTTTTTTCTTCCAGTTTCCCTATTTTGGTCCCCCAGAAGAAGTGAAACATGTTGAGCAATGCAAGAGCAGGAAATAGGTCATCATCTTCTTGTTCTTCTTCTCCATTCACAGCAACACAGTGGCAAGAACTGGAGCACCAAGCTCTCATCTACAAGTACATGGTCTCTGGTGTCCCCATCCCTCCTGAACTCCTTTTCTGTGTCAAGAGAAGCCTCGACTCCTCCTTTTCTTCAAGTAACTCATTCACCCAAGTTCTTCATTTCCCTATGCATATCTTTTAGCTTGCATAGATATAAAACAAGAATAAAAAAAATGGTGGAAGTACAATCTTTTTTAAGAAAGTTGGGACCTTTTGGATCTTTTTGGCAGTGGGTTGGGATGTTTTCGTGTGGGTTTTAGTTTATCATCATTGTTTCGATCCGATTCGAATAGGCCAGCAACAAGAAGTAGCCATCTCTGTAAGAAATCGCAAAAAAAGTGACAAATCCGTTGCAAAAAAAGGTTCTGCAATGACTTTGTTGTGTATTTCCTTGCAATGACTTGGTTGCTCTTTGGGGGCCAAGCTATAGAAAGCTCTTCATCTTGTAGTCAGTAAAATGCTATGATTCTATTAGCTTCTCCAAATCGATTAAAGTTTGTTTTTTTTTTCCTGATAAAGTTGAGACCTTTTTTTCTGGTGTGGTGTTATTGTGGCAGTTGGGTGGGGATGTTTTCAGGTGGGTTTTGGTAAAAAGGGAGACCCAGAGCCAGGAAGGTGCAGAAGAACCGATGGCAAGAAATGGAGGTGCTCCAAAGAAGCATACCCTGGCTCCAAATACTGTGACAGACACATGCATAGAGGGAAAAACCGTTCAAGAAAGCCTGTGGAAATCTCTTCTTCTTCATCCTCTCCTTCTCCTTCCACTGCAACAAATGCCTCCAGAACCTCACCAAACTGTAACACCACCACCACCACTAGTAATAACAACTATTACCATAATCCTTACCTAACTTCCTACAACAATCCTTCACTGATCAACCCTTTATCCATTTCCTCATCTACATCATCACTTGATTCTGATGTTCACCAGCAGCAAGCCCCTCTTAATGGCCACAACTTTCTCAATAGCACTTTCCTTTATAACACTAGTACTAATAGCTCCTCTTGCTCCAATTCCTCTTCTTGTTCCAAGACCACCACACCTACTCCTAATCTGTTTATGGATTCTCTCTCTTCCTCTCACCCTGCCTCTGACAAAGATTACAGGTATCTACTCTACTTAAATATCATTAATAGTACTCTCTTTGTTAAATCCAAGAACTTGGTGTACTTATTAAATGTTTTATTGGGTCTTTTCCAACACCTCAAAGTACAGTACTGAATCGACCTGATTATGATAGGTTTTTATGTCATTTGTTAATCGGTTGTTTTGTCTTGATTATGTTGTGATTAACCTATATCTTGTTTTATATGTTTCCCCAACTAAACAAAATTATAAAAAAAAGGTACCTCCAAGGAGTGAGAGAGGATCAGCAACTTCATCACCATCAATATGGGTCATCACCACAGCCAGAGTTTGACAACTTTTACTCATATCCATCATCTAAACAAGATTATCATAACCAGCAGCAGCATTGCTTTGTTTTGGGAGCTGATTTCAAGTCGTCATCATCATCATCATCAATCTCAGCTATTACCAACAGGCCATTAATCAAGGTGGAAGAGAGCAGCAATCACAATGAAGAGATGTCATCATCATCATCCCACAAGCCAATGCACCATTTCTTTGGACTTGGTGGTGGTGGCGGTGCAGATTCTTGGCTGGATCTTGCATCAAGCTCAAGGCCCTCCTAGCTAATGGTATATATTAAGTGTCTAATTACAGTTACAGTATTAACTAATCAGACCAATCATTCATAATTGATAAGAGGATCACACAGTTTAAAACGTTTGTTGTTTTTCTTTCTTCTTTCTGATGGTCTGCAGGGGAGCATTGATGGATCTTTTTAGCTTTATCGGTGGTGCCAAAAGAGTACTTGTTGGTGGTGATAAATATGATGTATGTGTGGGGTTTGAGAACTTGTGGCTGGGGAGCAAAATTTGGGGTTTCTTCTACTGTTGAGCTGCAGTGTTGTTTTGGATTTAATAATGCAGGGTCACAGCAAAAGAAAGAAAGCAGCTTCTTTCTTTTTTTCTGTTTTAGTTTTTACTTTGTGAAATGAGGGGTAGGGTACTGTTCTGTCTGTTTGTTACCAGCTGGTAAAAGTGAAAGATCCTTTCTTCACAAGTGTACACCATCATTATGTCAAAACTTATATGCAACGTTTTTCCCCGTGTCCATTAGTAGGGTAGGGATGGCAATGGGTAGGGTTGGGGCGGGTTTTGTCAAACCCAAATTCATGGGTTTATCCATAAAAAAAATTCAGGGTAAAACCTGTTGGGTTTGAAAAACTCAAACTCAACCCAACCCAATCCGCTGTGTATCCGCGGGTTCATGGGTACCTGTTGTTTTTGTGGTAAAAAATTTACAATAACAAGTTTTTTTTCAAAATAAAAGTTTAACATCAATTTTCTCATACAAATTAATCATACAATAAACACCAATCTAGAGCATACAAGCAAACCGCAAATGATCAATACAAATTGTTCAAAATTAAAGATAAACATCTATAAATAATAAGATTAATTGAAAGTTTCTTCCTTGTAAACTAAGTTTCTTTACTCTCCACTTGATAATATCAACTTCATTCTAAACAATTAAAAAGAACAAATTATACATGTCTCCACAAACATAAAGAACATTAGTTATTTAAGGAAGATATATTATTTAGAATATTAAATATACCGGGAAAGTAATTATATGTGTGTGAGCGGGTACCCATGGGGCGGGTTTACCTAAACCCAAACCCAACCTGACCCGGTGAAAAGTGTAGCGGGTTTAAACCCAAACCCGACCCAAAACCCGTCAACACGGGTTTCACCCGCGTTGATCGGATTGGGTCGTGTGGATACCCGTGGGTTCGGGTTTTGTTGCCATCCCTAAGTAGGGGTGTATATGGGTAGGGTGGTTCGGGTTTAGTCATTTTAATCACCCGACCCATGCACTATGGTTCGGAAAATATCAAACCCAAATCCACACAAAAAAATTTAAACCCTACGGTTTGTTACTGATTAGGTTGGGTCGGGTTGGCAATATTTTTAAGTAAAAACCCAACCCAACATAAAATATATAATTATTATACATCATAAAAATATTTTATAACTAATTAAAATTTCAAACGAATAAACCGAGGTGAAGAGTATCAAAATTCACAAATGTTGTTTGAATTTTAATAAAATGTGATTTACTTCAACATATGTCTAGTTTTTTTTCACGATATTTGTTGAAATAGGCTAAAAGGGTTATAAACAAAAGCATCCATAATATGTTGTTCTATTAAAATTGTACATAAGAAAAAGGATTACATGAATCATAACGATATTCAATTTATGTCAAAACTTTAAGTCGAAGATGCATTAGATTAGGGAGACCATGAGAGAAAAACATGGCGAAATATCTTAATTTTCTCATAAGTATGACTATATACGACATAAATATTTTTTAGATACGAACTCATACTAATAATCAGAACACGGGTTGGGTCTGGTTCTACGGGTTGTGTAATCCAAAATCCAAACCCAACCCAAAAGAGGCAGGTTATACAAAAGAAAACCCTCACCCAACCCAAAACCTTCGTTTTAGAGATAAATGCGGGTGGCTGGGTCGGGTGGGTCGGTTTATGGGTGTGTTAGTTCACCCCTATCCATGAGTATAAGAAACACAAGTTCGGGGTTTTGCTAGGTTTTGGCAGCTCAGAACAGTCCATATAGTTGAAGTTTTGCACTAATCCACCATGCTCTTGATATCCATGATTAACTTAAGCATGCTCTGAAAAAAGTCGGAATAAGAGAGCACTCATGTTGGGGTGGGCTTACTGCTTATATGCTTCCTTCCAGTAGGTATCCGCTCTGCACTTGACTATCCAGCGTGTTTAGTGAACACAATATCTAGTACACCTGAAGTGCATCCTTCCCAGTCCTCTCCTACTAGGAAAATGTCCTTTTAACGCTTTAAGACACACACCGAATATGTATCGAATTGTCTTACAAAGTTTTGAATCGAGCTAACGTAATGCTTTATTGGGCGAACAACCCAACCCTTGAAACACGATATAAAACTGATAATTTAAACCATTTTACTCGTTCTTATGTTAAAAAATGATCGTTACTTACCGACACGAACCGAAAAACTCTTGTCATCAATAATTTCGCCATATCAAAAATTAAAATGATAGCACCATCCTCCCTCATCTTGAACTGAAATAGTTGGGTGAGTTTCCAATACGTGAAGAAGATAAGTAGGCCAGGCCAAGTACTCCACTATAGCTACAACTACATGACCATTTTGACCATATGGTCTTGCCTGGGATTTTCAGACAGCCTTTCCTTTCATATACACTTCCTGACATCCAGAGAGTAAAGACAAACGAATGTGGTGGGGGAATTGGCGGGACATATGGGGAACCAGACCAATCTTCATATCAACATGAATGAATGATACTGATTTCCCAGCAGAACCATTGAGACAGATTCTTCTCATCTTCTATTTCTATCTGTTATATATATTTGTTTGAGGATTCCCTCGTTGAATATACACAGTTCTTTTTCAGTTTGATTTGATGAGCATGAAAATGCTGAAAAAGGTGGAAGCAAAGCAATGGCTTGTTTGGTTCTGTCATTCGAAAACGAGAAGTCATTTCCATGACAGCTGCTTTCAACTGCCAATATATAATTGCATTATACTGCCTATTGGGGCTCTCATAGTCATAGGTAGCCCAGCCTAGCTGATAGGAGGGCCAGTTGTGTTATATTCTATCTAGTGCATTAGTGGACAGAAGTTTTACAACAAGCGTCCCTGGTCAAGCTCTTCACTCATTCATTCATGCAGCTCATTGAGAAACTAACTATTGTCAACTATATTCAATTAATCACTATTATTAAGTTGAAGGGTTAATGATTACAACCATTTTTTTTATTTGGTATAAAATTTCTCGGAGTTTAGCATTGGGGTCCTATATATAGATCGGTACAGGATTAATAATTTTCCCCTAAAATTTGAGGTGCGTCCCATTACACAGCTAAATAAGGCTGGTTTCGCAGTTTGAAGAGTCCATGTACCATGTCTATGTGTAACAATCAACCGCTCCAAGATCTTTCATTTGCAAACAAGAAGTTAGATACTCATTGGTATCGTTTATTCCCTTCATGTTAGTCACAATTATTAACATATCATCAACATAAAGGCATGTAATGACTATATACCATGTCGTGCACTTTGAGTAAATGCATTCATCAACAGAGTTATGAGAAAATCCATGAGCCAGGACAACGAAATCAAATATTTCATGTCATTTCTTAAGTGCTTGCTTTACACATTTTATTCCCATTTCCAAACAACACGAACCTTTCTGGTTGCTCCATGTACACTTCGTCGTCTAGCTCAACATTTAGAAATGTCGTCATAAAATCCATTTGGTGTACAAACATATTGTAAATAGAAGTCAAAGCCAAACGTACTCTTATGGAAGTGATTCTTGCAACTGGTGCATAGGTGTCAAAGCAATCTACTCCAACTTTTTGCCTAAACTCTTTTGCAACCAATCTAGCTTTGAAAGTATGTATTGATCCATCAGTGTTATACTTAGTCCGAAATACCCATTTGCAAATTGCAACCAATAGCTATAGATCCTAAATGCAGATCCACAAGATTTGAAGTCTTGTTCGTTATAAATGAATCCATCTCATCATTAACAACCTCGTTTTAGGAAGAAGAATCCCTAGAAGCAATTGCTTCTTAAAAAGATTTTGGATCATCTTGGACATAGAACAAAATGGGTATCTTTCTTGTAACCTTTCTTCCTCTACAAGAAAGACTATAACTTGAAGATCAATAAATTCTATACCAAAACTTTTTTTTTCTTAACCCTTTGACTTCTTCTTGGTTCAATAGCAACATGGTCATCTAAAGACCTCTTACTACTCAAACCAATGTCAAAGGTGGGAATAGAAATGAAATTACATGGGGAATTCATAGAAGTAACTCGACATGGTTCTACATTTGCAAAATCACGTTAGAGTTTGTTCTCAAAGAACTCAACATCCCTTCATTCCACTACCACATTAGATTCCAAATCTAAAACCCTATAGGTATAAAGTTTTCTACATATCCAAGAAAAACACATTTCAAACCTCGTGGACCTAACTTAGTTCTCTTAGGATCCGGGACTCTATAGAAAGGAACACAACCCCAAACTCTAAGATAACCCAAGTTTGGTTTCATTCCCTTCCACAACTCGTAGGGAGATTCCTTTAGCTTCTTTGACGAAATTCTATTGTGCACATGTCACGCTGTTAGCAAAGCCTCGCCCAACAAATTGTTTGGAGCACTAGCATTAACCATGTCATAAAGAACTCCATTTTTTCTATTGGCTACTCCATTCTATTGAAGGGTGTAAGGAGCAGTCCTTTTGAAGTATCAAACCATGTTACTCATAAAACTCATTAAATCTATTAGGAATATATCCTCCTCCTCCTTTTTTTTTTTTTGCCATAGTTATCCCGAGGGGGAAGCAACATAGATACGACAAAATACAAGGTCTCCTAAGACCAGGCTAGGAAAATTAAATAAATAAAACACGATGGTCGACAAGAGTCTGCATCATCGCTCCAAGGGCTTGTCTTGCCACGATATGGGCAGCTCTATTATACCTACGAGGAGCGAAATGGAACGATGCACGTAGGAAAGAAGCCCGCAACACCTGAATCTCTTGCAGGAGAGCTCCGCCCACCACGTGCGCCGAGTCCTTCGAGTTGATCATCCGAACAATCACCTGCGCGTCCCCACAAAACAAAACATCAGTGAACGAGTGAGCCAGAGACCAACGTAAGGAGTCGCGAAGAGCAGGAGCTCTGCGAGAAATGGGTCATCAATATTAGGAATAAAACGGCCCCAAGCAAATATAGCGTTATTAGCCTCTGCAAAACCAACAAAACCAATGGCACATCCGACCAAAGTTTTGGTGGCACCATCAAAGTGTACCAACACTGAACCGGAAGGAATGGATGGAGGGGATTGATCACTAGGTAAAACCCCACTAGAAGCAGGAGAACGGCGAGGCAAAGATCTCTCCGGATGGGCCTGTGCTAGCTCCCATTCAGCAACCTGAGAGTAATAATGTCATGATAAAACATGAGATAGATACAAAATACCATCATATGTAGCCGAACATCTGGACTTCGAGAGCCTCCAGTAAAGAAAGACCAACCGTGAAATCTCTACTCTAGATAAACCTGGATAAAAAATAGCCTACGCCAACCAATCGCAACATGGCACAAGCGAATTTGAGCAAGGATATGGTTGTACCCCAACAAATCACACAACTCTAAAGCAACCTGACAATCCAAGAAACAATGAGTAAGAGTCTCTGCCTCACCACCACAGACAGGGCAAGCGTAAGCCTCGGTATCATCATTAGCTATCAATTCCTTATCACGTAGCACATCACGAACAATTAGAAAACCTTTAACCACTCGCCAAAGAAAAAATTTAAGCTTTGTAGGGACAGGAAGCGACCAAAGAAACTTCCAAGAACGGGAGTCAAAAGACGATGGAACCGTGGAAAAGTCAGCAATGTACTCAGCCGCAGCTAAACGATAACCAGATTTAATAGAATATTCACCTGAAACTTCCAAATGCTAAATCAAGCGGTCAGCCACAGGAAAAATTGGCAGAGGAATAGCCATAATGATCTAGACAGTGGCATTATAAAAAAGATATGAAAGAACGCTCTCCTTCTAAGAGCCTTGACCATGATTTATTAGGCATGAAACAAATGAGTCAGGTAAGACAACCACATGAAACAGAATCGGCCTAGAAGGAGGGGGTGGTGGGAATCCAAGCATCATTTGTAATATGAACCGATGTTCCACAACCAATTAACCAACGTAGGCCTTGTACGTTGTACCAATAGATCCCTGCCCAAAAGTACACCCTGCCATGCCCATGAAGAACGCGCACCAGCAGTAGCACAAAGAAAAGAGGAGTTGGGAAAAAACCTGCCTTTGTACGTGGTAGCTAAGAGGCTATCCGGATCATGGATGATCCTCTATGCTTGTTTGGCAAGCAATGCAATGTTATTGGAGTCTAAATCTCGAAAGCCAAGACCCCCTTTGATTTATGGCGGCATAAAGCACGCCAAGAGGTCCATCTCATGCCACTCTCTCTATCATGTTGACTCCACCAAAAGCGAGCAAGATGCCCATTCAAATGCCTGCAAAAAAGCGAAGGAATTCAAAAGCATGACATCGCGTAAATCGGTTGGTCCAAAGCCACATATTTAATCACTGTTTCCTTTGTCGCTAATGACATATAGGGGTCGTTTGGATAGGTTATTTGCTTGAGTTATTTGGGTCCAAATAACTCATATTGGGTTATTTGATTCAAAATAACTTGTTTGGGTATGCAAAAGTGTAATTGGTTATTTGGCCTTGAGTTATTTACGAATAACTCAAAAACGAGTTATTGTAAATAACACCTATCCAGCAGTTATTTGACAATAACGCGTTCTGTGTCATTTCCCTTCCAACTTTGCCCCTTTATCTTTCTTCCTTTTCAGTTCTTCCCCTCTTTCTCAAATGACTTCCATCTTCTCTCTGCTTCTCCTCTCTTCTATGTTATATAATCTCTTGCAGTCGATTAACCTCCCCTTCTCCAATAGATAATCTAACTATCTTGGCCACTTTTCTGTTGATTCAATGACACCCATAATCCCCTCTCTTGTTGATGATCAACAGAACCCCAAACCCTCACTGTTAACTATTGTATGTAGTATGTACGATGGAGAGCAAGGACGAGGTAGACGGAGGTTTCGAGCGACAACCGTGGTTGTAATCATTAGCGACAACGGAGGTTTCGAGCGACAGTTCGTAGGCGGCGAGAATCAAGCATCTTTGGAGCTGGATGCGAGTACTATTGTCCAAGCTAGGTTTTGATTTGGGACTGCATGCAGAGCTTGGGGCAGATTGACGAATTGAGAAGAGAAGAGAAGGCGCCCTTTTTGTTTGGCGGCAGGGGCTGATTGACGAATTTGGATTTGGCCTCCGTCCATAGTAAGCATCCCTAATTGATTTTTTCTATATTTATTTGTCAATTAAGTGGCTTTGGACACGTCTTTAAAAAGAATAGAGAGGTTAAATTCTCGTTGGTGGGAATCTTTGGATTCGTGGGTTCTGATTTTCCTCTAGGCTCAATGGAACAAGAACAGAGAAGTGGAGGATGAGAAGAATTCGATGCAAGGGAGGATAGGCGGTGGTTTCTGGTGTTTTCGTTGTTCTAATGGTTTGCTATGAATGAACGAATAAATCTGGGCAAGGTACATTTCTGGGAATGAATGAAAGCTATGGGAGAGTAGATGGTGCCCTCAATTGAGGGCAATATTGTTATTTAGCATCTTTTATCATAAAATACGACATGCAAATATTGGTTTAGCCAAAAAAGATTGTTTACCCAACTTTCATAAAAATACCACACAAATACCACATCAACAACAAATGCGTTATTTCACCTTACAAATACCACAAAACCAAACAATTCATCCAAACGACCCCATACTTCGATTTCCATCCTTGAATCCGAGTAACCAGACCTTCCTCAACAAAACGAAAGGTATCCTGCTTTGATCGCAAGACGCGTATCGGAAGTCCCAGATAACGATCTTGGGGTCCACTGATTACGAAAGGTATCCTCCTCCTCCTCCTTTCCAAGGAGAAGACGCGAGTTCCCACTATCCCCCCAGGGTAATTTCTTTCCTTTAATAGGATAAAGGATTGAGGGTAGTTGACTATAATAATATAGTGATTCTACCCATACCCCTTTATTTTCCTGCCAGCCTACTAAGTTACTAGATTACTCTTTTGAAACCCCTATTTTTTTTTTGTAATTGTAAATGTAAAAAAATATTGTAGGGACTTCACATCCCCCCATCAAGTTTACCTTTCCGGCAATGATTTGTATTTTCCTACCTTTTGGAGTTTCAGCAACTTATTTATACAACTTTAACTTATCTGAGTCTTCATGCTTAGTTCGCATTAAATAGACATAAGTAAATCGAGTACTATCCTCAATGAAAATAATGAAGGATCTATCCTCCTCTAGTTAATTGACCATAAATTCATAAATATCATAATGTACAAATTCCAATAAATCTAAATTTCTGTCAACCAACTTAGGAAATGGGTTTCTCTTCATCTTGTCTTGCACACAGATTTCACATTTATCTCTATGGTTATCACTACAAACCACGAGACCATCTTTAGACATATATTTCAGAGTTTTAAAGCTAGCATGCCCAAATCGAGTATGCTATAAATCAAACGAAGTACTTTTTATACTATAATTAGCATAGACATCTATATAAGCAGAACCATTAACTTTATTATTATTATCAACATTGCCAATACTTAACATAAACATACCATCAATAACATAACCTTTTCCAATTAACAGACCAACCTTGAACAAAATCATCCTATCAGATTATATCACAACCATTATCCCCTTCTTACAAAGCATGAAACCAAAAACCAAGTTCTTCCTAACATCAGGAACATGGTGTACATTGGTGAGAACAACTTTTCTCCTTGAAATGAAGAAAAGCTCCACGGTTCCCGAGCCAAAGACCTTTAAGGTGCGACAGTAACCCAACAGAACTTTGTGTCCATCCGTAGACTCGTTATATTCCTTGAACATGGCTCTCTTGTTGCAAATGTGAGCATTTGCTCCTAAATCATGCCACCAATCATTGCAGGTCATGACCCAGTCATGTGCAATTCCTTAATCATGCCACATGTAAGTCAGAAATCATTGTCACAATCTCACTATGCTCAACTTTCTCAATCACATTTGCACTTGTAGCACCCTCGTTCTAGGTCCTCTTGGGATTAGGACAGAAGCGAACAATATGTCCCAATTGCCCACAATTGAAGCAATATTTGGTAGACTTAGGGGTCAACTTCTTCATGTCCCAGGTCTTTCCTTTCCTGTATGGCTGGAAGTCCCTCCAGGTTGTCTGGTTAACCTGCGATGGGTCCCTACCTGGAAGGCTCTTCCGAACTCTTTGAGACATTACGACTCTAAACAGGAGACGTCGTTCTTCTTCTGGTTGTTGGTCAGGCTATTGAAATTGTCCATGCCCTTTCTTTTCTTGCCTTTCTTGTTCTCCACAACATTCACTATGGAACTTGATGGTGATTCCAAATTCATATCATTATCACCAATTCGAGTCTCCTCTTCAATCCTCAAGTGCTTCTGAATTTGTTCCAAAGGGAACTCTTCTGACGTATGAAGTAATTTCTTCCTATAGTTGTTCCATGATAGAGGCAACTTTGCAATAATTGCCCGCACCAGAAAACTGTTCAGGAAGAGTTATCTTCAATGCAGTGAACTAAGAGGCCAAGATAAGAATTCATTAACTTGATCCATAATTGAACGCTTATCATTCATAGTAAATTCCAAGAATTGGAAAGTGACAAACTTATATGCGCCTTGTTCCTCTGATTTGTACTGATTCTCCAAATTTGTCCAGATTTTTGTTGGGATCTACAACTGGGTGTACAAATCATAGAGACGATCAGATAGAGAATTAAGGATGTATCCTCTGCACAACAGGCTATCATCATTCCTCTTCTTGTGTTCTCCCTTTAGTTCATCATAGTCAATGTCTTGTGGTTCAGGAAGTGGTCCAAATTGGAATCCAATATATACACTATCTTCAAAGTAGTCAACATAAACTTCATCTTCTCTTGCCACCGGGTGAAATTGGTTCCATCAAACAGATTGAGCTTGTTGGAATTAGAAGCATACGCCTTCAACGTACTCTCTACTCCAGAATCCATTTTTCCAACAAATAAACACTCTAATATTGCCAGGAATTTGGTAGGAAAGAATCGGATTGAAGGCTTGAATTAATCACTCTCCTTAAAGTGTTTATTTTCCCTAGTACAAAGGCTGGTAGGATTCGGCAAACCACCCTAAGTCTCCCTTCAACCAATATTTGAAGTAGCGACATACAGATTTATGTGTTTATGAAATAGCAAAGGAAAACAGGAAGAAGGAGAACTCTCTTGTATGAAAAAGATTTATGCCAGTTACCTTATCAAGGGACACTTTGTTAGAAACCACCCTTGTGGAGTTTCTTTTATTATTTTTAGTATGATAATTATAATTATGGTTAGTAGAAATTTAGTCTAATTAGGGTTATTATTATATTTTTCTCATAGTTTCTTATAAATATGTACTTTGGGTGTCATTATCAATCAATCAAGCAGAATATTAAAAATATATATATCACTAACCTTCTTCAGGGGTTGCGTGGAATGCAGGTTACAGGAAAGTCGAGCTGAAAATGGACTCGATGATAGCCATTGCCATCATTCATAACTGTGAAGATGAAGATCACAGACATGGACATATGCAGTGGCGTAGCCAGGATTTCGTTTAAGGTGGGTCCACCTCGAAAAAAATAAATATGATAAAAATAGTTTTTAAATATAAATATAATCTTACGTTGAAAACTTTTGATAAATTAAAATGCATTAGCAGTCGAAAATATCAAGAATATCACTATGCATATATACCAAACAATCATTGATTTAGTTAGTCGTAGTGTTTCAAATGGTGTTCTTTGTTAAGAACCGTTAGTATCAATACCTCGAGTTGTTGATAGAGGTTTAATAAATCTTATATCAACCAATAATCATGATTTACCTAGTCGTTCGCTTTCGAATGATGTTCTTATAAAAATACTTAGTATCAATAAATAGAGGTTTTGAAAGATTTCAATAATATATTATACCATTTACTACCATGCTCCCTTATAAGAAAGCCAACTTATACGAAATTGATATTTTTCACAAATCTGTATACCATATGCTTAAGAAATGAGGTCGCCAAGATTCAAACACAACTTTTCGACCCACTATTCTCAATTAAACACGACCTAATTTTCAATATCAATTAACTATCGTACCTAATTTAACCATTTTTTCCCTCCGAACCAGGGTAGGTCCCGGGACCCACCCTATTACCTTCTCCCACCGCCACTGGACATAGGACTTCTACCTTTAGAGAACTATTTAATCTTGACTAGGAAGTGGATGTTTCCCATGTCTATAGGGAAACAAACTGTGCGACTGATTTTCTTGCCAATTTAGGCTTCTCCTATTCTTTTGGCACACATCTCTTCGATGTATGCGACCCAGGGCTGATGCACTGGCTAATTCATGATGTACTGGGTACGTCCCAAGATCGGATTATCTCTTTAATGAATTAGGCGCAAATGCATCACTCTTTTTACCAAAAGAAAAAATCCCTAATTCCTATTCCCAATCCCTACATCTTTATCGATACGTCTCATCGCGGGTGCCCAAGATAAATCCCCAGAAGCCTTAGAAAGATGGTTTCTAGCACATTTCTCTTCACATAAAAAGAAGTTATATTTTTTGAAGAGGCACTTCCCTTTTTTTTTTAAAAAAGTTACTTTTCCCCGAAAGAACACTTCCTTTCACATCTGGGTCGCATTCGGTTGGTGGTTTAGTTGTTCTGACCCCGGATCGGGAGGTTTTAATGGCAAGGGGGTTACAGTTTCCATGGTTTGATGATCCTTTGGTTGTAGAGTTGGTTACTCTTCGTGAGGCGGATCTGTGGTGTCAATCGCTCGGATTTGCGGAGGTCAACTTTGAAGGAGATGCTCAAGTTATCATTGATAAAATCAACAAGGCGGATTCTAGAGATAGTCGGTTAGGGGGCTGTGTTGGAAGAACTCATTATGATTTTTGAAGGTAGCACTGGGTTTAGTGTTAGATTTGTTGGTCGGCGTTGCAATAGGGTAGCCCATTTGGTGGCTAGAAAGGCCCTCTCTTTGTATCCGACCATGAGTCGTTCTTTTGATTTCCAGGCCTGGCTGGATTCCAGGATGTAACTATCGGTTTTGATCAATACAAGATTATCTTTTGTCAAAAAAAACACTTCCTTTCACATAAAAAAGTATTAATTAATTCAAAATTTAATTAATTTATTAAACGATCAAAGACTCAATTCTTAAACTTTTTTTATTCCATAATGTGGTATTAGTATTACAACTTGTAAGACCCATCTTGTGGCTAAACAAGCACTCTCATCAAAAGGTCGACTATTGATTGACTTTCGCACTTGGTTGTTTTGTTCTCTGACTACTTGATCAAACAATTTTCCGTTTGTCTTTTTTTTTTTTAGAAAATAGAGAAAAATTCGAACCTATGACCTCCAAGATTAACACTAGTTGTATTACCATTAAACCAAACCTTAGTTCTTTAAAAACTCATATCGTTGTTCCATAGCCAAACAACCTACTCCCATTAATTACCAAATATTCATAGACTTCGATATAATCTCGAAGGTAAACACCAATTTACATTATCATAAAAACAAAAGGGTCATATCCTTGCCAAAGAAAATATATAACAATCACGCTCATATTGAGATCCCACAAACACCCATATCAAACACAACAAGGAACCATAAAGTTTCCGCAATTCCACCTCATCTCATCCCATCAAATAACGCATTCGTTAAATTGGATACACAACAATTTCTGGACTTTTCCTGTACAATTTATGATCCCCTCCACTGGCTGGTCCAATTCGGATAAACCCTCATTGACTCTGTAACCCGATTAAACTATATGAATTCAACCCGTAATCCGAACCGAAGTGACCTGACTCTGCTGGAACAAATCCTACCCACTTGTCTCGCCTTGCATCGTCAGGAGTAAGATCAAAACTGCAAATTCCAACTGATAACCGAAATTGACCCAAGGCATAATGATCTGCAACTCAAAACGATCCTGCAACATCCACAACCTAAATTGACCAGAGCTAATGACCCAAACTGTCAAGGTCAACATGGATCCTTTTACATCTATTCTGAAAGGAAATACTATCCTTCCCTTCTTCTATGTCAAGCGGCCTTCTGACTGAGCAAGCTTCCACTCTTATGAACAATGAGAACCTACCTGTCTACCACCGAACTTAGCTCAACTTGTTTTACTTCTAGATACTTGCTCATAACCAAGTTACAAGCGAGAACAATGACCAATGCATCAGCAGCAACAGATACAAAGAGATATAATTGATTAAAGGGTAGGCTGGTTCAAATTCGAAAGTCAATAACAAGCAAAGCTAGCACCATAGCAGAGTACCAAGATGTGATAACTGCTTATGAAATCAGGTTCCAACAATGATGATCACTTTAGACTCCCACAGATATTTGCAGTTTCCCCACATTAGAAATGAAAATTGCCGTCACCAATACGAACTTCTCATCAAACTTGCTTACCTAGGAAGACTCTGCAACCTTTCCGGCCAGAGCTGGTTAATAAAATATCTAGACAATCTAGAACCAGTAAGCAACTTCGAACAACAGAAACAGCAATCGATCTGTATATTCTGCAAGGTTGAATTCGACATATCACTACATCAACAGATATCACAATGCGAAAATGTAATCTAATCAATGATGCAAACTGAAATGTAAAGCTAAAAAAAAGATAAGGAGACACAGGCAATAGATCAATCCTTCACATTCCCTTCATTTCCTGAGGCATTGTACACAGAACACGACTCTAAAAGAATCAAGATTAGCCGATATAATACAAGGGAGACAGAGTGAACTCCACTTTGCATTATAAGCCCGAGTAACGATCAAAGAAGATCAAGGAAGAGATTTCAGTTAAAATAACAGTCAAATGAAGGAAAAATGCCAATCACCTATTACCCCAATTTGCTTTTTTTACATAGACAAACCTCATTGGACCCAAATAAACAAACCTTCCCTTCCTCCCCACAAACTCTGCTGCCATTGATCATCAATTTCACCACCACCAAAGAATCTCAAACAAAAGAATTTTACAAGATGCATTGCCCCCCCACCCTCTCCAAAGAATCAAATCATGATATAAGAACTCGAAATTGGAAGAGAAAAAAATATAAATAATCATCAGAAGGTAAGGCAGCTGAAAAAGAGAACCTCATGAAGCAGAGTAAGGTTCATATCTATCTTTCAGTATTAGCTGCTTTCTCTTGAAAACCAAGAACCCAACAACAGCTACTTGCAAGATAGCTGCAACTCCCGCGAAAGCCAATCCGATCATCTTCCCAGCGTTCATCTTCTTGCTCTTTTTCTGTTTCTGCCGCGGCGGCCGCAGATGATGATGGTGTTCCCGTTTCTTGCGATGTTCTTTTTCCTCGCTGTCGGAGGAAGAGGAGGATTTGGATTTGCCATTACGGTCGAGCGGCGGTGACGGTGGTGGCTGTTCAAAAGCTTGTTTCTCGCCTTTCAAATTAGGTGGCGGTGGCGGCGGAGGTGACGACGATTTCTTGCTTTTAGACAGCGGCGGCGGCGATTCAGAGCTATGATCAGACTCAACAAAGGCCGCAAAGAAGGCGGCAAAGGCAACCCCAAGGATCACGACAGCCAAACATGGAGATCGAGTCTCCATGAATGTTTCCTCCCAAAAAGCGAAAACTAGCTTCCAAGTGATTTTATCTTAGCATCTGGATTCTGATCCCCAAACATTCAAAAGATCGGGACTTTCCCCCACGAATCTTCAGCTTCTCGGGACCGATTTCCTCCTAATCTGAAAGCGCCCGATTCGAAGCAAATCACGCGGACCCCAAATCTCCGATTTAGGGTTCCGGCGACCGGCAGAGAGAGAGAGAGAGAGTAGTGATTTGATTCCTAAGATGAAGTCCTAATCAGAAATGATTTTGGACTCAAATGGTTAAAAGGATATCGCAGGATTAGTCCCAAACCTACGATTTGGGACTCAGAAATCAAACTTGATCGAATTTTCATTCAAGGGTCGAGTAGAGGAGAGGGGGAGAGAAATCGTGGGGGGAAATCGGGGAAAAAAAATCCCTTCCCTCCTCTTTCTTGGAAAATTCGAAGGGGAAGGGGCTCGTTGAAGAGAAAGAGAAGGAAAAGATCGTTTGAGGGAAAGTGAAACTGAAAAGAAGAAGAATCAACCTAACGACCAAAAAGAGCCAAAGGTAAAATTGGTGGTCGCAACACCTTAACAATGGCGGAAATAGATGGCTAAATCTAGGGATCGGAAAACTGATTTCCCGGTGTGGGATTTGAGAATTGGGGGTGAGTTGTTAGTATGATTGGATTCTCTGGTTCTTTCTCTCTAGTAAAAAGAGAATCTTTGAGATGGGTCTATCTGTTTTTTGGATTTTTTTTCTTTCTTTTCTGCGCGTAGTTGGACTTGGAAGATGGAGAGGAGAGAGACGACAGTTGGAGAGAGAAACGGAGGATTTCGTGGGAAAGTTTGTCTGGAAACAGAAAATCAACGACCTGCAGAAGAGGAGAGAGAAACTATCTGGCGGGCTTGTTTTGGCGGGCTTCAAGGATAAACGGGTTGGGCCGAACCTATGCGCTGATATTGGTGATGAGGTGAATAGTCTGACTGTTTTTGTCCAGTTTTAGGATGACAAACATAACTATACTTATCGGTGGTCCGGGTTTAGCCATTTTAATCACCCGATTCATGCATTACGGTTTGGAAAATATTAAACTCAAATTCACCTAAAATATTTAACGCCTACGGTTTGTTTCTAATTGGGTTGAGTCGGGTTGACTATATTTTGAAGTAAAAAACCAACCCAAAATATGTAATTATCATACACCATAAAAATATTTTATAACTAATTAAAATTTTAAATGAATAAACCAAGGAGAAAGGTATCAAAATTCAAAAATGTTGTTTGAATTTTAATAAAATGTGATTTACTTCAACATATGTCTAGTTTTTTTCACAATATTTGTTGAAATAGGCTAAAAAGGTTATAAATGAACGCATCCATAATATGTTATTCAATTAAAATTGTACAGAAGAAAAAGGATTATGTGAATCATTGCTATATTAAATTTGTGTCTAAACTTTAACCCAAAGAATGCATTAGATTAGGAAGACCATGAGAGAAAAACATGGCAAAATATCTTAATTTTCTCATAAGTATGGGTATATACGTCATAATTTTTTTTGGATACGAACTCATACCTATAGTTGAAACACGGATTGGGTCGCGTTCTATAGGTTGTGCAATCCAAAATCCAAACCCAACCCAAAAGAGGTGGGTTGTACAAAAGAAAACTCTCACCCAACCCAAAACCTTCGTTATAGTGATAAATATGGGTGGGTTGTGTTGGGTTGAACGGGTGGGTTGGTTTGTGGGTGCGTTTGTTCACCCCCTAACTATACTCGTGAATACCTGTTTGAATCCGAAAAGAATAGGAGTGCTAACTGTAAAATTTAGGTAGCACAAAACCGGGTGTTCAAATGGTTACCGTGTAATAACCAAACCAATTAAGTCTAAATTTCATTAACCATGAAATAAAATGTCTTAACCAAACCGTCCAAATTAACACGAAAACCAAATTAACCAAACCAAAGTTTAATTGGTTTGGTTAATCGGATTAACCAAATAATGTAACATTACATGAAACCAATTATCCTGTTAATGAATAAAACATAATCATATGTTATTACTATCATAAACTATCATTATATATAAGCAATAATAATAAGACTAACCATCCATGATTATCATCATCATTCGAGTTAATACATCATTCATTATCTCTGCACCTAATATAGTTAGCTTACAACAAACCCTTAACATAAATATTAAATACATACCAATACACTCATCAGGAAGTTAAAGCTCTCCTACAAAACACTTAAATTATACAAAATTTGAGGTGGCAGTCATGGTATTGTACTTAATCCTAAAGTCTAGTAGTTGTCCATAATGTTTTGGTTTAGTAAATAGGCAGACCCATTTATTTTTTGACCCATAATGCTTTGGTTTGTTGTGCACATGGAAGTAAAATAGGGAATCACGAAAGTTTGGTTTGGTTGGTTGCATAGAAGTATAAATAATTGTATATATTAGGTGTATCATTAATGGGTTAATTGGTTTCATTGGTTAGCAGTGTTGAAACCAAACCAAATAAGCTAAATTTTTTAACAAAACCAGACCAATTATCCAAATTAACTGAATGCTACTGGTTAATATGGTTACCACGGTAACCAATCCGTTTGAACACCCCTAATGGAATATAACGAGAGTGAAGAACAAAAGGGCTTTTGATCATTTTCCAATGACCAGCTTCTGAACTCAATATTGAGCCCCAAGTTCGTTATTCAAGTCAATAAAGAACTTGTGATATTGAGAAACAAAGCAAGCAAATGTAAAGGATTGAATCAAGTTAAATCAGGTTACTATCTTCTCACTAATGAGTTCAATGCTCGAGTTCATCCTCCCATGTTGCCTTTTGATTGCAGATTCTGGAAGTACTTATGGACCTTGCCGGGTCCCCTAAGTTACGGAATTTTGCCTGGCGATTTGCTAGCGGCTTCCTGCCCATTTTCACAGTGCTCCTCTGCAAGAAGCTGATCACCTCCATGACTTGCCATGTTTGCTCGGTTGGTGAAGAAAATTTACAGAACTGTTTTTCGGAATGTCGGATAGCAATAGGTGTGTGGCGGCTAGCTAGGAAAGAACCTTTCCGACTACAACTAGCGGCCTTTGATCATACTAATGCTTGGAAGAGTTAGGGATAAGTTCTACGAAGTTATCCCTAACTCTTCTCTTGCGAATCTTTTGGCCTTGCTGGATGCTTTGGACTGGTGCTTAACTCATCATTTTCTTGTGATCTAATGTAATGGAAATTTCCATCAGGCTAATTGGGTATTGGCGGGAGACTCTAGAAATGCTACGGGTGGAGTGATTGGAGAGGATATTCGTAGGCTTGCAGGATTTTTTGAGTTTTGTCCGTACTCGCATGTTACTCTAAGAGTTAATAGAGTAGCTCATTTTGTGACCTAAAACGCTTTTTCATCGGAAGTTCGACGATTAGTCGGCTTTCACCCATGTCTTTGTATTGTTCTCTAACTATGTATCCGAGAATTCGCCCGGTTTTGTCTGTTAAAAACAATGTAAAGGATTGAACAAGGACACGGTATTTTTTGTTAACCGAGTTCAACCTATTGTTCACGTTTTGGCTCAATGTTGACTCACTCTTAACCCTTTAAGACCTAGTTGTCTAGGGTTTTGTCTTATTCATGTCTAAACTCTAAGTTGTGTTCCTTTGGGTGGAACTCAAACCTTTGACAAGAAAAGAGCAATATAAAACCTTCTCACTCCCTCAATGGCTCATGCTAAAGAGAGAAATCTACACAAGCTTCTAACACCGAAGTAATATAGAGTGAACACCCATCACTTCTCACACCTATAGCTAATCACTGAGTAATTATTCGTGCTTTGTGCACAATTACTCTGCAAAATTTGTGAGTTTGTCTTGTTGCTTTCTTCTATTTATACTATTTTGTTTGGAAATGGTCTCCCTTCATCTTCCTTGATTTGAGAATAATTTCTTGCACTCAAATATTTCCAACTATGATAATAAAAAAATTAGAGATTAGAGCTATTCGTTTTTAAATTACCTTTCTTGAGTTTTATTTTGCAAAAAAAAAGTTGTTCCAAAAATCTCCCCCACTTTTCATTTATGCAACTTTATACTTTTCCTAGAAATTCTAGTCACCATACACACACAACACACCGATTTTAACTGAAAGTCAAAAGTATTAAGGTCGTTAGGTAAGCATGTAATCTACCCACAGATTTCAAGATTACATGATATTTGAGATTTTACTGTTTCTCTTATTTCATTTTTGGACAGATATCACGATATTGGTGTACCATGTAATTCTAGAATTCATGTGCCCATGATATTTCAAACTATGTTGGTCCTACAAGGGGTGTTCAAATGGATTGGTTACCGTGGTAACCATATTAACCGGTAGCACTCGGTTAATTTGGATAATTGGTCTGGTTTGGTTAAACAATTTAGCTTATTTGGTTTATGTGGTTTGCTTTGGTTTCAACACTGTTGACCAATGAAGCCAATTAACCAATTAATGATACACCTAATATACAAAATTATTTATATTTCCATGCAACCAACCAAACCAAACTTTCGTGTTTTCCTATTTTATTTCCATGTGCACAACAAATTAAAGCATTATGGTTCAAAAATTAAATGAGTCTGCCTATTTACTGAATCAAAATATTTTGGACAACTACTAGACTTTAAGATTACGGACAATACCATGACAGCCACCTAAAACTATGTATAGTTTAAGTGTTTTGCATAAGAGCTTTAACTTCCTCATGAGTGATATTGGTATGTATTTAATATTTGTGTTAAGGGTTTGTTGTAAGCTAACTATATTAGGTGCAGAGATGATGAATGATGTATTAACTCGAATGATGATGATAATCATGGATGGTTAGTCTTATTATTATTGCTTATATATAATGATAGTTTATGATAGTAATAACATATGGTTATGTTTTATTCATTAACATGATTATTGTTTTCATGTAATGTTATGTTATTTGGTTAATCCGATTAACCAAACAAATTAAACTTTGGTTAATTTGGTTTTCGTGTTAATTTGGACGGTTTGGTTAAGACATTTTATTCCATGGTTAATGAAATTTGGGCTTAATTGGTTTGGTTATTACCCACTGTAACCATTTGAACACCCCTAACAAATAATGCATTTCAATATCACACAATTTGTCACAACTCAACCTACAATATACATAAGTTCTTCAAATACATGAATTCTACATTACGTGACGAACAAACAACCCCTTAAGAAAAATGAGACATCCTAGTCAACATTCGTACTGATGCTCCCCTTAACTACTTGACAATGAACATATCTAATAAACATGTTTTAAGGACATATCTAAAAAAAATAATATGCTCTCTTGCATTTGTAGAAAGTAACAAGATTGGAACTATAAACACTCATATCTGAAAATTTAGATTCAACCCTAAAATGTAAATCCAGATTTTCTTACTATTAAACTTCATACTCAAGAATTAAATTATGACAAAATACAATTCCATAGCCACATATTTCACGTTTGTAACATATATATTCATAACTTTTGAAATACACGAAATAGCCAAAATGTTCATAGTTGTTTGGCAAATCTAGGCATTTTCGTTACAAACTTTAACGGTGTTAGAGATTCCATCAGTTAGCTTAACGACACACATACTAGGATACCAAATTGACGCACACGTCAGCGACAACTCAGCCTCACATGCCACGTAAATTCCACATCATAATTACTTAAAAAATATTTTAGACAAACTATATTTTCATAAACACAACTTTCACATTTGTGACAGTTATAACCACAACTTTTGAAATACAAGAAATAGTCAGAATTTGAAAATTGTTTGACAAATGATTCGGGCTCAAATGTACACATTTTACCCTCATTTCTTATTCGTTTAGCTTAGTATTTCATCGTTCCTCGACATATTTCACGCTAGGTTGTGCTTGTTTTGATACATTTCAGGTCCTAGCACGTGTGAAAGGGTCGAGGACGAGTTTAGGGATATTTGGAGGTCAAAAAGCGCAAAAAGCAAATAAAAGTCCGACCGTGACAATTGCCTCGTAACAGTGAAGTGAAGGCATCCCAGGAAATAGCCGCAGTTCACGGCCGGACGAGGCAGTTCACGGTTTCCTAAGACCGTGAACTTCGACCACAAATCATGAACACTGAGGCATCCAGCGAGGTTCCTGAAGTTACTGACGACAAGGAAGTTCACGGTATCTAAGACCGTGAACTGTGGCCATTGACCGTGAACCCAAGGCAGTGAAGCGGTGTGTTTTGGACGATGCTGAGTTCACGGACGTGTTTAGGTGTTCACGACCGTGAACTGGCCAACGCGTCCGTGAACTGATCACTTTCGGGCAAATATGAAGACAACAGCGGGGAGAGAGAAAAGGGAGCTGGTTTTTGGAGAATAAACACTTTCTTTCTCTAGGGTTTCAACCTAAACACCAAAGGGGAGTTCTAGTGAGAGAGAGAGAGAGAGAGAGAGAGAGAGAGAGAGTGCTAGAGTGATATTGGAGCATCATTGGAGGCTTGGGTGGAAGATTCAAGCTTAGAAGAAGAAGAAAGATCTTGAGCTCAAATTTGTAATCCCCCCCCCCCTCTCTCTCTCTCTTGAAACTCATTCTTTTCTCTTGGGTGTTGTAGACCCCTAACTAATACTTTGTAATTACTTGTTAGATTGAATGATTAAGTGTGGGTTTTCATCAATTTGAGTATTAGAGGTGCTTTCATGGTGATTGTGCATGCTCGTGCTTAGCAATCTAAAGGTTGTGCATGTATTGTTATTAGCACCCTTAGGTTTGTGCATGTAGGTGCTAGTGCAATCTAATTAGCCACCTTAGCCTAGTTTAGAGAGGAAAATCCCCCTTCCAAGGGAGACTCAATCGAGTTGGTTTTCCTTCCTCTTTCTAAGCCACCTAACTAGGTTAAGTTAGGGCAACCCTCAATATTGAGTTAAGCAAATCGGTTAATCGCGATTAAGTCGTCCGACCTTAGAGTTTAGTGAGGGAGTAAGTCAACTACCGATTGTCTAAACCGAGAGGGTCGAGTGACACGGCCTTTCATGCTTACCTCGGTCTAGCAATCGATATTGTGGTCTACGGCCATATTTGCATCCCTCTACGGTTCGCGGTTACCAGTTTGCATCTAGGTTGGTTGTGATTAAGCCGCTCAAACTCCGGTTTGAGGGGTAGACCTAGGAAACTGCTAGAGACTGAGTGAGAGGATCGATCCTGTGACAAATCGATCTCTAGCTAATCCATCCCGTGACAAATGGATAACTAGTTGCTACTCCTAGCAGTTCCCCTAGACTTGGTGAGTGGATCGATCCCGTGACAAATCGATCGCTAGTGAATTAATTCCGTGACAGATTGATCACTAGTTGCTCACCCCCGCGGTTCACAACCACCTATGCCACACGACTCTATTCAATCCAACGAGTCATGGTAGCTACTAGCTAGTTAGGGGGAAGCAACTCCTGGGTGAAGCTCCCTTAGTTAGAGTTTTCCTTTATTTACTTTTCTTTGCTTGGTTACTTTTCTTTGCTTGGGTGAAGTAGGGGTACATGGATCGTCCCGGGTTGACAATTAAATACTTGCTCTATACTGCACCCAGCTAGAGTTTAAAAACTTGGACTCTAGTCGGGATTAATTTGTGGTGTAATTTCATGTGAGTCAACAAATCTAGCCATTTATGTTACAAACTTTCAAAATACACGAAGCACTCGCGACCCAATTCTCTATTTCTTTTCTGTGCTCTGTTTGAGAGGGAATGCAACGAATCGTGCCAATTGACTTTGACGATTCAGCCTTCACCGAAAACAAGGACAACCATAGCCGCGACGGTCTCGAGAAACTGGAGGGGGAAATGCATTACGAGCCACCACATCCTTTCTCGTCATTTTTCTATGACTCCGCCAAGCTTCTGAGGCCTTCTTCTTCAATCTAGTGATTGGGGATCTGAATCGTCAATTTGGAAAATAAGGCCCCCTTCTCTAGTAATGCTGTTAAGTTACACCGTGAAAGGAAGGATGGAAGTAGTTATTTTGTGTATTTCGAAAGTTGTGGCTATAATTGTTACAAACGTGAAAGTTGTGGCTATAAAAGTGTATTTTGTTTTTACTTTGTTAATCCACGTGAATCGTCAACTCAATATTTCCGTCATTCCTGTCATACTCTTAAGTGATATAAAAAAGATGGACAGAAGTGGTTATTTTATATATTTCGAAAGTTACATATCTATAATTGTAATTGTAACAAGATTTTGCCTTAAATTATTTGCTATAAGACAAGAATGACTGTGCATTGCCATCAGCCCATCAGAGAGAGATAATAATAGATAGAGGCAGGCAGTATTAACTGTAACTAAAACAAAGAAATAAAAGGGCAAGCAATGGCACGATATTTAAGGCAGCCTGCACTGCTTGCTCCATTTTTTACCAGACAAACAAACAACATCCTTATTCAATTGAATAGTCTCTTTATCTAACAGAGTAGTCAAATGGGTTTGACCATGGCTGTTTTGACTTTTACATTACCTGACGTATTCCCTTTCACAGTTACCTATATGATCTATTCTAGCCTAGAGCAGGAGTCATAATACTACTAGGGCTCCCTTTGTGAATATTAATCAACTTTCCTTTCAGTCCGACAGCCAAAATGTGATACTGTATCGGACAACATATGCGTATGTATATGTGAGGAATGACGGAATGTAAGTTCTATAGGAGTTTTAGGAATAGTAGTGTGTATTATTATGAAACCATAAAGGGGTTTATATAGATTACAAGACTTGGACAATAAGTAAGAGAACCACAATACTAAAAGGACACGGTAATACTAAGAACTAGACTATAAGGACAAGGAAATATAAGATTATTCCTAATCTATCTCTAACACGCCCCCGCAAGATGATGGTGTGAAGAACAACATCAATCTTGACCAAAATACGCCAATCTTGAAGAACACGCCCCCGCAATGTGATGGTGTATAATGTGTTGCAAACTCGTCGAACTCTCGTGCTTGAAGAGCGAACAAGATATGCGTATGTATCTATTTTATTCTCGTGAATACTCGATAAGTTCGTGAAAGAGAGACAATTTGATCTTGCAACCATGCGAGTAACTACCAAAGAATTCTTTCTTATAATGATATCCTGTTCGAATCGAACTGGGATTGCAAACTCAAACCACAGTCAAGTAGAGTGGCAAATTCAGTGACATGTTAAATTTGAAAAAGCAAAATAAAATAAAATAGTGTCGTGTAGCCCATGCAAAGGTGGTCACTCACCATTCTGAACGAGATGTAAAGGGGCTGCATGCAATATGGTTGGTTCATTGTTTTGTCTTGTCTTCTCCCTGTATTATTTTCTGAAAACAATTCCACACGACAGATAGAAAAAGGCCAAGAATCTCTGTAAACCACTAGCAAAAATACATATCATATTCAATTCCCTCATACTATATATAACAACAATATATATATATAAACGGCCTTCAAAAAGCATCAATGATTCAGTACCAAAATGAAGCCCTAAGCATCGATAATATAATCTTAAAAATAAAAACACTATATCATCATTCATAGAGCTTAGCTAAAACATTCCAACCTAAAGATTGTGATCATCAACTTGCTGTCACTATCATCCTCGTATCCTCCTTTGCCCTAACTACCATTTGACGACCTAAAGGTTCTTATAAACCTCTACCGTTCATTGCTGATTCCACAAAGTGAACATTGGAGCTTGATGGTGAATACGGTTCTGATGATCATGATCAACCAAGTCTAAGCACCTCGCGCCATTAGCCGCCAGCTCAGCAGCGGCGGCTGCCACATCACTTTGCTGACAAGGATGGCCAGATGATGTAGTACTACTCGATCCGTTGTGATGATTCCATGCGGCCATATCGGCGGAGTGCAACTCCTCTGACGAGCTCCTCGAGTTGTAGTCCTCCAATGCCATGAACGGTGGACCGGTGGTGGGAAGAGGAGGAGGAGAAGCCCGTTTGGCAAGATCGCCGGCGATCAATGTAGAGCTAGAGCAGATTCTCTTCACGTCGTACCTACTTATGTCGAAATTAGTGACAGCGCTCGTCCCTCTGAATTTGATTGCAGCTATGTCGTATGCCTCGGCCGCTTCCTCTTGGGTGCCTATTGACAAGGTCGACACGTCGTGTTAATATGAAAGGTTGGAGGTTGATTAGTGCCCATAGAAGTATAAGAAACAACTATTTTGGAACATTCTAGCTTGTAAGTGCAAGACGAGTGAAATTTTATTGGATAATGAAAAAGGATATTCTGATTCATACCCATTAAAGTACTCACAAAAGGGTATCCTAAAATTAAAACACAATGGACAAAAGATTTTTCACCATCTTGAGTTATGTAGTTGCAAAATTTTGTTGAGCTAATTAATAAGACATCATAAGAGAAAAGAAGGCTTACTAAATGTGCCGAGGTACAAGTCTTTGTTCCCAGCAACCCTTCCGATTCTAGCTTGCCACCGGCCATGTTGATGGTGCCTGCAGTTGGGAGGCAAAACCAAAAAGTAAAAGAGCAATTCTTTAGCATATTAAAGAAGGCAAAAAGAAAAGTAGTACAAACAACCCTTCAGTTTGTTGGATGACTAATTGACCATCATCCCTTTGGGTAAAAATGTTGTCTTTTAAGTTTTACCCTGTTCTGGCTTTTGTTTCTATGGTTTTTTCATGATAGGCACATCACATGGGAGAAGAATATAACTAATAATAACAGGGTTTTGTGTGTATAGAGATGATAAGGAAAAAAAAAGCCTGCTGAAGAAAGGAGACAACAAAAGAAATGAACTCTTTTTGCAGAGGTAAGGTTAAATAATGGAGGTGGGAAACCATGCAAGATTGCAGCTTTTATCATTCACCAAAGAGGTTGCTTTCTTTTCTTCTCTTTTGCTGGTCTAGTTTTATAAATAGGGTGGATAGGTAGTGCATATTACCTTGTCACTCCTCTGTACATTGACGCTCCTCTTGAGAAACCACTGCTTTTCCTGTAAAAACAAAACAAGTACTGCATCAACATATGAACTAATCCAGCTAGCATGCTAATGAGATCGGGTTAGCATGGATCGACACCATCAGATTTTACGTTGCTCACGATCTCGATGTTTGATGCATGTTAATTAGGGTTATTTCTAACAATATCGCCGTAAGTATCGAGAGACAGACATTACGAAACTACTTGATCCGATAGTATCAATCCGCACTATCCCCAACCCCTATCAACATGCTAACAAAACTCCATGCAATGATACACTTTCAAGTAATTGGAATTCTTGGAAACATTAATTGGAACAACATTCAATCATATTAGCCATGATTTGCTTTTCTTCCATCCCAAGGGTTGAGTGTGGAAAAGAGGGTACAAAACTATATGTACCTTCTCAAATTAGCAACAAATTCTTGCCTAGTCATGTGCTTCATCTCCTCGAGCTCCTTCTCATAAATGCTCAACTAGTTTAAATCAAGTGAAGCCACAAATAAATGAGCAAAATGGTAACATTCTTGGAATTAATGAATTAATTTAATCAAGTGAAATGTCTCAAACAAAAACTTACTGGGAAATTAATGTGAGTAGTAGGACCCCAATACTTTAAGGCAGCCAAGTCATAGGCTCTTGCTGCCTTCTCTTCCTTGTCATAACCACCTAATTAATAATGATTGTGATCATCAACGTTAATTTAACATAAATAATGTCACTAAAATAGAGAGAAAAAAAACACTCTTTATTTAAATTCACTTACCAAGATAAACTGTTGAAAGATTTGATGCAAGAGAGATTCAAAGTAGGCAACCCCACCACAATGACAAGCAACACAACAAGTCATCAGTATATTCCTTTCGGGAGGAACAAAGGACACATCAATAAAAATATACGATCATAAAGAAGAAGAAAGAATGTTAATTCAGTTTGTCGAATCGTATTCGTACCGAACAGATTAACTAGTGGGTTCACGATCGGACTTAATGTGATTGATTGGTACCATATTTAGCTAGTATCGCAGACTGTTACTATTATTGAATTAACTAGTTAGTTAATTGTACTCTTCCAACTACTATTGCTCCATAAACGAAATGTTATATTCACTAATGGGTCCTCGATTGGTATATTGAAATCGAACCTATCAGCTAACCGGCTCAAAGTTCGGATAACAGTTCGGCCAACACAATCGATATGATACGGTATCACAAACAGTTACGATTATTAACTCAAGTAGTTAGTTAATTACATAAATTATTGTACCTTGCCTTCCTTTCCTAGTTTGACCTTCCTTCCTGCAACTGTTGTCCCACAAATGTGCCTCATATCTCCCAGTCCATCTATGCCTTCACCAATCCAAAAATAAAGACAAAAAAAATAATTAAACAATAATATAAGTATATAACCAAAAAACAATGCAAAAATAGCAGATTAGTTTATAAACACAGTTAGTTAATTACCTGGTGACACCTCGGAACTGAGAAGTCCTTTGCCCAAAAGTATCAACAGACTTCCCACCTCCACCCCTCTTACCACTTTTACCGTCACCGTTGCTATTACCCTTCCCGTGAAGGATAAGATTGTTGTTGTTTTGTTGCTGCTGACCAGCCGCCATCATTAGCCCATTCACATTACCATTAATACCGTAATTAATGTTACTAATCTGGGAGCTAATCATTGGGCTCATCGTCAGAGACAAAGTCTGATTATTATGCTGCTGAAGATCGTCGCTAATCTGCTGCTGCTGCTGTCTCAGCCATGCCTTGAGCCCGGCCAGCGAAGTTGACGGTGGCGAAGAACCGCCGCCTCCGCCGCTGGCATCGAAATGGTAATTAGCGGTGGCCGGGTAGATGATTTGGCTGTTGCCACCAGCGTGGATGAGGGATTGTGACGGTGGAATGTTGTTGACGGTGGTGTTCCCTGTAGCGGTGGTGCTAAAGAAATCTTCGAGTTTAGGACTCTCGCCTTCTGCTTCCTGATCAGGATTTCTGGCCATCCCTTCTCCTCCTCCTCCTGATACAGCAGAGAGAAAAGACTAATTTTTTTTAATTAAATGACCCCTTTTAAGTTTTAGCGACCAAAAACTGATTTTTCGTAACCAATTTCACGGTCGCAAAAAGAAAAAGAACTCTTTATCTTTTTCTTCCTAGTATAATAAGTAGTAGACGAATATGGTTGAATGGAAATTTGAGATTTGGATACCGGAAAAGGGAGGAAGATCGGCGGCGGCGGAGGAGTGGAGAGGCGGCAGAATGTGATGGTGGTGCATCATGGTCATGTGATCCGCAGAGGAAGAAGAAGAAGACGGCGATGAAGAAGAGAAAGCGGCAGAAAGTGGGAGTTCCTGATGGTGGTGACCATCATCATCACCACCATAGCCTCCATCATGATGATGATGATGATGATGATAGTCTTGGATTTGGAGGTGTGGGTTGAGGGAGAAACCCAGCTGCCACTTGCTCATCCTCTTAGCTAGCTATAATATAGTATTTGGCTGGCTTGCTTGCTTGCTCCACTCAATCTGTAATAATAAAAACCCTAACCAGCTTTGTCTCTTGTTGTGTATGTGAAACACAGAAACCCAAAACCTCTCTGCCTTCTCTGAGTGTAAGGGAAGGATTCTTGTTGTTGTTGTGGTAGGAGTTCAGAAGTGTGGGTTTGTTGGGACTTGGGGAGTTGAGGAATCCTCCTCCTCTTCCTCCTCTGCTGGTTGTTTTTGGGGTTTTGAGTCCAAACTCTTTCTCTCTCCACATCCAACACTTATAAATAACTTTCCTTCCTAATCTTGTTCCTCTTTTTTCCCCCTCAACTCTTGTCTTTAACAAATTCCAACTTTTTTCTTCACTGTATATATATGGTGGGAGTGATGTGAGTATTAAAGTAGGGCGGTTTAGTAAAACATATGGTAAAAGTTTGAAGATGGCCAAACCGCTTGAGTAATTTACCTTCCTTGATGGTTAGAAGTATGTGACGATTTGTTGTTCAAAAGTACGAATCTCATTGTTGTGAATTGTGATATGGAGGGTATCATCACTCCAAAATAATAATGGAATTGTGTGTGTTGAATTGTCTATGAATTGACAATCTCTACTTACAAGCAAATTTATGTCAACTGACAAATTGGGTATAGAGTAGGGTACATAATCCATTGTTATTTATAAAACCAATTGGGTATGGAGTAGGGTACATAATCCATTGTTATTCATAAAACTAATTGGGTACAGAGTAGGGTGCATAATCCATGGTTATTCACAACTAAATTAAGACATTGATGATAAGAGCATCCACATAAACTTAATCGCAAAATCAATTGCATATTAGATTTTTATTGCCACCTCAATATTTTTGTAACTGCATATGTAATTAAATATTATATTTAAATTATGAAAAGTTAAAGGGACAAGAAAAAAAGAAAATAAAGAAATCCTATTTTGTAGGTCATTTTGGATTTCATATGTAATTGCATTTGTTGCAAGTTTGTAAATATGCAATAGAGAGCCACATTGATGCAATTGATTTTGACTTTTGCAAAAACCATGACATGTCATCTTGTAATTGGAAATGCAAGACCAATGTGGATGCTCTAATTGGGTCAGGTCTAAATGGTGAGACTAAAAGACTTTTATTTTCCCTTTTTTCGTTGAATCAATTTCCTCCTTTTATTAATAAAACGAGATGTGCAAGGATCAAATAATCTTTTACCCTAGGACACCTCAGAGAGAGGCACCCTGTAGAACAAAGCTAAGAAAAACGACTCAATCGACCACTACTACAACTTTCCCTTCTACTATACATTGAATATGCTATCCACCAAAACAAGGTGGTACTGAATTGCAAAGAATAGATCTCTACTCCAAAGCTTTTCCATTGCTGCAGCACTCCTTGGGATCTCGCTATGGCTTCGTCGACATCTTTCCTGCCAGGTGAAAGAGATCAACGAACACCAAACCATTCCAAAACATCGCCCCACCAACGCTGAATTATTAGTTGCCAGGTCCCCAGCTGATGTAAGTCTGCTATCCCAAGAGTCTCCACGTATCAAATTGCCCCACCTACCACAGACTTCTTTAGAGAACTCACAATAAATAAAAATAAAGGGATATAGGTATAATATGCTCCTCTACTATGACGTTTTATCAAACATGCCTCTCTACTATTTTTTACGTCAAACATGCCCTTTTACTTTGTAAAAATGATCAAACATGCCCTTTTGTTAAAATTTTCATCTAAAAAGCGTTAACCAAGGCCGAACTTTAGTTTGGCCGACACAAATGACTAAAATATCTCTAATAAATTCACTTTAGAATTTTTTTGGTTATTTTGTATAATCAAATCATTCAAATAATTTCACTTTGAAAAGACCCAGAGAAATAAAACAGGGGACAAAACTGACATTTTCCCTCCAATTTGTCGATCTCGGGTCGTCTAAATCTCAATTCAACTATGATTGACAATTTTTTTCAATCGAAATTTTAACAGAAGGTTATTTTTTATAATTTTTCCACAGTACAGGGGTATATTTGATGTAAAAAATAGTAGAGGGGCATGATTGATAAAACGTCATAGTAGAGGGGCATATTATACCTATAACCCAAAAATAAATGGTTACGAGAGTCAATTCCATGTCCACACAACACACATGATGCATCATTAATCTTCCCCCACTTTTTTAATTTCTCCTTCGTCACACTTGCATCCATGATCATAATCTAAGCAAACATGCTCCAGCGAGGAACACTAAACTTACCCCAAATCAGTTTAAACCAGCGAACTCTATTGCAGGTTGTGCAAATGGTATTTCGCACAGTGCCAATTTAGTATAGCTCCATCCTCTTCCCATTCCACATACCATCAGGACCCTGCATATTCATATAAGGCTGAAATACAGGTCACGGCTTCAAAATTCATTTCCATGCCCAAGAACTCGAAGGAGATGTCCCCATACTCCACACGTCAACCCCTTGCATCGGTAAGCCTGCATCCAGACAACCCATATGACACCAGACTTGATCATCAGGAGCCAGAGCATCCTCGCAGTGCATGCTCTGTTCCAAACAATCAAATCTCGAAGCCCTAAACCACCATCCTGTTTTGGTTAGGCAAGACGGTCCCACGCAACCTTTGCCCTCCCAGAATCCTCGCAATGCTAGAGGAAGTCTGAGCAGACCTTCTGGAGACGCACTATGAACTTCATAGGAAACACAAAAAGTTGAAACCAATACTGTATCACTCCCATTAAAACAAATGCAACTAACTGTAATCTATCTGCATATGACAACTTTTTTGACCTCCACAATCTGATACGCTTAGTCAACTTCTCACTCAAGATTTCACAGTCCCAAGAACTTAATTCTCAGAAAATAGTGGTAATCCCAGATAACGGACAGGGAGAGAACCCTCCTTAAATCCAGAAACAGCTAAAACATTCATCTTATACTGAACAGACTCCCCACCAAAATACACTTTCACATTTTTCAGGATTGCACTTAAGACTAGAGAAAGAGTAGAATTGAGTCAACAAAGAGGAAACCTTGAGAAGAGATTGGGTTGAACCAGTAGTGAAGATGAGTAGATCATCTGCAAAACATAAATGATTCATTCCTACCCTACTGCACTGTGGATGAAATGGCAGATCCCCTAAACCCGCAGCTCTCTTAAGCAAGCCAAATAGCCCATCCATTGCAATACATAATAGGTATGGGGACAAAGGGTCCCCTTGCCTCACACCTTTCCTTGCTTTGAAGAAACCACACAAACCACCATTAATACTAATGTTGAAATGCGTTGTTGATAAGCAAACCTTAATCCATTGCACAAAATTTGCAAAAAATCCCATGAAAGCCATAACTTTGAAGAGGTAGTCCCAGTGAATTGAGTCGAACGATTTCATTAGGTCCACTTTAATAGCAGATCTAGTCGGCATATGCTTTCTCTGATACGCACTTACAAACTCTTGTGCAAGAAGAATATTATCCATAATTCATCTCCCAGTGATAAATGAAGTATGGTTGGAGCTTATAACTTGAGGCATAGCCATCTTCAATCTGTTGGCTAGTAACTTCGACACACACTAGTACAATATGTTTACACACGAGATGGGTCTGAAATCCTTTAGTCTCTTTGCATTAGGAACTTTTGGCACTAGGGAACATCAGTAGCATTAATACCACTTATCATCCTGCCATTAGAGAAAAAAATCAAGGACTCCAGATGTGATTTCGCTATTTTTTTTAATTTGCTTATATATTCTTTGTTTTAACTTGAATTTTAAATATTTTTACACATAAGAAATGAGTTCGTTATGATCTACAAAATGATATCAATTTTGATATATTTGAGAAAATAATAATAATTGTAACACCCACTACCACTCCGGTACGACTCTGTACCACCTTTGTTTTAACCTCGATATTGAAGCATTTTGCATAGAAGAAATAGGTTCATCGTTATCTATAAATTTTCTGAGGGAATTTTCAGTATTAAATATATCACCTTGTACCACCCTAGTCTAGAGTGGTAATTGATGGTAGAAGATGATGAAATGTGATAAATGACGATTTATACAATCATTCTATACTATGATATATCCATACCACCATAGTATAATCTTGTGTACTACCTATCATTATCACTATGGTATTGACAACATTATCACTATGGTATTGACAGGAAGTATATATCTCAACCTTTTGGTTAAAAAATAAGGTAATAACTATTTATTAGCCAAACATTTTTTTTATTCTTTTTTATTAGCCAAACCTATTGACTTGCTATTAATCAGTGAAACGTCAACTCTTCGTTAACCTTTTCGTTTGATGATGGTGAGCTGTCGAACGTGGCGCTGAGTTGGAAGCAGTATTCTGACGTGGTAGTCAAAAAATGCTACATCAGTCGGTCAACCATTGATCAATTTTTATCAATGATTCGGGTCTAATTGTATACATTTTACCTCTAATTTTTTGATAGTTTGCCTTTGCATTCCATCGTCCCTCGACATATTTTACACTAGGTTGTGCTTGTTTTGTCATATTTCAGGTCCTAGCAGGTGTAGAAGGGTCGAGGACGAGTTTCGGGACGATTGGAGTCGAACGTGCCAAAAAGTGAAGAAATTCCAAAGGCGACTGTGAAAATTGCCCCGAGATCGTGAAGCGCGGAGGTTCCAAAACAGTTGCGCGTCTCACTGGAGTCCAGTCAGTTCACGATCACGCGACCATGAACTCCAACCTCAGATCGTGAAGTGACTTACTGAAATGGTGTGAATCTGCTTGACTTCACGGTCCAGAATGAATGTTCACGAGCGTGAACTGGGACGGTGAATAGGCGTCGATCAGGGTATAAAAGGAGAAGTGAGCTGAAGGAGAAAGGGTGAGCTTTTGGTAGGTTTTTAGTTTTGAGAACAAAAAGAGGGGTTTTAATGCGAGATTATGGTTTCTTCTTCCTATTTTAGACAGAGAAAGTGCCATTCAAAGGAGGAAGAAGGAGATTTGGGCTTGTCCTAAGCTAGAGGAGTGAAGATTCTTAACTCTCAAGGGAGATTCGAGCAACAAGGAAGGAATATTGCCATCTCTTCATGGTTCTTTCTCTCCTTTTTCTTGTTTTCCCTTGCCTAGCTATGGAATCGTCTACCTATTCACTTGGGTGTTGTGAGCCCTATCTTAAAATATGTGATAGATTGTATTAATTGAATGCTTTGTGTGTGGGTTTGTGTTTAATGCAAAGTTTGAGGTATTTTCATGATGTTTGGGTTGTGTTCTTCATTTCTCATTACTATGCCAATTTGACTAGGTAGAGGGAATTTTCCTTTTTGTTAGGAGGCTTTGATAAGTTGGATTCCTTGGCCAATTGAGTCACCTACTAGGAAAAATTAGGGCAAACCTCAAACTTCGATTAACACTTTAACTTGGGTGTTACTTTGCCGTCCGGATTAATTTCCGAGGGATTGGTTCTTGCAACCCTTAGTTTTATCGGTTAAGAGAGCTAGGACTCCTAGTTTATTGTTGCAATCCTTGGCCGAAAAGTTAAGAGAGCTAGACTTCTAAGTTTATTGTAGCGATCCTTAATCCATTGATTGAGAGAGCTAAGGTTCCTAGCTTAATTGTTCTCCTTAACCATTGATTAAGGGAGTGAGGTTTCCTTCACTTGTTGTGCCCTCCTACGGTGTATGATACACATCGACACCTTTACATTCGATTTGGTCGATCTTGATATGTAGTTAGGGGTAGCAATACCCGAGTAAATTCTTGCCTCATTGGGACAACCTTGATTTACTTTACTTGTTTGTTTATTTTGTAGTTTTCTTAGTTTTAAACCCAAACCCGTTTGCTAGATAACAAGTTAAGCGATTGAAGTAGGGGTACATGGACCAGCCCGAGTTGACAATTTAAATACTTGGCCTGTACTGAACCCGACTAGAGTTTAAAAACTTGGGCCCTAGTCGGGATTAAATCACAGTGTATCTGTGGCGAGTCAATCAATATTTAATAAATATTAAAAATAAAAAGGTTACCACTAATTATTAGCCAAATATTTTCCATATTCTTTTTTATTAGCCAAACCTATTGAATTACTAATAATTAGCCAAATGTTAACTTCCACTTAGCAATTTTGCAGTACCAAATATATCACCTTGTACCACTCTGGTCTAGAGTGGTAATTGGTGGTAGACGCTGACGAAAGGTGATAAATGACGATTTATACACTCATTAAATACTATTATATATCCATACTACCATAGTATAATCTTGTGTACTACCAAGCATTATCACTATGATATTGATGGAAAATATATATCTCAACTTTTTGGTTAAAAAATATCAAAGTGGATGTCATTTTTAGAATATAATTAATATGATATTTTCGTGCAACTTTTTCCCAATTAATACTTAGAGAGGGAAATATATAATTCATTAAATTGGAGAAAAGGTGAGTTACTTTTTTCATAAGCGATTGATGGGGAATATGGATGGCTATGTATAAATTGTTCGAAAATATTCACTTGCAAAGCCATAACTATCGATTTAGTGACAATAATTGTCAGTTTTTTAGAAATACACAAAATGTCCAAATTTTGGAAACATGTTTGACGAATTTATCCACTTTCTTTAAGAACTTTAACGCCATTAGAGATTCCAACAGTTACATTAATATGACACTAATGTGGATTCCACCTTGATGCTCAGTGACAACTCGACATGCGATGCCACATGGACGCCACATCATAATTTTATTTCAAAGTACACATGTATAGATGGAGTTTTTACTTTGTGACAATAATAGTTCATTTCTCATAAATATACAAAATGTCCAACTTCTTCCAAAACTTAACAGAACCATTTTAATTGCTTACTGACTAACATTTTTGCCGACTTAGCGATAATAAAAAAATATTTTTGGGTTGAATTAACTAAAAAAGATAAATAATATAAAATTGAAGGGTCATCCACCTCCAGTTCTCCCCAGCCCCTTCCTATTCCTTTAATCTCCCATCTCAACCCCTTTTCACCTCAGCCCATCATATTTGACTGGCTCATTAGGGACTGAAAAATGAAGATAGTGGGGCTAGAAGAAAAATAGGAAGTATAAAAAAAGGAATTTATAAAACTATCTTTAATTAAAATATGATGTGGGGTCCATGTGACATGACATGTGGAGTTGTTAACGTGTGCGTCAAGGTGGCATCCTCGTCAGCGTCTTGTAAATGTAACTAACGAAATCTCTAATTTTGTTAAAGTTTTTAATAGAGGATAAATTTGTTTAACATTTCTTCAAAATCTGGACATTCTGTCTATTTCTCAGAAGTTGGCTATTATTATCACAAAGTCGATAGTTATGAATATGGAATTGAGTTTAGTTAATCCCACATGACAATATATTTAATTAAGTGTCGCCAAGTCAGCAATAATGTTAGTGCAGTTAGCATCTAAATTGAATTTGTTTAAGTTTTAAATAAAATTTGACATTTTGTGTATTTCTAGAAAATTTGGTAATTATTGTCACAAAGTCGATAGTTAGAGCTATACATGTGTATTATACCTAATTTATCTTCCCATCTTTCTCAAACATAAATTATTGGACTTTGTTAAGGTGACTTGGAAAAAAAAGCCAACCTTTTCCTCTAAGTTGTCGACAACTGTCCGTGAAATCGATCTACCACTTCCATCAAGAGGTTGACCTATTCTTTCAAGCGGTCCACCGCTTCCAATGACCGGTCTACCTGATGAACCATTGTAATGACATCCTATTGTCCATTGCGTTCCTAATGTAAGTAAAAGTTATTGTGGTATCTGGTCAACCGTTCACAGGAAGCAGTAGACTGTTCTCTGAAAAAAGTATACAGTTTGCCGTAATTGGTAGATCGTTTGACGAAAGCGGTATAGTGATTCGAACAAGCGGGTGTAAATTAAAAGTAAGTGTGTGTTATCAAGTTAACCGCTTGAGTGATAAACCATTTGCTTGAAGCGATAGACCGCTTGATGAAAACAGTAGACCATTTACTTAAAAAGTGATCGACCACTTTACAAAAAATATAGCCTTTTCATTGGAAAGTGATCAATACCACTTTACATAAGAGAGATACCGTTTTCATCAAATCAAAGTATCACCAATTCACCATATACATACCCTAAATTATTAGCATTCTGAAACAAATTATAGCACTGCACTGAGTTGTTATTTCAAATATTTTACGTTTTGAATTTTATTTTTGTTTCCACGGTAAATATATGTTTTGAATTTAGGGTTGGTTTCTTTCTTTCTTTCTGTGTGCGGCTGTATGGTCTGTTTGCTTCCCCTGCTGCCAAAAGATGCTTCGTTTCTCGTGTCCTTTCCTTTTCTTTGCTATTGGGTTTTTCTTTTTGGTTGCATTTCCTTTTAGCAGAAGCAGTGCAGCGGCAGAGGGTGGCCGTCAGTTTTGTGGTGCAACAGAGAGAGGCAGCAGCAGCAGCAGCAGCAGCAAGAAGAGAGAGAGACAGTCCCAGTCGCAGTCCCCCACCTCCTCCACCCCATCCCTCCTCTATCGGTATTCATTACCGCTTGCTACTTGCTAGCAGTAGCAATTACTTTGGGTTAAATGCTCCCATGGTGGTTACTTAACCAAGATTCAGGACCTCACTTTCTCTCCTTGCGCAACGGATTCAATCCGCTACGGGAATAGTTTAGCGTGGTTACTCAATTTTGCGTAATCAAGGTGGATAGTGCAATTTTGTGTTCCACGTTTATTGGCTATGCTGCACACGGTGATTATTTTGTAAACAATTGTCACTACAAAAATTTGACGATCTTGTGTCGAGGATTTCACAATTCGGGGATTTTTCCACTAATACCATCATTTAAAAAAGTTTACAAAAATACCACCCAACCAAAAAAATAAAATTCAAAATTACCACCATTAATTGAGAACTGCCTCAGGGGGAGATGGTTTTCACATAAACCGCTCGGGGAGGGGGCGTTTCCCGCTAGGGCGGCCAATCAACCGCGTGTGCACGTGGCATTCCTCGGGACCGCCCAAAAACATATCAAAATCCCGAAAGGGTGGACTTTATAGTCGATCAATATCTGTGTCGAAAAAAGGTTGTTTTTATAGAGTAGAAGTGATAGCACGTTTTAGAAGAATACTAAATAAAATAAGAAACCCCAAGTGTGAGGCGGAATTGAAAACTTTGGGGTGTATAATTGTGCAAGTAGCTCGGTGTGTACGCGAAATGTAAAGTCAGAACCGCCTTCCAGTAGCAGAATACTGTTTTGGATTGTCTTCTTCTTCTTCTTCTTCTTCATGGGGGACCTTTGTGTTTGTCGTCCTCTTCTTTCTCGTTAATTATCTTTCAGCCGATCATCTAGAAATTCCCATGGTGTACTGTCGAGAATGCTCTTTTGCTGGAGCCATTGGGCTGGGTTGGGCCTCCTCTTCCTCCTGGGCTAAACTGTAATGAAAGCTCAGTCCATAACCTTGTTTGGGCCAGACCTGGAGTACTACACTCCTCACTCAAATCCTTGCCCCTTAGTCTACCTTGTCGTCGAAGTTCCTCTACCAAAAGGGTTGAGAACATTGAACTTGAAGACCTCTTTTGATGAACGGATGAGTATTTTGGAAGATGATCCAGTTTTTTTTTTTTTACCAAGACCGAATCACACCATTCACTGTTCGATCTGGATCGAATTGAAGAAAAAAAAATGCTTATCTATAATCTCGATTCGATCCTCGCAAGGGAAGTGATCCAATGATATGACAAACTCATCCGTACAGAAAATCTGGTCTACTCCGAAACCCGAATATGTTGAAATGAGAAATGAAGGGGAGGATCAAAACACGGAGTGGAAAAATAATTCGGCTGGGTATGAGCTTGAGGCATTCAAACTCAATATGCATACATTGTCAATACTTGGTACAAATTACAAGACATTGGCACCCTGATGAAAAGAGGAGGTAAACTAAAACTGTTTTTCTTCTTCTATCCAGATCATATCTGATCATAATCTTCAAACTACAAACTCTATCTACAGATAATGTTCCTCCCTTGTATGAATGAATCCTACAAAAGCACAGGCCGAGTAATTACATATACAATAAAAAAAAATTACGAATAACAAATGAAAACGGTGCAAAGATCTATTATATGAACAGTTTCGCATCTTTCAGACGTTGAGATGCAGATGTTCAGGCTTCTTGCGGTTAAGTACATGAAAGTTGTATCAAGAGGGGGGGAGGGAATCTTACAGTGTATGAACTGTTAAGGACTTTGGCAACATGTGATGAAGTCAAGTTAGCCCCACGCCACGGAACAAGCATAGTTCACCAGCAGCTTACCATCAACACCAAAATTCTGTGATTTTGAACACAAGAAGTCATACAGAGCGAATAATTTCTGATTGCAGCATACTTTTGAGCAATTTGGCGCACAGTAACTACATCATTTTGAAAATTAGGGCATAAGGTAAGACTTCCGAAGCAACATAGTTCTCGCATTCGTTTCAGTAAACGTCACCAACATGCCCTAGGGTTAAACATCATCTTGTGAACCTCGGGTATCAGAACATGCAAACAACTGAAAGTGGTAGAGCAAATGAAACATACACAACACACCAAAGGGAAGTAATTAAGACTTACATTGAAAAGATCAATCACTAATTCATCCGGATTTGGTGAGAATGCACTGTTGATGTAGACAAACTAACAACCAAAAGATAGTCATAGGAAACCTATCAGTAACTCTGACAATAAACTAATTACATTACAGAGAAACACAGTAAAGAAAGGTACCACTGTTTCTCTATGAAGTTGACGACGCAAGAAGTCGATCACCTTTGCAAATTTATCAGTCCCAAGCATCTGCTCATTTCAAATAATCATTTCACAAATCTTAACCAACACAAGCTAAAATCGAGAGAGGCAACGGGAGTTTCATCCTATAGAATCAGTCCTGCAACAAAATTTGAACCAACTATTCCTAGTTTAAAACCAGGTAATATTGCTTCGAGTCAAACTTTTGCTCCAGTGCTGAAGCACAACCCATAACAGTAGATCGATCAACAGGGTCCCAGAAAGCTTACCGATCTATCAGAAAGCTGAGGAAAATATACATGAAAACTGATTCTACTCCGAAACAATGCCCAATTTTCACAAGGGAAGCAATATCAACTCAGCACAATTTTCCAGTATCAGTGCCCTACAAAAGCTTCGATTTGTCTTGCTAGATACTAACAGCCAAATAGTTCTTGGAGCAAAGTTACAGCTACCAAATGAATGAATTTGTTGCTCAACCCTAACAATTCTTCCCCACCCAACAAACCACAGACTGAACAAACGCCATGGAAGTAACAATTAACCACCAAAGAGGAGCTGATGCAAGATATTGTACATACCTTGAACTTTGTTTGCTTGAGTATGGGAGCATCAGCGGTGGCTTTCAATTGGATGATCACTGAAACCCGAATCGAAAGAGGAAAACCCCCCAAAATAAACAGCACAATGAAACAGAGTCAGATGCGAGCGAAGTGGGGGAAAAAGGAGAGCTTTGATAAGTTGGGAAACGAAATTATATCTTGAATTGAGATGGGTTGAGAGTAAGAGCTCGGCTCACCTTTCTGTGATGAACTCGGCGGCTCAGGTGCTGCCATTGTCGCCGGTTATCTCAAAGCTTCTCTTCTCTTCTCTCGACTGCTGATTTGATTTTTCCCCTTTTTTCTTGCCAAAGCTTAAACAACAAGGGTTTGCTAATTTGCGCCAAAGAAGTGGTAAGTTTATGGCAATGCTGTCAAAGCCGAGCCGGAGTATGACCCGGTAACGTGAACGGCTCGGTCATTAGTGGTCCAGCCGGCATTAGATCGTTTAAAAACCGTTTGAGAACCGGTACATTATAAACAATATAATATCATAGTAGAACACACATAAAGTAATAATTCAATGATTTAATGAGTAAAAATGATAATTACAGGTACCATTTAATAATTCTACACAACATATATATACATCAACTAAAAAAACCCTAACCTAATCCTAAGCGACAACGCCGCTTCCCCACCCATCACTCTCCTTCCTTCCGCTTCCCCATCCCCCCTCCCTCTCTCCTTCCTCCTCTCCCACCGCCGCACCTATTTTCATTTTTCAGCCACTATAGCCTTCTGCAATTCCTCAAAAATCCATCACCTCATCCTTTCATAACCCGTAAATGCTCTTCCTCGTCCCAATCCGCGAAATGGCCCGGATTCAATCCAAGCCTCTGTTGAGACAGGGCAGCTTAGCGGGGAGCTGCTTGCGACGGTGGCGACGGGATGAAAGCGCCGGGAGCAGGGAGCTGCTTGCGACGGTGGCGACGGGATGGAAGCGCCGGGAGCGGGGAGCTGCTTGCTACAACAAGGACTGGCGATGGCGATGCGATGGCGACTGGGGATGGCGATGCCGTCGGGAAGCGCCGATGCCAGGACAAGAGGTGTTGACGGCCGATTCCACGATTGGCCTTTTCTATTTTTTTTTAGGGTAAATCAAACGGTCGAACCGTGCGACCGGCTCGAGCGGTTAACCGCTTCGGCCGCTCGCCGGCCGCTGTATAAAACCGTGGCGGTTAAATAGCTGATCCGAGCCGGTTTTATGGCCGGGTGGCGGCTTTGGCGGTCCGGCCAGCCAGCTCGGTTCGGCTTTGACAGCACTGGTTTATGGGCAGATATACGTTGTGCTCTCCATATATGGGTTATGGGCTACACTTAGAAACATGCTTTCCGGTTATTTTGATATTTAGACTTCATAGAAAGCTTTTTATTTACTTTATGTCCATATTTTTATTCACTAAGTGGATTCTCTTGAGCAAAGAATAAATTTTTTATTAAAAAAAAAATACTTTTTTGAAAATTCATCAATGATGTTCTTCCATGGATTCGCCTATATAAGCCGCGGCTTACAAGTATTTTTATTGGAACGCTAATACATAACTAATGGAATGCTTAGAGTATCTTCATTGCCCCATAAAAGGATCTTATCGATTTCGGTAGAGATTATCTTTCCCTCATGTTCGACTATAGCGGTGGCCCCTGATTCTTGTCTCCGGCGATTAACCTATTTCAGACCAGTCTGGTGATTAGCCTATCTCACACTACTATGTAGTAATGTCATTCGACTAAAAGAATGCAGGTGCCACCTATCAAAGGATGGTGGACAAAGTCTTTGGGGGACATATAGGACGAAACGTGGAGGCATATGTGGACGATGTGCTAATCAAAAGTAAGAAAGAGGGTGACCACCTGAGCGACCTAAGGGAGACATTTGAGAACCTGAGGCGTCACAACTTGAAGCTCAACCCCCTCAAATGTGTGTTCGGAGCAGGTGTGGGTCAGTTCTTAGGCTTCATGATAACTCGCCGTGGTATTGAAGCTAATCCGAAGCAGATAAAGGCAATTGCCGAACTCAAATCGCCAAGGACAGTGAAGGAAGTTCAGGCATTGGCGGGTAAGCTCGCAGCACTCAACAAATTTATTCCCAGGTCGGCGGATAGGTGCGCTCCACTCTTCAACTCTCTAAAGAAAAAATCCAAGTTCAAGTGGACGGAAGAATGTGAGAAAGCATTCGAGGAGATGAAAACTCTGCTGGTGAATCTTCCCATCTTTGTAGCTCCAAAAGAGGGAGAACGTTTGTTCCTCTACATAGCCATATCGGATGTGGCTATTAGTGCGGTGCTCGTTATGCGCCACTTCAAAAATCTTGCAGACCAACCGATATACTACATCAGCAAGACGCTCCTCCCAACCGAAAGGAGATACCCAGCCATCGAGAAGGAGGCCCTGGCATTGGTAACTGCCGCCCAAAAACTAAGGCCATATTTTTAAGGACACACAGTTACTATACTAACCAACCTGCCAATGAAAAGAATACTTCACAGCACAAGCGCCTCAGGGCGCTTGACCAAATGGGCAGTTGAACTAAGTGAGTTTGATATCCAGTATGCACCTCGTCCTTCAATCAAAGCCCAAGTCCTAGCGGATTTTGTAGCAGAAGGAACGATTGAACCAGCGAGGGCCGATGAGGGAAGGTGGAAGTTGTTTGTCGATGGTGCAACAAGTAAGACGGCGGCAGGCGCTGGCATAGTTTTGGAAACCCCAGGAGGTATCACGCACGAGGTGGCTTTACGATTCTAAACACTCAAAACCAACAATGCAGCTGAATACGAAAAATTGATCAACGGCATGCGCATTGCGAAAGAGCTAAGGGCAAGGCGCCTCGACGTTTTCTCCGATTCCGCATTGTTGGTTCGACAAGTACTGGGAGAATTTGAAGTCAAGGAAGATTGTTTGCTGCGCTATGTGGAAGAAGCAAAGAAGAGAGCACAGAGTTTTGAGGATTGGAAGCTCTCTCATATAGAACGAGGTGACAATGCGCACGTGGATGCGCTTTCTAAATTAGCCACAACTGTTGATTTTGAAGAGGAACGACATGTAATTGTCGAAAAAGAGAGCTCAAACGCCACCCCAGGGATGGGGATAAACAACGTTAATCTCGGTCAAGAAGAGCAAGATTGGATGGTGCCAATCATTGAATACCTTATGAATGATACCCTTCCAATAGATCCGAAAGAGGCCACAGGAGTAAGAAGGCGTGCGGCGCGTTGCACCATCATCGACTCTGAGTTGCATCGACGGTCGTTTGAAGGAGTGTATCTCAAGTGCCTTGGAAGGGCTGAAGCAAAGTGGGCGCTCCGCGAGATTCATGAAGGCATGTGTGGTGGACATGGGGGGCCATGAAGTTTGGAAAGGACGCTTAAACTGCAAGGGTACTACTGGCCAACCATGAGAAATGATGCAAAACAATTCACTATGGCTTGTCATGCATGCCAAACCCATGCCAAAGAACATCATCTCCCAGCTACCGCAATGCAAGGAAACATTAGTCCTTGGCCCTTCGCCCAATGGGGAATGGATCTAATTGACCCTTTCCCGAAGGCTTCGGGAAAAAGGAAGTACCTTATAGTGGTTGTGGACTACTTCACAAAGTGGATTGAAGCTGAGCCGTTAGTTGCCATTACGGCAAAGCATGTCGAGAAATTTGTCTTCAACAACATACTCTCACGATTTAGCATTCCAAACTCCATCGTCACCAATCATGGCAAACAGTTTGATTGCGCCTCCTTCGCAGACTTTTTCCAAGGTTACAACATCTAGCTCAAACTTTCATCAGTGGCATACCCAGAAGCAAATGGACATGGGAGAGCTGGCTTAGAACAACCGCCCAAACCAATACACAAAAACGGGTTGCAGTGATAAAAAAACATGAGTTTCTTAAAAAAGGGAGTCATCAGAGGTACGAGAGCAAGGTTCAAAAGCAAAATTAAACATCCTCCAAAGTCAAACCCAAGGACAAACTAAACAAAAGGTGCATCAACATGAGTGTCCACACGATCAGCCCATCAACATTATCCAAACAAGCAATAAAAAGAAACACCCTAACCCTACTAGTATGACTTGCTCGAAGCATCATCGGAAGAGCGAGAGTCGTCGGAGTTACCACCATCTGATGCGCCACACTGACCATCAGCAGCGGCGCCCTTCCCACCATCCTCCTCAGCACCAACACCAGCATCGGCAGCGCCTTCGCCGTTGTCACCCACCTCCTCATCACCGCCCCCCTCAACGTCAACCTCGATGTCATCAGCAGAAGAGTTACCCTCATCTAGTGGGAACGGGTCTGAGTCGGAAGGCTCATTATCTGTACCAAGAGACAAGAAGTAATCATCCATTGTCGTCCAAACCTCAGAATTATCCCACTTCATGTCAGGGTTATCGGAGCGAACTTTCTTGCGGATACCAATGAAAGCTCTCTTCTTCACACCAATCAGAAGATCCCGCTGCCAGTTGCGAAACCCCGCTAACGTCAAATGAACATCCACAGCATCCTCACGTTCCTTGACTAGCTTCTTCTTGAACTACTCCTAAAAGAAAGAAGAATTTAGCTCATGCAAAGGTTGACAGCAAAAACACGGGGGCGCCACCCCTCCAATTGAAGAGAGGGCGCACGAAGAAAAGCTTACCTGCTGGAGCCCCCTGGCTGTAAACATGGCCTGCAGTTCCTTCTCCAAATCCTCAATCTTTTTCTACTGAAGTGCGAGCTCTTTCTCCATTTCCTCACGAGCAGAGACGCTCTCGGCAGCCAAGGCGTCAGAAAGTTGTTGCTTCACCAAGGACAACTCGTCCCCCAAGTGAGAATTAACGCCTTGCAGGGTGGCCTTACTAGTCTTCAATTGAGAAGCAAGCAGGTAGTTCTTGTGGGCACGCTCGCGGTTCTCCAAACTCTTATCAGAAAGTGCAACCACATCAAGCATCGCCTAAACAAAAAAACCATGACATTAGCAGAAAGCAAACATTTCAGCGAAGTAAAGGTAACGACATAAAAGCACACGTGAAACAGATGTTGACACGCCGAGCCTGCGGGAGAGGCGCCCTCGTCGAGAGGGAGCTTCAGAAAGTTCCTCAACTCTGTGGCAGAAGTAAACGCGCTTGGAGCGTTGAGTGCAGCAGAAGGAGAGATCGGAACAAGCTCCTTTGGCTTCACGACACGCCGAGAGCGGGGAGGCGCCAAGAACTCGTCAATGCTTCCAAGGCCAATCCTTTTCTTTTTCTTTTGCATCTCAGCGGGGGAAATCGTAGAAGCAGGACGTTTCCCCAAGGATTTCTCTGGGAGGGGTTCGCGCGGATTCAAAGGGGGAAACAAGTGAGGAGAGGATGCCTCCTCAGTAGCGGCAGGCGCCTGGTCAAATGAGCGAAGCACGTGTCCTGCAGAAGCGCTAGGCGCCTTCTGCGGTCCAACTCTAGAGGTGCCAGGCGCCTTCTTCGTCATCCTCACCAAGCTGGAGCAGTCAAAGTCTGCAAAAAAAAAAAAAGAGTTATGCAAATGGCATAAGTTGAGGACTAAAAAAATAGTTATGAAGGAAATATACCGTGATCATAGAGCTCTCCCAAAACGCGTGCTCTCTCCCCTTTTCTCGCAAAATCCAGAGGAGGCGCCCGAAGAATATGATGCTTCTGTTCACGCTCATACTTCCCAAGGGAAAAGTCCTTGGCCCACTCCTCGTCCGAACCTTCACTCCACAAGGTCGAGAGAGGCGCCCCCGTCGGTGCATGCCAAGTACCATGGCGCAGCCTAATGAAAAAGTAGGAGCAATACCATTTGCTGGGAAGTTTGGGTGACCCCTTGCAAACCCGGCCATGATACTTGCTGTCACGCTTCAAAGCTAACCAACCATGCTTTCCCCTGTTCTAAAGCATATATACTTCGAAAAATAGAGAAGGAAGGGTCGTATCCTAGGCGCTTGTAGATAAGTCGGAAGGCACAGGTGTGGAAAATAAGCGAAGGTGACAAAAAACTAAGGGGACACCCAACCATCTCCAAGACACCCGATAGGATGGGATCGAGCGGGAATTTCAAGCCACACTTTAAGTATTCCGAATAAATCGCAAACCAACCCTCGGGGCAACTGCCGACACGCGCACTAGGATCGGGAAGCGCATACTCTCAATCTGTGGGAAATCCTAGGCCGCGAATGTAGGACATGAGCCGGTGCAACTGGATGGTGGGTTGTTTATCAAGACCAAGAGAACGAGCAGAGGAGGGAGGCGCCTGACCATCCCACATCACCCGCCACAGTAGAATGCAGTAGTTCGGGTCACTAGTCGCTCGAAAATTGCACGTACTAGGTTTGAGCTCCACACTAGACATGTCACCCTCGGTAAGCGCCTCCGCTTGGGGATTAGACTCATCATCCTCAACATCACTGGCGATCTCGGAAAGCCTCCACTTAGCCTTTCTATATACTGCCCGATCAACTAAGACTTCCTAAAGATCTGCGCTAGTGAGGAAAGTTTGAAACAAAAATAGGGGAACACATTACTTACCCATCTTCCTGACTTTGCTCGAAGAGGCCTTAGACTTCCCTTTAGAGGGAGCGGAGGCGCCACCCATAGAAGCAGTTGGCTGCGAATTATTAGAAGCCATAGCAAGGAGAGAGAGGTGGGCAGAAAAGTGAGTCTTGGAGGACAACCGGGTGCAGGGGCGAAGCTAGAGTAGTGGCCGGGGGGGCCCTTGCCCCCCCGGGAATTTATAGAAAATTTACAAATATAGGTATCTCCATTGAATGAACACGAACAATTGTTATAGTGCAGTGGTGAAACTCTAACATTGTGAATAAGAGCTTGCGTGTTCGAAACCTGTTACATACATGTTGTGTCTCTTCCTTTTCATTGTTATTTATTTTGTTTTAAAAGACCCACAGGCCACAAAACGACATCTCCCTGCTAGCTGCTGCATCTTTTCATTATTTTAGTTTTTTTACTTAACTTAATATTACAACCCTCAAAGTCAAAACGAGAACACTGCAAATTCCCGATTCATTTTCGGGAAACAGAGGTCTTCCTCCCCTGGCAGTGCTTTCCCCCAAAATACTCCCGCCTCATCCCTTTTCATCTCCGTCAACTCGTCGGGAGTCAAAAATCAACTCTTCGGCCAACGCCCTCTCATCTTCGTGACTACGTTCGTGCTTCTCCGGCGATCATAGTCACCCTTTTCGTTGCCGTCGCCGTCGGGATTCAAGACTCAGCTTCATCGAATCATCGTGCCTTTGCCCAATCGCCATCTCATCTCCGTCCGTGCTCCTCCGGATAGCACAAAGTCGCCCATTCATTCCTATAGCGAGTACATTGCTACTCCCTCTAGCAGTCTAGTTTATGCTGCTCCAATTGCTGTTTTCACTTCCCTGTTTTCGGTAGGGTTATGGAACTGATTGGGTATTCGATGTGGAATTGATTTTTCAGTTTGGGAATTGAAGTAGGATTGATTAATTTAGTGGTTGCTAAACTGAAATTGGAGTGTGAAAATTGCCATATAAGATTGGCTCAATTCTCAAACACCTACAGTAAACTAGGGGCATGGAGCAATAGGTATGTGTATGCAGTATACTGTCAAATTAGAATAGATACTTTGAACTTGGATTACAAAATGTGTTCATGTATTATTGGTTCTCGATTGATAATGTTAATGACCTTAATTTTCTGTTTTGTTCTTGTTAGCTACCATGAAGAGAAAACAAAAGAAGCTGGATGCATTTTTTCCAAGAAATGTTTTGCCATGCACTGGTAATCATTTAGAAGAGGAAGTACAAGTAGTTCCTAGAGCTTTGAACTTGGGCATTGATGAGCTCTCTAATGTTGTGGTGAATGAGGATTCTCTCATTAGTCCGAGAGTGACTAATCCATCCTTCGCCTTAATCGAACGAGATCCTGGACTGCGTAAGCTAGTGTGGACATTTCCACCCAATAAACGTGATGAGATAAGGCGAGCTTACTTGAGTTATGGCCCCCTACAAGTTAAGCTTCCTAACTTTCCTAGAACTGGTGATCCTGATCATCCTCGCGGCTTCCAAGTTGCATGGTATTCTGAATTTCCTTGGGTTGAATACTCGGAATCAAAGGATGCTGCATATTGTCTTCCGTGCTATTTGTTTGCTGAAAAGCCTATTGCTGAATCTGGTTGGGACACATTTGTTAATGAAGGATTTTGAAATTGGAAAAAGGTTAAAAGTGGAAAAGGTTGTTCATTCCGAAAGCATATGGGAGAAAGCTCAAATTCTCATCACAATGTTGCAGTAAGGAAGCGCGATGCATTACTACACCAACCTCAACACATTGACAAAGTGATTAAGAAGCAAACTTCCGAGGAAGTAAAGAAGAATAGGATTCGAGTGAAAGCCTCAATTGATAGTGCTCGTTGGCTAGCACTTCAAGGAGCCGCCTTTAGAGCTCATGATGAGACCCTTCATTCTAAGAATCGTGGCAACTTCATTGAGCTTATTGATCGCTTCTCTTACTACAATGATGAAGTCAAAAGTACTGTGTTGGGTAATGCTCCGAAGAATGCGAAGTATACATCATCCGATATTCAGAAGCAAATTCTTCATGTGCTAGCTAAGAAGGTACGCAACAAAATATTTGAAGAAATAGGAGATTCTAAATTCTCCATTATTGTGGATGAGGCTTGTGATGAGAGTAAACATGAACAAATGGCTATCATTCTTCTCTTTGTTGATTCTCAAGGGCTTATCCAGGAGAGATTCTTTGATGTTGTCCATGTTAGAGATACAACATCAATGACTTTGCCCATTCGATTTGCTTAACTCTTTCTTCCCATAAGTTTGCTATTCAGAATCTACGTGGGCAGGATTATGATGGTGCTAGTAATATGTGCGGTGAATGGAATGGTTTGAAAGCATTGTTTCTGAAAGATCATCCTCAAGCTTATTATGTGCATTGTATGGCTCATCGTCTTCAATTAGCACTGGTTGCAGCATCTAAAGATGTGACAGCCGTGCACGAGTTTTTCATTGACTTGACACATATTGTAAATGCTGTTAATGCTTATTCTAAGAGGCATGATCAATTGGAAGTTGTTGAAGCAGCTAGGATTGCTCAATTAGTAGCAGGGGAAGAGATTGCCACATGAACCGGTGTTAATCAAATGAGTACTTTACAACGAGCTGGTGATACTCGTTGGAGTTCACATCTGAATTCTATATCCAGTGTTATTCGATTGTATGAATAATCTTACAAAGTTCTGGAAGACATAAAGAAAGATGGGTATACGGCCAAAAACAAAGGGGATGCTCGTGTAGCTTTGAGGAAGATGTCATCATATGAATTTATTTTCATTCTACTTCTACTGAATGATATCTTTGGCACCACTGATACACTTTGTCGTGCTCTGCAGCATAAGTCTCAAGACATTGTGAATGCCATGAGTTTGGTGGAAATTACTAAAATGGTGTTGAAGGAAATGAGGGATGAAGGTTGGGATTCTTTATTGACAAAAGTCAACAAGTTCTGCAAGGATTATAGTATTACAGTTCCAGATTTTAGTGCTTCACATTTTGAAGGTCGTCCTTGCAGACAGGTAGATACTATCACCTATGAGCATCATTATCATTTTGATATATTCAATGCTGCCCTTGATGTTCAGATAGAGGAATTGAGAGCAAGGTTTGAGGAAAAGATTGTTGAACTTCTGAAATTGAGCTCGAGTTTGGATCCTAGCAATGGATATAAAGCCTTCGATGCTAATGCTATTTGCAGTCTTGCTGGAAAGTATTATCCTTTGGATTTTTCTGAGAAAGAAATAGATAGATTGGCATTCCAGTTGAGGATTTTTCATGGTGCTGCTCTTGCACATCCTGCTTTGGCGAATCTATCATCTGTTGCTGAACTATGTCGTGGTTTAGCAGAGTCCGGGAAGTCAAAGGACTTCGATCTTGTTGATCGGCTGATTCGTCTTGTTTTGACTCTTCCAGTCTCTACTGCTAGTGGTGAACGAGCTTTTTCTGCCATGAAGTTGGTGAAGACCAAACTGCGCAACAAAATGGGTGATGATTTTCTAGCTGATGGTCTTGTTATTTATATTGAACGTGATATAGTGGACACCTTTAGTTTAGATGATATTTTGAGTGATTTCATTGTTCTCAAAGAGCGACGTGTACGTTTAAGATAATAAATAATAAAAATATATTTTATATTATTGGTATGTTTTAAAATTTTATTTTTGGCCCCCCCCCCCCCCCCGGATTTAAAATCCTGGCTTCGCCCCTGACCGGGTGCAACGCCGAAGCCGGTACCGGGCAGGCAAAAAACCGCTATCACGCCCCATAACCTTAGGAGGAAAGGCGCCTTAGACGCCTTAAGCTGAAAGGCTGCATCACGAATGAGGAATAAGCCAAGGACCATAAAGTGACACATAAGCAAAGAAACAAACGAGCTTTACCTAGTAAGTGATCTTAAGCAAAAGAAGGGACCACACGCGGAGGGTGCCAAGGGAAGCAGCCTAATCGAAACAGGCAACAAAGGATGCTAGGGGTGAGAAACACGGTCAACAGCTCGATAAGGTGACACTCAGAGTAAGCAAGATGCAAGTCGAACAAAGTATGGCGCCTAGCAAAATCCAAGGAGTGGTGCCTAGCAGGTTAAAAATCAAAACACAAGGGCAAGAGGGGTAGCGCCCAGGAAAAGGAGATTGCAAAAGGTGGCGTCCAAAGAGCAAGGGGAAAAACCTACCTACGATAGTATGCGAGAACGCCTAACGAATTGGAGGGGTGGCGCCTGCAAAAGAAGTAAGCTGGGAAAATCAGAAGGCGCCTCCACTATTTACAAAATCCACAAGGGGGTGGCTCCTAAAGAAGCAAGTAAGTGAAACCCATAGCTAGCGAAACCCATAGTGAGCGAACGTGGATGTTCGGAGGTGCCGCCTTCCAATCAAAAAGAATAAGAATAAAAGCATTACCTGATTCGCGTGGGGTGGCTCCTAGCAGAGTAGCCGGGTCGAGGCGAGGCGCCGGTGAGGAGGAGGCGCTTACCCAAGAAACCGGGTCGAGGCGAGGCGCCGGGGAGAAAGAGGAGGGCTTCCGGGTCGAAGCGAGGCGCCGGGGAGAAAGAGGAGGGATGTCGAAAATTTAAGCTAAAAAAAAAGAAGAGAGAATGAAATGAATGAGGAGAGGGAGATGTTTAAATAGGGATGGAGAGAAAGACGCACGGTTCTCGAAGCGGGCTGCCCCAAGGCCCAACCTTCCATCACCTCCTCCAAGTTTAAAAGTGGGCTCAGCCCAAAACCACAACTAGCAGCCTATCCGAGGTGGCGTTTTCGCCGCCATTTCACTCCTTGTCAATAGTCTTTGTTTTTTTTTATATTTATTTTACTTATTCTCATTTTTTATTTATTTATCTTTTATAATTTTTTGGGTATTTTTTTCCATCAAAGAGCATACTTGTTTGACGATACCGCAGTATTCACGTCATCGCCTAAAGGGGCAATTGATAGGGTATCCTAGTAACTAAGGAAGCAAAACCCTAGCTAATGGCATGAGGAAGAAATAAGACAAAAGAGTAAAAAGACAAGGTCAAGAGACAAGGCCAGACACCTAACATCAGCAAAGACAAAGTGCAAGGGGACACCCTCTGCCAAAAAGTATAATGTACAGTGTCAGAAGGTCTGAGGCGCCCAATCACAACATTTATGACTTGGCAGGCGCCCAGACCACTACCTAACCCTCAGACGTGTATAAATAGGAGTTCTCTCCTCATAAATGGCAATATATCTACTCTTTACTCTAACTTCTCTCTACTTTCTCTCTCTATACACTTCTATCCTTCTCTTTTCCCACATCTACTGAGGTGGGGCGCCTACCCTCTCAAAGTCATGCCTGATGTCCCAAACCCCTTAGACCCGAGCGACACCCAGTCGCCCGGGCTCAAACAACTCGAAGCCTTCGTAAACTCATTGTTGGGTTCTTATCGTAGTGAAGATTGCTTGCTTCCAGTGATCGGGAAAAATAAAAAAAATCTGCTCTCGGCATCTGACCTTCTCCAACTTATCTTCCAAGTCAAAAACCCAAGGGCTCCTTATTTGTTAAGGGTAACAACAATTCAGGGGCAAAAATTGGGGATTAAAGGGCTAAGATGACTTTTTAGCACCCTAAAAAATAAAAACACTCGCAACCCTGAAAACTAAAAGTTTTTGTTTTGTATTTAGTAATTCTAATTTATAAGTAGTTAAACTAGTGTTTTTTAATTTAAAATTTATATATTTGTTCAAGATAATGATACAAACATTTCGATAAAATTTGAACACTTTCTGAGATACTTTGTTTTAATTGAACGGAAGAAAGTTACGCCGAAATGAACTTTGTTCATCAAAATCTCCAAGATTTTGAACAATTTCGAAGATACTGTTGTTTTTAGTTAAATTTTTTTTATTGATTATAATTTTTTCTTCAAATAACATTCAAACGGAGGAAAATTATTCCGAAATGAATTCTTCAATTGTAAAACACCAAAAACAAACAAAACACGTCATTTTAATTTAATTAAATAAAACAAAAAAACAAAAACACATCATCTTTGTTGTTTTATGTGGTTGTTTTTTGCTAGTGGAGGGACCCGCTCATTGAGCCCCCCTCTTTTTGCCCCTCTTCAAATCGAGCTATTTTAGCTCCTCAAAACCTCTATTTGGCCTTTTAGCCTTGGGTTTAGCCATGGGTTGAAGCAAAAGTTGGGGGGGCTAAAAAGCCATTTTGGCCTTTTAGCCCCCGTGTTGTGGACAGCCTAAGAGGAATTTTACAATGTTATATATAGCATTGGTGTTATAGGTTTTTGTTTTTATAGTACAATTTGAAGTTGTACTTTTAACGTTATGGTACAACTTCAAATTGTACCTATACTCTTTGGTACAAATTCTTATATGGTACAACTTGAACTTGTATAGGGTACAAAGTCCTTTATGGTACAATTTGAACTTATACATTTAACCTAATCTCCAATTCCCCATTCTACTATTATCTCCAATTGTGAAACTCTAATAGAGACGCCTAGATCCATAATTCTTAATTGGTATCAGAGCCTGCTTGACGTCGGGGTCAACAAAAAGCATGATGGATTCTTCTCCAGAGAAAGCTTTTAGTACAACATGGTAGTGGAGGATATCACCATTAATAAAGATATCTTACTCCTACTGAGAATCATGTCAAGAAATCATGTAGATAAGAAGGAAGATAAATTGAGTTTTGCGGACTAGGTCGGGAAACAGGTCGACCCGGACCCGTAGGCAGGGGTGTAGGTCTGTGCGTACCACCCAAAATGGTCAGACAACAATAGATTTGAACCAAACCAATCAGGTTGAAACCCAACAAGTCAAACTAAACTAGTTTGACCCTACCCGGACAACTACGAGCAGCATAGGAGGATGAGTGTTATCGGGAGGAGCTATAAATGTAGTTTATCCTCCTTTAAGAACACCTCGGTCTAGTGATCATCCTGTGAGGTGTACTATGCAAATTGGGAAGGGTTCAAAAACTAGACTACGAGGGGGACAAGGCTACCTATTAGAGGAGGACGATGAGTGGGACTACACCAACCCGCCCAAACGCAACCAGAGGAGCACCTTGATGTGCATTTCGTGTAGTAGTCATATCAATGAAAATCAAAGAAAATCAAGTTATAAATTCTAGAAATATCTAGCGTCATATTTCACAAGGTCTTCTAATGCATAACTGCCCACATCTAACTACTCATATCTCGACACACAAAGCAGTAAAAGATAAATATGTTTAGATGATTTTGGAGTTTATATAGGCAAGATAAAGTAAACAGAAAGGTAAAAGTACATTATTGATTATAAAGATCACTCCATATAAACATGCATCTCAACGATTCATCTATTGTATCACTCTATCCCTTCTACTAAAGCATTCCTAACCGAACTTTCACCACATGCGAGAGGAACAATAGCTAGCTAATGTGTACTTTTGCTTATGCAGTCAACAAACTAATAAATAATATAGAAGTAAGGATAACACTTAGTTAAGTGTAGGCCTCTTGAGCCATAACATAAGGTCCATAACATTGGTGATCAAAACAATCAAGCATTGATCTTATACTTGTATGGATGAGTGATCAATCCTCAAATACACGCATAAGACAATGGGATATCACAAGAAAGTAGTCTTCTAAGTCCTAACATCCTAGATAATATTTAGGGCTGATAATTGGTTTGGTTCGGTTATAACCGAAACCATTTAATCGGTTCTTGGTTAACCGTTAAGCACTTCGTGCTTATTGTTAACCAGACCATTTATATTAGTCGGTTATCGCTAACCGCATAGTCAATTCTCGATTATTTTTTGGTCAACCGGATAACCGTTAAGCAAGTAATTTGGCAAGGTTATACGAAATAATTGATCGGTAACATAACCAACGAAACACCATCTCCTTTTTCAATTGTACATTTTTGTAGATTTTTTTCTAAATACGTATGTTTTATTTCTTTAAGTTGTTATCATTGAATAAAAAAATTTAAAATAGATATCAATCTATAATCAACTCAATCCAACACAAGTACACAATAACAATATTATTCCGTCAAATTTGATGAAAGAACCGACAAGAATAAGAGACCCAACAACAATTACTCAACTCATATAAACATAAACCAACCTTATTACATGGAAGCTTAGATGTTAAAGATGGTTGTCGAACTATGTACTATAAGCAAGTCCAACTTTCTACTATGCTCCTTCTAAAGCCCTTTCTTGAAATTATTCTCATTTGAGCCTCTGTTAAAACTAGAGTAGGCAAAGGATCTAATAGGCCTTCAAACATCCCATTATTTTTTGCCTATGCTTGTGGCTCAGAGACCTATTATTATTTGGGTCCATTACTATGAAGATGATCGTAATCGATTAGTCGTTTAACCGTTTAACCGCCGGCTACTAACTGTTTAACTGTCGCTTATTAATTAGCTAAATTTAGTTATCGAGAACCGGTTGTTTACTGTTTAATCGATTATCGGTGTAACCATTAACCTTCGGGTTCGGTTCGGTTATCGGCTACACCGTTAACAAATTAACCGTTTACCAGCCCTAATAATTAGACAATACATATAGTAGCATACAATAGAATCATAAACATTCATGGCATAACATATACAAAAGAAAAGCTAGTAAATGTATTTATGGTGAACAAAACAACCCTCAAACTGACCTATCCGTCCAACCCGACCTAATGCACACATATTTATTGCTAAAATTAATATTTAAGATTGAGTGAGAGTTTTATTTTGTAAAAACCGCCTCTATTGGGTTGGGTGCGGATTTTGGGTTATGCAACTCATAGAATTCGACCCAACCTGTGTTCCAACTATTGTCATAAATGTTCGTATCTAAAATATATTTGTAATAAATTTAAGATATTTTATCATATTTTTCTCTTGTGGTTTCCTTAATATAATACATTCTTCTACTTAGAATTTAGACGTATATTTAATCTAGACTACAATTTACATAATTTTTTAGTGTATAATTTTAGATAATAATATATTATAAATGCGTTCGCTTATAATCATCATAATTTACTTCGACAAATATTTGTGAGAAAAAATAGACTTGTTTTTTAAGCAAATTTTATTTCATTAAATTGATAATACCATTTATGTATTTTGATTCTTTTAGCTTCGACTGATTTTTTTAAGAATTTAATTAGTTATATAATATTTTATGGTGTGGAATAGTTGTCTTTTTTGTGTCGGGTTTTAAATTAAAAGTATACCCAACCTGACCTAACCCAACTATAAATAAATCGTAGGGTTCTAGAATTTTTGGTTGGATTTGGTATTTTCAAAACGTAGTGTATAGATTGGATAATCAAATGACCAAATCCGAACCACCCGAACCATGTACACCTTTAAATATAATAAGAAAAAGCTAAAGAGATAAAAGTAGGGCTGCAAATGAGCCGAGCTGCTCACAAACGGCTTGGCGTTCGACTCGAGAAAAACTCGTTCGAAACTCGACTCGTTAATAAACGAGCCGAACACGAGCTCACCTTTGTTCAGCTCGTGAAGCTCGCGAGCTAGTTCGACTCAGTGACTTGTTGAGCTAAACTCGTGAGCTGGCTCGTTTAGAGCTCATGATATGTCCTAACATGTGGCTAGAGAGCCAACTCGATTATCAACTTATGGACGAATCAATCTATATCTTATGATTTTAATTCATATGGTTGTTACATTATATATCTCACCATATATAAAGTTTAACACGTTGAGTATGTGAGCAAATATATCTTATTTTCTACTTTAAAAAGAAATTATGCATCATATATTGCTTCGATATTATGAAATAACATGATTTGGAGTAGTTAAAATTTATTAACTAAATGATATATGATACCAACAAAGTATAAAATGAGATTAGCTAACAAAATAAATCATATGTATCGTGATATACAAAATGAAGTACCAAATAAAAGTTAAGATTTTAATAAACAAGCTAACTCGAGTTCGATTCGGCTCGGCTCGTTAATAAACGAGCTGAGCTCGAGCTCGACTCGTTTATCAACGAGCCGAGCTCAAGCTGGGATAAAATTGAACTCGGCTCATTTGCCGCCCTAGATAAAAGGATCATCAAAATACTCCTAAACTTATCTATTATCATTACTTAGTGGGCCAAGCCATTGCTATAAATAATGATATCAGAACTCATAATAATCCAATCGGTAATTCCTCCCCAAAAAGAAAATTTCAAACAAAAGATTTCATTACAAAAAGCTCAACACAACACACAGTTCAATATTCTCATACGTGTGTTCCTCCTTTCCTTACTATGGGAATTGAATAATTAGGTTTTGGAGGGGAGGGATGTCGGAATTGCATGTGGAGCGGTGGTGGTGGGAGACAGTGGCGACGGTGGGGCGATGACGGAGCTGTTTTGTTGAAGTGTAGAATGTTGTTGCTCGCCATTCTCGCCTGGGATGTTACTGAATTGCCGGAGCCGCACGCTGCGTTGGAACTTTGGTTGAACCCTAACCGGGTGAAATCGATATGGGGTTGGACTGACCAAACCGATTTGAGGTGGTTGGAAAATAAGATCAACATGAGTTGGTTAAATTAATTTTTAAAATTATCCAACCTCCATTTGGATTCTGGTATTGGTTTGAACTAAACATACTAGATCAATTTGGTTCGTATCCTACCAAGCTAACCAGATGAACCAAATTCGTGTTCTGGAATGGTGTACTACCATGGAAAGTTTATCCCTTCCATTATATACATTGCATGGAATTTGAATTGGGACAATGTTTCATTTGCATGGCAATGGAATTATATTCAAATTACATGGGTAACACGTTGCTTGGCAAGTGGATTTTGGTGGATGAAACACACGTGAATGATGTGGTGTTTGGCAATGCAACCTTTGGTAAAGGCAAAGGTAAAGGCAGTTACCATGCAACCGGTAACAACCAACTTTTCATGAAGAGTTTTGACTCTTCATTTGTGAAACCGTGCCCTCTTCCTAGTTCTATAAATTTGGCAGGCCGGATGTCAAATGCGATACACCAAAAATCCATTCTCTTCTTCTTACTAAATTTCTAAGTATGCTTTAGTGTTCTTGAGTCTCGAACCTAAAGTGGTGATAGTTTTATACTCGGAAGAAATTTCCTGTAACCCAAGGTTTTGTAGAGGGTGAAAATATTATTTTCGGAAAGTGAACATTGTTCACGACTCTATCACAATCCTGGTCACCCGGTATCTCGTGCTATCGTACGTGTACCTGCGTCTCAAAAGTCCCAACACGCTGGAGGTCTGTCGTCGGTGGACATTGATTCGACTGTCGAATCTCCCGATCCAGCCCCCGTTGCTGGAGGTCTTGGGTCACCGAACGCAGCTGCTAAATCGTTGGACTCGAATCCAAAAGGTTCTATCGAATTGCCCGATCCAGACGCTGCTGTTGGAGCTCTGGAGTCACCGGAGATCCTTGACATCGAATATCCCGCTCCGTTAAGGGAATCACAAACAGTAGACTCGGGAGCTGCCGCTGATGAGCGACTCGTTTTGTGCTCTATAAGTGGCGATGGTGATGCAAAGGAAATGGAGGGCGACAATGATGCCAATTCACTCGATCTGCATTCTACGGGTGGCGATAGTGAAGACAAGCAATTCCAACGCTCGACTGAGTGAGCTGGATAGAAAAAGGGAAAAATCATTAGCAGTTCCCTCGCCTGTACAAATTACTAAAAAAACAAAATAATAGATACAAAATCGTGACTAAGCATGTCCTCAACCTGCTGAGGTGGAAAGCAGATAGTTTTTTATTGTGACTGTTAGTCACATGGACGAAAAAACTAACAGATGTCCAATTAACAATAGGGTTAATTGCATGGTTGGTCACTGAGATTACAAAAAACGTTCAAGTTTGGTCACTCGAAATATTTAAATCCAATGGTGGTACTTCAGTTTATTGAAACCGTTCATGTTTGGTCACTCTCCGTCCAACTCTGTTAACTTTTGCTGATGTGGCAGTCAACTCTCAAAGTTGACCGTTAACTTAGTGACGTGGCAACTAAAAAATTATTAAAAATAAAAAAAATAAACTTTTATTTTTCCACCTCATTATTGCATTCATTAAAAAATAAAAAATAAAAAAACTAATTTCTTTATTTTTTAGAAAACGAGACTTCTTCCCTCCCGCGGCGGTTCCGATGCTTCCTCCGCCTCGCTAAACAGAACAATAATAGTGAAGCCATAAGTAGAAGAAAAGGAAACAGAGTACCAAAGACGCATCCCCAGAAGAAAACAGAGTACCCCACTGAGAATTGCTCTGAAACTAAAGCGCATAGCAGAGTGTCTGAGAATTTCGCAGCGATGGTGCTCAGAATTCGTGTTCGATTTGGGAAACAAGATACCGCCGGTGCCGGAGAAAGCGTGCAATCCCCGGGGACCAAGCGCCAGAGAATTGACTCCCGGAAAGACTGCGGCCCGCCGTAGAGAATGAAGACATCAAAGAAGGAAAAGAAGAAGATGCAGAAGCAGACGCCGATTGCAGCCGCCAGAGAGATTCAGGAAGCCGATTAAACTGAGGATTTTGATTAAATGCCCCAATTATCTCCCAACCCACGGTGGTTTCGCAGGCATAACAGCAGCTTCAGGAATTGCAGCAGAATTGGGAATCCCATTAACTCACCGAGGGGTTGCCAATAGCGTAAGGTTTCTAACCGGTCATTCAAGGAAAGGAGGCACTGATCCACTGTTTGTTGCAAAGAATGCTGCTGACCCTGATTCAACCCAGGTGGTTTACATGGGCTTGGCCACTCTCCCTTCTCTTGCTACAAAATTGATCCATCATGGCTTGCCGGAAGACACACCGGCTGCTGCAGTCGAGAGAGGAACCACACCACAGCAGCGCATTGTAAGCTTTGGACAACTAGTGGAAGATAGGCTCTTGTATTTCTTTTTCTTCCATGCGGCTGAGAATGCTGACTTGTCTATTTCTACTATCTACAGGTTTTCGCGGAACTGAAGGATCTTGCTGATAAGATTTCAGAAGCCGAGTTAGTTTCTCCTTCACTGATCATAATAGGGAAGGTTGATGAACTTTCACCACTATGTCCATGTTCTTCTAATGAATCAGTTGCTTTGGCTGGTGTCATTTAGCCACTGGCATTGGACAGAGGAGACTTCCAATCCAATATTCAATTTGACAGATTAGTAAGAGTTTTGGTTATTCCTCTTGAAGCCAGCAGCCCACGTTTCTGAACGACCCGGCTAAACCATCGGAGCCGCCGCGGGAGGGAAGCATCAAGCGAGTCTCGTTGTCTAAAAAATAAAGAAATTAGGTTTTTTATTTTTTACTTTTTAATGAATGTAATAATGAGGTGGAAAAATAAAAGTTTAATTTTTTTTATTTTTAATAATTTTTTAGTTGCACGTCACTAAGTTAACAGTCAAATTTGAGAGTTGACTGCCACATCAGCAAAAGTTAACGGAATTGGACGGAGAGTGACCAAACATGAACGGTTTCAGTAAACTGAAGTACGACCAATGGATTTAAATATTTTGACTGACTAAATTTGAACGTTTTTTGTAATCTCAGTGACCAACCATGCAATTAACCCATTAACAATATAAGTGATATTCGATCCCCTATTCTAATTTAAGTGGTATACCTCGTCCAATTCTCAAATTTAAGTGATATCCGAAATATTTTACCGTCAATAAGTATAAGTTACACCATTATAGTTATTTGACTTATTTCAAACTTCAGTGGTAATTTTGTTGAAAGATCAAAGTTGATTGACCAAATATGTAATTTAGTAACGAAAATTTTGAAATGGCGGGGATAATTAAATATCCCGGACGCGACGCGCCCCTCTCCTCAACCTGACCCCCGAAAAAAGATCAATCCCTAAACCGAATTTTGGGATCCGCAGGAAACTGCCCTGCCCTCTCTCTCGTTCTTTCTTTCCTTCCTTCCCCCTTTCCCTTTCTCCACTCTTCAGTCTCCCAGAGAAAGCGAACGATACTTACTTTTACTGCAGCGTGCTCGAAAAGCCAACGGCCCATTTAGGCAAAAGGCGCGCAATTCCGAGCGAGCGACTCTCTGATTCCTCACCCCTCTTCCTTCGTCGCTGTCAGTTTTTCTTTCCCAGTTCAGTTCCAAACTCGCTCAATCGCTACTCTTATGGTGAGCCATTTCTCTATCCTTCCAGGTGTTGTATTCTGTCTTTTTGGGCTCTTAATCCTGTTTCGTTTTTGTTCCTCTGAGTGGATTATCGCGATTCCTGCGTAGTCGAGCTGGAAATTTTCTTAGGAACGATCGATTTAGCTGTGCATGTCGGTTTTGTTTATGTTGAGGGCTCTTTCTGAATATATGGCTATACTAAGTTAGTGATTATTGAGCGTTTAATTTTGATAAACTATTGGTGATAATTTGGATTTATCGTATAGGGCGTGCGTTAATAGTTGGGATTGTTGAAGTGGTTTTAGCCTACAAAAACTTTTAGGTTGTGAGTTTGGTTGACTTCAGTTGAGATTTAGTTAAGTATAGCAGGTAAATGAATGTTGGAAGGACTCATGGTTAGTCTTCCTTATGCCATCGTGCAAAATGCTCAGTGTTTTCCTTTGGCATGCTTGTGGCTATGGTGGTGTTTTGGATTTTGATGTTGGAAGTTGGGCAAATTTTAACCTTGTTGTTGTGATCTTGTTTTTATTCTTTTTGGGTTTTCTTTGGTTTTCCTTGTTCCAGTTTGTGTATTTGAGTTGCATGTGGTGGATTTTCCATGGAAACAGAGGTCGGAGTTGAGGGGAATGGAGGAAGGATGCTTCTTGAGGACGGTGAAGTCGAGAAAATGTGCTCTCCTTCGGCCCCATCTCAGCAGATTCCGAATCCCATTGTGTACAAGCTTGTCAGGGTATGTTCTGAGATAATGTTTTTTCTTTCATTTTTGGGATAAAGATGTTTTTTTGGAGTACTTCACTGAGCATTCATGGCCAAGCATTTCCTTGTGCCTTTTTCGGTATGTCCTACATTAAATGGGTTCATGTGCATGTGGTTTTGCTTCTGATTTTGATGACTAAGGTTGAAGGAGATGGGAGATTAGTACCAGCAACAGATGATGAAGTTATGGATGTAGCTGAGTTGTTTCTGGATGACAACATTGACACAGATTTCATAGATACTGAGCAGAGTTTAGGATGCATCTCTGGTGATGAAATACATCAACTAGAAAGCTTGGGAGGTTTGTGCTCCATTTCTGTTTTATCTAGACATGATCCTTCAGAGCGTTTCAGAATACTGATGTAATGAAGAAGAATTTTGGTGTTTGTTCACGGTGTGCTGCAATTTTGTACCCTGTTGATGTTGTTTGAATTTACAATGTCCTATTACTGAACCTTCTTTTTCAAATTCATGCTTTTCAATTATGCTATGATACCCTTTTACTTGGCAATTGCGGCAAACTTTTCACCTTTAGTTGCATTTTCTGAGAAATGATTTCTCCCTTTATGAGGAACTCTTGACAAAGCATCTCTTTATCCTCCTAAACCTTTGACTTAATTAAATATGAGTCTGGAATCTTTCTGAATGTTGGATCTTCAATGCGTGCCAGGTTTTTTGCAAGCTGATAAACTGGATGTTGTTCCAGAAATAATGAATGCACAGCTTCAGGTATTAAGCATTCTTTTCAACATTAGTATTTTTTTTCTCCCACTTGAATGATGCAAAACTTTTCTGAATCAGATTAATGGGTAAACTATTGAAAGTCTGCCTGTTTCGTTCTTGTTGTTCTTTGTTAGCTGTTATATTATAACCAAGGGATATTGCATAGGAACTATGCGTAGCATGTGAACATCCTGATTTTTTCTCTGCATAGACGATTGTGTTCTGGTCGGCATGATATAATGATTTGTACTGATTAAAACTATTATGCACTTCCCTTGCAGGAACCTTTCTCTGAGTTGGCTCCAGATTTTTGTGAAAGTCTCATGACTGAATGTGGGAGTGCAGGGGATTGTCCAGATGCTCTGGTTAAGTTGAGTGAGGATGGACCGTCAAGTCCTGTTGCTTCTTCCATACCCGACTTCTCCAAGATAAAGGGAGAAATATGCTTGGACAATTTATCTATCAGAGAACTTCATGATACTTTTAAGGCAACTTTTGGGAGAGAAACTTCTGTCAAGGATAAGCAGTGGCTTAAGAGAAGGATTGCCATGGGATTGACTAATTCTTGTGATGTTGTTTCAGCATCTAGTTTCACAATTAGAGATAACAAGTTGGTCGACAACAATGTAAGTTGCCAGAATGTGGGTGCGGTTATCAGAAGCGATCAACCACATGAAGCAAGCAGTGGTGAAGATAGACAATTACAGATTATACAAAGTAGTGAACATATTGATCAACCAGTATTTTGTGACAAAAGGTGGAGGGACAGTGGCACGTCTGAAAACCCAAGAGAGACATATGATAACACAGAGGAGAGGGCTGCTAAACGAGTTCGGAAGCCCACGAAAAGATATATCGAGGAACTTTCGGAGACGGAATCCAAGGAAGCCATTGGTAGAGTACTAGCTGTGTCTCCAAGTTCCAGACCTGGTCAACCATCCCCAAACAGTCACGCGAGGCTTGCGAGAAATGAGTCTTTGGGCAGTAGGACTGTGGTTATAAGGTCGGATTCCCTTGGAGGTTGTGAGATTCAGATTCCATGTGTTTGTCGAGTTCGCAGGAGCCGACCAAGGAAAAACTTCTCGACCCTTCTGGTGAGTAAAACTATTTACGAGTCAACACTTTATTATTTAGGTGATAAGCACTAAGAAGAATGAAGTTGATCATTATGTGGTCCTGCATGCTTTCGTTTTGCTTTTTTATGAATCCCTTTGGTTTTTAATAGTTGTGAACAAGTGGAACCCAAATGATGTAATCTCTTTGTATTCACTTCATGAAAAGGAAGCCAACTCACAAGTTCTAACTCTGGAAAGATGGTCAATTTATGTGTACCAGTTATGTGTTGGTTGCCCTTGTTTATCCTCTTGGTTTATTTTATTCTTATTAAGCATTTTGGTAAAGAGCATCCTAAATTTCTGCAGAGATTTAATGGCCTTGATGTGATAACAACTGTGGTAAAGAAGACCTTCAAAGTAGACGATGCTCCACCAGATGACGAGAATGCAAACATTGTAACAAAAGCCGAATCAACCCCTGAACAGTCTCAACCGCTGGTAAGTAACTTCTGCCCCTCATATTAGATGAAATACGGATAATAGATAACAATAATAAATAAATATGAAAAGCAGGAATCTGATACCATTGGGAAAAAATGACAGATAATATAAGGAAAAGTACTAACAAATGACACTTGCGGCCCATCGGGCAGGCACACGTTGTATTACATATGTTTGTTTGCTTATTTTGTTCATTTCATCACGAGCAAGGTTACAAAGTGACAGGACTTTGACAGTAAACACCCCCATAGTTGAGGGGCCAATTTGTCACAAAACTCTATTAATAATGATGCCTATTTCATACAGACCAGCACATTGCCCTTTATTCAGTGAGAACTTGTCAATTGATCTGTACTTTTGATCATGTGAATCTTTTCTGTTTCTAGCTTGTAGATGTACCATATAAAGAGAACCAGTTAACCGTGGTTGGAACAGCGGTTGGTGTGGAGCCAAAACATGGAGATTCTTCTGGGGATTCAGATGATAACATAGCCACTGTGCCCACCCCTAAAGGTGGATTCCGAAGGAAGCATCATCGAGCATGGACTCTTTCAGAGGTTATCAAGCTTGTAGAAGGTGTTTCAAAGTTTGGAGCTGGGAGGTGGTCCGAGATCAAACGCCTCTCGTTTGCATCGTATTCGTACCGCACCTCAGTTGATCTCAAAGTATGTTAACTTTGCTAATTTCCATGCTTCCAGATTCATAAAAAGAAAAAAAGAAGAAAAAGAACCATATAGCTTCTCTTACCGTGCTATTTATCGCCATTGATGGAAACAGTAGGTTTTTCAAACTCAAAATCCTCCAACCACCAGAAACTTTATTTTTCAGGATAAATGGAGAAATCTTCTCAAGGCCAGCTTTGCACCACCAGATAAAGGAGTAAGTTCTTTTTTTTCCCCCTTCTTTCCAGACCTTCAACGCTGTGGCTGTAGCCTGTAGGCTGTACCGTAGCTCGCTAAACACTGCCTGTTATCTGTCAATGTAGGTAGGCCCAAGGAAGAATGCAGCCACGACACCCATCCCTCCAACGATACTGTTGAGAGTGAGGGAGCTGGCTGAGATGCAGTCACTTGTCCGACCAGGCAGCAAAGTTGTTGGAAGTGTCCCGGGTGACAATGGTCTCGAACGGCAACCCGGGTACCTGTGACCAAACTGTAAACCAGTAGCTAGTAGGATTCTTAACCTTAGCACTGCATAAATAAGCTGCGGAAATATGTAGTTTGTTTGGTCTCTGTTCTTGCTTGGGGAATGACTCCCAACTTTTTGCACCATGTTTTGTCAAGATGAAGCTTGTTGGCGGGCGTATTATATCAAAGTTGAGCTGAAATAGCCGACGACTGACTAGGTAAGAGAAGATGTGAAGGCAGAGATACGATTATATATCATATGATCCCAAATTAGATATGGATATTTTTTCCACCTGAGGGGGTTGAGAGTTAAGAGCAAGTTTCTTGAATCAGCCCTTGTAGGCTGTAGCAGTATTATTTTGAACCCATTTCCAAATTCCGAGCAAATCATTAGTCTTTCATGATTAATTGCACAGTGAGTTTGTTGTTGGCATGGTTCGAGGTATATAGTCGCGAGAAGAAAATAGGTTAGTATGATGTGGTTTCACCATGGTGGCGTATCTATTTACACTTACTAGCCGTTTTGATTCTTTGGAACAAATCGATGAATTTAGTAAATCTTTTTAGGAGGCTCCAATGACCATAGATCGAATTTATCCAATTTTTACAGTGCGCTGGTTGGCTGGTCACGGATTAGCTGTACCTACCGTTTTCTTTTTGGGGTCGATATCAGCAATGCAGTTCATTCAACGATAAACTTAATCCCAATCACAATTAATAATACAACTATGACACAATCAAATCCGAACGAGCAAAATTCGTTCTCGAGACTCGAGTTTAAAGTTTAAACTATGTCGAACGAACTGAAGAGTCTAAACTTTAAACTAGGTTGAACTTGCGCAATAGCTCTTTAGCAGCCGATACACATCGTTAGCCGACATAATCCCCTAATCAAATGTTAACTCATTGCAAATGGGTGTACAAAGTAATAAAACGATATATCACGAAATGAACTAAATTCTTACGACCATGATGGTAAACTGCTAATCACATAGTTAAGGCCCCTGGAGTGGTCATGATCATGATTAACTAGCAATGATTAAGCCATTAAATGGGCTTTATATTCATTCTTAGATATCCTCCCCTGGAGTAGGGATGGCAACCAAACCCGAACCCACGGGTACCCACCCGACCCAACCCGGTCAACGCGGGTAAAATCCGTGTTTACGGGTTTTGGGTCGGGTTTGGGTTTAAACCCGTTCACTATTCACCGGGTTGGGTTGGGTTTGGGTTTAGGTAAACCCGACCCGTGGGTACCCGCCCACACATATAATTAATTTTCTCGGTATATTTAATATTTCAAACAACTAATCTTATTTATGTTTGTGGAGACATGTCTAATTTTTTCTTTCTAATTGTGTAGAATGAAGTTTGTGTTATCGAGTGGAGAGTGAAGAAACTTAATTGAAAGGAAGAAGCCTTCAATTAATATGTTATTTATGGATAATTTATGATTTACTTCAATTTTCTTGAGTTTTCAAGATTGGTGTTGAACAATTTGTATAGTTAATTTGTGATTTGCTTGAATTTTCTAGAATGGTGTTTTAAATATGGATAATTTGTATTGAGAAATTGATATTTGACTTTAATTTTGATAGGAACATGTTATTGTAAATTTTTTACGACAAAAACCCGTGGGTACCCATGAACCCGCGGATACCCAGCGGGTTGGGTTGGGTTTGAGTTTTTCAAACCCAATGGGTTTTACCCCGGGTTTTTTTCACGGATAAACCCATGGGTTTGGGTTTGGGTTTGGCAAAACCCGACCCAACCCGACCCATTGCCATCCCTACCCTGGAGGGAAGGAAAGATGGACATATGGGCTCAACGAGTAAAATGGGCCTCCGTGGAAGGCCCAAAAATTCTTTCCTCGTCCGTCCTTCTTGCTTCTCTAATGTACATTTTTCCCTTCCGTCCTCTCATACAAAAAATCTCAGCTTGGTGGATTGCCCCGCTGCTCAGTTCCGGTGAGTTCCTCCGGCAACCCTGAATCGTCTTTTGCTTCTATTCTCCCTATTCCCTCGATTACAGATCAGTGTGATGCCGGAAAAAGCTACCGCTGCTAAAAGTTATTTCTTCCTTCTAGAAAGCTGAATTGGCTTGCGGCGGCGGCTCATGTCGTTGGAGGGGGAAATTTTCTCCTTGTTTGGGGCTTAACAGTGCTGATGCTCGGCATTGAACTTCGATTCTTATGTGTAAAGCGTCAATTTTGAACTGATTCCGCTCCTTTTTGTTGTATCGTTGTATAGAGCTGTAAGTCCCCAATTCTTCTTCCGGTGGATTCTGGGTAGCTTCAGAGGGTTTTGTGTGGAACCTGAACTTGAGGCAAAATGGGGATCATCGAGAAGATTAAGGAAATCGAGGCCGAGATGGCTCGAACCCAGAAGAATAAAGCCACAGGTGCTTCTGCTTTTTCTCACTTCTTCCTTTCCTCCGTGGGTTAATGATTGAATTGGTTCTTTTATTCACACAGTAGCTTATGAGTTCGTTTTCCAGTTAAGTTCATTGGATAGCTCTTTGTTTCTCTTAATATGTTGTTTGGTTGCTAATTGATTGATTTTACAGAGTACCATCTTGGTCAGCTCAAGGCGAAGATCGCCAAGCTTAGGACACAGTTGTTGGAGCCTCCAAAAGTATGCATGGCCTTATACCATTTTTCATCGCACTTTTATTTTAAGATTGCACTCCTTCCTTGTCTAATTAGGGTTGGAGGATGATTTGATATCCCATGTGTTCTGTATCAGGGTTCTAGTGGAGGTGGGGATGGTTTTGAAGTTACTAAGTTTGGTCATGGTCGAGTTGCACTTATCGGGTTTCCAAGGTGAGCTACCATCGAATAGGTTTTTATGAGGTAGATTAGCCAAAAATGTTGTGCATGCAAACATCTTTTTGGCCTTGTTAAAACAATCTCAATTGGAAATGGTTATTATCAACATGTTGCAGAATCATAGAAAAGATAAGAAAAGATTTCTTCCACATGTTCTTTATATGACGATGACAATGAATGAACGTTGTGCTCCTTTTCATGATTGTAGTGTGGGGAAGTCGACTCTTTTAACTATGTTGACGGGAACCCATTCGGAAGCTGCATCATATGAGTTCACAACACTTACCTGTATTCCCGGCATCATACACTACAATGACACAAAAATTCAGTTGCTTGATCTTCCTGGAATCATTGAAGGTGCTTCTGAAGGCAAAGGACGTGGTAGGCAGGTAAAATTATTGCAGTCCTAGGTGTTTTGCAGTTGTATGTTGTAGTTGGGATTTGATGATTGCAGGATTGGTTCATAAATTGTGTTTGTTTCAGGTTATTGCTGTTGCAAAGTCTTCCGACATAGTTTTGATGGTTCTTGATGCTTCCAAAGTAAGACCAACTTTGTTACTTCCTGCTCAAATTATACTTTCTTCTTGCAGTGCATATAAACACACGACCTTAATTTATTTTCTTTTGGGTGGCCATTCACTATTGTTGCAGAGTGAGGGTCATCGTCAAATATTGACGAAGGAACTGGAAGCCGTCGGTTTGCGTTTAAACAAGCGACCCCCTCAAGTAAGGATTACTTGATCAGCCATGCTGGTTTTCCTTTTAAAACATTAATTAATGGACATTCACTGAAAGATGTCCGGTTGTCCAAGATGAGCCATCAGTTTGGTTCAACAGCTATTGGTGATGTTTTTCTTTTACGCAGATTTATTTCAAGAAGAAAAAAACTGGTGGAATCTCTTTCAATAGTACTATGCCCTTAACTCATGTTGATGAAAAGCTCTGTTACCAGATTCTACATGAGTACAAGATTCACAATGCAGAGGTATTCTTTTATTGATTATAGGAACGAAACAATTTTAATTTCCAATGATCATCCAGTGGTATTCTGCCTTTATCGGTACCATTGTAGTGAATGTGGGGCTATAGGCAACAATGGATGACTCCGACTGACATAAGCATGCTTCATTTTATATCTCTTGCTCCCTATGCTTTTAAGCTAATCCACAGTCCTTTACCCTTACGCAACGAACCTGGCAACTTCGTTGAATGTTATAACTGTTCCCCTCCAGTGTGTCTCACTTGTTTAGAATTTGACTGCAGATCCTATTTCGTGAGGATGCCACAGTGGATGATTTTATAGATGTCATTGAGGGTAATCGTAAATACATGAAGTGTGTGTATGTCTACAACAAGATAGATGTTATCGGTATTGATGACGTTGACAATTTAGCTCGGCAGCCCAATTCTGTTGTCATCAGCTGCAATTTGAGGGTAATTTATGTGTATCTATCATGTTGATATGGCATGGTAACACAATATGAATATGGGAGTCGAAGTAGTAATTTTCTTTCCTATACATCCATGCTGTACAGCTCAACTTTGACAGACTGCTTGCAAAGATGTGGGAAGAAATGGGGCTTGTGAGAGTCTACACAAAGCCACAAGGCCAGCAACCCGATTTTGGTGATCCAGTGGTTCTGTCAGTTGTATGTAACACAAATTCACTCCACTTTTGGACAAATGCAATGTTGGTACTTCTTGGAGTTTCGTCTAATTTTGGGACTGCGATTTGTGTGCCACAGGACAGAGGAGGGTGCTCGGTCGAGGACTTTTGTAATCACATCCACAGAAGTTTAGTCAAGGATGTGAAATACGTGCTGGTATGGGGCATTAGTGCACGGCATTACCCACAGCACTGTGGTCTTGCTCACGCTCTTCAAGACGAGGATGTCGTCCAAGTTGTGAAGAAAAAGGTAATCTTTGTTGCAAGGATTTTGTTTGCCTTTCATAGTTGTTTGTTCCAATGCCCGAGAACGATGTTTGTTTTTTCCTCTTTGATTTGGTTTTCCAGGAAGGAAATGAAGGAGCAAGAGGTCGTTTTAAGTCGCACTCTGATGCTCCTGCTCGAATATCCGACAGACAAAAGAAGGCGCCTTTGAAGCAGTGAACAATGAACGAGAGACAAGCCGCTCGCCGCTCGGAGACTGGTTGCCTCGAATTAGGACCAAGTTAGTGGCAGCACCACACCTGTTTTTATTTTGTATCAAAATCTTGGCGAGGAGTGCTTTGCTCATGTTTTATGGTCGCATGAATCAAGAGGACTTGCCTCAATTTTAGAGGACATACATTTGAAATTTTGGCCACCAATGGTGGGTGCTTGAGTCATATACACCTATTTTACAGATGAACGAGGCACGATCTGTTGTAGAATCTATTGGGTTCTTGCTTTTTCCGTTGTCCTTCGTCTCTTTCTCCACTAACTGGTTAATTGAGAACTATTTCTTGACAAAATATTTGGCGGTGAGAAAGCAAAAGATCCTCCTCCATGCACCAGCCGGGAATCGAACCCGGGTCTGTACCGTGGCAGGGTACTATTCTACCACTAGACCACTGGTGCTAGTTGCTGTATTCTGCCATTCAATACTTACTTCGATAGTTATCGGGATTATGAACCACTAACCCTTGTCACCTCTCTACAATGAATCATCTAGAGATCGTTTGTTCGTAAGATACGAGCTTGACATGGTGTGTTCTTAAATTCAATTTCTGCTGCTTATCATCTTTCTCTGGTTATTCGACACCGAAAAAAGACTACAAACTTGCCTTTCTCTGTCAGATAGTTGAAATCATCGTATATTCTTGTCCCCCTCCCAACGAAACAACTACCAAAAGTTTACTGCAATAAAAATGTACACATCTTTTTATCTACTAAGAACTTTAGTTACTCCTTCCTTGCTTTGCATTGGCTCATAATAAAAGAGATCGAATAGGGACCTTTTGTGTCAATTCTACCGGTGGTTAGCTTGGGACTGATCCGTCGTGCTCTTGGAACTATGATGCAAAATCCTGAGATACTGGAGGTAAGTAAGCAGCCTCTCACTGTTGTTTCATGTAACATTGATGTTTTTTTTTTTTTTGGGGGTTCGGTTTCGGTTTACAGAGTTGCAGAAGATTGTTGGAGTTGATGATCTTCCCTGGCCACCTCAATGTGAGATAGATGCATCAGTCAAACAGCAACTGCGCCTCCTGTTCTAGTGGGAAGCTTGCTTTGGAGCAACCTCAGTCAGCCAAAAACCTGTTTACAGAAACCATTTCTTCTCCCAAGTATGCCATCATAAGGTGCATTTGCAGTTATGTATAATTTCAGCTGAGGAGGTCAATGTAATTCTGCCCGTTCAGTCTGGATAACAGAGAAATACATTCTGGTAACCATCTTTTTACCATTTGACAAACTAATCCACCTCTGCCATTTATAATTTAGTGTCTACACTTTTCAAACATTAAGCATTATAACTTAACTTATGGATCCACGAACCTATCCTAACACAACCTACGAACCCATGGATCTGATAACGCAACCATTCGCCACCAGGTCGTTCAGCATTTTGACGATGGTCATCAACCAGAAATCCAGCTACATCCAGGGGATCTCTTCGTCCCTTTTCCACTTATCATCTTCCTCACCTTCTCAGCAGCTTGCCAATCACTATTCGAAGCATAACCACTAGCCAAAACAACCTGATTCCCAGGATCTTCAGGATCCATCTCCCCTAGTTTCCTAGCAGCCATTTCACCCATTTCTACATCACCATGAAGCCTACAAGCAGCATGGAAAGCACCCCAGATTCCTGGATCATTGGCCAAGTCAACATTCTCCATTACAAGATTGTAAGCTCTTTTGAGTTGCCCAGCTCTGCCCAAAAGATCCACCATGCAAGTCACGTGCTCAGCCAGAGGCCTGATCCCGAACAAAGAAGTCATGAGCTCGAAGCTCTTGCATCCTTCCTCGACGAGACCTCCATGGCTGCAGGCATTGAGAATGCTGACAAAGGTAACCTCATTCGGCCTCAGCCCTTCATTTTGCATTTGTTGGAACATGCTCAGAGCTTCCTGAGACTGGCCATGGTCTGCCAAGGCGGTGATCATTGTGCTGTAAGTGATTACGTCTCTCTCCTTCATTGCATTGAATTCTTTCTGGGCTAAGTCCAAGGAACCGCATTTTGCGTGCATGTGGATTAGAGCATTCCACACAAACACCCTTCGTCCTGTCGATGAACAAGAGGCAAGGTAGTCAAACTATAGATTCCATCAGAAAAGAGAAGCATGACATTCCACGGAAAATAGCTTTCACATTAAATCAGGCTGTATATGGTCGAGTAAACTCGTAAAAGCATTTTGACAACAGTGTCATCAGCTGGAAAGAAGTTACAAAACTTACCACGACATAGTCGGTCGACATCTGCAGCTAATGTGGTGGCCAATTCAGCATCTCCAAGCTGAGTACAAGCAGAAAGAGCTCCTACAATAGCGACATCAGAGATTTTAACTTCTCTTGCTCTCATCTCCATGTACATATCAATAGCTTCCTTAGCACATCCATTTTGTGCATAACACGCCACCATTGCAGCCCAACAGGAAGCATCTTCCATCTCTCGTACACAATCAAACACACTTCTAGCCTCCTTCACATCACCACACTTGCCATATCCTGCTATCATTGCCACCCAAGTAACCGAGTTCTTCTCGCCCATCTCATCGTACAGCTCTCTAGCTGCTCGCATGTCACCACAGTTTGCATAGCCAGCCACCATCGCAGTCCAGGAAACCACATTATGCTCCTCCATGGTATTAACCAACCGCCGTGCCTCACTCATCCTGCTCATTTTGGTGTAGCCGCAGATCATAGTAGTAAAAGCAACTAAATCCTTGTGAATCATTGCATTGAAGATGCTTCGAGCATCATCGAGAAAGCCACATTTCGCATACATGTCGAGCAATGTAGTTTCGACTATCTTGTTGTTCGGAAGAACACCGGACTGGATCAGCCTTTTGTGCACTTGCTTGCCTTCCAAGATAGCGGGAAGTCGAGCACATGCATTGAGCACCGAAGATAAGGTGAAACGAGAAGGAGGGACTCCCGTGCGATGCATTTCGGCGTACAAGACGATGGCTTGAGTGCAACGAGCGTGACGGACATGGTAACGTATGACGGACGTCCAGAGGAACTGGTCTGTGCAGTGGGGTATTTCGTCGAACAGTTGGCGTGCATACGCGTCGTTGCGCCCGGGTAATTCCAAGAGTGCGGTGACGAAACGAGGAAGAAGGTGGCGTTGGAGGGGCTTGCTGAGGGTTTTCAGGAAGAGGGTATGGACTTGTTGGAGGTGGTTTACTGTTGTGCATAACTGGAGGGATTTGGTGATCACCGCTCCTGTTTCCATGATGAAGAAGAGGTAACCAATCTGTAGATAAAATGGTATCTAACTATCTATCTGACTCGATAGTATGTAGATACGAATCCATGTAGTCAGTAGGTTATATATTTATGCTTGGAGAGAAATCGGTAGAGAAAAAGCTTGCACCTTTATATCTCTGTCTGAAGACTGAACCGGTCATGAAATAGAAGCTGTAGGAATTAAATAAAAAAAATAAACACAGGTTTTTCTTGAATTTTAAAATATTTAGAAATTCTTAAAATGATCCTTATAATACCTTTTTCGGCATTTTGGCTAGGATCAACCGATCAAGTATTCAAGTGTGTAAAATTACCCTCATAAGGTCGCATTCTTGTCAGATGTAGCCATAGGATCTTGTTCGATGTGACCTTCAATATGTTATCATTTTTCAACCAACCATGATAACGTAAATAAGAGAAATTTAGGCACTTTTGGCAGATAGGCGATAGAAAAAAAATGGATTGTTACAATACTGCTCGTTTTGGTAGTTTATTATGTACAACTGGTAAATCTACAGCGAAGTTATACATGTGAAGAGTGAAGAGATAATTAATCAGGAACCATTGAATTGCTTGAGAATTGAGGTAGATGAAGAACAAAGCTTTCTTCCACCTGTCCTTTTAGAGCAGCTTCTTCTTGTATGTTGTTTTCTTTTTGTCTAGCTCCTCAGCATGAACCTGACCTTTCAAGTTCAACCCAAGTCTTATTCTTCACATCCAGTGAGGTATTAGCTTCTCATCGAGTCTCGCTTTTATTCTTCCTCTTCTTCCACGGAGACTTCGTCTGGTAGGAGATTTGGTGAAGAGCTGGTGTGCAAACGACGAAGGTTTCTGTAACCACTCCAATAATCTGATTCACCTGTCTCATCTCCAGGTCCGTTATCATCATCGTAGTCATCACGTGTTTTGAGATGCAGATTACAACCTTGATCCTGTTAGGAAAATTAGTGACGGCATGAATGGCCTTTGCTGACTGCGTGTAAACAGGCAAAACTAAGTGCAAGATCAACAATGTGTTATGTTACCTCAGGTTCGGGCTCGGATTGAGATTCCAATTTATTCTGCACTGTGTACTGGAAGCTGGTTTCTTCATCGATGGTCTGCATTCTGCCATCTACTTCACCTCCACTGCCATCAAGATCGCTGTCACTCTCATATGACTCAAGATATGTTTCACCTCCTAATTCCTCGGTATCATCTGATTCATCATCATCATCATCCTCAGTTGGATACTCGGAATCTAATTTGTCGTACAGCTGCTCATCTCCATCGTCTTTTACAATGTCCATTCGTTCCTGTGAGATAATAAGTAGTTCCAATTTTATCGGGGTCACCTGGAAGCAGGGTTTCAATAAATGGTATTGAAAGGTAAGGGCCGCCAGATAGAGTAAGTCTTACAATTTCAGCTCGCAAAGTCTCCACCTTTGTGTATAGAGCCGAAACATGCTTCAGTAGAGCCTGTTTGCAAAGCAAAGTGGTACAAACTAAGGTCAAAATGATACAACCCAGAAAGTTTCAGAAGCCTAAAGGATTTTGCAGTGTTTTACCTCACGCCTCTGGATCTCGATCGAACGAGCCAGAGCCTTTCGCTTGGTCAATAGATTCCCTGGTCTCAATGAGGAAGGTCGCTTATAGTCGTTGCCGCGGTATACGATTATAGCATATCCTTTGGAGACTCTATCAACCGAAACCAGGACACCTCCACTTTCAGCTTCTAGTGCTAGTGCAATTTTCTTGACATCCTCAAAATTCTTAGCCTTCAACATAATTTTCACCAATTCACGGTATTTCCAGTGCAAGTGCATGTTCTCCACTGTTCCATCGAAAATCCCACGTCTTCCTGAATCGAAAGAGAAAAAGACATGAGTAAAAGCTCTTTGCTCGAAAACTTCGAATGAAACAATATTGTGCCATTACCTAGAAGAAGGAAAGCTTTCATCTTCAAACCAAGCTTGCGGAACATGAATCGCTCCTCATCTGATATACTTTCTGGATCTGCCTGTCTATCAGATGGTTTCAGATAGCCTTCCACCTTTGTCAAGGTTTGTTCAGCCTTCGTCAGCCTCTTCTCAGCCTGGAAATAAAATTTGCCAAGGGTTTGAGCTGAAAGAGCCTCAACTTAATTCATCGTGATATGTTCAATTGACATGAGAGCACTTTGAAGGTTTAGCATACATGAATACGCTTAGGGAATCCACAAGATATGTAGAGCCAAAACCGATGTTCTAAAGTATCGGGCACTTACAAATTTGAGCTTCCTTTCAAGCTTCCTGGCAATGTTGGTATGCCTCTCTAATTCACCCTGTCTCCTTATTTTTTCCTTATGATGATCATCCAACCTTTTTCCCCACCTTGCATGTGCATTCAAAGTCTCCTCGAGGGTGCCAGCAGTTCCTGCCACTAGCTCTCCTGCATCAGAACTTGGTATGACAAAGGCTGATGCTCTTAATCGTGCTTGCTCCTCTTCGTCTTGTAACGATTTCGCCAGCATCTCTCGTTCTAGCAACGCTTCGGTGACATCTGGTGATAGAAAGTTCTTTCCCCTATAGAAAACTAGAAAGTCCTTGTTTCTCGAAAGCAGTATGCCCCCTGTCAGTTTCTGCAGCCAATGACAAGAGAGCATTAGCAGCATTTCAGGTAACTAACAGCATCGTTTGCTTATAATAGATTTGCCAAAATAACAATTCTGCAAGAAAATTGTATGCTTTTACGAGCTTGCCTATTTAATTTTAATCTTGATTTCACAAATAAATCAGTTCACCGTTAAAAAAAGAATAAAACAATTAAGATCTCACAAAACTGGTAAAATCAAACCATTATACCATTCCATCAATTTAGGGCGGCAGGGTCAGGCATAGATTAATTTAGTACGGTACTCCGAACAGCACTGCTGCATTGTGAGCAAAAAGTCATCCTTTTTCCACAAGCTTGATTAGTGATCACCATTATGTTTTCATTAAGATTTCAAGTGATTTTCTTTTGTACATGTATGGTTGACTTTTCATGTAGTTTATCTGCATAGATGTTTTACGTAGATCTTAAATATGACTACCAGATATTACGTTACTTGTTAACATGAGATCTTTCTTAGATACTCACTGCTCAAGGGTGGCTATATTAGAGGTTTTAAGTAATTAATCACTGTTTTGCATATTAAAAGGCCCATAACATATATTTGTTTACCTTAATCTCTTCAGCCATCCTTTCACTGGTGGTTAGCTGCAATCCACGCTTCAGAGCTATCTTTGCAATTGAACTCTTCTCCCATAATTTGATCATGGCCACAGCCAAGCCCTGGAGGTTCCTGTTTCTACCTGAAACATCAATCTCTCAAACAATGACATCAGCAGAAAAAGAAACACCAACTCTAATCAACAGAAACAAAACAATAAAACTACCTAGAGCAAAATGTGGGGGAAGAAACCGGGCAAGTCTACGCAAGGAAGTAGCCTCCTTATGTCCAAGTGAAGATCTGACTCCATAAGGAAGTATCCTGAAAGGAGGTTGATATCCAGCAACGATACCGGGAAGCATATCTGCGTCCACGGGCAATGGATCACATCCTGCCCACTCTGCGTACCTTGGACCAAGACCTTCCAACAGCTTGTCTACTTCTGCTTCGTAGCTTACTTCTGATGATGATATTTCTCTGCCTAGCTCCTTGTCCTCCTCAATGGGGAAATCTGAGGTCGGAGGAGACGCATGAACTTCATTCTCAGTATGGGTTGAGGGGAAAGCAAGACGGTTACTGGAAACTGGTTGCAAGGGCTTTGTGGATTCTCTAGTTTTTGTTAAAATTCGTTTCTGTTGAAACCCAGGAACCTCATAGCTTACACCCCTATATAATGAGATTGAGGAGCCTGACCTCCAAATCACCATGCCACCAGTTTTTTTCTGATACATTTATAAAGCAATCAGAGAGGATTATCAACCGAGATGCATTGTGAACATAACTAATTTTCAATCATAATCATAGAACAATGCATTCTGCAGATATAGCAACAAATTACTGATTGGAGAAAGTGATCAAGAGTTCGAGAAGGAAAGCCTACCTCAAGTATCTCATGCATCCGTCTCATGTTAAGAGCAGATGCTCCCTCTACTTTGATCTTCACAATTTCAGAAGACTTCCACTTCTCTCGAATGGCATCCACGATGGACTGAGGAACTCCTGAGCCCTTAATCCTAGTCTTGCTCTTTGTTTGATAAGTCAAGTTCCTCAACCTCCTCAACTCTGACTGGGGCAATGTCAGCTCTGCAAACAATGTCCTGCTCTCCTTTTTAGCGCTCCACTTCCCCTCCTCCTCGTCCTTCTTCGGCTTCTCCCATGGGAATCGAATCTCCCCATCGCTCGTCTTGAACACGCTCTCTATCCCTAAAGGCAATTCCTTCGAGAACCCACCTTGTGGATTTGGCAACATCCCTTCTTCTATGTAGAATATATCCTCCACACTTCCTTTCTCTATCACTCTTTCTCTAACTTTCTCAGTCTTCTCATCACTATCATCGCGATCATCACCATCATTGGCATACCCATGTTTCTTCAGTTTCTCAACAATCCTCTCCATAGTACTCCCCCTACCACCCCCACTCCCACCATTGTGATTTTCATCGCTAGCGTAATCTAAAGCAGCCTTGGGAGGCTTTGGTCGACTATCCTTTTTAGGTCTGTTCCATTCCGACAACCAACCACCACTGGAGAAATTCAACTTACTGGAACAATTATGCGGAGAAAGAGCACCCCTCTTCGGTGGGTAGCTTCCGCCCAGCGAAGTGACACAGAAAGTGGGAGTCTTTGTGTAAATTGAGCAGGCGCTGTACCTGAAGAAATGCAGAGGAGTGGTCTGGTGAAATTTCGTCGAACAGATGGTGGGCACGAGAAACATCTTATCCAGACAATCTGATGGAGAAGCCGGTAGTAACAAAGTAAGGAATATGACGGAAGTTGGAAGGGTTCAGCGAAAAGCGTGTGGAATCGTTGCAGAGTTCTTCAAGTCCGAGACTCGCAGTTGGTCTACTACTACTGTGTAGCATAACTTCAGCTGGAGGAAGCGAAGTAGCATCGCAGGCTCGAAGCTCCCATGTACACGCTTTGAGCGTTCAAGTTTGGCGCTTTCTGAGAAATCTATCTATCCCTTTGTGGTGTTCTCGTTGTTTCGGTGAACATGATAATTCAGGGGTGTTCAAATGGTTACCATGGTTATAACAAAATCAAATAAGGCTAAATTTCATTAATCATGTAATACAATATCATAACCAAACCGTCTAAACTAATACAACAACCAAATTAACCAAACTAAAGTTTAATCGGTTTGGTTAATTGGTTAACCAGATTAACCAATATAAAATCACATTATCATTGACGATGAAAATTTTCCGGTTAATGCAACAATTCACAATTTATATAATGAATAAAACATAACAATCAAGACGTAGTTATAGTTAACCCTTAACAAAAATACATGCATCTTAGTCTCTTAGCAATTATCATAGGCTGGAAATGACCTTCCTTTCAAGTTTTCATCCATCTTAATTTATGCAATTTATCTAAATTAGGCGTCCATATGTTGTGGTCTACACTTTACATATACAAATATACACTATATGAGCAATATTGAGCTTTATATTTTATGAGTCTAAAAGGGATGAACGTTAACTCTTGAGTGGTTATGCAAAGTATTAAGTATGTGTATATAATATATGTTAGATATATAACTAATTACTTAACTGGTTAATTTGGTTTGACTGGTTAGGAGTGTCTGAAACCAAACCAAACCACCTAACCAAACCAAACCAATTATCCAAATTAACCAAACCAAATTATCCAAATAGTACCGGTTAAAACGGTTACCACGGTGACCAATCCGTTTGAACACCCCTACCTGACATAGCCTCACAATAGTCATTGTATTGTTATTGCAACATTCTTGCTGCGGATTCATAACACAGAAAAGCATTGGGCCACATTTTATTAGAAAATTATAACCATAAAAAAATTAATGATTTTTTTTATAATGTAAATTGTACACGACGGTATCTTAATTTAGCAAATGCATCAATAATGTACTCCACATCCATACCAATAGTATACACTGTCTCAAATAAAATACTTGAGCAATTGGCAAGAAATTCATCGCTTATTTATTGTGCAAATCAGTTTTACATGTTTCTTTGTTCAAAAGGTTATCTCAGGTTCTCTCTGTAGTAGTTGTTGAAACGAGCAACGTCAACACTAGACAAATCAATATATATTTGCATTATGTGTCCATCCATATACCACTAGTTGTCTAGTAAATTTTCAAGGTAACAAACTCATATTTCTTTTACCCTATTATGCTTTAGAATTTTAGGTTTCATTGTTTTTTAGACGAAAAATCTTTGGGGCTAGAATTTCTCTAGGCTAAATTTAGAGTAGTGTTTTGAATATGTTTATCTAAATCAATTTGCTAATTATATCCAATTTTATGATAAAAATAGCATTGGGCCGAGTACCTAAATCAAAAAATTCATAAGGCCTATACTAATTATGGATCCAGAGGAGGGCTAGGCCGGGGCCCCGGGTGGCCACCCCCTGGATCTGCCACTGGTAACAATACTAGTCTCCAACCAATAAGAACTAGGGTTGTGAGGACTTTTATTAGCTAAGTTGACCTAATGTAAAATCAAAGTAGGGGTATAGTTGTCATTATGATAAATATGTTTAAATTATAGCAAAAAATAAATAAAAAAAATATTTTTTATTTTATGCCCAAAATTTTGGTCCCCGGAATTCGGACAATGGCTGTCGGAATATGGTCGCCGATCACCGGAATATGCTATTTTGTCACCGGAATATGCTCACCGTGGTCGAAATATGCTTACCGGCATCATGATCTAGTCATCGGGGCCGGAATATGCCTATCGGCGTCGAAATCTGCTCACTGAAGGTCATCGGAGTTTGGTCAACGAACTTCATTGACTGGTCAATGGTCAACGACCACTGGATGTTATAGTCTGCATTGTGAGATTTATGGTTTGGTTTCTCATATTTTTGAATGCCTTTTGTGGTTTGCTTTATCGTGTTTGTGGTTTGCATTAAGAAGTTTATGATTTGCTTTCAAAAATTTTGTGGTTTGTATTGTGAGGATTATGGTTTGTTTTAATATATTTGTGGTATGCATTAGGACGTTTCCGGTTTGCTTTTTTGTGGTTTGATTTACTGTGTTTGTGGTTTGCATTAGGAGGTTTCTGGTGTGCTTTCGCAAATGTTGTAGTTTGCTTTGTGAGGTTTGTGGTTTGTTTTATGAGATTTGTGGTATGCATCAGGAGGTTTCTAGTTTGCTTTATTGTGTTTCTGGTTTGCATTAAGAAGTTTATAGTGTGCTTTTGAAAAAATTATGGTTTGATTTGTGGAGCTTCAGGTTTGTTTTAATGGATTTGTGGTTTGCTTTGTGGGGTTTCTAGTATGTTTTAGTGGATTTGTGGTATGCAATAGGGTGTTTCTGATATTTTTTTTGTGGTTTGTTTTATCACGTTTGTGGTTTCCATAAGAAGGTTTCTGGTGAGCTTTAGAAATATTTGTGGTTTGCTTTATGAGGTTTCTTATATGTTTTAGGCGATTTATAGTATGCATTAGGTGATTTCTTGTATGCTTTTTGTGGTTTGTTTTATATTTTTTTGTGGTCTGCATTAAGAGGTTTCTAGTATTGTTTGTGAACAATAAGTATTCAAAAGTTCGGAAACATGAGCAAAAATTTCATAAGGGGATTTATCGTTTTCTCAAAGATAATTCAATACCATAATTGAATTCAATAAAGAAGGGCAATTCAATTACAAGAAAAACTTGAAGTCTCATTCAAATCCATCTAATGAATAGTTCAATAGTCACTCTACCAACTCTGTTGATAATGAAAGTCATACAATCAATCTCATGTCTCTTCATTCTTCAAACTAGCCTCACATTCACAACCATCGAGTTTTCGTATCCAATTCAATTCTTCCCTAAACCTCTTTTTAAAGCCAACATAGCAATCAAATTAACCATCATCCATCCCATACGGGTTGGAACGAATCAAAACAGATCCAAAAGCAGAATTCGATTAGAAGACATAAACCAACCTTTCCGGAAACATTTCATTTATGTGAGGGCCACATGCATTCAACCCTCTATCCATCGAAACCTCCGTCGACTCCCGAACGACTCCAACACGGTCAATTAGAGAAACTAAATGTACTGACGAGAATGGAAGTAGGTTGACCAGACTGGCTCCAACAACCACCGCCTTCTCCACACCAGCTTGATTTCTCGTCGATGAAGAACAATCTGCAACAGAAGAAGCGAGGAAGAGGAGGAGAAAAGGGATATGCATTGCAGAGTGCGTCGCGGCGGTGCTCAATCGGCCATGCTTAATGCCAGGATTCGAGCTCCGAAGAACACCACCCTCTCCGCCACCATTTTGATTAGCCGTCGATGAAGAAGAATCAAAAACAGAAAATGAAGAGAGACGAGATCTGGCATGGAAGAGTGTCACAACGTCGGTGAGGTTGGAGGCTGATCGACGGCGAGGAACTCAATTTTGCGCCGCCGCCGCTGTTGCGGTTGTTGTGAAGGACAAAGCTCCGACGGAGACTGGGGATGGACGGAGTCGGAGGTCTTCTAGGTTTGAGGAGGCAGAGAGTGGGAGAGCAGAGTCGAGAGTTTCTATCCGTCGCTTTTGAGTTGTAATTCAATTTTATTTTTCTGTAATTTGTTCATTTACTCTTTTACCCTTAGTTAGATTTGTTGTTACGGTAACAACACCAGAGGTGTTGTTATAGTATCCGGACCCTCGGTGAACTACTTGGCCTTTTTGTCTTCCCCAGATGAAAATGTAAGCTTTGCGATCATTGTAAACCCATTAGCCGGTCGAACAAATGGGTTGAGTATTAATTCGATCGCTTTAGCCAGTGTCTTGAAATATGATAAAAGTTATTAATTTGTTCATATATTTATAAATTCCATATTATATATGGGTAATAATATATAAAATTATACCACAATAATTGTTCACACTTGGAACCAATATATAGCGAAAACACTCATATAAAATTAATATTCAACTGTTCAACTCAAAATACCAAAAATAGGGATAGGCGAAAAAAAAACCGAAAAAATGTGCATTTCGCAAACCAAAGGGAAAACCAACGTTGTATGATCTCCAACCCTGAAAACTTACTGCGGGTTGACCCGCGGTTGTATGCAGAGCCTGTTTTCCTCACCAGATCTAAGTCAAACCGAACCGACCTTGGGGTTGACAACCTTGTTCGCGACCTTGTCGTTTACTCTGGTAGAATTGCATATATAATATTACGGGTCGTTTGGATGAGTTATTTGGTCAATGTGGTATTTTGAAACCAAATGATACATTATTTTCAAATTTGGCATTTCATGAGTTATTTGGAGCTTGTGATATTAGAATTGTTTTGTTTTGAAGAAGAAATGGACCAACATGGACACTAGTGGAAAAAAGAGGTTGTGAGATAAAATACCTAGAGAATGGGGTGGCATTTCAAGTAACTCGTAATGAATTATTTGAATTACCTCATGGTCAAAATAGCACAACTCAATTTTCTTTTGCTAAACGAGTTATTTTGGCCCAAAATAACTCATTAATGCTTCATCCAAAAGACCATAAATAAGTAAATTGCAAGGTTGGTTAGTTGAATTACTAAAAAGTTTCATATTTGGTTACTAAAAATATTTTATTCCATTTATGGTCACTAAAATTAGTTTAACAGTCCAGATTTGGTTACTCCTGTCACCTTCTGTCACTCTCCGATAACAATGTTATTTTTTTTACTGACATGACTAACATAAGTATATAATTAGTCATTTTGAACTGAAAAAGTAAAACCTGACCCGACCCTTCACGTCATAAAAAATTCCAACCCACCACCAGTGACCCAATCTGTGACCCAACCCATGTCATAAAAATTTGGGTTCCTTCGTTTTGTTGTTGTCGTTGGTCTTCTCGACTTTGTTGTCTTCTCAAGCTACAGTTTATCCTCCCTTCTCACCTTGCAAATCCTTAACTCCACCACCGTCCTCATCGCCATCGTCGACTCCCATTACACCGAACTCATCCTCATCAACTGTTAGTGAAATCTGCATAGATGATATCGCCATTAGGCCCCTTCGTCGACGAGGAATAGGATGGACAGACAATGTTGGAGTTGGCTATGGGAGCGCCGCATCCGGCGCAGGCCGTCCCCACCGCAGATCGAGCTTTCGGGTCGGAGCAGAACATTTGCCCCTTTGACTTGAATTCAACATTTCATCTTTAGCTCCGCCACCGAGGAATGCATATCAATGAAATAACAACAAGAGCTCCAGAGAATGGTGAACCATAGATATGGAGCAATGCGCCTAGGATTTCCTCTTCCGCGGTTATGGCGAGGCTTATTGAAAGAATAGAGAGAGCTCTGTTGATGGCTGTGTGTTTTGAAGTGCGAGGAGGCCGTCATTCTTCGCCGCCGGTCGATGTGAAATTTCAAGTATTGTCCAGCGACTACGCGTGCGGGCTTCAGAGTTCGTAATCAAGCATATGGAGTCGATGGATATGGGAGCGGTGGAGGGTCCTGGGCGGAAGGTAGGGGAGGGATTCGATCTCGATCCTAACCTATTCGGGGATATGGGTTTCTATCTTCACCAGAGGGGCATGGAAATGTTCGGAGGCTTGAAGGTCTTGGTAGCGTCCGCCATTGGGGGTTTGGCCGGTGAGTTGCTGCAACGAGATGAAACCAAGAGAGTTGCTGAGTTTGCATATTTTATTTTTTGGGTCGGGCAGGTGATAACTCGATATTTGCACATGTTTTTCACACTATTCTTAGACTATTTAAGGGCCGATTTCTCGTATTTTAATATGATTTCATGCTAGGTTGTGCATGCACATTGTTTTTCGGGACGTGGATCGGAAATGAAGGCTTAGGAACGAGTTTTGGGTCGAAATGGAGATCAGACGAGACTTGGGAGCCAGAGAAGAAAAATTCCTAGTCAAGCCATCAATTCCTCGACCGCGAATCATCATCAAGGGATTGGGGATGGTGATCAGAAGACCCCCGGTAAGTGTGTCCCAGTTCCCCGATCTGGGAATAGGAGAAGGTGATCGTGGAATTCCCCCTTAGCGGAACAAGTAACTCGATGCATTTTGAAGATCCCCGGTCACTACATCTGATTCCTCGACCAGGGAATGTGACTGGAGAAGGCCAATTTGCGACATATATAAGCCGAAATTAGATTTTTGCGAAAGAGGTTGATTTTCTTAGTTCTGAAATAACATAAAGAAAGTCCTAGAGAGAGAAAGTGACAAAGAACAACCTTCGGAATGTATTAGAGTCGTTTAAGGTCATTGGAGCTTTGTGTTTCCCCTTCTCTCTATGAAGTAATCTTTCTTCTCATCTGAGTATGAAGAACCCTAGTCTGGTATATTGAGGCATTATCCAGAATTGCATGAGTCCTGATCAAATTCCTGTGATTCCTCCTTTAACCTAGAATGATAGTCTCTACATAGGTTAAAAGAGCAACCTTAATTGAAAGTAGTGAATCAAATGCTTTAGTCAAAGAAATCAATTCACTAGCTTTGTACTAGAAGTGAAATCCAGTAGAGAAAGTTTTGTGTTTTAGTGCCTCGGCTAGCTTATTCTGGTGGAGGTTAGTCTCCCTCCGGGTGTTCTAACTGAGAGTGTTTGAACCCTTTGAACTTTTCGCAGTATAACTATCAATTGGACTGAACTTGGGAATTACAACATGACTTAACTGAGGCATACTAGGAGGACACATACTTGGGTGACCTTTCTCATACTTGGAAATCAGAACATTTACTTGCTTTCTTTTCCATTTTTCTTACAATCAACTTCACTCAACTTTGACTGCTAGATAATATAACTTCACCAAGTACCAGTACACCTAGGACTCTAGTTGACAATTAAAACCCGAACCATTATACTACATTCCTAGATTGCGATTATACTTGATCGTAATTTAGTTGTGTCGGTATCGACGAGTCAGTGGGTCAAGATGGAAGGGCTAGGTTATGAGTTGGGTTAGGTTGTATGACATGGCGGGTTTTGCTTACGTAGTGGGTCGGGTTTTAAACTTTTTCGGGTTAAAATTGGCTGATATAGGCACTTCTGTCAGCCACGTCCTCAAAAATATTGTTGTCGTTAACAGAAGGTAACGACCAGTGACCAAACTTGGACTGTTAAACTAATTTCAGTGACCACGAATAAGATAAAATATTTTTAATAACCAAACTTGAAACTTTTTAGTAATTTTAGTGACCAATCTTGTAATTTATCCTCATTATATCATTATTGGTTGGTTTGGAGTTAGAGGCAGTTTGATTGTTAGATTTAGGGGTGGTAATTGATCGGTTACCGATCGACTGGTTACAAATATACCATTTGTGGCCAGTCAGATTCCGAATACAAGTAACAATTTGTAACCGGTTAACAGGTAAACCAGATAGCTAGTTAACGGTTACAAATCAGTTTTACCGATTTACCGCAAAAGCAGAGGAGAAGCAGCTTTCTGGTTCGGTTAACCAGGATATAACCGGATCAATTCTGGGCAGTGGGCAATTATGCATTTTCTGAGTTTTTTTTTTGCATTTTTATGTAATTTAATTCTCAACTCTTATTTACAATATTTTTAATTTTTATATTTCCATTCATGCAGTGTACTATGAATAATGGAATATGTTAATGGTAATTGTCAAACATTAAACTGGTTTGTTAATTAATTTCACACAAGTTCAAAGGGACAACAATCAATATAATCGTCAATCGACTAAACCCTTCACGCTCAACAAATCTGAACGATAGCTCATCCAAGATGATCATCATAGCTAATGTATTTCTAGCTTTGTTCTGATCAAACTTTCATGGAGCAAGAGAGTCTACCTCACCAACCCCACTTCCAGGTTGATAGTTCAATACTGACTGACGACTAGCTTCCCTCGACCTCCTCTTGCATGCCAGGTGATGGTTTTTCAAACCAATAACACCATTGAGACTTGAATGAGCTTTGATCTACGACCCATAAATTGAGTTTGGATTATGTACGACTAAATTAATTTCGAATCACACACCAGTTTTAGTACATGAAACAGGACAAGTTGTCTTACCACAATATTTAAAACAATTGAAGTAAGAGTAACCTAAGGTAAATTATCTTTTAAAGTGATGAATCCATAATCCTAAAATCCATCAACAAAGCCTACAAGCAAACAACAAACTTTTGAAATCCATAATGGACAAAATCCATCATACATCTTTGATTTTACTAAACCTTCATTTTAACTAAAACATTAATTTTTCAAAACCAACAAGCAAACGTAGTCTCAATTGTTTTAAAATGGTCTCATATAATCGGGTTAATACCTTATTTTGGCCCGAACTATTATCATATAATCAACTTTGGCACGTGGTTTCAGAAATTAACATCCTGGCCTCAACTATGCAGCATATAGACTCAATTGGCCCGACACATGGTTTGACCGTCAACTATGATAATTTATAAAAGGGTTAATACCTTATTTTGGCCCGAACTATGACCATATAATCAACTTTGGCCCGTGGTTTCAGAAATTAACATTCTGGCCTCAACTATGCAGCATATAGACTCAATTGGCCCGACACATGGTTTGACCGTCAATTTGGATGGTCAAACTCGTTGACCGTTAGTCAACACGCCATGCCATTGCCTCGTCAACCTAAAAATTATTTAAAAAATCAAAATCAAATTATTTTCCTAATTTCTATTATTTATAATTTTCAAATTAACCAAAAAATAGAATTTAAAAATATAAATAAAATTTATATTTATTTTTTGGGATATTTGAAAATGATAAATTTTATAAATTAACCAAAAATTATCAAATTAAATTTTATAAATTTAAAAAATATGATATAAATTATATATTTTATTTTTGTGTAAAGTTAAATATATAACATAGTTTGATAATTTTTGGTTAATATATAAAATTTATCCTTTCCAAATTACACAAAAAATAAAAAATAAATTTGTTTTATGCTTTTATAAATTATTTTTTTGTTAATTTGATTATCAATAATAAAAATTAAAAAAATAGTTTGAATTTTAATTTTTTTAATAATTTTTAGGTTGACGAGGCAATAACATGGCGTGTTGACTAACGGTCAATGGTGTTGACCATCCAAATTGATGGTCAAACTAGGTGTCAGGCCAATTGAGTCTATATGTTACATAATTGAGGCCAGGATGTTAATTTCTGAAACCACGGGCCAAAGTTGATTATATGGTCATACTTCAGGCCAAAATAATGTATTAACCCTTTATAAAACTTATCATTTTCAAATTACCCAAAAAAATTAAATAAAAAAGTATTTATGTTTTTTTATAATTTATTTTTTTATAATGTGATAATAAAAAATAGAAAAATAATTTGAATTTGAATTTTTTTAATGATTTTTAGGCTGACGAGGCAATGACATGACGTGTTGACTAATAATCAATGGTGTTGACCATCCCAATTAACGGTCAAACCATGTGTCAGGCCAATTGATTCTATATGTTGCATAGTTGAGGCCAAGATGTTAATTTCTGAAACCACGTGTTAAAGTTGATTATATGATAATAATTTGGACCAAAATAAGATATTAATGATAGGAATTTAGACTTTTCTACATATTTTGGTAAAACGATAGGAATTACATAGCACCAATCTGACCATTTAACTTGCTAATCCGACGTAACCATATGAACCGGTTTATATCCGCTCTCGGTTTTGGTGGCCTGCATGGTGGTAGATTGGTAGTTGCTAGTTAGGCATTGTTTGCCCTTTTGGCTTTTTCTATCTTCTGCTCCAATCCACCTATCCACTTGTCGGCAAGCGGAGCAAGTTCCCCAACTCCATTTTCTCGCTTCTCGGCGGTATAGGTTTCCCGCCACAAAAAAGGGTGAAGAATCCTGCCTCGGAGATCGGCCGCAGAGAAAGGTAAGCCAAAAAGGAAACTCCTTTGTTCTTTGCCCCCCGTCAAATTGCTGCAAAGCAAGAGAAAATGATGCGACTAAACCTGCTGGAATTCTTCTATTTCCCTCGAAACTCATAGACTCGAATGCGATTACCCGCGGCGGGAACTATTTTCAGTCAATGTCGATGGCGTCTTCGTCGTTCTCCGGGTCGGGTAATGCTCTAATGTGGTTTCGGAAGGGGCTTCGGATCCACGACAACCCAGCCCTAGAATGTGCTTCCAAGGGGGTTACAGGTGGGGGGTTTCTTTACCCGGTGTTCGTGATTGATCCACATTACATGGAGCCCGACCCGAGGGCTTCCTCACCTGGGTCGAGTCGAGCCGGTTTGAACCGAATCCGGTTCTTGTTGGAGAGCTTGAAAGATCTGGACTTGAGCTTGAGGAAGCTTGGTTCAAGGTTGCTGGTTATGAAGGGTGAACCTGGAGAGGTTTTGATCAACTGCTTGAAGCAAGTGAGACCTTAATCTCTCTCTCTCTCTTGCTTTCTTAGCTATAAGAAGAATTGGCTTGTTCTTTGAAACTTTTTTTATTGCTAAAACCTTGGAAGTCCCTAAACAATGGTATTAACTATTCATAGCCCTTCAAAAGGCAAACCATATTCTACTAGTTTTCTATTATTGTTGTCATTACTTACTCCAAAGAAGCACTTACCAGCAAATTTTGGTCTTAGTTCCATTTCTAAAACTCAGCTATGTGATTATAGTTCAAGTCCCTTAACAATGTTATTTTTATTGTGTGTTCTTCTTGCAGTGGAAAGTTGAAAAGCTTTGCTTTGAGTATGATACAGATCCTTATTACCAACAGTTAGATATCAGGGTTAAGGTTTGTACAGCTTATTGACTTTAGAACTCTTGTACTTGCCAGTTCTTACATTTTTATTTTTATTTGTGATATACCTTCAAAGAAGTCATCTTCAATGTTAGCTGAAAATGGTGGAAGCAGATCATAAATTCTCACACCACATCATGGTTATTACTCTGTGCTTTATTTAGGACTACGCTTCTGCAGCTAGAATTGAAGTCTTTTCTCCGGTGAGTCACACTCTATTCAATCCTGCTGATATCATACAAAAGGTGAGTTACATAACTTCACACCTTTGATGATTTAGTATCCACATGCATAAATCATGTGAAATATTAGTAATCTGGTTTGAACAGAATGGAGGAAGACCTCCTGTGAGCTACCAATCATTTCTGAAGCTCGCTGGAGAACCCTCATGGGCGTCTTCCCCACTCATGACAATATTTCCTTCACTTCCTTCTGTTGGAGATGTTGGAAGCTCTCAGATTGTGGAAGTCCCTACGTTGGAAGAGCTTGGTTATGTGGACATTGAAATGGTTTGTATCATTGTATGCTCTTAAGTAGATACTGAAATTATGTTCTGATGTCTCCTTCTTAACCTCACTTTGGCTCTGTTCTCTAAAATTTGTAGGGCAATGAACTTCCTCCTTTTAGGGGTGGTGAATCAGAAGGATTGAAGCGGCTGCGAGAAGCTATCAGCAATGAGGTAGGATCACATGAGTGATACCTTGTGTTGTGAACTCTAGTGGCTTGGAATAGTTACTTCTTAAACAATTATGGATAGTTGTTAGTTAGTAGTACGTCATACCCAATAGGCCTATTTACTGAATCTGATATAGAGACGGTTCTACTCTCTAAAACTCCCAAGTCTCTTCATTATTATAGGAGTTAGAACTTTGATTGTATATCTCGAAACTAATCACGTGGCACAGATATTTAATGTGTTCTAAGTTTTAACACTTGGTCTACTTGCTTTCCATCTCGTACCTCGTTCAAAATGGGTTTCTTCTTGCATTGCAGAAGTGGGTGGCGACTTTTGAAAAGCCTAAAGGTGATCCATCGGCATTTCTAAGGCCTGCAACTACAACACTTTCACCGTATCTCAAAGTGAGTTACAAGTAGAATGCCTCTATATGTCATTTCTATTCATTCTCGCTGGCATATTTAATATCTGGTTATCAGTTTGGATGTGTTTCTTCCAGGTACTTCTACCAATGCATTCAGGATGTTTATACAAGAAACAAAAAACACACATCACCACCAGTTTCTCTTCTGGGCCAGGTCAATTCAAAATTCTATGAGCTATGTGTGATTCTGGTCAGTGAAAATCTATTGAGTTATAATCTGTTATTTTAACAGTTGTTGTGGAGAGATTTCTTCTACACTGTGGCTTTTGGTACTCCAAACTTTGATCAGATGAGAGGAAACAAAATATGCAAGCAGGTAAGGTAATAATTGCCTGCGTGGATTTGCTCACATTAGTAAATTTTTCTTATGTATTTTTGTTATAATGTACATCTCATCGACTATATTAAGTTAGCTAAATACTTATCAAGATTGAAAGGATTAAATTAAGTAATTACCTATGTTGCCATGTAGATACCGTGGAATGATAATGATGAATTGTTAACAGCTTGGAGAGAAGCTAAAACAGGATATCCTTGGATTGATGCTATCATGACCCAAGTTAGTTCCTTTCCATTTTTGCTTCTTTCTTTTGATAGGTAGTTCTGTTATAGTGCTACTACGTACCCTTTTGTTTGTGTGTTTCTATTCCATTGGGCGTAGCATTGCAAGTAATTTCATCCAAGTTTGTTTCTTTCTTATAATTGCAGCTCCACAAGTGGGGTTGGATGCATCATCTAGCAAGGCATTGTGTTGCATGTTTCCTGACTCGTGGTGATCTGGTACAAGTTCTACTTCTAGCTCGTCATTCTTTCTTCTTGGTCTTTAGCTTTTACTGCAAACATTAAATTGTCTGGTTTTCTCCTGGTTTTAGTTTGTTCATTGGGAAAAAGGGCGTGATGTTTTTGAAAGGCTTCTGATTGATTCGGACTGGGCCATCAATAATGGGAATTGGATGTGGCTCTCTTGTTCGTCATTCTTTTACCAGGTAAGGAACTTCAGTTATACTATTAGTCAGTTGACTGTCAAGCGGGTGAACTTCTTCGTGTTCCTTTGGTTTGCAGTATAATCGGATCTACTCACCGATATCATTTGGGAAGAAATATGATCCAAACGGGAACTATATTAGACATTTTCTGCCTATATTGAAAGGTAAAGCTTTTAGCTGCATTGCCATTCATGTTTTTCTGCATGTTCTGTTTAGATGATTATTGTAATAACGGATGGCTGTTGCAAAAATATGGAACTAATACAGATATGCCAAAGGAGTACATCTACGAGCCATGGACTGCACCTCTCAGTGTCCAAGCTAAAGCCAAATGCATCATAGGAAAGGACTATCCAAAACCTAGTATGTTGTTTTGTGTAAAACCTTCATTTCCAAGTTATCCTAAGATTTATGTTCTTTCAGATTTTCTATTAAGGCAGTTGTTTTTGACGACTGATGTGAGTATTGTTTCTTTCAATGGCCCTGGTTCTGCAGTGGTGTCTCATGATTCAGCAAGCAAAGACTGTAAGCAGAAGTTGGCCGCAGCTTATGAGTTAAACAAGAAGTTAAATGGGATTGTTAGTGAAGAGGATCTGAAAGTCTTGCAAAGAAAACTGGATGCAACTTGTGATTCCGTTCTCAACCCAGTTCATTCCCACTCTTCTTCTGGTGCTAAAAGGCAGAGACGGTCATAGGTTTTATTAGTCATCTAGACGCCCAATGTGTACTATTATATATTTAAAGTAGCCAAAACAAACTACCATATTCATATATCTGTCCTGTATTATGATGATGGACTCTGCGATTTGACAGCATTCTGTTTCAGTTCTTTCCAGATATCTACATGTCAATGTGTAACACTACAGAACAATAGAATGAAAGAACGATGGCTTGATTATAATGGTCGAGCACTGAAATCTGTGGCTGCAACTTCTGTCCCTTAACTGCTTGGCTGGTCCTCTCACTCCACTGCACTGCATTCTGTTGTTGGCAGGCCTCGACATAATCAAGCAGCAGAACGTGGGTTTGCTGCAACTTATGCACTAGAAGTACACATCTTACAGTTTCAGACCTTTCAATCCCACCTGTTATTTAAGAAGTCTATTTTTTGAAAGAGGAGACTTTTATTCCAATCCGAGTCAAAAGAAGCCAACAGGTTACAGACGTGGCGATGGCAAATCAGCAACAACAACCCAATCCAAAAGTAACGAATTGACACCAGCGTTCCGAGCCACCCAATCAGCCAAACCATTAAATCGCCGCGGAATAAAATCCACCTTGATCCAAGGGGCTTCATGGAGGATTGAAATGGTACGTGCCAAAGTCACCTGACATTACAATGCCACGGTCAGAGATCCTGGGGGCTTCTTCAAAGCACTTGTCACAACCTGACAGTCTGACAAAACATACAAGCAATTTATTGTCAATCCACTGACTCGAAACTTTGCAGACAATGCCACCACCATTTCAAAAAACGTGCACCATCGAGTTACATGAACACTTTCCCTACAGCCACCTCAAACCAGAGCCGCAAATAAGTAAACCCAAATATCGAAATCGGGATCACGCACAAGATATACGCCGAAACCCCAAACCACGTCAACCCAGAAGCCCCTTCGAAATTCGAGATCATTAGCGACAACGACGCCGCGAACGTCAGCAAGATGCAGGCTATGGCGACGTAAAGCCAGAGCAGGCTCTGTATCAGCATCTTGGGCAGCGCCACCAGGAAATCCTCCTCCTGGCACCGCGACATCAGCATCTTCAGGAACATCAGCAGCGAGATCGACGACGCCACGAGGGCGACGGCGTTGGTGTAGACGAAGCTGCGGAATCGAGAGTGTCGGGAGAGGATCGGCAGGCCCAATTCGTCGGTACCGCCGGGGAACGTGAAGCAGCCGGCGAAAGCGACCGTCACTATAAGTGCGGCTATGGTGGCGCAGTTGGAAGAGATCTCTTTCATCCACGTGCCGCCCTCTTGGACCAGCTCCTTGTGCTGCTCGGTGAAGACTTCCCTCGGGGTCTTGCCGGCGTTGTTCTTCGCGTTGCGATGTCTTTTGTCCACGATCTTTTCTGCCGTCTGCAGAGAGAAAGATGGTCAAAAGTTGGAATTGGTTAATTTATTAATTAATTAATTGGTATATGTGTTCAGTCACCAAATCGTGTTGATAATTCTGTCTGAAGTTGTTATTAATTAGCTTATCTAGTGTTAAGCGAACAAGAATAAGATCATCAGCTGCTGCGATGCGATAGTAGGACAGTCAAACCAGTTACAATAACAGTTTCGTTCATTTGCCTGGACGGATAGGAATGAAATGAACAGTTTTTAACACGGTGTGACATGAATCAGAAGAACTATTCTGGTTTTGACTGGTCCATTGATTCATATTTTAACCACCAAATATTAAGATAAAAATAGTTTAACTTAAACTAAGATCATCCAACTTTAATTACTAGTTTTATATTTGTACTTTTTTTCTTCTTCGATTTCCAGACTCCTTGTTGTCTTTTTATTGTTCACTATGGATAGTCGCCACAATCACTAACCTGAACTTATTAAAAAAAAATTTGATCTCAATTATGAGATCATTTGAATGATTAGTTAGAGCTTTTGATGATAGATGGCATGAATTTGAAATTATTTATAATCAGTAATAAATGTAGTACTAAATTAGTGATATGAATTCGAATAATTATATCTTTTATGTTCATAGGGCGGACGACATGAACAATTCTAATGACAGCTAATCAACCATTCTGTAATTAACAATTAATCGCTGAACCATAAAACCACTTCATTTCCCGGTTCATCCTCTAGTTTCGTTACGAAAACAGAGGTGTTAAAGCCATGTAATTAAGGCACAAAAGATTACCGAATCTCATTGAGCTTACCTTGAACCACTTCAACTCGCGCTGAATGTGCATAGCCGGCCCGCAGACATTGTCGGCGGGTCTGATCTCCGCCGCTAAATGCAAGAAATTGTTGCCCTCTCCGTCCTCGAGAAACCTGCCGCACGGTGGGAACGAAACCTTCCGCGTCAGGAGCTCGAACACTTCCAGCTGCCGGTGGAGGACGGCCTGGTGGAACAAGCTGTGCCCGTTCCCGTCGAAATCGAGGACCGCCCTGGGGTAGTTCGTCAGGATCGCCTCCACGAACTCGACGATCCCCAGCCTGACCGCCGTCTGGGTCGAGGATTTCAGCACCTTCAGCACCTCCGGGCCGCCGAGATCTAGTGCCTGGTCGATCAAGAACGTGAGCAGCTCCACGGCGTGGGTGTGGTGCAGCTTCTGGTTGTAGAGCCGCTTCTGGAGGAAGTGGTGGCGGTAGGCCGTCACGTAATCTTTTGGCCGCGAATGCCAGTTGCTCGACTCCTCTTCATCCGCTCCTCTCTCGTATTTCCCGGCGCGTGGAGCGTGGATGACTGCAAAGAAAATGGTGCAGAATAAATTAAGCGTCAGTTTACTTTCGTAGAAAATAGATGTTGAAAACAGGTGAAAACAATAACCCAAACTAATTTAAAAGAAATAGTGACGACATATATATAGCGACGACTAACAGTGGTAGAAGATGGCGTCGGAGATGCCGAATTCGGTCCCACTGCGGAAGGCCTCTGGCTTGTGAGCTAAAGTCTCCATTGGTGTCTTCCACTTGTCGTTGTCTTCCCATGCCAGGGATGGGTAGCGCTTTAATATGTCCAAGGCAACATCTAAACACAAACCCATTTAATTTAATTAATCAAAGTAATTAAACTTTAGACAACAATTAACAAGAAGTTTATATGTTGAGCATTTGAACAGATTATCAGACAAAAATTAGACCCCTCCACCACGTCAAATATTGGTGACAAAGGATGTGGAAAGAGGTGGCGATTAGGAGATAATTATTAAAAAAAAAAAACAGGAGATATAATATATATTTTTTTCTGTTGGATTTATCATTAATTATAACTATAATGTATTTATTTGTTTTGTTATGATGGATGGAATATCTTTTTTCAAATGTGCCAATTAATATAATCAAGATCTGTTGTGGCCTGTGGGAGCATGCAAATGTTAAATAATTAGGAATAGGGAACCCATGTTTGGGATATATATATATATAACTTAAATTGCTAACATTCCAGTCCCCTAAACTTTGACACTAGTCACACTATATCAATAACTACGTACATTCATCCCAGTAAACTAAGTAGGTGAGATATATAGATCGAAGAACAAAATTTGTACGATTTACATACCCAATCTAGAGTCTACAACTAAATTTTTATTGATTGTAACACCTAATTTTCATATTCACACTATCAAATGAAGAAATTCACAATTTTCTACATGAGTACGGAGTTAATTATAGAAAGAATCACTTAAATTATGAACAATCATCATTCGTCACAGCATATTAGTGACTAATAAACTTTTAAGTTTTAGCAATACCTTCATTAAAACATAGAGTAACCAATGCGATCAAGTAAACATTTTAAACGGATATCAAGTAGAAATGAGCAGATTGATCAAAAATCAAATATTGGGTGACCAATTTGTTAGTGACCTAGAAATTGGATGACAGCCGATGTAACTAACCCACGACGAGACAGTTGTTCATTACAAAAAAAAAAAAAAAATACAAACAAATGTGAGACCGTTGACCAAAATGGCTAGAGAGGAAAGCAGGCAGCAAAATTTTAATGACAATTTGTTACCGTATAAATCGGCCGAAATGAGGAGATGGACGAGTTTGACCCCAGATTCACCGTCGAACAACCGGTTCGGATCCTCCATTGATCTTCCCGACTCGCTGTCCAGTACTCCTAAACTACTTGCCGCGGATCCCTTTGGCCGGCGGCTGATCTCCGACAGAAGCAAGCTGACAGTGTCTCGCCGCCCAAAAGCCGCCGCTACATGGAGCGGGGAGTCGTCGTCGCTATTTCTCTCCATTAGCAACGATCGGTTGCTATTTATCAGGATTTCGACGGCGGGCTTATTCCCCACCGACGCGGCGTTGTGGAGAGCCGTGTTCCCGTTCTCGTCTTTCTCGTTGACCAAGTCCTTGGAGATTCTGCTCACGAGCTCTTTGATCGAATCGGGGTTCCCGCCGGAGAGAACCTCGATCTGGAGGTGCGCCTTTTGTCGCCTTAAGTTCCTCGTCGTGTCGTGAACTCTGTTGGAATATCCCGTCGCTATAATCACTTCGTTGCCACCGTCCATTGGTTCTGCCGAAATGAAACATAGACCGGATTGACAGAACTCAGTACCTAGCATGCCGATACGAGAAATGATTGAAAAATTGGATCGTATCGACAATTCGACCAGAAAAGAACAGAAACAATTTATATACCTGATGATGAACTGAGAAGAGGCAAACTTTGTTCCTGGAGTAGTCCTGCTGTTCCGAAGCTCTGGGAGCCAGCCTGCTGCAGCGCCATTAGGATTCTTAAGAGGAGAGAGTAATGAAGCTCCCATCTCTTATCTTCAGTAAGTCAACCCATCCGATGGTGGGTCGTATTCACATTTATTTTACAATAATTTTTACTTGGTGAGGAAATTTATATAGGAAACTTTACCGAACATTCGATTGCTTAATTGGATTTTGAATGTGACTTGTGAACCTAGGACATAAAACAATATTAAGATTAAAAAAAAAGTGTACTCATACTTCATAGAGATGGGAAATGGAAGAAGACTAAGTATAATTGGTAGGTAGGTGGAGATGTGGAATTTGGAGCAAATTGTTTATGAAACATATATTTTTTTATTTTATTTTGGTATAGATAGGTTGGTAATTGATATTACAAGACTTGAAAAACTAGACTCGCTAGTCGATACTAATCGACCTGTCGATGAAAAAGTACTTCAGGGACTAGGAAAATAAATAGTTCAGAGACCAACGATAAACTAATATTATAGTTCACCCGAGTAAAAAATACAATTAAGTCTTAATAATAGTTAAACATATGCAAGTAATTAAAGACATGCGCACACTAACAACAATTAAACCGATGGGTTTGATATAAATTTAATGATAAAATAAATTTGGAGATCGAGAGATGCATAAATCCGTAAATAAATATGATTAGGAAGAATAAGAAAGCAGGTGGTGCGCCTGGAGAATCTCGGCAAGCGTTTGGTGCAAAGCACTGCCAGAGCACTTGTACACACTGCACCACGCCTGAATGAAGAGCACGATGATGAGGGCCAGCCCCGTGAAAATAACCAATGCCTGGATGGTGACCTTGGCGTACTTCTTGGAGAGCCTCTTCACCAATGTCTTCCACTTGTTGCTGTAGAACTCCCGGACCCGCCCCACGGTTTGGTCCAGTATGGTCGGGTCCTTGGGATAGTTGGTCCCCGTCCCCATCGCGGTGAACATTTCCAGCACCGCGGTGGGGTCCCCGGCCCCGACGGAGACCACTCCCTCCTCCATCAGGAGCTGCACGTCCTCCACCGAGCGGACGAGGCCGTGCATGAGCTCCATGTAGCGCTTCAGGAGGAGGGAGCTGGACTTCGCGTGGGCTTCGTAGGCCAGGAGGTTGCGCATTACCACCTCCGTGTTGGGGCTCCAGGTGAAGGCCGGGAGCTCCAGCGTCTTGGCGTGGTGGTCGAAGCGGATGTTGTTCAGGCCGATGTCGCGTGCCCGCAGGACCTTCACGCCCACTCTTTTCAGCTTGTAGACGGAAGGGACGAGGCGCTTGTCTTCTTTCAGGACCTGGTCGAGCATGGTGAAGACGCGGAACACTCCCGTTATCGGCAGTTTGTCTGTATGTTCCGTCAACAAGAAGAGAAACAATAACAACAACAACAGATTAAGATTCCATCTAGATTAGCTAGATCTCATGAATATCAGGGGCGGAGCTGCACTTAAGCTAGGGTGGGCCCCCTAGGATCATAAGAATATTTAATACGAATTTTATAAGTAGAACTTGTTCCGTAAATTTTGTTGTGTAATAGTCATGTAGTCTATTGGCACACAAACTTGACTTGGATGAAAACCGTAATATTAGGGCTCGTTTGCTTGTTGGATTTGAAAATGAGGGTTTTGAGTTTTCAAAACCTTTGGTTTTATGATGGATTTGTTGCATTATGGATTTGGAAGAGTACATTGTTTGTGTAGTTTATTTTTGTCGTAGATTCATGATGGATTTGTTCACATTTTGCCTTCCATTATCAAATCCCAAATGAAATGTGGGATTTTTAAATCCGTGGGGTCCACGGATTTGGATCTAAAAAATGGGTCCAAATCCGTGGGCTCCACGGATTTGTGTCCCTTAGCAAACAATGGACTTGTGCCAATTCCATTATGCTTGTGATTTGGGTACCAAATCCATCACCTAAATCCCACAAGCAAACGATACATTAGTAGTACATATTTTTAATTTGATGGACGTACCATTTTGTTGAGCAAAGGATTGCAGCTGGTTTGTGACGGTTTCGTCAATTTTGATGGACGACTCCATTTTACTGAAGAGGCTCTTAGCACGGTTGACCCGGTTGTGTTCGGCGTTATTTCCGTGGCCAGCTGGGGCGGGAAGCGAGGTGGTTTTCTGTAGCAGCGCTGCCATCCGTTGGGTATCGTCATCAACATCACCGACGTCCCCAGCGCGATCAGTCGTAACAGTACCCTCTCCATCGTCGCCTTTCAGCGCCGCCGCCGCCGTGGGATCCGAGGAGGCTCGGACAAGCGGCAGCAGCGGAGGCGGAGGGTCGGCCGGTAGCTTGAGATGAAGACCAACGGCGACCCGCTGCAGAATTCCGAGCGAGGTGGGAGCTCGAAGCAGGTCGACCAAGCCAGCCGAATGTGTAGTATTGTTGTTGTTGTTCCGGCAGGTCATTAGGAGGTACAGCCGATCCAGCAGGTGCCGGCGCCTCACGTACGGCGGGAACTGCGTGGGGAGATCGAGAGGGGACAGGAAGCGGCACACCGAGTCCAGCTTGGAGCAGATCTGCTCCGAGATGGCGGCGGAGGAGGCGCCTCCTCCCCGCCGGAGGGCTTCCCCCAGGAGGAAAAGAGGGACCTGGTTCTCCAGGAGGACCAGGTCCCTGAGGACGGCATGCGGGGAGAGCTTCCTCTTGGAAAAGCAAGGGGCGACGGAAGAGAGTATCACGAGCTCCTCGTTGTGGAGGAACTCGATGAGGAACAAGCCGTCGATGGCGACGACCCTGGCGAGGGTGTCGTCCTGGAGGTCCAGGTGGAGGCCGTAGCAGGCCTGGATGGAAGGGAGGAGAGGGGAGAGGAGGTCGGCCAGGTCCCGTAAACTGGACAGGCCGAACCTGGCGAGGCCCCTCTTGGCTATGGCCAGCTTGATGGGCTCCATCTGGTAGAGGTCGGAGCGGAAGTGGTGGAACGGTCCCAGGCCGATGAGCTGGGGAGTGTAGCTGCAGTAGCATTCGTCGGCGCCCGGTGGTCGTTGTTGGGCTTGCTTCAGAGAGCCCGGGATTCGGACCACGCAGAGGAGGCTTTGGGTCACCTTCTCCAGGTCCAGCTTCAAGTTCTCCTCCGTCTGCAACATCCACTTCGCTTCCGTGAATTGCGAGTTGAGGATTGTCGAAGGTGGGGAGGCGGCCGCCATCGAATTAAGATTAAGATGGTTGCTTGGGCGCCGTGGGATGGACTTTTGGCAAGCTCTACTGCCTGCCTTGAGAAATCGTGTTTCGGCTCTTTACAGTTAAGTAGGAAGTCGTGCCGCAGCGGTTTCTTAATCTTGATTCGAGGGTGCATGCCAAATTGCCAATGCATGTGTTGTCTCTGTGTACGATTTTCCTTTCTTTGTTATGTATGGACAAAATAAAACCAAATTGACATTTGACAGAGGTATCCACCCAAGATTTTCAAGTGGGCTCCTTTTTTTAGCTAGCTAGTGGCAACCGCAAATTATTATTATATATTACCGATGTAGTGAATTGATTAAGCTACGTACAAGATAGTTGACATTTTTGTATATTACTATATCAAAATTAAGCATGTGGTAACGAACAAGGGTTTTGTCTAGTGGTAATACCACTAGCTTTGAATCTGGATGTTTCAGGTTCGATCCCTTCAGTAGTACCTAATCACAGAAAATAAATATCTAAAAAAAGGAATTAAGCAAGTGGTAATGAGGTATTCACTACGATACTACTGGATCACTAAGCTACATCGCTGCCATGAGGCATACGTATTCAACGGTGTAGCTACGTTGTGGTGAGATTTTCAAATTATAGTGAATAAAAATAACCGTTCATGCCGCGTTCTTGCCTGAATACAATGGTAAGATTAGTGATGACAATTTTCTAACTTAATCAGCGACCTAAATTTTTTCCTGATTTGTTAGGGTAGGTATTATCCGATTTGTAATAGCGTGGGGTAAGGTACGAGTATTTTTGCCGACTTGTTCTATGTTGTCTCGTCCCGTTCTCGATTCGTTCTATTATAATAATTTGCATCAATATCTACCTGTATTTCTCTTGCCCTTCCTAAAATCATATTTCCATCACAAAAGAAATTTTGAGACTATATCTTTCAACTATTTAGACTTAATTATTCATTATGTTATATTTATCATTCATTTATGAACTGTTTTCTCTTTGTCTTCTTGTAAAAAAAATTAAATATCGATATTTTTTTCCGAATAACATATAAAAATGAGCCAAAAATAACATCCCAAACTCAACTTGAGTTTAACATTATACATCCTTAAAAAACAGAAGATATGTTCTAGGTATGCCTAAACTTTCATTACAATAGAAATTGAAGTTCAGAGTAATTCTTATACTTACATGTTATATGAATGTGAAAACGGTACTATATTCCAATTTCCATCATAAAATTCGTTGTCATTATAAAAAAAAGGGGGATAGTATTCGAAGTGTATGGATGATAATGTGAACTGCCGGTAGCTAATATTAAGTTTAAGTTACATAAACAATGACTTAATTCATTAATTTCATGCAGAATTTTAATTTTTATTATACTTAGTACTAGTCGACAAACTCTTCTCTCTTATAATTATAAAAAGAAAAAGACAATTTCTTCTCTAGACATGTGCTAGCTTGCCTGCATGCATGTTTCTTGATCCAACTCATTTTTTTGTTATAATTATAGTGGTTTCACACCGACTATAATTATTAGGTAAGTACTTGCAATTGTGGTTTATAACAAAAAAAAAAAAAAACATGTGGTCTTGTCTAGTAATTATTAAGGATCTTAGGTTGACTTCTTATTAATTAAGACCAGAGCAAATTACGGATCCTAGGTTGACTAGGCCAGGTTTGTATCAGATGACTAATTAGCTCATCTCAACCCTCCAATTTTCTCTTTTAAACAATAGGGTTTAATATTCATAAAGACCCTATTGAATTTAGATCTTGTATATGTTCATTTTGTAGTTTTACATAGATCATCCTCTTTGGATGTAGCAGCATATGAATTCATACCATATACAAGTGTGACTACTTACTAGCTAATATTGTTTGTGAAATCATGTCAAGGGTTATATCGAGTTAATTAGCAGTAGGGGTGGACAAACGATGCAGTTGCATCGTACCGTATCACAATCATGCATACCGCATCGCACCGCATGTTTATCGGATTGTTACACATGCATGATTGTAAACTAACTAGTACGGAAGCCCGCGCTTCGCAGCGGGGTTATTGATTTGTTGTTGTAAAGTGAACCTTTTTTAAAGTCAATTATAAATTGAAACTAAATACTGAAATAATCTGTTCCTTAGTATCCAGTAATCAAAATTAAGGTAGAATGAAAAAAAAACTTAAGAATAGAATGTTGAGTCATAGTTCGATTATTGTAGACCAAGAAATAAAAATCACCCCCTCGTGTATTTTGTTGTTGGAGTTTTTCCTCTCGTTTGTTCTTCCTTTTGGTTCAGTAGTCTTGCTGAGAAAGGAGGAGATGGGCATATGGGAGGGAGGAGAGAGAGAGAGAGAGAGAGAGAGTGATGAGTGGTGGAAACTGGAAAGAGACCTAAAATTCATTCATGCCCCCAAAAGTGTTAAGGGTAAAATCGTCATTGACCCAAAATGCGTCAACACTGGATTAACTTGATAAAGCGATATTTTGGGTTCAATTGTCATAATAGGCGGGTTCAATTTGGGTTCAATCCCAAAGCGACCCAAAATTTGGTAACACACATGAATTAACTTGAACACACATGAATTTCTCTCACCGATTTGATAAAGCGGGTCTAGTTTCTAACATAATGCACACGCGACCCAATTTGTCGATCACAAAAGAGGGTAAAATGCGTTCTCTCCCCCAAAATGTGAGAACACTAAATTTATAAAAGAGGGGTGTGTTCTTAACAAAATGCACACCAGACCCTGTTCGTTATTCATAAAAGCGGGTAAAATTTATTCTTGACCCAAATTTCGGATACATCAACACCGGCTCGAATTAGCTTGAACACACATTAGTTTGGGTTCCATTATCATAAGAAGAAATATTTAAAAGGTAGGTAAAATTTGTTCCCGACCCAAAATTTGACAACACCAAAACCGGATCGAATTAGGTTGAATACACATGAATTTGAGTTCAACTATCAGGAAACAATTAAAACATTTGATTAATTAAAGAAAAGTAAACAATAAAATAATCCTAGGTAATGTGACTCTACCAAATAGTAACCCAAGACTTGTTTTTTAAAATAGTTAAAGGTTGCAACTGAAAGATCTAACCCCCTAAAGTCTCCAAAATCATTTGCATGCCCGACACAACAAAAAAAAGGTAAAAAATCATTTGCAAGGTGGAGACAAAAAAAAGTAGTAAAACGACCGTAACCGTGATCGATAAGCGAAAGAAAGACAAAAAAACTTGCTCGGCCCAAAAATCGTTAATGCCAAGTTCAACTCTCTCTATTAATTTAAGCTTGCAAAACTTGCTTACCCGGTTTCAACCCATTGATTGAAGAGTGCAAAACTTGTTGTCCAAAATTTGTAAAAACCGAGTTCAACTCGCTTTAACCATTCCGAATTAGGTCGAATATCATTGATTTGAGTTCAATTAGGATTCAATTATCATAAGTTAATTGATTAAAACCTTAATAGTATAAAATTAATTGATTAAAACCTTAATGGCAACCCAAAATTCTTAAAATCGGAGTGAAACTCTCTTCTCCGTGGTTAGAAACAAATTCATTACCGGGTTCAATTCGAAAATTCGTAAATTCGTAAATTGACTTCTACTCGGTTTAACTTAAAGGCACAAAAGCGTGTAAAACTCGTCGGCAACCCAAAATCCGTAAATCGGCGTAAACTCGCTTTAACTGGGTTCAACTAAGTTAATTAATTAGAGCCTAAAAATGCTCTGTGGTTAGAAACAAATTTGTCACCAGATTCAATTCAAAATTTCGTAAACCGACTTCAACTCGGTTTAACTTAAGGGCACAAAAGCGTGAAAAACTCGCCGAAAACCCAAAATTCGTAAAATCGGCATAACTCTCTTTAACAGGGTTCAATTAAGTTAATTAATTAGAACCTGCCCCCGTGGTTAGAAACAAATATGTCACCAGGTTAAATTCGAAAATGCGTAAATCGGCTTCTACTCGGTTTAACTTAAGGCACAAAAGCATGTAAAACTCGCCGGCAACCCAAAATTCATAAAACCAGTGTTAACTCTCTTTAACCGGGTTCAATTAAGTTAATTAATTAGAATTACAAAACTCCTCCGTGGTAGAAACAAATTTGTCACCGGGTTCTATTCAATAATTCGTAAATCGACTTCAACTCAGTTTAACTTAATGTCACAAAAACTCCTCCAAGCCAAAATTCATCAACACCGGGTTTAATTAAACTAATAATTAGAATATACAAAAACTCCTCCGTGGTTAGAAACAAATTTGTCACCGGTTCAATTCGAAAATTTGTAAACCGGCTTCAACTTGGTTTAACTTAATGTCACAAAAACTCCTCCAAGCCAAAATTCATCAACATAGGGTTCAACTTGTCTTAACCGGGTCAAAGTAGGTTGAATACCCATTGATTTGGGTTCAATTTGGATTCAATTATCATAAAAGAATTAATTAGAACCTTAATGCACAAAAGCCCCCACAAATTTTGGTTAATTAAAAAAAGAACCCTTGTGATGGGACACGATGCAATAGTAACTTGTTCTTTTAAAGATATATAATAATAATATAATTGGTGCGGTCAAACCAAACCGCTTAAAATTGATTAGTTGTATTAATTGATTGATAGGATGGATTGCGGTTTAACCGCAAACCGCTATCAACGGTCAGACGGTGTCTTTCAGTTTCAAGAAACCTTCTTGGTCTTGACCTAGTACTTTTTTGTTGCTTTGCAACCAAACTTCTTATGAGTTATCCTCACTTATGATCGTGCTTCTGAACTTATTTAGTAGCATGTAGTGAGTTAATGATTGCATGTGATAGTCAAACTAGCCAGATCTGGAGTCTCTTCAAGAGTTGAGATCTTATATAGCTTCAACAAATTTTGGAATTGTGATGAAAACTCTTTTCTACCACATTAATTAGTCTCTCTAACTCTTCACCAAGCAATCTGCATTCATTAACTATCTTCATATACTCTATGAACTTAATTAATCCTTAGCACGGACTCGATTTTAATTTCTGAATCCTCTTAGCAGTGTGGCCAAGTTATTATTCGAAAGACGAACTCATCTGCCACAACAACGTACATGCATAAAGAGAGTGATTGTGAGTCTTAATTAGCCACTTCTTCAACATGATGCTTCTGCTAATTCAGCGTTGCATTTTGGGAAGCGGATTTATTGTTCTTTGTATCATAACCTAGTTTAAGTCATGCATACTCCCACATAATTAAGCTCTTCGTCTTAACAACCCATATTAGGTAGAGACCAAGTATAAATTAAACAGTAGCAAGCGCAAAGATAAACTTCATTAAAATGCAAGCAAGCAGGCAATGAAACAGTAGCTAGACTGAAGCCAAAAAATACGTCTTTTGGGAGTTGGGACTAGGCCTCCCTAGAAGGTAATTTTAATGTGGCCGATTTCCCCTCTTTTGCAATAAGTTTCGCTACAGCACCTGCAGTTCTAGCTAATTGTCCACCCTTTCCAAGTGTGATTTCTATGTTATGTATGGCCGTGCCTAAGGGCATATCGGTTGAAGTAGATTCTTCTTTTTGATCAATCAAAACCTCTTCCCAAACTGTACAAGCTTCTTCCAAAGCATACGGCTTTCCGGGTGTAGATGATATCTATACAGAAGGAGCCTATATATCGTAAAATGAATTTGCCCTTTTATCCTAGGCCCAAATTAGTCATGTGCATGCACAGAATATGTGAAGGACGGAACGGAACGAGCACTTCTACTATGCTATATAGTATTGGTGTTTTAATGTACAACTTAAAGTTGTACCATAACATTAAATGTATAAGTTTAGGTTGTACCATAAAACAATTTGTACCATTATGTTATGGTACAACTTTACAACTTGAAGTTGTACCATCACATAAAGGTACAAGTTCAAATTATACCATAGAAGAATTTGTACACAAAGTATAGGTACAATCTGAAGTTGTACCATAACATAAATGTACAATTTTAAATTGTAAGCACCAATACTATATAGCATTGTAAAATTTGTCGATACAAAGTTCAAGCAACATTCGGCTGCGGCGGCAAAATCTGAAACCTACAGACAGGACAAGTCTCGGTGCCGACCTTCAACCAGTGACGGATGCAGTCTCCATGGAAAACATGGCCGCACGGCGTCCTCTTGGGCCTGGCTTCTTCTTCGTGGGCCTCCCCGCCAGGCCCGCAACAGATCTCGTCCAAACAAACGCAGCACTCCAGGCCTTCTTCCCAAGCGGCCCCAACCTCCGTCAACGACTTGTCAATCGCCGCTTCTCGAGCCCTCGTCAGCCTCAGTTGTAGATCCCGCAGCTCGTCCTCCGTCACCATCACAATATTCATCAACTCTCCCCCGTCAAAGTGGATTTCCAACCTCGACATCTCTTCTTCTTCTTCTTCTTCTTCTTCTTCTTCTTCTTCCATGCCATCCCATTCGCCGTCGCTATCGGGGAACGCTGTGACACCGTCGTTGTCGGGAGGTTCCAGAATGACCGGCGTCAGGTGGCGGCGTAAGTGCTCGTCGTACAATGACGTAAGCATACCTCGGCGCTCGAAGTCCTGGGTTTCTTCGGAACCCCCAAGCAACCTCAGAAATTCCGCAACGGTAGACATATCGACAGAACTTGATTTCCATCCGACTTTCCTAATTACCGGTTTTACTTATAGCAGCGATACATCAACGTTTACCAAGGAATTTGTATAAAAAAGCGGAAATCCCTGACCGATTAGGAGACGGAAACAGAGTCCCCTGTTTTATATATAAATAAATAGAAACGAAATTGGCAGCTTGATACAAGGGGGGAAAGTAAACAGACGCAGACATAGCTCAGAAATTTTTGTCCTTGGTAAAACTCCAGATCCGCCGCCCCCCCCCCCCCCCCCCCCCCCCCTGCCGGTGATATGTCGTTTTCCTTCTTCTTCCCGCCGTTCTTCTCGCTCGGTCCGGACGATGACGAATCTGCCTCCTCCGAGGAAGTCTGCGGCGAATGGGCATCCGATGATGAAGGGAATCTGTCAGAAGATAAGTTTTCCGAGGTGTTGGACGACCACCTGAAAGGCGTGAGTGTGGCGGAGCTGGGTTCCGACGTCGTGGATTGCTCGATTTGTCTGAACAGTATTCACGACGAGACGGCTCCGGGTGCTGGTGGCTGGAAATCCAGGTTACTTGCCCTCTCTGCCTGTCTCGGCTTCCGGTTGGCTTAAGGGCTACGTCGTGCTTGTGCTTCCCGGATGGAAGCACCGGCGATGATCTTCTTTCACTGAGGACGCCGACGGTTCTGACAATCGGACGGGTCACGGGCGTGTTAAAGAGGATGTTATCTTTGTAATTGATTATTTATTAAAAAAATTTATTTGGCTTCTTGGACGGACGGGAATGATTCTTTTGATTGGATATTTTTAGGGTTTAGAAGGTGCGGCATCATGTAATCAAAGGGGTTTTCAGTTTAGTAATGGTACTTTTACAGTTCATCACTACTGAAAGAGGGTGATATTGTTGAAGCCTTGAAGGATTGATCTTTTATTTTGTTGCTCTCATATTAAGCTATTATTACTAAATTATTGTTTAGATTTGATTATCTTGTATTAGTAGGATATTTTCCGTCCCATATTTTGCAAACCTCGCTAATGGTAATTTTGCCTTTTGGGAACCACTCTCTTGACTCTTGAGACTCTTGAGTGGAATTTTACATTGGTGTCATAGGATTTTACTTTTATGTACAACTTGAAGTTGTACTTTTTAATGTTATATATTAGAATGGAAGTCCGCGCTTCGCAGAAGGGTTTTGATTGTTTATAACAAAGTGTTCTTTAGTTCTAAGTACATGTTTCGGACTTGTAAACTATTTCAGTGATAAGAAATGCTATCATTGAGCGACCGATAATGTACTATTGTGATACGATCAAATTGTAACATAAACGATTCCGTAGGTAATAAGGCATTTTGAAACATAACTTTTTTATAATTAAGTTTATCTGTACAACATATTTTGATCGACGTCGCAGTACACCTTTTTTTATGTTAGCAATTCAAACTTATGTTCATTCTTACAAACCAAGGACGGTCGTTGATCATAGGTCAAACTATTTAGGAAATGACCAAAAATGGACCAAAACTTAGTTCACATCGGCCCAACTCATCAATTAGAAAAGCATAAAAAACTCGTCATCGACCCAAAATTTGCCAACGTTAGGTCAAATTAGATAAAATACCCATTGATTCGAGTTCAAATTGGGCAATTGACACAAAAAGAATTAGTTAAAATGGTTGACCAAAAGGCCTTAGATTAATCAGAAACAATTTTAAAATCATAGTTGATGGGACACTAAGAAACAGTGCTCCATCTTACCGGGCGACATTAGGTCAAATACCCAATGATTTAAGTGTGCAAAACGCATCGTTAACAGTCAATACAGTTGACCAAAAGACTTAGATTAATCAGTAACAAATTTACATACTTTTAAAATCATAGTTGACGTGACACAAAAAAATAGTGCCTCATCTTATCAGGTCGACATTAGGTCAAATATCCAATGATGATTTAAGTGCAAAACTCGTGTTGAGTAAAAAATCGCAGAGAACGGGTTCAACTCGCTGAAACCGAACCGAAGAAGGTTGAATACTCTTTGATTTGGGTTCAATTTGGATTCAATTGTCATAAGTTAACTAATTAGAATCTCTATGGCACAAAAACTCTTCCAAGCTTCAATAAAACTCTTTTGTTGACAAAATTTTGTCAACACCGGGTTCAACTTGCTTAACCCGGGTCGAAGTAGATCAAACACTCATTAATTTGGGTTCAATTTGGAATTAATTGTCATAAATTAATTAATTAAAATCTTGAAGACACAAAAATTCCTCCAAGCTTCAATGATTCAACCGCTAAACTCGTTGTTGAGGCAAAATTCGTCAACAACGGGTTCAACTCGATTTAACCGGGTCGAAGAAGGTTGAATACCTATTGATTTGGGTTCAATTGTCAAAAGTTAATTAATTAGAACCTTGGCGCAAAAACTCCTCAACGTTTCAATGATTTAAGCTTGCAAAACTCGTTGTTGAGCCAAAATTAGACTAACAAGGTTCTATGTCTGGTAAAACATACTTGGCAACAGGAAGCTTTGTGGTCCATTTCAAGCTGAGAATGGAACCTGAGCATAAAGCTTATCATATCCAAGCAAGCCTCAGGCCACTCTGGTAATCTCTTTCAGGTTGAACGTCTGAATCAAGTGTTTGTCATTTGAGTTTTGCCTATTTGAACTTGTTTGGTGCTATATGTTTTCTCTTGATCAACCGCGTGCTCTTCCCACTTTTGGATTCTAAAGTACTATTTTACAATTGAAATTTAAATCACAACATGAATCTATTGTTACAGGAATGAATCCTTCTATCCAAAAATTCCACGAATTGAGCTGAACAAGATGATATAAATGGTGAATACTGTGACTAATTTTGTTCTATCATCAGTTAGCCCAAAATGAATGATATGATGAGCCTGTTAACTTCATCAGGAGCGTCCATATTCACTGCATGCCCTGCTTCTTTGACTATTGCCACTCTCGCTTTTGATCCCAAATGCCTGCCGAAATAATTTACCCTGTCAGCTTCAAAACCTTTTGAAAGGTTAAATTGTAAGTCTTAGCTGTTACAGCCGAATAGCCTAAGAATGAGAAGATGTTATTTCTTTACCTCTGCAGCTGGTAAGCCAGATTCATTGGAAACACATAATCCTTGTTGCCCCATATCAGAAGCGTCTCCTGAAACCAGAAACATTAGTTCGCGATTCAGGATAAGACCGAAAATTTTCAATTTCGGGTGTGATAATGGATGTTGTCATTCTCGTATTAGTATTAGGCCGTCCACTTCAGGTCAGTTTCGCTTCAGTTAGAAACTTCCAGAAAGGAATTTGTTCAGAATATACATACACTTAATATAACCTCGGACCAAACCTCGAGCGGATGGTAGCCCCTCCTAAACTACACGTCGATTTGGTGAAACAAACCTGAGTCAGGACAGGAAGGGTTCTTCCTGCAGCAGAGCTCTTGGCCAACAAGTGATCCACCAGCTCCATCTTCTCCTTCTTGTGACCTATCTCCTGGAATGGGGCAAAATAACATACACAAGGAAATCAATCAGCCTCAGAACTGTAATGGGTAATCAAAAGTTCAAAACCTGATACACATAGTTACCAATTACTTCACAGAATCAGAGAACTGACAAAAAAATTGAGAAAAACCCTCTCACATTGACATAATCCTGAAGGAAAGAATCAGGAACCAGCTTCATGTAAGCGCTCCTGTAAACAGACTTTAACATGAGCTGCCTCAGATCATCCGTAGTCCGAGGGACGAGCAACAGTTTCGGATCCCTGCCGAGCTTCGCCACCAATTCGTCCTTCTGGTCGTCGTTGCACCCGACTCCAGTGCTCATGAGCACAACCTTGTCCACTCTGTCAGGAATCATGTCAGCTAAGTGATACCCAACATACCCTCCGTAGCTGATCCCGTAGATCGAGAACCTGTCGACTCCGAGCCTCCTCAGCCCTTCCGCCAGGCACTCTGCTTGGAAGACTTCCGACCTTTCCTTTCTGGCTGTGTAGGACTTGCCGAAGAAGAGCAGATCCGGGATGTAGAGGTCGAATCGCCGCGACAGGTGACCGACCTGAAGGGGGTTTTCACAATCACACACATTAGGTGATCATTGCTGTCACAACCGGACAATATCGTACTAATTGAGAGCAGCCTCGATTTCAACAATTGCTAAATTGATTTGGTTTTCAACCTGATACATGAACTGCCAGCGGGAGTCCCCGCACTTGCCGTGGATCATGACCAGGCTAGGCCGGCCATTGCGACCGGCGGTAGCCCAGAAATGAAGGGTGGTCGCGTCGTCTACGTCGATTGAGACAGGGGAGAGGCCGCAGAGGCGGAAGTAGAGCGAAATGCAGGCGTCGGAGAGGGCGAATGCGGATGGGATTTGCTTGAAACGGCGGAAGCTTGTGAGGAAGAAGCGGATGATGGATAGGATGGACGAGATGTAGAATGTGAAAGAGCGGAGGAGGAGGTCGAGCTTTGGATCCATTGATTTTTTTTGCTCTCTGGATTTTGGATGTGTGGGAAGTCTCGTTTTTTTGTTTTTGTTTTTGGGTATGTAATATAATGGGTGTGATTGGAAGAGTGTCCAGAGAAGAGAACAAATGAAGTGAAAGTTGATCAAAATTGTGTGTGTGAGGAAAATTTATGGGTGTTGGATGGAATGAATGATCCGTAGGGTTGTCGCTGTCTTTCCTTAGCTGGGTTTGTTGGAGTGGAGGCGGGACAAGAGAGATGATGATGTCTTCGAGCGCCCGACACCACTTGTAACTTGTAAGGCGTATTTCCAAGCCTTAAAAGGATGGTTTGGATAAATGAGATTTGAAGTTGTTATGAGACAATCCAAGTATTACATCGGTAATTTCCTTGTATTAATAAGTTTGGTGGAGACTAATATACAAGGGTTCCTTCTTTTGTATTCCCGATGTGGTACTTGAATTGTCCCACGACAGAAGTATGAATTAAGAGAATTCAGAGATTTTAACAAACAAAAAAACATGTTTTTTTATAACTATTTTGTCTATCATACATCAGAGTTGTAAATGTAATGATTATACTTTGATTTATTAGATATTTTTTTAATCTCCAGAGTTGTAAATGTAATGATTTTGTTCCACCAAATAGCATTACCAGTACCAATAAATGTTTTCTTTTTGTATCAATTGTTATACTTTTCAACTTAATTGGTGAAGGATAAACTCATAAACATATCGTTTGACGCAAAATTAGAATCACTACTTTCGTTAAATATTTACACGCCAAACAAGCCAAGCAGAATCAAATCTCAAACTGGACTCGTTTTCTAACGAACAAAGTCCTGAATGAGCTCTTCCCAATCCGAGTATCGTGCTAACAACTAGATTCATTTGCGGTCCTAGCGACAACGGCTGTCGAACAGGTCTTGAGTCAGCCTGGATAAGGACGCCGTGGTCCCTTGGTCCAGAAGAGAAGAGAAGAGAGAAAATGTGTATGGCTAACCATCCCTCCTAATGTCTGTACACTCCATCTCTCCATGACTTGTCCCTTACCTTTTTGGCTCTCTCTAACCCATGCTGTGTTTGTTAACTTGATTGCCCAAGATGTCAATCAATTTTTCACTCTTATTCTTACATAATATTAATATACAGTTGGAATGGAAGTAATTATTTCATCTGTGTTGATTTGTCATACACATCCAACTGGGCACACAAGTAACTAAGGTACTTACATCCAGCTTCTTGGAAAGTAATTAACTTAATTAGGTCTTAATAACTATAATTATCATCGTAAGTATAGCTAATTCACCACTTATCAATTACGATTTGGCCGATGAAACAAACCATGTTATCAATCTGTTCACTTCCTCCGGGGAATCTATGTTCGCGCCATGCCCAGTGTCCTTCAGTACTTCCACTCTTGCTGTTGCTCCCAAATAGCTGCAAATAAAATAAAAAAACGCAACATTTTAATACAAATTAATTAATACTCGTTTGTTAACTTTTACGTAGTACAGGGAGCAAAATGGAAATGAGAGATAAATACAGGTACCTTTGAAGTTGGTAGGCCAAATGCAATGGGAAAACATTATCCTTCTCACCCCATAACAGCAAAGTTTCCTTTTTACCCCATAGAGAATTCAAAAGAATATGTTAGTTAATCGATTAGTGGGGTAAGCAACAGAAATTAAAAAGAAAAATCGTGCAAAATTAATTAACAATTGGGGGGAAACCTTTAATTTTATTTAATTACCTGAGTTATACGGGCTGGTTTTGCATTTGCTTTCTTCATCAAGTGATCCACCAACTCTAGTTTCTCCTTCTTGTGATTGTTACTTATTCCCTTCAAATCAGTTGCCACGTCATGTAAAATATTACCTCTTTTATTTACGATGAAAAAAGATAAGTGAAATTCAAATTTTCAGCTGCGTTTATCTTCTTGTCCTAAAAAAACTAGATGATCAATTAACCTCATTAAGAAAGACCTTTTCTCTACGTAATTTTCACATGCATGCAACTAATTAAGGTCCACAAAGAATGAAAGGGTGTACTTACGTAAGTGAGTTTGCTATTAATAAGAATTATAAACTTGAACATGCAATAGATGTGAACAATTTAAGTAATGAGAACTTAATCATGCAAAAAAAAAAAGAATAATAACTAATAAGTTTCCATGTCACCTTCAATTTCATGATTAAAAGAATATAATGGAGAATTGATTTTTTTCTAGGTTATTAAAATATTTGATTCCGCACTAATCACTCGGCATAAAGAGTGGTTGGTGAGATTTCGCGTAATTACACTAAACGATGAGATTCATAAGATTGATATCAGGAAAGATGTCTTTCCTCCACTGACAAAACGTGTGGAAAAAAAAAACATGTTCTGCGAGTAAATATAAGTTTGTCTACGTAATGAATTGATGAGAGGCGGTCGTGAAAATATGAACTACGACATGCTTAAATATTGTGTCATAATTTTTCTTTCTTTCTTCCAGAAGTTTTTATCAATGTTGTACAAACCGCGTACTTTACCGCTCAGTCGGACCCCAGCTACACGAAGCAATTGAATCATGTTTAAACCACGATTTCGATAATAAAAACAAACAAACAAACAAAGGATAATTAATTAGTTAGTGATTAGCTTTTTACCTTGATGAAGCCTTGGAGCACAAAATCGGGCGCCAAGTTGTACCGACGTGACTTGTACAAAGCAAGCTTGATCATCTTCCTCACATCCCCAGGCTTCTTCGGCAGCAGCAGATCCCGAATCCCTTCCCCACCAATCCTCCTCATCTGCTCCTCCTTCTGCTCGTCCGTATAATGAATCCCCGAGCTAATGATCACCACCTTCTCCACCGCCGCCACGTGGACCTCCGCCATCCGGTACGCCACGTACCCGCCGTAGCTCAGCCCTACCACGCTATACCTCTCCAGCCCGAGCTTCCTCAGCCCCGCCGCCACGCAGCCGGCCTGGAACTCGATCGACCGGTCCGGATTCTCGGAGTAGGACCGGCCGAAGAAGAGAAGGTCGGGGACGTAGAGGTTGAAGTGCCGGGAGAGGTGGCGGACTTGGTAGTAGAACTGCCACCGCGAGTTGGCGCCGAAACCGTGGATGAGGACGAGGGCCGGCCGGGTCGATTTCCGGTGGCCGGGGATCCAGAAGTGGACGGTGGTGGTCGCGGCGTCGTCGTCGTCGAGGTCGACGGTGCATGGGAGCATGCTGCAGGAGGCGAAGTAGAGGGAGAAGAGGGTGTCGGCGACGGCGGTGAAGAATTTGAATGTGGTGTCACGGAGGCGGACGGCGGCGGCGAGGAGGGATCGGAGGGCTTGCTTGAGGTGGTTGTAATATGGTTCCATTGTTTTAATTTGTTTTCTTTAATAATATTGTTTTGTTATTGTTTTTTGTGTGTGTGTATATATAGAATATTGTACTTGAGAAAACTAATTCCTAGCTATGTTGATCGTTTGGTTTGTCTTTCCATTTCATGCAGAGGGTGCCTTAGCTTACGTATAAATATTGTGATAGAAAATAGGACGTGTTAAATTAACATATCTAGTAACTTAATAACCCTAGCTAGCTTCAGTTTGTTTGTTTGGACATTAAGAGAGAACATTAGGAATGAACATTGGGCTAACAGGGAAAACGGATCCTATACAAAATGGTGCAATAACCTTCACATATTATTTATGGAAGGCAACTGAATTATTTCACAATTTCATTTAACTCGTTATATCTCTTTCATTTTAAGTTGTAATTGAAAATGCACAGAACATCAAAGTGACGTTCACTTTGGTATGTTTTGGAACCAAAAAATTGAAAATTTTATTAGCAGTTCATACCATGGTGGTAATGCTTGGTAGTACATTAGATTATACTATCATGGTAGGAAAGTGTATCATGATATATATCATAGTGTAGAATGCTTATATACATGAAAGTAGTATACTAAATGTCATTTACCACTTTTCAATTTTCATCACCTCCTACCACCAGTTACCACCCTACATAAGGGTAGTATATAGGGCTGCAAATGAGCCAAGCCGTTCGCGAGCAACTCGGCGTTCGAATCGAAAAAAACTCGTTCGACACTCGACTCGTTATTTAACAAGCCGGCTCGCGAGCCAACTCGTTAGTTAACGAGCCAAGCTTGAGCTAGACCATGCTCAGCTTGATAAGCTCGCGAGTTAGCTTGATTCGGTGGCTTGGTGAGCTAAGCTCGAGAGCTGCCTTGTTTAGAGCTTGTGGAAGGATGAATTACTCTTTTAAACATGAACATTGTCTTGTTAATACAAATGTGTATGAAATTTAGATGTTATTTATAGTTTTTAGTGTTCTTTCTATCATTTAAATTCTTATGTTTACACATTTTTCAAGCAAGAATGATTTTAAATCAAGCTCATCTTCAGCCGAGCTTGTACTTAGCTTGACAAGCTATGTTAATGAGCATTTATCGAGCTCTACTGATTCGAGCTCGAGCTAGATTATTTTTATTCAAGCCGAGCTCGAGCTCGAGCTAGATTATTAAAATTCGAGTTCGAGCCGAGCTCGAGCTAAAAAATTAATAAACGAGCCGAGCTCAAACTAAGCAAAAACTCGACTCGGCTCGTTTGCAGCCCTAGTATATTTGATCTTGAAATTATTTTCATGAAATTGCAAATCTAATAGATCACGATGAACTTATTCCTTCTAAGAAAAATATTTTAAATTTTGAGTAAAAATGAAGGTGGTATGGATGGTACGAAAAACATTTTCTCGAAGTATATTGAAAATGTATATCATTTTGTAGATCACGTATTCATATGACATGTTCCTATATGATGGAATTACTAAACTATACAGATATAGTTCAATTACGTGACACTATGTTAAACAATAATTTCATGCGCATAAAAATGTTACTAATATGTAGGGCTGGGAAACGGTGTGGTCTGGTCCAGACCAGACAGTATATATGATATATGGTCCAGAGCAAAAGGCTGAAGTATAGACTAGAGACTAGACCATGTACTATACGGTCCATACCATATCACGTCTGTGTGTGGTCTGGTCCGGTACCATCGGGTCCAGATAGATCACAATGAACGAAAAATAAACAATTTGTTTAGTCACCACACAAAAAATTGAATCAATAAACGAGAAAAAAATTGTTTTTTTTCCTTAAAACATAAACTCCAACATGCATGAAGAATTTTGACACCCTAAATCTCAGTAAACAACAGAAATACAAAGTCAACACATCCCAACTTGCATCATAACATCAGGATCATTAACATAATGTCATATGTAGACACGGTAGTCTCTACTCTCTGGTGAAATATGGTTCTGAAAGAAAGAGGGGACGAGTTTCTCAAAATTAGAGTTGAGACTTGGGCTTGTTGGGAGAATCGGGAGAGTGTTCGAGTGGGCTGCTAACACATATTTGGAAATCCTCCGGGTCCACGGTTTGGTCCGGGAAACTGCGGTCTAGACCAGACAAAGTGATCAAAAATCATATAATACAGACCATGGACCAGACCAGACCATTCTTAACAATCTATAGTGTGGACCAAACTATGCGATCCGGTTTGGTCAATGATTTTTCAAACGGTCTTATCTATTTTCCCAACTCTACTTATGTGTGCAATATTTTGTTCATTATTTATAACCAGATTATCTTGATCCGGTCTAAACATGTTTGGGTCAATTGATAAAAGAAGTCATAGGTTTTGATTGCCAGAGATGAGGCGAAATTCCAATCGAGAGGGCAACCAAATTGGAAGAACGAAAGCTGGGTTTAGAATCAGCATGTTCAGGAAAACGAAGAAAAAATGGTGAACACCGAAGGAAGATTGTGTCATTCCACCGGCCATGAGTTTGAATTAATTAATTTTTAAAATTTTGATAAAAAAAAATGGTGGTGTTTTGATTGAAAATAAAATAATCCTCGTTCTGAATTTAAATCGGATGGTACGAATCAGGCTACAACTATTTAAGACGATCGGTTCGATTTTTTCTTTCTATTTTCACCAATTCATGATAAAAATTGGATTAATCTATTTCGATTTATCGCGAATGTTCCCGTTTTGTAAGTAACCCACAAACTATAGGGGTGGCTATACGGTCCGGTCCGGTTAAATTGGCCCAAATTGATCCGGTCCAGTCCGATCTTTTTGAAAATATAAGGACCAAAGATTGGATTGGATACAGTCCGGTCTTGATCCGGTCCGGTTTTGATCCGGTCCGGTCCCAATTCGGTCTTGATTTTACATTGATATTGTGGGATTTGAGTGGCCTAAGGCCTTAAAGGGTGAGGAGTTGGTTAAGTTTTGTACTAAGTGCAAAGGTTTGTGACCGTTTATGCAAATTACCCTTAAGTTTTGGGTGCTGAGCTCTCTTATCCGGTCTTTATCCGGTTTTTTATCTCAAATCTAGGCCCAAAGATTGGATTGGATTGTTTACTATCCGGTCCCGATCCGGGTTATACGGTCCGATTTCCAGTTTTTAATCCGGTCCTTGTCCAAATAGCCACTCCTACCACAAACATCAAAATGGTCCTATACCTTAAGCCCTTCCCTCAGCAATTTAAAAGATCGAAAGTGATGACGAGAACACAGCTAGCTAGCACCCAACTTTACTTTAAACATAGTAGTGCCTTTTCTCCAACGTTCTTCAATGTATGATCCCAAAATGAATGATTCCAATAGATACTTTACTTCTAACGCAATCCAATCCCTTTCCCCATTCACTTCCTCCCTTATATAACCCTTCTTTCTAAACTTTCTCAAAATCCAGCTTTTTGGACGGCTGAATTTGTCTCCCACTTTACTTTCTCCCGTCAAATTGCCTTTATATTCCTTCATTGTCTCCCTTCTTTACCATCATCCCCTTCTTATAAGAGAACCCATTTGCCTCCTTCCCCCAAATTCCCCATTAGAGTTAGCACTCCATCTCAAGTTGGGTTTTCTTCCCCCCTTTGAGAAAGGGAGAAAGAAAACGCCAACCAATCAAAACCACATTGCATTCTCATCTCCTGGATAGAGAGAGATAGCAGAACAGCAATGGCAAGTTCATATTGTCACCATGCTGCCCGAAACTCTTCATCCCATAGAGGACTAGCCATGGTGTTAGCTCTGACGACGGCTGTCGTGCTATCGCCACTGTACGCCAGCGGTAAGAATGACCATTCCTCATCGCGATTTTATCCCCATTACGAGCCCGGTTGGAGCTCTGGTTTGGTCCTTCCGGTGGTCCTGGCAGGGTTGATAATCGCCATCAAGACAACATCATCGAGCAGCTCGACGGCTAATGGAGGTGGGAGCTCATTTGGGTCGTCGTTGGTTCTATCACCGGACCCTTCTTGGGTGCTCAGGATTGGGAGCTCGTCTTGGGGGCTTGCTGGGATATTGGTCATGCTCATGCTTGTGTTGTCTTGGCAAGAATCTGCTCAGCATTTCTTCTGGAGATAGTGAGAAACGATAGAAATGTAGCAATTTATGTATATTTTGGATCATGTCAATTAGTTTCTATCCTGATATTACAAAGCTATGTTATCATATTTATGTACTATGAGTTGGGAGAGCTTGTACGCTCAATTGAAGTTGTTAATTTAGTTCATGTCCAAGTTTCGAGTCTCCAGATTTGGGTTCGAATCAGGTGCTAACGAGATAAGCATCATGTTATAGAGATGAAGTAAGGCAGACAGATTGACAATGTTTAGGTTTAGCGTTTAATTAATAGAAACGATCAAGCACCAAAGAGATATGGATGAGCATCTGTTCACAAAATATGATGCATTTCCTTTACCACTGCTTTGAGATTAACTACTGAAAAGAAATGTGTTTGCTGTTTAATTGTCACAGCTAAAGTTAAACTCAGTAGTCAGTATTATAATACCATACGTCAATAATTACAAACATATACCTCACCCATATACACTAACTAGTTGAAAGAAAATTTTACAAACACTCATCATCTTCAGATCTTCCAACGGGACCAAAAGCTAGTCAAAGATTGGTGGCAGAGAAACCCTCTTCCGTGTCAACAGCATCTCGACAGTCGGACATTTCCTCTTCACCCCACCTCTAGGTCTAGATCGGAACTGCTCGTCGGATTCCTGAAAATCACCCTGCGAACCCAACCAAAGATGACCGAGCAATCAGGCTCGTTTCGTTTCCCAGGGCTTACAGACAGGCAACACAAGGCAAACGAGAGATAGAATCATAGAAAGGAGTAGCACCAGGGCGGAACTTACGCAAGAGTAGACATGGCAACCGGATTTCTCGTGATTATCACGAACATGTTTGTAGGAGAATTTCTTGCCACAGCCAGGGAAACTGCAGCCATACGGCTTGACGTCAAGATGAACAGCCTTCACATGCTGGTTGAGATTTGTTTTCTGGTTAGAGCAAAACAGATTAAGTTTGAGGAGGGAGCCCAAAGCTATGAGGGGAATGAACTTGCTCTGATGTATGAGAATGATTGCTTACAGATGAAAACGTGAGGCTACAGCCATCATGGTGACACGCAACCCGCTCTGTTGTCTCGCTGCCTGCTTCATGGGTTCTCAGATGTCTCTTGATGTTCTTCCTTAGTTGTTTCGAACCACAAATCTCACAATTCATGTACCTGTGGGCTGTCTGAATGTGGGCTCTCAGGCATTTTTCATTGGAGAAATGCTTGTTGCAGCCCAGTTCTAAGCACATGGCTTCAACGGAATCTAGCTTCACTGCATAATAAGAATGAAATGCAACAATTGTTAGAAGTGAAACCAATGTATCGAAGATAGTGACAGAAAATTGATGTCAAAACAAAAGGGTACTTGCCATGAGAATATTGATGCTTTTGAAGCTTTGATGGAAATTTGAAGGCCTTCCCACAACCAGGCTCCTTGCAAACACATTGTTTTTCCCCTCCAGTGTCATTGGATGATTCACAGTGCATAGCTTCAACATGCCTCTTCACATTGCCTTGATACATGAACTCCTTGCTGCAACTCTCGATAGGACAATTAAAAAGCTTCCCTTCGTGCTTAAGGGAATGCCGAGTCAGGTGATCCTTTCTCCGGTAACTTGAATGGCAATCTTCCACCTGACACCTAAATGGCCTCTGCAGCAAAGGAAAAATACAGGTGCCAACCAGTCACTACCAGACTCCGAAGCTACGAGAAATCACCAGAACGATAATGAAAAAGCTTCTCAACACAAGGACATAAAAAAACAAATAATGCGATAACCACTCTCAAACCTCAGTATATCCAGCGCGTGATTTGAGGCTTTCGCCTTGATGGAGCTTCTCAGGAGGTCTCCCACCCTGATACTAGTCCAACAAAGTCGGCTCTTGCATTTTGGAGTTCTGTGATATGGGATCCAATGCTTTCACGCCGCAACAATCATGTCGTCTTAATTACTTAAAACAACAGAGCATAAATTTCCTGCAACAACCATTCGAATCTCAAACTCCAGCTTATTTAAAATGCTATAGCAGCTAAACAACAGAAACCCAAATATTCAAACGCCACCTGGAACCACATACATCAAGATTCGATATTCGTCAACAACAATTCTTCACACATCAATTTCAACAATTCAACAATGGATCATCTTTTTTATTTATTTTTTTTACCTCAAGCGAGTGACTCCTTAGATGCTGTTTCAGATACGCCGGCTTCCTGAAACTAGCACCGCATTCTTCACAAGTATTGGATTTGTCCTCCTTACCTTCTCCATCTCCATCATTCTCGCTCATCTCTTCCTGAAAAAACACGAATCGAACAAATTCGATCAGATTACTATACCACCCAATCGAATAGACAGACAAACTGGTCAGAATCACCAGCGAGTGAAAAGTTACCTTGTGATGGGAAAGGACGTGAGATGCGAGGAGAGCCCTCTTGGATCGGCAAATTCCGCAGTATTTGCAGAAGTATCGTCGGATGTCTCTGGATTTCGGTGCGTCTTCTCCTTCTCCAGTCTCTTCTTCCACCTCTTCTTCTTCCAACTCCTCTTCTACTACTTCCATCTGTTCTTCCATATCTTTCTCCGTCGTTTTAACAGCTTCTGCTTCTCCTACCATTTTCCGGAGCTCCGCCGCAGCGAGAGGGAAGTCAGAAGACGAGGAATTCAGTCTAGGGTTTTGGCGAGTTTCTTTTCTTTTCGTTATAGAGTGGGATTAATTCAGTAATTGGGTTGTTGGAGCCCGCCATTTTCATCCAGTGGAAAGCCTATATAGTTCTGTAGAGCCCATGGCAAAGGAAAGCCCAATAGTGCAATCGAAGGCCCAAGAACACAACTCTTATTATTCTCCTACTTATTTTTCCTTTCCCTCTCCTTTTTATTGCTCGTGTCCTTTCTACTTCTTCCGATTCCTTCCGCCGGAGCTAAGTTGTTCAGTAACTCGCCGGATTCCGCCCCTTGCTAGCTCGCTCCGCCGGCGCCATCTCCGATGTAAGTATTCCCTGAATCCCAGTCGCTTCAAGCAATTCCAGAATCCTAATGTAGGTCTGCTCCCTTCCTCGTGAAAAGCAAAAGGTCTGAAATTGGAAATTGTACGAAGAGCTACTCGACTGCAACTTCGGAATCCTTTCGGGAAATTGAACGATTCATGGCTCTCTCTGCTGGATTTTCCATTTCTTAGACTAAAGTACACGATCTTTATGCTCAATCCAGCTTCCCATTCGTTCTTATAATGTCGAAAACGTGCCCATAAGGAGGATTTGGAAATTTTGTATAAGGGGTTCTTAGGGTTTGTAGAAAATTTCCCTCTTTTCTAAGGATGGGAAATTGTTGTTAACATATGGGTTTTTCTCAGTGACGAGAAAATGGCCGAGGGAGATGAGGAGATGCCGAGAGATGCAAAAATAGTGAAGTCCCTACTGAAATCAATGGGAGTTGAGGATTACGAGCCCCGTGTTATCCACCAGTTTCTGGAGCTGTGGTATCGTTACGTCGTTGATGTGTTGACGGATGCTCAGGTTTACTCGGAGCATGCTGGGAAAGCTGCGATCGACACTGATGATGTCAAGCTTGCTATTCAGTCCAAAGTCAACTTCAGCTTCTCACAACCCCCACCAAGAGAGGTATTGGATCAATGAAACCTACTATAAGCTAGTACGACCATATTATTTGAGTTCATAGCAGCTTATGCATATACTCATACATGGTCATATCGATCTCATGATGCTTTTAACTAGAAGTTAACGGGTAGTGGAAGTCTATAAAATTTAGTAGACAAGTTGCTAGATAGGCAAAAACTTTGCCAGGCGATAGAAGCTTTGCCTGCAGCTTATTCTAGTAACTATTTTGTCGATTTCATCGTCTTTCTCTGAGATTATGCATTCCAAACTTAGCCCTCACTGATTCATAACTGCACCTGGATTCGTTGTGTGTAGATTGGTGCTACTCGTATGGCCATGTCTTTCCTCGTATGGCTATGTCTTTCCTTGTTGGATTTAAGATTCTCGACACATGGTGAACACTTCCCTTTGCTATAAACCTAGATAGTAATCTCTGCTCTCTGGGGTCAATCACATTACATTAATTAAGTCCGGCCACCGATTTGTTAGCGTTTGTAATTGACCCATTATCTTCCCTCTCTTTATGGGAATGTGAAGACCAGTTTCCACTTTCCAGACTCTTGAGAGCCTTTTTCATCTCATCAGGTTTTGCTGGAGTTGGCAAGGAATAGAAACAAGGTCCCATTGCCCAAGACTGCCCCAGGTCCCGGCGTTCCTCTCCCACCTGAGCAGGACACACTGATCAGCCCCAACTATCAATTAGCTTTCCCGAAGAGACAGCTTCCGCAAGTAGAAGAGACGGACGAAGATGAAGAAATGCCTGATCAGAATCCTTCTTCGCAGGAACCAAGTACTGGTGCGCCTCAGCAACAGCAAACCCCTCAACGAGTCTCATTCCCTCTTACCAAACTAACCAAGTGATAGACAGGGTAGGATAGTAAAGATCTTGTTCGCGATCAATCCTGTGCCTGTACTCACAGTTGTAACTTGTAAGATACAGGTTAGAGCCTTGAGACTTATGCTTACTACATTAAGCGATTTGTAACTAGACGGGCGCTTCTTTCCAGTTCTAGACTGTTTAGATTCTTATTCTTACCCTTGAATGTTCAGTGTTATGAGTGTTACAGATAAAGAGCAACTGCTGTTAACAAATCAGTTAGTTTGGTTAGCATTCTGTTACTACTGTAACTCAACCGCCGGATCAATACTGTAACATGTGACTAGTGAGAGATTCCTACAGAACAGTGATCTTTCATTTAATGAGGGGAACTTGGAAACACAGCCCCGGCCAATTTCCACAAGCAGTTTTGACCAATTTCCCCCATTTTTTACCATATAATTATATTACAACTGTTCTTCTACAACCAAACATGTATTTACAAGGAAACAAACCAATTGTTACTATGAACGCTATTCATTCATTCATTTGGATCCAAATGAAGTAGTGGTATCATCAACTTCTCCATCCAGTAGTAGTTGTTGGCGCTGTGCTCGATGAAACGCTGCTCGTGGTCGTCAAGCCCCTGTCGTACATCCGCTGTATCTCTTCCCTGTACTCAGTCAGGGACTTGTCAGGAATGGTGGGGCTTAGCTCCACAACATCACCCATCTTTAGCTTGCAGGTAGGATCACTCACTGGCTCGTGGTTGAGCTTCGGCCGCAGCTCTTCTTTGGCTGGGAAGCCATATGGTGACCATCTCGTGCTGCCTTGTCCAGCTCTCTCGAGCAGGTCCACGACAGAGGAGTTTGCTGGGAGCTCCTGGACCGACATCTGCAGTTCAGAAGAAACCCAATTGGCATTGTCATTTTTACGGGGAAAAGATGGAGAGTGAAGCCATGAAATAGGAGAGCAGAAAATTTTGCTAGCCGAACCTTATCGTTCTCGATGATGATGATGAACACGGGTCCATCTTGACCGCAGAGAGGCTTGCAGGAATACCTGCAATCTTCTGAATGAACAGGGAAAGCACAGGGAGGCTTCACGGAATCAGCAGCGTAAGAGATCGATGAGGACCGATCTTTGTTCATTGTCTCGCACTGCCAAGTCACTACCCACCGAGCCCACTCGACCATCTGCAGGACGAACGAGGAATGCTTGCAATCGCCTTCCTTGTACCTCCAGTGCGCGGCAAACCCAAACTCAGCCTGCAAATGCATCTCTTTTGTTCGGATCTGGACCTCTAGTGGGACCTCATCATCGCCTGTGACCACAGTGTGAAGAGACTGGTACCTGATGAAAACACGATAACTCGTTTACTTACAAGAGAATAAATTCACAGATGAAAGTTATGAACCGAGAGAGAAGAAGATAGATTACCCATTGAACTTGGGTTGGCTTATGTAATCCTTGAACTTCCCAGGTATTTCAGGCCACAGCTCATGGACGATTCTCAGTGCTCTGTAGCAGTCTTCCTTGTTTTCAAGGATCAAACGGAGGCCATGGATATCATGGATCTCATCCATCTTCAGCTTTTTCCTGAAGAAACATGAGGTGCAGGGTCAGAAACAGAATCAAAACGTTAATTAACTACAAACATTGTAAGAATGACAGTGACTTTTGAAGATTTTTATAGATCCGTACAAGGCTTGTTTCCCTTCTCGGATTGTAAAATCACAAATTTAAAATCAGGCCTTTAAGGACGTGACACCAGCTAGGCTAAACTCAGAAATGGTGAAACATCACCAGCACATTGTTCCTCTCCTTTCACATCTTCCTAATAAATCCATGTGATTACTACATCCTACAAAGGTACTTCAAGCTTTCTAACAGGATAAGATGGTTTGCTGGTCCAGGGCAAAACTTATGGAAAGTGGTACTCTGATCCAAGGACTTCCTCAAGAAGTACTCAACAGTGGTCCAATTTAACACTTGATACGCTACTCTCAACTATATGACAGGGGGAGAGAGAGCTCAGCTTACTTCAACATCTTGCGATAAATGCTGTACAAACTCTTATGTCTCCCAGAGAGCACGTGGTAACATATGGCTTCATCCTTCAGCGCTCGATCCAGTTTATCTGTTGCAGCAGTAATCACTGCCTCGTCAAAAGATTTCACCAGCTGAGAAGACAAATCTTTATGCTGATCAGGGTTCAGATGCTTGAAGCACAAGTTTTCCAGCTGGTCCTTCCACGAAGAGATCCCTAATCGGTTGGCCAAAGGAGCAAATATCTCGAGAGTCTCCTTGGCAAACCTCTGCTGCTTGGCCAATGACAGAGCATCCAGCGTCATCATGTTGTGCAATCGATCAGCTAGTTTTATCAGCACGGCTCTGGCATCCGCCATTGCCAGAAACATTGTATGCAGACGATCTGCCTCAACAGTTCTGCTGGCTGTATTGTTCTCTCGTGCTAGCTGGCTCAAATGGCTGAGTTTCGAGACCTGAGTAAATAATGATAAAGAACCATGTCGGCAATCGTAATTACTGGATTGAAATGCAACAGCGACGCACATTTTCCCTTCATTCTCAAGGTGGATTCAAACAAAAGAAGCTGAGATCGTTCCCTAAAGTACACTACTTACCAGTCAAAAATCATCATGTCAGATTCAAAAGGGCAGTAAAGGTATAAACTCAATGGTCGTCAGCAATAACATTAACATCAAACCCCCACAACAGTCACCAAACTCACTGAACAGTTCGAATGAGTTATCGTAAGTTACTGCCATCTTACCCCTTCAACCAAATCAGCCACTCCAGCTCCAAACGTGCTGCAAATATGGTCATAGCTCAAGAATGAATCATCGATTGTATCATGTAAAAGCCCTGCAGCAACCATGGTGGGGCTAGCACCAATCTTTGCAAGCAAAACAGCGGTTTCCACACAATGCTGCAAGTAAGGATCGCCACTCGCCCTCATCTACAAACAAACAATCAATCAAACCCAAAAAGAACAAACTTTATAAACTAGGAACACACCTCAAACCTCAACTTATACAAATGAAGTTGAAAGAACCTAAATTTCAACCCCCAATCGCCAATACCTGTCCTCTATGAGCCTTCTCCGCCTCGTGAAATGCCTTGATCACAAAGTCTTCTGTGAAGATCCTGTGCCTCATTTGAGCACCAAGCAACAATTCCTTTGCATAGGGCTCGTAATCAGGCTCTCTCACAAAGCTGTCCTCCATGTTAAACGTCAATTCATCAGCAGCCGGAGGAGCTGGAGATGGAGCTATTTCGAAGCTCGGTGAATCGTAGTCCACACAAGACCCCAATGCATGGCTAACGAACCTATCGAACAGGCGATTCGCCCCATATCTAAACGAGCTATGAACCGAGCTCTGAAAGCATACATCAGCACCACGAGCTAACCTCGTCGGAGGACTGTTGGAACAAGAGACCGGAGCTTGCAGCACAGAAACCGGACTGTGATCCTTCCTCGCAGAAAATCCACCCCCTACGCCCGCGACGATGCATTTACTCGGGGAATAGCGAAACGAGCTGCTCAATTCCTTCAAATCGTCCCCTCTATCGTGCCACAGTGCGCCCAATTCCTCCCTATCGCCCGAGAACGACGAGTGCTTTACCACGCTGGGAGAAGAGAACAGACACGTCAGCCCGCCGATTTGCGACTTGTGAGAGGAAGAGCCACTGGCGGAAGCGGAAGACGAGGATCTCGAATTCAGATCGAAGTCGTAGCTCGTGCTGCCGTTGATCGAGCATGGGTGCGGCGTCGAGCATATGGTGCTCGGCGGGCTCGCGTACAGAGCAATCGTCGGAACCGCCATGAATGAACACGGAGATCGAGAGAAAAAAAAAACAGAACCCAGATCAATTAACCGCTAAATCGAAGAATTCCCACAACCAAAACGAAATCACTAGGATGAATTTTCAGATCGAGAAAACCCTCCCAAAATAAACAAAGGGGTTTCTTCGAATTTTTTGCCTAGAAAAGTTTAAAAAACCAAGCTTTGCTGTGAAATATATACAGAACAACCCTGTACAGACTTCTGTTCGACACTACACACACCCAATTGACTTGCAAATCTGAAAGCAAAGAACTGGGCAGCTTTGTTGGAGAAATGCAAGAGGGGAATCTTTTGAATGGTAATTTGTTTTCTTCTTCTGGGTTATTTTGAAGAAATGAGAAGGAAAGAGAGAAACAACGAGCAAATATAAATTTATAAAAAAAAAAAAAACAGAGAGAGCTTTGGGAAATTTGCAGCTTTCTTCTTGGTTCTTCTTCTGCTTGAAGTTTCTCTCTTTCTTTCTCAATCTGGTTTTATTTTCCTTTCCCTTTCATTTCTTCTCTGTCTGCGGATCTTTATTTCGCGTAGCGGCCAGGGACAGGGAGAGCACTCAAAAGTACTTGATTACCCTCCTGTGCCAACAGAAATAACGGCTTTTACCCGCGGTTTGTCGGGTTTATCATTTTCGTTTCAATCTTATCTCTGTTTTGAGGAATAAACTTATAAATTAGTTTTTGGCTTTTTGCCCAAAATCAATCAGGTGGGGAAATGATAAACAACTAAGAATAATTAACAAATTGGTGATGACGCTGTTAGTGGTATTTGTTTGGCTAATTCAGTGGTTCAATTGCATACGCAAATATATCTTCTAATTTTTATAATTATAACTATAGTGATTGATAGTTGTTGTCTCTAAATTTTTTATTTTATTTAATTAAAAACTGATAATATATTTAACTTAATATTATTTTCCTCAACCAAGTATATAAAAAAAAATCTTAAACCAGTTTTACAAAACTAGATTATGGAACTCGCCCGTCTTGGGGTTGGCAGAGTATCCTGTTTGGGCGCCAGTTATTGGAGGCGAGGTTAAGATGGCAGATAGGCAATGGCCTTTTGGCCTCCCTTCTCCACTCGAATTGGATCCCTGGGCTTCAGTTGGATCCCCCATGTTATAATCCTCGGGTCCTGCCAGATGGGGGAGACCCCTTGGTGGCAGAAGTCATTTGCCAGGGGGAAGGGCGATGGGCGGAGGATAAGCTTAGTCAATGGTTTGACCCTACTACCTGTCAAGCCATTCGGGGGATCCCACTTCCGAGGCTGAATGTGGATGATAAGCTGATTTGGCATAACACGTCGGATGGGGTGTTCTCGGTCAAGACGGCCTATCATCTGGCAGTTGAGTTAGACAGGAGAAGGGGTGGGTGGCGGGCCTCGGCTAGTTGGATGGATAGGCAAAGTTGTATCCGGCTTTGGGAAGCTCAGATTCCCCCTAAGCTGAAAGTCTTTGTCTGGCAAATTTTTCATCGGGCTCTGCCAACCACTGAGGCACTCATTGAGAAGAAGGTTCCGGTGTTGCCCCGGTGTCCGGTTTGCTGGGAAGGGCCTGAGACTAAGGAGCACTTGTTTCTGTACTGTCCGGTCGCCCGGGCTCTTTGGGACTAGTCCGGGTTGGAATACTTAGGGGAAGGGTTGCCTCGGCATACGTTTCCGTTGTTCCTGAAGAGGATGCTTGCCCTTGTCCATCAGCCGGCCCTGTTAATGGCTGTGGTTGCCGTCCTTTGGCGGATCTGGCGATCACGGAACTGGGTTGTCTTCGAAGGCAAAAAATTTGGGATCCCGGCTTTAATGCGCCAATTTAACCAACAGTATGAGGAATGGGTGGGTCTCCCGGTTGACCAATCGCAGAGGAGATCCGGCTCGTTGGTCCAACCTGGGACTCACGTAAATGATGCTCGGTTGGTTTGCATGTGGGATGGAGCAATCAGGAGGGGGTCACACTCGGCTGGGGGAATGGTTCTTTTTGATTCGGGGGGACGCTCCTTCAGGCTAAAGGTGTGCACTTTGCGCAAATGGATGGGCCTATGGTTGTGGAGTTGCTTGTGCTTCGGAAGGCGATCATCTGGTGTTTAGAATGTGGCCTGTCCGCAGTTCGGTTTGAGGGTGATGCAAAGGTCATTATTGACAAGATAAATCAAGCTGACGCAAGTGACAGTCATTTGGGAGCAGTCCTAAATGAGATTTGTCAGTATTTTGATGCTCATCCGGGGTTTAATGTGCGGTTTGTAGGTCGGGAGAACAATAGGGTAGCTCACTCAGTAGCTAGAAAAGCCCTCTTTTTGTACCCCGAATGTAAATCGTTCCTTTTATTTCAGGGCCTGGCTGCTATCCATGATGTAACTATTTTTTGCAATGATTAATACATATCTTTTGACAAAAAAAAACTAGATTATGGAAGATAAGGCATTGCTCGACTCGTTGTACGTTTCATCATCTTGAATCTTGATTATCCATCAAGTCAGACCATCCACACAACAGCGAGGTTCTCATGAGTCATGACATTCTCTCCCCAGTGCATCATTTTGGGGAAGTTTGTATTAGTGTCCTACAATTAGAGAAAATAATGTATGGCATTTGATTGGATGGTGGTCAAGGACTCAAGGGTCATTCCATGACCCATGTGTTTGGGTTGCATTAAGATAGTTTGAGCCCTCATATTTGATACTAATTATTATGACAATATTAAAATGAGTTTTAAATCTTAATACATTGAGTTTCTGATTTTTTTATCTAAAATAATAATTATTCATACTCGTTATTATCATATAAAATATGCAAAAAAAAATATGGGATAAAATATCGAACATTACAAAAGACTTACTATACGTTACCTGAAGAAAAGAAACAACATGCATTGCTAACGCAATGATACATGCACACTTTACACTAAATTCTAGCACCAAATCATCCAAGCAATTACCAACTAACGTCTCTTTGTGATCTCCACTAGCAATACCCATTATGGGCTTCATTTGATTTTAGAAAATAGATGTCATTTTAACAACATATGTCCTTCGTTTCTAGAAGTCTAAAACTCACTCTCAGCCCATTAATATTTTCCAAAATTTGACAACAATCTTGGTCTACCTACGAATTAGTATAGATCCAATCATTTGATTGGTAACTAAACGATTACTAAAATCCTAATGATCTTCTGTCTAGCTCTACCAGTCTATCTTCCACCTTGGGTTTTTAGAAAAATAACTCAATACAATATAAATAACAATAGAAGTCAATGGAGTCATCGATCGATAATTTTGCGTACTATGTTAACCAATTATCTAAAAATTATATAGAATAATGATCACCCATTAAAATAATTAAGGATGATTAATCCAAAGGAAATCTAGAACAAGAAATGGTGAAGTCTTTGGAGACAAATATAAAACTACAAGTGGGTGGAAGAAAGTTTATCATATAAAAGGTCATTACCATGTCGACCTATCATAGTTAAGTATGACAATTTATTACTATAAGTGAAAATTTACAAAATAATAATATTTTTTTTTCTTTTCATACATCTTTGTTCTTATCTTGAACCCACCATATTTTCCCCAAACGACAAGCAAAAAGGTTTAATTACCCTTTCCCAACAACTTCCACTCATGGCAAAAGACTGTAATTAGCCTTCTCTAATGAGTAATTAGGAGTGAGCATTGTTCTGTTTGAAAAAGAATGAATGCTTCTTTGGTAACTTCCTAGTGAGGAGATTCTTGGAGATTTACGGATGGGGTAAAAGTAAAATCAATTGGAGTCTATACTCTATTAAAAAGAACTTAGTTGGTAGATGTACAAAGATGGCTAATCCAGTCAGTCACTGTAACTGTCAAAAATATTTTAATTGTTTCGAAGTAAGTGGCTCGCTCTATTAGGGTTATGTAATACATTCATTTTTGTTGTCGTAGTTTTTTCATCAAACTAAGTCGGACATACATGTCTTTAATAATAAGTTACCACCAACTATTATTGTAAAAGTTATTGAATTGGAAAGAAATTGAAATGTGACAACTCATTTTCGATAAATGAACGAGATTCAAGGAATAGTAGATATTATGAAAACGATCGAGATCCATACCACTCAAATTATCATTCATCCTCCTAAAATTAATTTTTAGGCATCTCTTAATTAATGTTATCACATAATACAATAATGAGTTCATCATTAACAAAATAACATTTTGTGTACTTTATTGACCACGGTCTTTATACATGGTTTGTGTGGTCTATTGTACACAATTTTCTTACTTTGCCACTTCTAATTGCTTGTTTGGAAATCCAAATTATAAATTAATTGGTGAAGAATCAATTAAGTTAGGCAACTTTGTTAAACCTTGTTATTATTATATGCTAAAAAGGACAAATAGTAGCCTTCCAAGTTACAACCAATCTCATTTGCTAGGGTAGGTGGAACTACAGAAGATTCTTTCATTGTCAACTTGCTCAATGCAATGTTAGCTTTAGGGCCACATCATGTTGGGAGAAAAAAGGGTCCACATATTAGGATTTTTTCCATGGTCATTGGAGGCAGGGAGGAAAAGGAATCAAATTGAATCTTTTCTTTCGTTTTAACTTTGTTTTCGGTATGAAAAATCTACAATTATTTGTGTGGTTGTATTTCTATAGGCTCTCATTCAAATGAGAATATAAATCAAGTTGGTGAAAATATTAGGACATAAAAATTAGAAAGAGGAACTGGCAGTTATTTGTATTTCCCTTTGAGAAAATAAATGGTCTAGGTTCATTAGTGCGAGGAAGCAAGCCAAACTAAGGTTTTTGGTAAGCTTCGGGACATGTTTTAAAAAACTCGTGCTATATTTTTAGAAATTGAGATGTAATTTAACAGAACATTTGGTACCAAATGAATCATAGAGTTCATTGTAAAATTAATTATCGTGTAAAATTCTTTGTCAAATGAAATCCTATGTTTGGTATGTTATATTCAAATTTGTAGAAATAAAATGAAGTGTCGTGTAGAATTCATTGTCAAATGAATTTCTGTGTTTGGTATGTCATATATATAACTAGTTTAATTGATAAAAGAGGATAATCATGTCATTCTATTATAATTAGTAAATACTTATGGAATTCATTTGGAAATTCCATCTCAATTCCTCGGAATTGCTATAATTAGTTCCAATTCTGTAGAATTTAGAATTGAAAATTAAATCTTTTTAATACCAAATACGAAAATATTTCATTTCAAAATGAATTCCTCAACACTTATGGAATTCATTTATACCAAATAGTATGTAAGAAATTTGTGTTTTGTTTTATAAGATTTTTAGTATGATTTATGAAATTTGTGGTGTGTTTTAAAAAATTTGTGGTGTGCTTTGATAAACTTGTGGTATGTTTTAATTAATTTGTGATATGCTTTTAGAAATTTATGATATATTTCCCTTTCTCTTTCCCATTTGTGTATGCTTTGATAAACTTTTGGTATACTTTAATAAACTTGTGATATGGTTACCCTCCCTTCTTCTCCCTTCAAATTCTACATTGTTTTCATGGAAGTTCACATACAAATTATAGTTTAGTATATAAACTTAATAGATCCTAATATTTAGCGTCAAAAAATTATGTTTTTACATATAAGTCCTAAAATTTAATAGATCTATGAGTGCCTTAAATTATTTTTTCATATAAGTCCTAAAAATATTAATGGAAATTTATATTTTAGTACCTAAATTTTTTTCTCTCACACATTTTGATACCTAGACTTTTTAAAATCTACAAATAGGTCTATTAAGACTTTTTAAATTATATTTTAGTCCAAATTTTGTTTCACTGTTAAGAACTTATGTTATGCTTTAAGAAACTTATGGTGTGCTTCATGGGAGTTCCGGTCTATTTCAGGGCATTTGTGGTCTACTTTAAGAAACTTGTTTTAGTAAACTTGTGTATGCTTTTTGAGACCAGTGGTCTGCTTTAATAAATTTGCGGTGTGTTTTATGAAACTTGTGGTCTCTATAATTGTGGTGTGTTTCATGACACTTGTGATGTGGTGAAATTGTGGTATAATTTCTAATATCTGTGGTGTGTTTTCTTGTGTGTTGTGGTGTGAATTTTGTGGTCTCCGTCCTTCCCTATTTAATTGCACAAAACGCGTTGGTCCTCCTTTCTCAAAATTTTATAATACCAAACGTGCCCCTATGCCCCCTCTCTCTTCAGATTTATTAATTTTGGTCAATTCATTTAAATTTAAAAGTCATCCAAACAAAATGTTTATATTAGCACCATCCTAATAAAAAAGTATATCTTCCTACTAAACTAGTATAATTATTATATGTAACAACCTCCGTTAATCAATCAAGTTAAACCGGTTTTCCTACTGTTTTCTCCTGCATTCTCGAAGGTCTAGCTATGTTCCCCAGCTTCGATTATATATACTCAAGAATGGTAAGTCCCTAGCATTGTTTCTGTTCGTAAACTCTTTTATATGTATGGTTTTTGTGTTTAGGTCAAACTAATTTGGCCAAAGACATGTCTCTAAATTTTGACAAAATGCTGCTATTTTAACTAATAATAATGTACTTCCTTGTAAGGGTCAACTAGTTCCATGGTGTTGAATTTTGGAAATTTAAAATAAACCAAACCAAACACGTTGACATTTTCGGAAATAAATTGCACTTGGAAATTAAAGCTTGTGGAGCTCAACAAAGTTCATGAGTTTTCAATTATTAATTAATGGGTGAAAATATTATTCAAAAATTTTTCTGTCTCTCTAAAGGCCGGTTTGTTATCCAACATTATTTTAATGTCTTATATAGGGCTGGGAAACGGTGCGGTCTGGTCCACACCAGACCATATATACGGTCTATGGTCCAGATCGAGAGGCTGAATATTAGGGCTGGCCATTTGGTTATCGGTTGCCGGTTAACCGGCCGGTTAAATCGATAACCGGCGGTTACCGGTTAACCGACTAACCGAAAATAAAGGTTTCGGGCGGTGTTCGGTAGCAGGGTTGGAGAGGCCGGTTAACCGGCTAACCGACAGTAATAACCGCCGGTTAAACCGACTAACCGGCGCATCTCACCCTCGTAAAAGAGACGCCGCTTCTGACTTCCAAGTTCCAACCCACCCTAACCCTAATCCGCCATTCCTCTGCTCTGCTGTCTGTTGCTCTGCATCCATCGCGAGACCTCCCTCTCCCGGACTCTCCCTTTACTTTCTCCGACGGCGCCACCGTCCCCCGCCACGCCACGACGGCGCTCTCCCGGACTCTCCCTTTACTTTCTCCGACGGCGCCACCGTCCCCCGCCACGCCACGACGATGTCCCGCCGGCCGATTCGCTTCGATTCAGCGTCTGTTTGGGGGTTATTGGGATTGGAGGGGGCGATTCGACTCTGTTTTTTGGCGGCGGCGACGGAGGATGATGTGCGGTGGTGGTGGAATCGTTTGAGAAGGTTGCGGGAGAAGGTGGTTTTGGCGGAACGCCAGGTGGAGCGGAGCTTCAATTTCCATGCCCTGATTCTTCTCCTGGGTTGGAATGGGGAAGCCGGTAGTTGGAGGGTGGTCTGTCTTCTCAATGCTAACGGCGAGGCGTCCATGGCGGGGTGAATCGAACTTGAGAATGGTCAATTGAGGGAGGGAAGAAATGGGATGTTGAGAGGGAATGGGATTTTGATGAAGAGGACGGGGATGGATATGGGATTAAGGATTATGTAGAGAGTGGGAAGGCAGTTGAAGAAAGAGACTGTCATAGTGGACCGCCATGGGAAGGAAGGAGAGGAGAGTGGTTCAACTGAGATCGTCGTCTTGCTGGGGTGAGTTTTTCTCCGCCATTGCTAACCGGCGGTTAACCGAGCAACTAACCGGTAACCGACCGGTCGGTTGCCGGCTAACCGATGGTTTCCATCGGGCGGTTGGCGGTATCCACTTCTGTTGCCGCGGTTAACCGGTAACCGACATTTCGGTTACCGGTTATAACCGAACTAACCGAAAATCCAGCCCTACTGAATATAGACCACAGACCAGACCACAAACTATACGGTCCGGTCCAGACCACGCCTGTGCGGTCTGGTTTGATCTGGTCTGGTCCAGATAGACCATACTCAAAGAAAAATGAATAATTTGTTTAGTCAACCACACAAAAAATTGAACCAATAACCAAGAAGAATAATTATTATTTGCTTTAAAACATTAATCCTAACATGCATGAATAATTTTGATATCCTAAATCTTAGAAATAACAAAAATACAAAGTAAAAGCATACAAACTTGCACTATAACGTCATAAACATTAACATAATGTCATATGGAGACACGATTATCTCTACTCTCTGGTTAAATGTGGTTGTGAACGAAGGAGGGACGAGATTCTCAAAATTAAGGTTGAGATTTGGGTGTCGTTGTGTGAGTTGGGAATGTGATCGAATGGGCTATTAACACGTATTGACAAGTCAGTTGGGTCCACAGTTTGGTCCGGTAAACCGCGGTCTAGACCAGACCAGACCAAGAGATCAAAACATAAAATAAACCAGACCATGGACCAGACCAGACCATACTTAACGGTCTACGATCCAAACCAAACTGTGCGGTACAGTTTGAACCACGATTTTTCTAACGGTCTGATCTATTTTCCCAGCCCTAGTCTTATACCTAATGTTGGTGTTCCTTCTAATTATTAATCATGTGCAGTACCTTCCCAATCAAGCAATAAGAGAAGACGGACGGCCATATATGATATAACTTCTATAACTACTTCATAACAATGAGAAGTCAAAGTAAACCACAAATATAATGATTAACGGTTCTTAACAAAGAACACCATTTAAAACATTACGACTAATTAAATCAATGATTGTTTGGTATATATGCATAGTGATATTTTTGATATTTTCGACTGCTAATACATTTTAATTTATCAAAAGTTTTCAACGTAATATTATATAAAAAAAACTATTTTACCATATATTTTTTTTCCGAGATGAACCACCTTGAACGAAATTCTGTCTACGCCACACCACACGTTTTGGTAGACGCTCGCTGTTGAGTGGCCAAAACATAGAGATCCCGTCGTCCGTCGCTGATAAGGACTGCCCCTAAACTATTAACTTCTTGCGGCCGATCCTCTCCAATCCACGGCCGTTGCGTGAAAGCTAGTGGCACCCCACGTGGCACTTTCCAGGAAAGCCTTTCCTAGTTCCTGTTAACAACCGAACAGAAAAATAGGGTTACCGATCTGGCTGAGTCGCGGACTAGGTCGCTCTCTTTAAGACGTTCGCGGCACTGCCTCGTTATTCGCACAGCAGACTATCAGCCGGTCGCCTCCAGGATAAAACAGCCACTCTTTTGATATGCTCAGCGGTTTTGTGCGGAAAACCGGAGCTCTTTAAATCTCACTCTCTCTTGTGTTTTTGCTCTTCTGAGGTGTATATAGAGGGTCTAGGGCGTCTCCTATTTATAGGAGCAGAAAACCCAGAATATTCCCTCTTTCTTTGGGAATAAGTCATATTTTAATTAGGGAGATAATTACTCCCATAATTAAAATATAATCTATTAAGATAATTATTCCTAATTATCTCCATAATATTCATTTTATTAATTATCCATCTTATTTATGTATTATTGGAAAATACTGGATAATTAATTAGGAATTTCATTATAGCTTTTCAAAGCTATTCATCCCAACAATCCCCCACTTGAATAGTTTGAAACTATCTCTGAGCATCAACAGTTCCATAAGATCGGGCATAAGCTAAGGTATCGCGAAGATTTGAACCTTAGCGTAGTGGTTACACTTCCGATTTCATAAGGGTGACTCGTAGTCTTGAACCCTATCTCAGACAATGTAGCACACCGGATCTTTTCATTGAGTGATATTCTCTCATAGGCCGTGCGTTTATGGCCATGCACGTTATCCCGGTTTAGTGAACGCTCTAGCAACTTTGTGCCTCCAAAGTTCCATAGGGAGTGGCCTCACTCCCACATTCACATAGGTGAGTCTATCAGAAGTACCCCCAAAGTAAAGTACTTCACTCCACATAGAGTATAGATCTCATTAAGAGTTTAACTCAACCTCCAAGGCTTTGGGATTCATGCTTCACTATGCATGAACTTTTCTCAATATTACTCATGACTTGTTATTACCCATTGAACCCGTTTCTTGGGATCTCCAGTCTATCGGGTCGGGTTACCATCACTTGTAATCCATGGTTCGGTAGGCATAAGTCTCATACCCATCATGGCACTTTGGACTTCTCTCTAGTTAATCCTTTCGTCAAAGGATCAACTAGATTCTGTTAGGATCTTACATGATCCACCCTCATTGCTCCTATCGTTAGGATTCTCTTACAGTACTGTGCTTACGACAAATTTGTCGTCTCTTTTTGTTCTAGAACCGGTTCCCTTCTATTGCAATAGCTGCGGTGCTATCACAATTAAACAACTACCGGAGGGATCGGTCTTTCCCATAAGGGAATCTCTAGTAGTGACCCTCTCAATCAACTTTCCTCTTTACTAGCAATTGCTAGTTCTATCATTTCTGATTTCTTAGTTGATTGAGCCAGGATCGTTTACTTCTTAGACTTCCAAGACATAGCTTCTCTATCGATGTTTAAAACACAGCCTCTTGTTGTCTTGAAGTCCTCTATAGGGTATTCTAATCCGCATCACTATACCCTACCAATACAACAAAACCATTGATAACAAATACCAAGGTTTTTCTGTTCTTTTAAGGTGTCTCATGACCCCTTTCAATAGCATTTCAATGCTTCATACTAGGACAATCAGTAAGCCTGCCAAGTACCCCCACTATGTCGGGTCTCATGTTTATCAGCTGCCTCTCGCATACTGTCGATGCTAGTATGTTCTTACTTTCTTACACCGTCTTTGGTGCTCTTAAAAATTACACTAGCACCATCAAACATTTATGCAGGTGTAGAACTCGTATTTCCTCTAGATCTAACTGTGTAGTTAAACTGATCTAGATGAAATCTCTTTCATTGTCCTAGTAATCTGGATCTCCGAGCATAACACTTTGCTTCATCTATATCTTTTTACCTTCATAATTCTCAAACAACATGGTTTTTCATAATATTGACATCACGAGTCTTTGTACCAAAGACCGAAGTGTCATTCATAATGCAAGTGTCATTCTCAAAGTTGAACTAAATGCACTTGTCACTTTCACTTTTAAAACCATGAGAGAGAACCATTTATTCATGCCATTGTCTTAGAGTCTATTTCAAATCTTACAATGATTTGTCTAACTATAGACTCCCTAAGTATGTTCAAGAATAACAACCCTATAGGTTGTCCCATGTAGATTTTCCTATCTAAATCACCATTCACATAAACATGTTTAACAATCCATCTGACGCACAACACTAGCAATCAGAACATCCATGGATGTTATTCTACATATGGTGAATAGATAACAAAAAATTTACAATTTTTCCTTTTCGCTTAAAGCCTTAGCTATTAGGCGATCCTTATACTCATAAACTAAACCAATAGGTTTCACTAATAATGCCAAATCTTGTTCGATTCTATCGATATATTACCCACGGCTTTTCAACCAAGAGGTAACTCTACAAGATTTTAAGTCTTATTGGACTAATAATTCCATTTCGTTAATAATGGATTCTCCCACAATTCTGCATCTTTATGGAAGTTCGAACTTCTAGCAGACTTGTAGGATCTTTCTTTCTTAGGGTGTAAATAACAAATTCATAACCAAAAACCTTAAGAGATTTCAGGTTCATTTGCTTCTTCTGAGTTTAAACTCATATTTATTACCCCCACTAGTTCCATTATTTCTAATAGTAGGCAGGACACTACCCCCACTATTTCTTGATTTAAAATGGAAGTTTCTTGGCATTAATGGATTTCACAACAACATGAGTATTTCGTTTCATAGGAACTATGTTTTTTTTATTGTTAACAACATAAAACACACTCATATGCTCTTCTAGTTATCATGTTACACTGATTTTCTAACGCTACCACATGCATGCCACATATCGAATAATCAGTGCAATCATAATGCAATTAGGCATTTCAAACCATTTCAAATAACTAGTCTGACAATCAGAGCACTCTAAAGAGCAATAAATTGTTTATTGTCTTTTCCATCAAGTTTACCCACATCAGATCTATTTATTCTGATTCTCTAATCACATATTTATGGGTCATTTAGTTTGGATATAGAAAATTCATATTTTTCTCACGTATCCAATAATAATATGGGAATGCGATATAAGATATTCTAATTCTTCACACAGACACACTTGGAAGAATTTATCTTATCTACTTAACCATTCCTTACATCTAGGATAGTCAATGACTTTCTAGAGGCAGAGTCCTCTTCCACTTTTCCAGAACCATCAACAATAGTGGTAAGGGTCTTGCCCAACAACACTTTTTCCTTCAATATGCGTCAATGTATGATTGAGCTTAGCTCGTTTATCACACACATATCTTCAAGCGGTCCTATCCAACAACCATTCTTCAGAGTTACCATTAAGGCTAACCTCTGTCATCACCTCAATGAATATTATTACCGAATCCTCTTCTTTAGTCAAGTTAACACTAGGTTAAACTTGTTCTTACACTTTCGTGTCTTATGACCTAGTTTCTCACAATCATAGCAGAGAAAAATAGTGTCATTCTTAGAGGATTAACTGGTAATCTTTTGGTTACCACGAAGGGTACCATTCTAATTGGTGTGGATATGGTTCGACTTGTTGCTCTCATTCTTGAAACTTTAATGTTTCAGATCAACATAAGTGGTTCACCTAGTATTGACAACAATACTTCTTCTCTTGTCATTACTATGGGCAAGTAACCCATTCTGTTCCCATAAATATTCTTTCTTCGTACCCGTGTAAACATCATTATTCTATTCCAACGCATGTATTAAGTTTCATACTCTAATCATCGAGATAACACTTCTTGATGTCGACATAATCATGCATCAATTCTCGTTTCTCAAGCATTCTTAAGATTTCTCAATTACATGCATAGAAAAGTATGGAATAGATTCTACTTTATCATTTAGTAATGACTCACGAGGAAGTTTCAGTTACTTACCTTTGTCCGGTAAGAGTATATCGTCTCCCATGTCCTCGAACTGCTGGTCGAAGTTAGTAGGCTTCCTTTTTCAGCAAGAGCCATGCCACTTGATCAAAGGTTTGGCACGCACCAAGGTTGGGCGGGCAGCACGCCCCTCTTACTGGCTAGACACGAAGAATAGCTCATTGGAATTTTATTTGTAAGCAGCAAGCCACCTTCGTGCGACATCATGATCTGATAAATATTTGGCCCACCATCATTTAACAAAATTTCGCTCATCTGCAGGCCACTTGTATTTTCATTAAGCCTCAGATTGGGCTTGTCAATACTCGGCCCAATTGAAAACCTCATACCCGCCTTTTGCCCTTTTCTACCGTGCAACAATTCATCACGAGCCTCCTTGCTGTGGATCTCTAGGTATCGGGCTTCCCGGAATAACCTAGTCCACTAGCCGATATACCTTTATATGTCTGTCATTATCGGAGACTCCATCTTTTGTTTCTACGACGCCGGCAGTTGGAAGATTCTCCGAGCCTCAATATCGTGGATCACTGGAGGAAGGCCAGTTGAGGACCTCGCTCTGCAGAATAGAAGCTACGGACGGAAGGAACAACCACCGGCGTAGGGCGGCAGACTCAGATCTCTCTGCTCACCTCGATATCTCTGAGCCCCTTTCTTTTATAATTCTTCTTTATGTCGTCCTTTTGCCGGGACAACATGTTCATTCTTCCGCCACCAATATAACTATTTAGCTTTGGAATTAATTTATGCTTCTTCCTGTCCCTTCATGATTACCGCCACTACCTATTCTTCTTCTCACAAACACCATGAGCAAGATAAACAATAAAAGAACAAAAAGAAACAAATTGAGTAAAAGGAGGGAAGTGCTCAATTCTCCCTTGCGATGCCATTTCAGTAGTGGTGATAATTGTGGCTAGCGAAATAGGTTTGGGCATCGGCAATTTCTTGCCTTTCGTTGGAGCCAGATGCGATAATCTGTTCAGTACATGTAACAGCAACACCACGTCTTAAAATTGTTAACAACCGAACAGAAAAATAGGGTTACCGATCTGGCTGAGTCGCGGACTAGGTCGCTCTCTTTAAGACGTTCGCGGCACTGCCTCGTTATTCGCACAGCAGACTATCAGCCGGTCGCCTCCAGGATAAAACAGCCACTCTTTTGATATGCTCAGCGGTTTTGTGCGGAAAACCGGAGCTCTTTAAATCTCACTCTCTCTTGTGTTTTTGCTCTTCTGAGGTGTATATAGAGGGTCTAGGGCGTCTCCTATTTATAGGAGCAGAAAACCCAGAATATTCCCTCTTTCTTTGGGAATAAGTCATATTTTAATTAGGGAGATAATTACTCCCATAATTAAAATATAATCTATTAAGATAATTATTCCTAATTATCTCCATAATATTCCTTTTATTAATTATCCATCTTATTTATGTATTATTGGAAAATACTGGATAATTAATTAGGAATTTCATTATAGCTTTTCAAAGCTATTCATCCCAACAGTTCCTACCTCCTTTCCACCACCGACGCGTGGACGACCTTCATTCTTCACACGTGTAGCTCGCCGGCCAGTCGGTAATAGTGGCTAGGTGCGTGGTGCGGGAGTTTTTGTCGGCCTCCGGTCGTTCCCATTCCCGGCCGTCACGCTCATCCCACGTGCCAGACTCCTTCTTCGGCGAGACTTCCCGCGATTTCAGTTCTCTATGGTAATTCCAAGGTGGCTGGCAGCGTCTGTATAAGAGTGACGGTTAATTTAGCTAGCTTAGTACTGTCTGAATCCGGAGACTCCGACCAAGTCACTTTTAGTGTTCCGGATTACTAGTAGCTTAGTTATGTCAAAGTTTTAAAAGAGAAAAATGACACGAACAAAACCAAGGACCAATATAAGATGTGGACTTCAACCAGAAGATTCTATGAGATATCGATGATATGGCTGATTCACAAGGAATCAAGGAGGAGTTGCCTTTCGTTTGAAGTTTGTATAGATAGACCATAACTTGTGAATTAATCAATATAATTGTTAATATTGGCGGTTTAGGAGATTACAACAAACGATTTGGCTAAATTTTTTTTAAAAAAAATTAAAGATTTGGCTAACAAATTTTATTTACTAACCGAAATTAATTTCATATTTGTGGAATCTAATGCGGTAGTTGATGTAAAGCGCCGTTAACGATAACAAATTAACTATTAAAATTTTCAATGTTATGAAATGTCTGGCTAATATTTTGTATTTTAAAATATCTAGCTAATATTTTGTAAACATTTTTTTTTTACTAATATATTGTATTTATCAGGGGTGGAGCTAGGATTTGACGATCGGGGGGCCGGAGCTATTTAGCGTATAACTAAAAAAACAAACAAAAAAATTTTATAATAAAAATTAATAATTTATTTTCTATTATTACAATGACACAAGGAAAACTATGAGAAAAAAATTAATCATGCAAATTACCGTCTAGTATGTTTCTCTGTATTTTTATAACTGAAAAATGAATATTTACAAGTATTATTGTTTGAAAAAAATGAAATAACCAATATATAAATAAAATATTTATTAGAAATAAGAAATTAGATGAAGTTACTTGATCTATTTTGAAATCACATGACTTATAAACACAAATTAAGAAAGTTATATGATTAAATACAATGATTAATAATTTAATATATAACTAAGAGATTCTTTAAAAATAAGAATTTAAAAGTTGAAGAAATTACTTGAACTACTTTTAAAGCACTTGACATGTAATTACAAACTATGAAAGTAATTGCCTTTGGTTACATCACATTAAAGCTTATTGTAAAAAAAAAAACATTAAAGCTATAACAAGTTTTTTTCACATTAAAGCTTATTGTAAAAAAAAAAAAACATTAAAGTTGTAACAAGTTTAAAAATGTAAAATTTTACCTTCCTCCAGGCTCAAACCCAGGTTAATTAGAGAAACATGCAGTATCATTTCCGCTAGACTGCCTTAAGATCCATGTTCTATAGTTGTACGCGGCATATATTTATTAAACAACCTTCATTTTATACGTAATTTACCCTAAGTTCGATAAATTTTGTACGTAATTTCAAAATTCTCGGGGGCCGGGGCCCCCCCGAAGGCCCACCTAGCTCCGCCCCTGGTATTTATTCTAAAAACTTAATGGTCGATGATTCCGCTCACTGAAATATATCGAACATCCTAACATTTGAAATGTGATATATTCCAAAAACATATCTAACAACCAAAACATTTGAAATATGGTATACTTCAAAAGTACAACAATCATTAAATGTAAGGTGGAAGCCAAGTGTGTGGAAATGGATTCTCAGCCGTTAATCTCGGTTTAGTGATTCTTGCGTGGGGCCGGCGACCGGAATCTTTGATATCAACGGTGTGTTTTAGGCGAGAAAACAAAAATCTAATGTCACGATAGAGTAGTTGGACATTTTGAGCTCCCTGTTTCTTTCAGTTAGTTAGATGGCCTGCAGAGATTAATCAAATGTGAATGAATGGCTTCTACATTACAAATTAAGTTGGACTGACCCTCATGATCGAAGACTTGAGAGATGCATGCATGTGGTGGTAATTTACGTAGAAGAGTCTTCTTCCATAATCTAGAGGAGATGTCACCAATCACTTTCCCCCCAATAAATATCTATTTACATTAAAATTTTAATGGGCATGGGTTCAAGTGCCAAAGCAAACCACGGAAATCATGTAAAGGAACAAGATACAGGATTTATGTGGTGTTTCTATTTGACATGAACAGAACTACTCCACAGAGAGAGCTCTCTCAGACAATATTACTATCACAATAATTTGATATATTTGGTTCTGATGACCCTACGTACATATATATCATCAAAATATATAATTAACTTTAACTCACCTTTAGAACATTCGGGAGAGCGTTCCATGTAAACAATTTCCTTCAGATCGTCGTTTAAGAACGCGTTCTAGATATCAAGTTGACGAAGAGGCCAATTATGCGTAGCAGCCACAACAAGAACAGTACGAACAGTCTGCATACGAACAATCAGGGCAAATGTCTCATTATAATCAATGACAAATTCTTAACTGGAACCTTTGGCGACAACTCGAGCTTTACACTGCTCGAGGGAGCCGTCGGGATGAAGCTTAACAATATAGACCCAACGAGAACCGACAATAGGAACTATGGGCGGGGAACTAAGTCCCACCTATGATCACTTCCAATTCAGCAGTCTCAACATCCATAGCATCATCCCAAATGGGATCCTCTTTAGCTTGACGATAACTATGCGGAACATAGATAGGTGCAACAACATAAGTTACGTAGTTGTCCAAGAGATAGGAAGGAGGTTGTCCCAAATTGGTCTCTTAAATGGCCGCAGAGGAGGAGGAGGAGGAGGTGCGGCCACTGCGGCTGGCGGTGAAGGCGGTGGGTCAAGATCAGCGAGAGGAGTCGGTCCAGCTCGGGGAATAGGATCGTCATCAGCATCATCGTTGAGCAAAGGAGGGAAAGCCTGCGAGAAGTCACAGGAAGCACGACCAGCAGAGGAATCCGAAGCATAATACAGGAGATGCTAGAAAAAAGATAACATCCCGAGATATACGTTGACGACATTGAGTCGGATCATAACATAAAGAAGTCATTGTGACGGTCACTATAGCCGATGAAGACTCATTTTGCTATTTTAGAGCTCAATTTATGTCATTCTCGATGAGCTAACAGAACAAAACATATACAGCCAAGCACACGGAGTTGTGAGTAGTCAGGCTGTTTTCCGTATAAGGCATAATATGGTGATTGATTTTGGAGAACTGGTGTAATTTGACGGTTAATAAGATGGACAACAGTGTGAATAGCCTCGACCCAAAAATACGGCGACACATAAGAGTGCAGAAGAATGGGACGCGCAAGCTCTAGAATGTGACGATTCTTCCATTCCACCACACCCTTCTGTTGTGACACTCCAGGATAGGACCATTGTGACAAAACTACTTTAAATTTATATAAATCATGTAGGAAAATAAAATTAAACTCACCACCAGGATCAGACCGAAGTATCTTCATAGTTCGCTAGAACTGGGTTTGAATTATGCGAATACAATCTTTAGCCACGGTAACCAATTCAAATTTAAATCACAATAAATAAACCCACTTGTAACGAGTAGCCTGGTCAACAAATGATGTAAAATAGCGATAACCAAGGCGCGATGTCATAGGAGACGGCCCCAAAGGTTAGAATGAACAACATGAAATGGCTCAGTAATGTCACTAGTAGTAGCCGAGAAAGAAAATTGAGCCATCTTAGCAGCCATGCAACTTATTAGGCAACAATGTGGCAACCCTGCTCAGCTAACTGCCCAACGCTGGCTAGATTGGGAAATAGCTGGGGAACATATAAAGTATCAACCAACTCAATCGAATTACTCTGTATATGACCAATCCCGGACGTAGGAAGATGTGCCCCATTGGCAACTTGAAGAGACATATCCGTAACTGGCTGAGTATGAGTAAAGGCTGAACGAAGATTATGAGTCATATGATTGGAGAAAGCAAAATCTAGTAGCCAATGAGAATTACCTGAACCAGAAGTAATGGAGAAAGCAACATTAAGAGTCGTAGGAAGAATACGCTGAAGAGCCTGCTGAAGAAGGTTGTGGAGAGACTCAGTGGTAAGACTCGAAGCGGCAGGAAGGGAAGCAGCGACAGGCGGAGAAGCATTCGCAGCTTGAACAACAAAAGAAGTGCCAGTGAGAAATCCAGAGCCAAAAGGAGCACCAGGACGTGGAGGACGATTCTTCATGCGTGGAAAGAGTGATGTGGCCAGTGCGTTTGCAGCATGGTTCGGGATTTTGTAGTACGATCATGGTTCATCAACTATTTTGTACCGATAAATACCGTTTTTGTAATAATAAAATATGTTTTTTTGTCGAAAAATCGTACCGACAAAATCAGGCTACCATACCGGAGTAATACTGAAATATAACGGTCACTAAAATATTTAAATAGTCATAACTACCATACATTAATCAACAGACAGGAGAATGGGACACGGAGATGGACACACAAAGATAGTTGATTTTCAAGCTCAAACTGACGAGAGCAGTCTAGTTGCGAATGGGACACGGAGTGTAGTGAAGGAGCGGAGAGTTAAAGCTACAGTTGGATCAACAGACCGGAGAAGCCAGCTTTTGATTCGCACATTGTTGCTTTTCCAAGAAGCAACATCTTCGGCTTTGGCAATCGCAGCATCCGGGCAGGGTGTAGCACCATCAAGGATGCTAAGAAGACCCTTTCCCTCAACAAAGGTAGTAAATTGAAAAGCCCACAACTGATACTTGGAGTCATTAAGGCGCTCCCCCAAAGATTCACCACGTTCGAGCTTCATGATAATAGACAGAAAACGAGCTGAAGCCACAAAGAAAGGCGGAGGAATACGTACCCAGAAATACATCCGAAGCCGAAGAAGGAGATACCCGAAATACATCGACAGAGAAAAACGGTAAACACAAACGATCAGAATACGCCGACCAACATAGACCGGGAAAGAAGAAATCCCAGATGAGAGCAAATCAAAATAGCTCTGATACCATGTCAAGCCATTCACGTAAATCATGTAAAGGAATAAGACACATGATTTACGTGGTTTCCCTACTCCAATGAGAGCTAGCACTTCAGATAATATTACTATCACAATAATCCGATAACATGTTTTGATGACCCTACGTACATATATATATATATATATATATATATATATATATATATCCAAAATAGATAGTTAACCATAGTCCATAGCTCTACTAATTACACAATGGTACACCCGACATTATATATTAACATCAAGTATATTTATAGGTTAATTATGGGTTGAGACTCAAGATCTATAGAAAGATTGCGATCTCCAAAGTTGTAGTTGTGGATGATCATGGATTTTTTTAAATATTAACCATGAATCGATAAAAAACTCTTTTATATTTTTATAGAAAGATTTGTCTGTCAATTTAGTACATATATGACAACTTGCCCTTTTTATCGCATAACTCTGTCCTCGAGCCCGAACTTTTAATTTTTTTGCAGCACTACCCTCATTGACTTAGCCTTTAGTAATAACTAAATCGTCTTTCTAAAAATCCTAATTGTGATTACCATTTGCGGTGGCAGAATAAAGTACTTTCAAAATTGGAATATCAAATTGAAGTCAAATTCTATTTAATTTGATTTAATTTGGCCTTAAGAAATATGATCATATTTGACTCACGTAAATCAAATTATTATCACCTTGATCACCAAGCACCCATAAATGTACATCAAAATTAATTAATCAGTCATCCTTAATCTAATTATACAGTACTCCACACCATACATCTCCGATCTTCATCTTTCATCGACGGAGATAAATATTTTTGGTAAGAAGATAAATGCTAATTGCTTATTACTTTATTTCATTAACAATTCGAGGTTGAGAAATTCCCAGAATATCGTAAATTCATAATTCAACCACCTATGTAGCTTTGAGCTGCATACATGAACATGATATGTAACAAAAGGCAAGTTATGGCCCGAAACTAGCAAGATAGTCGACCGCTATGTTTCTTTTTCTATAAACATGAGAGAGGATAATTCCCATTAACGATTCATAAGTTAACAAACTTGTCAAGCCAACAGTCCATGTATGTGGTTATCCTGTGTATAGTTCTTAATGATCGATATGGCTGTAGATGAGTCAAGTTTAAGAGGAACTCTTCTATATCCTTTATCCCAAGCAATATGTAAACCAACAACTGCACCATTGAGCTCTACAACGGTAATGGAGCAGGTTCCAAGTTACACACAAAAGCCTCAAATCATCTACTCTAATGTCTTTGAATATGCCTTCAAGTGGTGATCCACCTCATGAAAAGAGGACAGAGCCATCAGTTTGGATATGTAGCCATCTCCCAGAAGGACTCCAGGCACAGATAGCTTGTAGATGTTGAACCAAACCTGAATATTATAAGTCAAATATTTTTTTTTTTAGAGTAGTGTTTCCCATCCATATATTTTTTATGCTCTGTTTCCAAATATGCCAAACAATCAACCCAAAATCAATTTCGTGTACAACATTGTTCTGATTAGTCGACTTCCAGCTTTGGAATGACATATTGCTTCCCTTTTTCATGATAATATTCCCCAACTTCTCCCAAATCTCAGTTGTCTTCTTGCAGGTTCAAATGATGTGTTTAATGGTCTCTTCTTCGTTCTTACAATGGTCACAGTTGCCATCAGTGGTCAACTTCCTCTTAACACGTTCTTTATTGGTTAGAATTCTGTCATGCATGACCAATTAGAGGTAGTGCTTAGTCGGCTTAATCCATCTATTATCACTAACAACCTTAGAAATTCAATGGCTTGGATCGAATTTCATATATGACGTGAAGAGCATTTTTTTTCTTTGTAGTTTCCTAAAATAGGTAATACCTAATAAGAGTTATATGAATAATATGCCCTTCTACTTTACATTTTTTTTCAAACATACCCTTTTACTTTGAATCACATCAAATCTACCCTTCTATTATTACCAACTGTTCAAAACTGCCCTTCTGTTTGTTTTGTCGCCCCAGAACTGTCCAATCCGGTCCAACCAAAACATATTTATGATTCATGCGGTAATTTGGATATAATTCACCACTTCAATCTAATACATCTATTAAAATTCTAATAATTCAATCCATTTAATCAAATTCAATTTTTATGATGACATTTAGTTCCTAACATTTTTATAATGGTTCAAGGTTTAGATGCCACTTAAATTCATGAATCCATCACGCCATTTAATTGAATAAATAAATCCACTAATCCAACCCACCAATTCATGAATACATAGATTTAATTTTGCTGTTGTTTCACAAAATTTATTGTATCCAAATTTAATTTGTTTTCTGACCACTATGGTTTTGTGATAGCTTCTCTATGATGGATATATAACTTGATGTTAATTATAGGCACCATTATGTAAAAATAGCCTATAAAATGTGTATGAGACTTTACAAAAATAGGAACTTAAAATATGAGATGGCGATTCTCTTCGAGAACTAGTGTCACTTGACATGCCACTTTAAGAAACTATTTGTTTTGTACTTTCAGGTAGATCGATTGACACTTGGAACCATGGAAGCTTAATTAATAGTTATTGGCGAAGCTAGGGGTGATAATTAGGTTGGTTAGCGATATCCATTAACCGATAATTACGATTATCCGACCCGCCAAGGGTTAACGATTAACTGTTGATGTGATTAGAAGTTATTGTAGCGGTTAACTGCCTACCCGCCTGAAAAAGATGGAAAAATACCCATAATTTCGGATATCCACCCGAAACAGACCCGATCAGGTAGGATAAAACCCTATGAAAATAAAATACCAGATGATATGGTTAAAATCCAAACTCGAATATCATGAGTAATGAAGCGGTATGATTTTCTCACTATCCAACTGAAACCCACCCGATTATACATGCATAACAACATTTTATATATATTTTTTTTAGTTTAACATATTCACGATTTCTAGTATATTTCTAGCATCTCTTGAACAAGGGTTCCTTTTTATTATTTCTCTTAGTATTGGATTTGTTATTTATAATTCTTCACTTTTATAATTTAGTATGTTAGTGATTAGTAACACAACAATAGTTGAGAAGATAAAAAAAAAGAATATTATCCATGATACTCGAAACCTAAACGAGTATGGATCTGATTTTAATTTTCTACCCGAATCTTGCACGAATAATACCCTAACTAGTTATGGTAGGATAACGGATAGTCACTATCCGTACTCGATCTGACCTGTTGCTATCCCTATCAGTTAGCGATGCAGTTAGCAGTTAAACCATTAACGCCATAATCGTTTATCACCCCTAGGCGAAGCCATAAATCTTCATACATGGATTGAAAAATCTACACTTAGAGAGATTTGAACTATAGTCATTAAGAAGGAGAGCTAGAAACTTACCAATTAGTATATTTTTGAAATTTGTTACAAATTTACATGTAAAGTTACGTACATGTAAATGTTGAGAGAGCTATAGTCCCTAGACTCAACCAAGCTAAACACCTTTTATGGAATCATGTTTAATGGGATTTTTTGTATTGGTTATTTATTGTGGAGTTTTGGATGTAGAAGATGACATTAAGATCTGGATACAAAATTTATTAGGTATTCAGTTTTTAGGTATTAGAGAAGCAATTAAGATAGATAAAAATGACGATAAAAAAAAGACAGATAAAAATGAGTAGAGGAGCAATTCGATAGATATAAAATTTAAAGTGAATTTTTGAAATAAAATCTAACATATTGTTTGATAAAAATAATTCTACAATTTGAAATGAAATATTTTTTATATTTAAAATATAAATGAATTCATTATTTAATGATAAACACAAATTCACCTTAATAGACCCAACTCAAGTAAAGTTATGAAAACGATCAACGGAATTCAAATTCAAAATACTAAAGAACTCCTTATAACTCCACCATTATGTATCGAGAGTAGGAATGATAATGAGGCAGGTCGGGTCGGGTATCTCGATATACATACTTGTATCATGGTAGGTTGGATCTTAGTCGGGTAATTTATTACGGGCTGCGGTCGAAACAGGGCGACTCATATGAGTATGTAATTTAAACGTAAAACTTTGAAACTATTCATTAGATATTATTATGTAATAAAAGTAAAATCCTCGATAATTTGAGTAAAATTACATGTGATTTAAGCAAAAACGAATAAGAAATGAGATGAGTCAGGACATATCAGATTGGAAGCACTACTCATGCCCGTCCTACTCGCCCCAAACAGGTTGGTAAAACAGATTAGATCCAAATTGCCATGGGTCTATCATCTATGGGAGATTTACAACTTTGATTAGGCCCAAAATATTTCTATTCATAAGTCGGGCCTATAGCTTCCCCACTCCTTACTAGACTAAATAATTAAATACATAATTGTTTTCAGCATTCAAGGAGAATTTAGGTACGTATTAGTAATTTTTCCGAGACCACAGCATCAAGCTCCCGAATTCATCTCCCACTCTTTCCCCTTCTGCTCTGTAAATTTACGGTTTTTGCCTCTTTTCTTTCGGCAGACGACTACGATTTTGACTGCTTAGATTCTGACTAAACTATAAAAATCTCAATCTCCAAATCCTCTAGGGTTTTCTGATCTTCCTCAATTCCCACTCTCCTTCTCCATCCCAAAAACCCTAGTTCCTAACCACCCACAATCATTACACCTGCGCTTGCTCTCTTCCATTCAACCCCGAAGAGGTAAGCTTTCTCGAAACCCTGCGTGGATAACGGAATTGAACTCGAAAGATTCACTGGGTTCCCTTTGAATCCAATCTAAAACCTAGGAAAGTGATCGGGCGCAGCTAAAAAATTGATCTTTTATTTGCCGTTGATTGTAAAATAAGAACACCATGGATGATCTTGAAAAGGCCGTGCTTATCAGTTTTGATGAAAGGGGCACAGTTGATTCCGCTCTGAAATCTCAGGCAGTTGCTTTCTGCCAGCAAATGAAGGAGAGCCCAACTGTGGGCCGGGTTTGTATCGAGAAGCTTGTCTTTTGCAAGCTCGTTCAGGTTCAGTTTTGGTGTTTGCAAACTGTACAAGAGGTCATTAGTGGTAGATATAGTTTGTTGAGTTTGGAAGAGAAGGATTTCTTCAGGAAGTCTGTCTTTTCATTGTGTGGCTTTGATGGAGTTGATGACGAGAATGCTGCGAGGTTTCTGGACGGTCCTGCATTTATAAAGAACAAGCTTGCTCAGGTTTTGGTTACTCTAATCTACTTCGAGTACCCTTTGGTATGGTCTTCGGTTTTTGTTGACCTGTTGCCTCAGTTGAGCAAAGGGGCACGGGTAATCGATATGTTCTGTCGTGTTTTGAATGCCTTGGATGATGAGTTGATCAGTTTGGATTATACACGGACTGCAGACGAGATGGTGGTAGCAACCCGCGTTAAGGATGCAATGAGGCAGCAGTGTATAGGGCAGATAGTGAGAGTTTGGTATGACATTGTATGTATGTACAGGAATACTGATCAAGAGCTCTGTTCGGGTGTTTTGGACACGATGAGGAGGTATATCTCGTGGATCGATATCGGTCTGGTTATGAATGATATTTTTATGCCATTACTATTCGAGTTGATCCTCGTCGATGGCGGTTCAGAACAGCTTCGTGGTGCAGCCTGTAGTTGTGTCCTTGCTGTGGTTTTTAAGCGAATGGAACCACAACCTAAGTTGAACATATTGCAAGGCATTCAGATTGATCGTGTTTTTGGGTTGGTTACCGGCGATAGTGACTCTGAGCTGGTATCAAAAGCAGCTGCATTGATCACAGGTTTTGCTGTTGAGGTGCTAGACTGCAATAGGCGAGTAAGCACTGAGGATGCTAAAAAGGTGTCAACGGATCTTTTGAATGAAGTTCTGCCATCAGTCTTTTATGTAATGCAGAACTGTGAGGTTGATGCTACTTTTAGTATAGTTCAATTTTTATCAGGTTATGTGACCACTATGAAAAGCCTCTCTCCATTAACAGAGAAGCAGCTGCTTCACGTCAGACAGATATTGGAAGTCATTCGTTCACAAATTCGCTATGATCCTGCTTATAGGGGTAATCTTGATACGCTCGATAAGATTGGGAGAGAGGAGGAAGATAGGATGGTGGAGTTCAGAAAAGACTTGTTTGTATTGCTCTGTAATGTGGGCCGTGTTGCCCCTGAAGTTACTCAAGTGTTCATAAGAAATGCATTAAATAGTGCTGTTGCCTCTTCATCTGATGTAAATGTAGAGGAAGTGGAAGCTGCCCTTTCTCTTTTGCACGCTATTCGAGAGTCACTGAGTGATGAGTCCATTAGAAATGGATCTGGTTTGTTGAGTGAGTTGGTGCCAATGTTAATCTCAACAAGATTTCCCTGCCATTCAAGTAGATTAGTTGCGCTCATGTATTTAGAGACGATTACTAGATACATGAAGTTTGTGATGGAGAATACTCAGTATATTCCCATGGTTCTGACTGCATTTTTAGATGACAGAGGAATACACCATCAGAATCTCCATGTGAGCCGCAGAGCAAGTTACCTGTTTATGCGAGTTGTGAAATTGCTGAAAGCAAAGCTTGTACCTTTCATAGAGAAAATTCTGCAGGTATGTAGGAAATACGAAGTAACATCTTTTCTGCTTCATGCAATCACCTATGGAATTTATCTACGCTATTTGTAATTTCTGCTCACAATTTTCTTGTTCTCTGACACATCTTTTATTGATTTAGCAGAGCCTTCAGGATACGGTTTCCCATTTCACAAGTATGGATTTTACATCTAATCAGTGTTCAGGAGCTGAAGATGGTAGCCATATATTTGAGGTATTCTGCTTCTCTCTCTGTTGCACCTTTACATGCTGATAGATTTAGAAACATGAATGGTCAGTTGAACACACTAATGTTGCTTTTCATTTTCGCAAATATTATTTTTAGAAGGGTTTGCTTGTTGCTGTTTCAATATCTTTAATTATTATATCACAGGCAATAGGTATATTGATCGGGATGGAAGATGTACCACTTGAAAAGCAATCCGAGTACTTGGCTTCATTGCTTACTCCTCTTTGTCGTCAGGTTGGGACTTCTCTCGTGCTATACCGGAGCTTTGTTCTATCTCTTACTTTTCTTTTCTTGAACAAACTTTCCTTGGAACAATGTCTAATAGCTAAACCCCGGTGGACGCTTTTTGAATTGTTGTTGATTCCAGATTGAGGTATTGCTCATGAATGCCAAGATACTGAATCCAGAAGAGTCTCCTGCAAAAGTTGCTAACATTCAGCAAATAATAATGGCAATTAATGCTCTCAGCAAGGTTTGTCTCCTTTGATCCTTGCAGTTTAAATTATTTTTATTTTCCTTATCATAGGAGGGTCGAGAATTGATCACGTCAAGTGGTTGCAAAGGTAGTTTAATTGCTTGTCCGTGGAACTTGTGAAAGAATGCCTTCACATACTTCAGAAGTATAGGTCTCAGATCATATGAGTTCACTAGTTGACTTCTATCATCGACTTTATGTCTTACATAGACACATGCTCAAGTAGCAAAGGTTGTTTATACCATTTTTTGATACCAACTTAGTCCACTTACTACACGTGCAGTTTGTCTTATGTTTTCTTTTTTTGTGGTCCAGGGTTTCAGTGAGCGTCTTGTAAATGCTAGTCGACCATCAATAGGCCTGATGTTTAAGCAGGTTGGTTTCTCTGATCTCTATTTACCACTCATTTTATTTTCTTGATGGAGATTCTTGATATTGTGTTTTGGGTAATATAAGGTCTTATTTACTTCTCCCTGCTGTTTTGTGCTCCAGACGTTGGATGTCCTCCTCCAAATTCTCATAGCATTTCCGAAAATAGAGCCCCTCAGGAGCAAGGTAAGGCTACATTGTGATATGGGTTCTTTATAGTGCTCTATTGTGACATCTTGTTGACAAATATGTATTTCCTTGTATTCTACAGGTTACTTCCTTCATTCATCGCATGATAGACACATTGGGAGCATCTGTGTTTCCTTACCTTCCAAAGGCACTGGAGCAATTGCTTGCAGAAAGTGAGGTAACTCTTATCTTCTTTTCTGAACATAAAGTAGTTTACATTTTTTCATGAAGCAATTATCTGCCATTTTGTTGCTTCTAGTTGTGTGGTCTTTGCTTATGATGGAATCATTACCAATTGTCCTAGCCTTAAAATGCTTCTGTAGTATTCTGTTTTTCTTTACGCATCATAGGGAGTCATGTTTTGTCTGCAGACAAAGGAAATGGTTGGACTACTTGTACTGCTCAATCAGCTCATATGCAAATTTAATACCTCGGTTCATGGCATTCTGGAGGAAATTTTCCCAGCCATTGCTGGTAGGATCTTTACCGTTATTCCAAGAAATGGCTTTCCTTCAGGACCTGGTACCAATACTGAGGTATCAAATTTAAGAAGTCCTCTGTTTCAGCTGATTATGTTTATAATCTATGAACTAAAGATGCAGTTTTGTTTCTTCGTTCTTCTTTCTATTTTTAGGAAATGAGGGAATTGCAAGAACTCCAGAAAACTCTGTACACGTTTCTCCATGTAATAGCTACCCATGGTCTATCGTCAATATTCCTCTCTACCAAAAGTAGAGCTTATTTGGAACCAATGATGCAGTTGCTACTTTTCACAGCTTGTCATCATAAGGATACTGTTGTAAGAAAGGTGCGTTAACTTATTTCGATTTAGCTAATGTTAGATCTTGAATCATCGCACAGTTTTGATTTGGCGATTCTGTTTCTTTTTTCTGAGTCAGGCATGCGTTCAGATATTCATCAGATTAATTAAGGATTGGTCTGTTGGACCTTATGGTGGTGAAGAGAAGGTTTGCCGCTTTCTATTCTGTAATTCATAGTTGGATATTCACTTATGTACGACCCAGATTAATGGGCTAGAGTTTTTTTCAGGTGCCTGGTTTCCAATGTTTTGTGATTGAAGTCTTTGCAACAAACTGTTGCCTGTACAGTGTACTTGATAAATCCTTCGACTTTCGTGATGCAAACACGGTAAGATCTTTGGATATTGTCATTCAGGGTCTATGGTACTAAGTCCCTGTGCTGTATTGTTTTAGCAAATATATTGTTATACTATAAAGTTTAACAGGTAAGTGATTTACACATTTCTAGTCCCTAAATCTTGTCTCAATATTTCTTCTCGAACCCAACTTGTAATTTTAACAGACGTGCCATGGAGAGTCGTTGAGATATGCTTACTAAGCCTGGGTTGATCCAAACCATATGTGTACTCTTGACAAAATAATGTTATTCTAGGGACTAAAGACAGTCGTCATGGTACACGAATCTGTTTGTTGATATGATATGGTACAGGGACTATTAATAGCATTAACCCTACTCTTTTCTTGCTATGTTTGTTGAGGAATCTGATGACAGCAATTTCATTTCCTTACCTCTTTTGCAGCTTGTTTTGTTTGGAGAAATAGTGATGGCTCAGACGATCATGTATGAAAAGTTTGGTAACGAGTTTCTCTTTCATTTTGTATCCAAAAGCTTTCAATCAGCACATTGCCCTCAAGACTTGGCAGAACAATACTGCCAAAAGTTACAGGTAAATAAACCTCTTTAGGCCTGGGGTTCAGTTTCTGAAAGCACCAACATGGATTTCTCGCCCTAATATGCCATCAATAATGTGTGTGCAGGCTGCTGATATCAAAGCCTTCAGATCGTTCTACCAGTCACTGATTGAAAATCTCAGAGGTCAGCAGAATGGAAACCTTGTTTTCAGATAGCAGCAACTGAAGACCGAATGAAGAGATCACGTTCGTTTTCTCTCGACGGATTGCTCTTGAAGTTCATCAAAAGTCGCAAGCTTCCCTTTGTGTAAATATCATTTTTGGGAAAGCCCATCTCACGAACAACGAGGTAATGCAAATACTCACAAGCACACATCCTAGTGTCAATGCTCAGAATCTGTGATTGAATCGGCACTGATCTGGGCTATCTTGATTTGTTGTTTGCTGCAGTTGTATATTTCCGGCATCGGTTTCCTTTCTTTGTCTTGCCAGCTATTCATATTTCCTCTCACCCTCCTAAATTTGTTTGATGTTGTGAAACGTTCATAAGTTTGGCTGAATGTATGTAATCAAAACTTCAAACCTCCCATTTCTTTCCCCAATGAGAAAAATGAGAAAAAAGGGTTTGCAGAAATGGCTACAGTTTTTTTGACACGGCCATATGTTTGGGTTAAACTTTTTGTTCCATTTGTCCTTCGGGTTTCTGCTATGTTCTTCCCTTTTTCCCAGTCTTGCTTGTGTGGAGATCTCGCAACGGGTTGCCCAGTTGTAATTGTGACGAATAATATCAACGGCCACCATAAAGACCAGTGTATGCAAGCAATGAAAAAGAGTCGAATTTGGTTCTCTTTGAATGCCATTAGTGACAGCTTGATCTATGACCCGGGTGATGTATCCTAGGGAAAAGGCAATGAAGTAGAAATAGCTATTATGTCTGTTCCAATTGTTACCTAGTGACAGGGTGGGCAACGCCGTAATGGGTATGTTGGATGGGGTTTGGTGTCATATTGAACTAATCGCTTACTAGCGAGTTGGAATAATTGTGATACGCAATTTACCCATATACTTTTGCGGGTTGGGTGAGTGGCGAATGGGTGCGGTTAGGTCGAGGGTCAACCCGCAAAAGCAATTCTTCAACTAGTTATTAAGAAAGTTGACTAACATTTATAATAAGTTCATAGCAAATTAGTAAGGTTGTATCAATATATTGTAATTTTGATACAATTAATAATTTATACTTTGCATCCGAATATTTAATGAATATTAACAATAATTTGCATACCAATATCCAATATCTAATGAATGTTGCACAACACAATAACCAATAATTTGCATACATAAGTGCGGGTGGGAGATTTATCAAATCCGCAATCCACCCACATCAATCCACCCACATCAATCACCCACTGGGTGCGGGTCGGGTTATCTCGAGTGGATCGATATCTATCCGCGGATTAACCACCCGCGTGCCCACCCCTACCTAGTGATGACAAAAATTGTGGATATTCGCGGGAATCCAACCTAAATTTGTAGGGTAACACCCGAATTCAGAGAATTTTTTGTGAGTTTTGATCAAACTGAATACAAATATTGTGGATAATAAGTGGGCATGAATATGATATTCTCCTCCATCCAACTTAAACCTGCCCAAATATGCATATACATTGTCTAGAAACGACCATTATTTTTAGTAACATATTTGATATTTATGGTACATATATAATATTTTTCATCTCGTCGTGCAAATTATGTAAGACTATATATTTTGATCATAGTGAATGAGGGCTAGTCTAGTTGGTGAGTGAGCATACTTCCCAATATAAGGTCGTGTGTTTGATTCCCTATGACGACACTTCCCTTTCCCTCTAGTAACACCTTGTAACAAGCCATTATATATTTTGTTAGAAATCTTTGATCATAATCATGGCACAACCACAAACCGACTGTTAGGTTGAAATTGAATGGGAAACAAACCAACTTCCATGAAGCTTCTCTATACTTCAACACAGCCAGGACCAGTGGACAACATTTTCAGCAGGCACGTTCCCGCCCCGCCCCCCCCCCCCCCCAAGTCTAACAAAGCCTACTTTTGTTGAGTCCTTGAAGGTTAAATACTAGAATGATTATGAACATCCTGGAAATTCCAGGATACAGAAAAAAAGGTGACGTCTTTAATCATGATAAAAACCATGGTTGTCACCCCGGCCGGCATGCCACTAGTTGAACCTGGTTCAACTTGTACCGGTTATAAAATCGTTATGACGTCACCGGTATGACCGGCAGAATCGATATACGAATCTCTAAGTAAAATGATCTTATATTAGTGAATTTATTTAATAAAAAGTAATTTATTATATATTTTATGTGTTAAAAAGTTAAATGTTGATATTATTTGTTGGATTCAAGTACAAATATTTAGGTATTGACGATAAATGTCGTGCTTAAATATGAGTATTTGTAAATTATTTGTAATATTAACCGATATGAATCGGCACAAACCGGTATGTACCACCGGTCGAACCATTTCACTTGCTAAGCCGACACACTGGCACAAACCGGTTTGACAACCTTGATCAAAACCAACAGTGTTCAAGTCTACCGGTCTGTTAGGATGCCTCAGCTGCATACATCACTGCACTTCCACTTGACACCTATCGTAATGATAAACGGCTCGTCTCGCCGTGACTGATTCAGGTCTTCTCGCCTTCTTTCCTTCCCATCTCCCGGCGCCTGAATGTACTGCCGACACATATTGGCATAAGGTCCACAAGGCCATTATGTTTTTGTGATAGATTGCCATCATGTTTTTTTCTATGTGATAAGACATTTCTTCCAGACTTGGATTTTTTGGCTATCTACTTACCATCTCGAGTCTCTTCAAATAAATAAGTGCTAATTTTTTCTTACATTATTTATAAGTTTTCAATCGAGAGTTATCGCGTTCGAAGTTTTATATTCACAGTTGATTTGAGTATAAGACACGGTGGGTGGATGCAATTTCAAACTCATGCATTGAATCTTATTTAAGGGACACACAAGGAAATAATATAACGCTCATTCTTGAGTTTCTCCCGATCAATTGAGTTATCGGGACGAAATTATTTTAGACATTAGAGTATGGAGACTTTGTGCAAACTTCAAATCCAGAGATGTACTCTTGATTGAAGGAGTTTTGTAAGAAAATGCTAGAAAATTCATATTTGATCTCACTAATAAAATAACTTGAGTTATTAAGATTGATGTTACCATTATGTGCGATATTATAATCCAAGTAACCGTGGGAAACGAGGTGTTAACTTTTTGAAAATTGGTTTCTCGTGCGGATGGTTATTCCATGTGATAAACCACAACCTTACTTGCTTAACTAGCAAGTAGCTAGCTATGTAAAAAAAGAATTGTATTTTACTTTGCATGTCAAGAATCCATTTGTGTTTACAACTTGAATTAATTAGGTCCTAATCAAGCTTGGCCTACTCCTAAATCCTAACCAATTAGAAAATAAACAAATTTCGATTTATTTTTATGCTAGGAAAGATGAATTAAGAAGTATATATATATATATGGGCAGTTCTAGGGTGCCCAGGGCAAAATCCGGGGTACGGGTAACCGGGGGCAAGGAAAATTACCAAAAGCATCACGAAGCGTTTAAGCGTTGTTCATTGGACTTCAACCTAACTGTACCCGGTTTAATTATATCGATTAAGAGGTTAAACCCTATGGATACGACCCGCCGCCCTAACCAATTTCTAGTCCCTCATTCGTCTTGGAGGGGACGTCCCCTCTTAGTTCGAAGTTCGAACATAAGCCTTTTATCATCGTTTCTGAAATCTTAAATCTCAAATCCTTTTATCATTTGATCGACATTCGATTTAGCTCCCAATCCAATATCAAATCCCCAACATCATCATGTTTTGAACCCCAAATCTATGTATCCACGTTCGAAGAGAAGATCCCTTTTCAATCTAAAATCCCCACATAATCATCATTATGAACCACAAATCCTTGTATCCACAATCGACGTTTTGTTCTTCGCCATTTTATTTCCGACCGGAATCTAAAATCTCCACATAATCATCGTTTCCTTGTATCCACAATCGACGTTTTGTTCTTCGCCATCTTATTTCCGACTGGAATTTACACAAATTGAAGATGAAATAAGCAACACAGTCTTCGACCTAATTGAGGAAGAAGATGGAAGAAGACATAAATTTGATTCGAATCAGATGGAGAGGTCACCTTAACTTGTGTTTATGTATTAACGGTGCGTTTAGGACAAAGTCTAGTTGGGCTTTTAAATTCCCTTCAAAAGTGGGCTTGTGTACATGATCCGGATTGTGAAGAGGTTGGGCTTTTATTTACATCTGCGTCTGCTTCTGCTTCTGCTTCTAAACGCCGATCATGTCTTGCGTTCACGCAATTTAAACACAATTATGTGTTCCATCTTTTTTTTGGGATTTGGTAAATGGTAGCGTGTCTATTTACACATTTATCGGTACGAGGTAAAAAACAATCCGCCCAATTTAACTCTTTATTAATTGCCCCTATTCCACTCTCTCACTGTTTGCCCCTCTTGACATAACAAACCTCTTGTAGACTAATTAGAGGCGTGTTATTAGATACTTAGTGAGGACATTTTTTAAATTTATGTTTTGAAACGAAAGTTAGAATTTCGCTTTTGAAGTACTTGTGTACTTTACTTGGGCAAGTATTTTCAAAATGTAAAATTTTATCAGCGTATAGGTATGCGATTATTGTATAAGGTGTTTATGGTTAAGTTAATGATTACTGACTGGTTAGTGTATTAGATTGTTGATGATTTAGAGTATATGGTATATGGTTTAGAGTATATGGTATATGGGATGGTTTATAAGGTGTTGAATTGTTGATGGTCCAGAGCATATTGTATTGATTGATTCGGCTGAGGGTAGGTGTTGTTTTAATTTTTCTCGATTTTATATTGTCTTAACATCTTCTTATAAATGCTGATCATGCCTTATTATCAGGAAATTTAGACATAATTATTGTAGCGTGTCTCTTTACACATTTATCGGTACGAGATAAAATGATTTGGTGTGTGCAAAGTAGGTTCTCATTAACGATTTTGCCATGTTGGTTATCCCGCCCATTAGCGATTCGCCACATATGGAATCAAAATTAGTTAGAGTTCTTAACTTCATCTTTCTTCATTTATTCTTTGACTTGAACCAACACGTCTTTGCTCCGAAGGATTTTGGGTGGTAGTGGCGTGCTAAAGACAATCCGTCCAATTTAACTCTTCGTTAATTCCCCCTTTTCTTTTCTTTTTTGGTAGAATAATTACCCCTTTTCCACTCTCTCAGTCCCCGCCGAAGTTGAAACAATCCCCTGTGATATATTTATCGTTCATTTTAACCCTTCACTTAATAAGAAAGCGAAATTATGAAAAATGGTCATCAATGTGATGTAGCTTAATTGGTTAATTGTCCGTTATTTGGTTAGTCAATAAAGTAGAGGTTTGTGGTTCGATACTTAGTGAGTATCAATTTTTAATTTATGTTTTGAAAAGCAAGTTATAATATTAATTTATCAGCGTATAGGTATACGATATTGTATAAGGTGTTGATGGTTTAGAGTACATGGTATTGGGTTAGTGTATTGATCATCTCCATCCCTAAAATACGATATTGTATAAGGTGTTGATGGTTTAGAGTATATGGTATTGGGTTAGTGTATTGATCATCTTCATCCCTAAAATTGAACAACAATTTCTAAACGAGGTCCCTACCGCCACATCATCAATTTTAGCAATTCATCACTTATCAATTTCTATTCATCTACATCCCTAAATTATGCTAGCAATTGCCAAGGTGGGTTCCATTTTATATTTCAAAGGAAACACTTATTATAAATTGAAAGTTGGAGATGGAGATAGAAGAAGGTGTTGTTGGTATATAGTATAAGGTCTTGAAGGTTATGGTATAAGGGAGGAGCAAGGTGTTGATGGTTTAAAGTATATATATGTTATTGATTGGTTACGGTATAAGCCTATAAGGTGTTGTTATTGTTGTAGAGTATA